CACTTTTTCATGTACTTTTTCATCTTCTTTTTCAATATCCACATTTTGAGGTAATGCTAGTGCATATGCAAACAATGCTGTCACCACTAATATTGCTGTTTAAATAATATATAATCCTTTTATATTTCTATCCTCATATTTCAGACACTTTCAAATTGATATAAAATATTTTAGTGCTTACGTTTCATTTTAGTTCGCTTATTCCAGGTCTCGTTTTAAAAAAACTGGCCTTATTGTGAAGGTTTTCATTTCCTTTATACAAAAATTTCAATCAAGATAATGTCATCCAACAGTTTCGGTTCCGAATTTCGTGTCATTTTTATCTAAAATATATTGTTCAATTAGAAGACAGCAAAACATCAAAGACTTCAATTTTTATCTTAATTTAATTGTCAGGTATGATAAGGATAGTTCCGGAGAAGTTTGTGAGTTTATCGTCATTTAAAATGAAATTGCATCATGTATTAGTCACATCTATTGGAATTTCGTATTTGATTAATAGAAATAATATTTCGGAATGATTCAATAGCATTTTTAAGGAAATTGAAAAGCATTGAATTCGCTATCGCTACTCAGATATATTAACTTTGAATAAAATTTTAACGGTCATGCGAATTTTAAATTTGATTTCGCTCAAGATTTTCGACTCTTTCCTTTCTGATTCGATCTTTTTTCAGTCAAATTCCTCACTTTTGCAAAACAGCATATTCAATATTTAAACATTTTATTGCATTTTATTTATATCGTAACTCAAAAGCGCATTATTTCAATAAAAAACAAGACATTATGGGTGATAAAGCTGAAGTCACCAAGAAAGTAAGCATTAATTAGTGTTTGATCGGCATTTAACAAAATTCATGTGAATTTTCTTCAAAGAATTTCTCACAGCATTATTGAGATAACTATATTCAACTCAATTTTTTTTTTAAATTAATATAAACATATTTTTAATATAAGCAAATAAGCAAATACATGAAAGTTGAGTAAAGTTATTAAATAATTTTAAATTTATTTTAATATTGTTTCGAGGTTAATAAAAACAAAACAATTTTCGTAGTCTCATGAAATACAAAATAATTATAACTTTACAATTTCATTTTAGGTGCAAGAGTACAAAGATACATTGATTAAAAAGGCAGAAGATTTGATTGTCGTTGGATTTCCAGCAAAAATAGTTGAACTGAATGATCTTCTCTCAACAAAATCATTCGCAGAAAGAAACTTTAATGATGTACATCAAGATTTGAATATCAACGTTCCCGATCCAATACCGTTACTGAATTGTATTGAAGATGATGGACAACCTTCTGCTAAACGCTCTCGAGTCGAGGCTTCCGATGTTATTGGCACTAAAGTGATGATTCTTCCTTCAGGCTCCGTCAAATGTAACGCACCCATTTGCGACATCATTAAAGTTGTAAAGCCAGTAATTCGCGGTCTTGTTGAAGATTCGAACTTATTGAAAATGTGGATAAGCTTCATGATTCCTAAAATCGAAGACGGCAACAATTTTGGCGTCTCAATTCAAGAAGACACATTAGCCGAGATTCAATCAGTTGAATCTGAAGCTGCAGCATTTTTTGATCAGATATCCCGGTATTTTATATCACGAGCAAAATTGGTTTCAAAGGTAGCCAAATATCCTCACATCGAAGACTACCGACGTGCTGTACAAGAAATGGACGAAAAAGAATTCCTAAGCTTGTGGTTAGTGTTGAGTGAGGTCAGAAATCGTTATTGCTCGTTACATGACATTGTAATGAAGAATATGGAAAAATTGAAGAAGCCCAGAAGCTCGAATGCTGAACACTTGTACTAAATTTTCCAACACACAAAACAATTTTCTGGAAACAACCAGATACGACATCTTAAACCATAAGTTGATAATTTTAAACATTTTTTCTTTATTCTCTCAACGATCTTTACAAATAAACGTTCTTAAATATCAAACTTATTTTATATTCTATGATTTTATTTTTTTCCTCTCAATCTCGCCAATTGAGTCATTCTTGCGTTTTCTTGATTCCTGTGAAGACGATTCATCATCACTTTCATTTTCTTCTTCTGATGTAGAAGTATTGACATCTGCATATTCCATTAAAACAGGAGTTCTTCCTAACCTACGACATTCAGCAGCAACAAAAACTTTTCTTGCTGTTGTTGAGATAGAACATTTGGCTTGTTCCTCACTTAAACCGAAGATTATTCCAAGACTTGAAATATCGTATGGACTTCGAATATTAAATCGATCAGCAGCTTCACTAGAAATAAGAATTCCTTTTGATTTACCAACCATATGGTATTGTTGAGCACGAGAGATTGTCGCACGTCGTTCACTCGCATCCACAATCACCGGTGAATATTTAAGTTCGAAGAACATGTTGCGTCGAATTGCAAGATAATAAAATTTTCTATTCAATCGAATTTTAATCGTGTCGGTGTTGTAAGTGACAATGTCGCCTTGAAATGTTTGACAAGCATGTTGAAGTGCTGACTCTGAAGTAGGAAGAGCAGCTACAATTTGATATTTTTTAAAATTCTGAGACCGGCTTAAAACATGCGTTACTGAAGGATCTGAGTAGACGACAGTCAGTCTATTGTAAAGGTTTAATTTTCCATTTGTTTCAGCACGCAATGAATCTAATTTAACTGGTTCAGGAATAGGATCGGATTTGGAACCAATCGTTTGATGAATGTGAGTTTGTTCAATTGCAACATTCCGAAAACCAACTGAAACAAGATTGAATGTATAAAAAAATCTATTCAAATGAGATTATTTACCATCTATGAGTTCATTTAATATTTCTTTTAAGCAATCTTCCTTCTCATTGTAAGGAATACAAAAATCAGAGTATCCATTTGTAAATTTAATCATTTTTTTTCTTATGTTTTTAAAGTTTTAAATATTCTGTGATATTTCCTACGCCTTGCGGGTATTTCAAATTTTCAATTTAAATCATCGACCGTTGAAATTTATTTCAATAAGAATTTTATGAATTCATAAAAAAATCTGACATCATGTGAAAAATAAGTTTGCAAATTATTTTTAACAATAAAAACTTCCGATTGAACTTGGAATGAATGAAATGAAGTGTTTATAATTTAATCACGTGTTTAAAGCTCTCCCGCGTTATTTTTTGTTTTCGTTCTTTCTCCCTTTCTCATCGCTTGATTTACAAAGCCATCATAAGTGAGAACGAGACAACAGTATGTTCACTTGAGTTGTACAAGAAACTCTCCTTGCACAAGAGAAAATTCTCTTCACTTCGTGAGTGGCTTTCAAAGAAACAAGGTGTTAAAAAATTTCATCGTCGACTATCGCGGTTTACAAGTGTTAAGAAATTGCATCATCAGCTATTAAGTGAATAAAGAAAATAAGAAAAAACAAATAATGTTCTTATTCTACATCGACTACATCACCACATCATTCATCGAATTTACCATTCTTTTGATTTTGGTGTTGTAAATTCCACAAATAGTTATTAAGTTACGAAAAAAGAATGTCTTTTTCGCAATAGAACATACTAAATTCGCCTCAAATATCATAATATGTATTCTTATCACAAGTGAAAAATATTGATAAGATAAGAATATTTTTTATCAATTTACTTATACATCATTTCAAAATACCAACACAAATAAGCACAAGTAATTAAACTATACACATAGCAAAGGTGAAATATAAACAAAGTTCATTGTGTCACCTCGCGAGTCGTTAAAATGTTGATAACTTCAAATTGAATTGATCATCATCAGAGGCAGAAGAGGAAAACAAAAACAAAACAAAAAAAACTAAGATGAGCTCACTGTAAAATAAGTGTTGCTTAATTAATTGAAATGTGGTGTTAGTTAAAGTGCCATAAGGTCATCGCTGACTGTGTCTTATTCAATAAAAAAAAAATTATTCAAAATCTAATTTTAAGGAAGAGAGTAAATTGAACTATGATAAGTGATCAATTGACATGGATTAAGGCGCTTCATGTGCTTCTAATTTTTACGATTAGTGTTCAAAGTTTTAACTTAGAAACTCGTCTTCCAATCTACAAATTCGATCGACAACTAAACTCATACTTTGGATATTCAGTGGCGATTCATCACGAAGTGGAGAATGATAAAAAATGGTAAGAAGATAATTTGAAGAAGATTAAAATCTGAACGGGCTTTAAACGCTGTAATTACTGCGCAAAAATTAGTTTTGTTGTATTCGAACGAAATAAGTTGTGTTTCATCCCAGCATCATAAACAGACCTCGAACGTCGGCTTACCTGTTCAGACAAAATCAGGTTTTCTTCTCTTATTTCGCCTTCGTTTCAATCGAACATCCACTTTGTTTTAATGAAGAAGACAAACAGAGAACGACACACGAAAAAGAATCTTAGAAGGTTCCGTTCCGTGTGTGTGCTGGTGATCTTCATGTTTTCAGTTTCATCTCATTCTTTAGAAAAGAATTCTTTTCTGTCGTCTTAGTAGAATTTGACAAAAAGGAAAATAAAAAATTATCAGCAGCAAGAATTAGCATAAGTTGAAGAAGTTTCAGACGCTTTGTTGTGTTGGCACAGGTGTAACAAAAGAATTTCTGTTCATCTACCTGAACTCAATTCATTTTTTTATTTTTGTGTCGTTTCTTCCCGCCTTTTTTTTTTTCCTCGAAAGAATTCTTATATCCACATAGATTGCTTTATTACCCTTATCAGTTAAACGCCCTCCGACTGTGTCATGAAATATTTCTCTGCAACATTTCATTGTAGAAGTGACTTCAGACACTCAATCTAATGACGATGATGATATTGATCAGTGCCCGTATGATGCAACTCAAATGGTTTCACTCCCATGTGATTAGTGCCAGCCTGTTGGTGCAGTTGGTTTACAATTGTTTCTCTTTTTTTAGAACTTTGGCACCATCAGTTTATTTTTTCTCAGTATTAAAAGATATTTTAACAAAGAACATAATGTAAACATAAACATTCCGTTTACGAGAACCATAATTAAATAAATTGATGCCTTAGACGAGAATGGTTCAGCCCTCTAAGCGTCGATGAATCGTGCGAAAAGTTTTAATGAATTTGGGAATATGAAACCTGCGAGTTATCGCCATTAGCGTCTTTAATGCCCTCGAGTGCTATAAATGAACGTGAAGAACAAAGCGAACCTAGTTAAGTTCGGCTATTGAACAGTCTTAGAAGGTTTTCTTATTTCATATTTCTAGCATTTATTAAAACGAAAGGAATAAATGCTCTGGGAGTGTTTCAGACTAAATAAATTACATTCTCAAATTGAATTTTAGAGATAAGCATTCGAGTAAATGCATTTGGATTTGTATGGTATTGAAATGTAACCAAATGCTGAAAATAATAAAGTCTGGAGTTTCTTTATGGATGATAAAAGAATGATTAGAAGTTGCGTGGGGGGAACTTTACATAATTCATTGTTATTAAATTGAAAATTAATTTTTATCTAAACGAGAAGTTTGACTGTACAATAAAAAAAAATCTCGTTAATTGTCATTAAAGAATTTTATTCCTACAAATTCTTTTATAGCCTAATTGCACTCGTGCTAATGAAATTAAGTCATTTGCTGAAGCGATAATCACATTTTCCCTTTCAATGACACGCCACATTTAACGCCCCGTTTGCTGTGTGCATAAAACTCCCTTGTCGAGTTGTAGAATATTATGTGAAGACTATTTGCGCAATATTATCGTAGTGCCTTCTGGTGAATGGTGAGAGAGAAGACAACGATAAAATATAAACACAAAATCAATGTCAAACGAGAGTTTTATCAAGCACAGGAATGCGTGATGTAGACTGAACTTAGAGTTGAAAGAAGGAGTGTAAACAAAATAAACCATCAAAAGTTGGGGGAGGTTGATTGATTTATATAACAATGTTGTCTCAATTCGAAGACATGAAAAAAATTCCTTCGTCATTCAGAACGAAATTAAAATGAATCTGAGTACAAAGTTCTTAAGATATTGATTTTAATCTTAAAATTTCGACGTTTCCGACTTGTTTATTAAAATGAATTCACTTTTAGAGGATTCTCTCTCAACAACAACACGACATTGTGGCACTCCTTTTATTTCTTTTTTTTAGGGAAAATGAAAGAAAAATTATTCATGACGTTAGAACAGCGCGATGATAAAAAATGAAAAGAATTCCTTGAGCCCTTCACTGCTTTGGATGATGTTGGTTGTTCAAGTGTTGTCGACCAAGGCTATAAAATTATTTGTTGTGTGTGCACAAACGACGATGATATGTCGTTTTATTTTTATTATTTTTTCGGGTCTGTTTTGTTGTCTCATCGTCGTAGTATAATAATGTTGGTTAAGATCTTGAAATCTTTTTAGTTTCCTCATGAAAAAGGAAGAGGGTAAATTTTGACAGATTCTTCAATGAATAAATAAACTTTTTATTCCAACTTAAACCTAATTACACGTTTGCAATAAATAAAAAAGTTTCATTCAATATTTTGGATGCTTCATGAATATTTCATGATAAAATGAACTGAAATGTCTGCTTTTTAAGATAAATTAAACGAGGAAAGAAAGAGGAAGAGCATAAAGTACAAAGACGATGTTTAACATGGAAATTATCAGTTGGAACTAAAAAGTGCATCATTTTATTTACATAACAATTGAACACACAAAACCGTCTTATTGATGGTTGTAAAGCACGATGTGTGTTGCTGTTAAGATTCTCCCTTGCTTTTGTGAGTGGATGCGCTCTGGGGATTGCGTTTGGAGTTGATGTTCCATTCAAAGACAAATAGTTTTGTCGAGAAACGTTTTAATGTGTATTTTGAGATTATGATGAAGTCTTTCACGAAAGATGCACGCTCGACATTTTGTGGTTTCTCTTGAATATTTTTTTTGTAAGTCTTGCAACGGTCAATAAGCCAAGCCAAGCCATTCAGTCCTACACTCATTGGACACGACAACAAAAGAAAGTACAAACAAATTTGATTTACATTCTGGGACGAGTCATAAACTTTGTTGTACAATAAATTCCGTAGAAAGAAACTTTTTCTAGTCAACAATAATCGTTAAATATTTTATGACGTTCGACATTTAATCAACGAAGAAGATCGATAAAAATATTTTAGATATTAGCAGGAAATCACCAAAACATTAAACAGATGGTTGGTTCGTTTACCATTCGCATTAAGCGTGTTGAAAGTTTCAATGGTTGAAGTACAAGAAAAGAGAGAAAAAAGGCATAAATCGTTTAATCATATATGGGTGCGATCTGCTGTTGTTATTGTTGCTCTTGTTTTCCTTTTCATTGTCGTCATTGACTGTTTTTAATTCTTAATGAAATTTCTTTCATCTGAAAAGTTTCTGCGAAACTTAAAATTAGAAAACAAAGATTCGACTTTAAATTAATCTTCTCAAAAAATTTTGAAAATGTTTGAAGAAGAAATGTACACAAAAGTTGTAAGCAATTGAATTTAATTGATAAGTAAAGTTTTTGTTGAAGTAAATTCTTGATTAATAAGCTTTACAAATAACGACTACGATCATGTTTCATTCAACAGCACACAACTGTGATCATGAGATCACTTCTTACATCTTACAGTTCTCACTCTAGTTCGTTCTTTTTTTTTTATTTTTATGTTTGTCTTTTCTTCTTGTTTATTTCATCGGATTTCAAGTTTACAAGAGCGATTCTTACAAGTTCAATGGTGTGTGATGTTCGACGGACAGCGATGCTTAAATAAGTCTTACGATTTTTGATGATTCGTACATGAAAATTACGGGTTAAGTCGTACATAAACAAACCTTGTTAGTCGTGAAACGGGTAAACAAATTACTTCTTACGACTCTTATACTTGAAGTTCTGTTTTCCTGCTTGATTTTCAGTCTTTAATGCTTCTCAATAATCAATTTATAAATTTGCAACTTCAACTTCAAGTAGAAAAGACTTGAAAGACATTTCAATCGCATTCAAATGCTTGGTTGGTGTTGTGCATAAAGTGAAGACAAGAAATCGCAGCAAATTTTATTTCATTTTGCTGTTTCACTTCTTCGAAGATTTTTTGACATCAGTTGAATGTTTAACAACAATCTCGAGACAAGATATTTTTTATTTCTTGCCTTTTAATCTTTGTTCACGTTGAACAATTAATTTACATAAATTATCGGTTGTTCAAAGCGACACTTTTTCTTATTCAAGGCTTTTTATCGCGACGAGCATGATTTTAATTGCTATTGTTTGAAAAGGGCAAAAAGGCACAACAAACAGTCGTCGATTGGGGACTTGAGTTGATTCAACGGTATTGTGATCAGTTTTAACTGTTCAATTATGGATGATGGCAACCTTCACACCTGGTTCGTGCTTCATGCTCTTCCATCCTCTTCTACACCTTTATGTAATTTGAGATCTTTTAGATTCAGATTCAAATGAATGAATCAACAGCAATAACAGCAAAAGACTCTGTGATTGTAATCTTGACAGTAAGAGAAGAAAGAAAAAAGTTTTTGAAACAGTTTTTCTTTCATGATTCCAGTTTCATTGAACTTTTCTTTTCTTAAGAGAAGAATTTCTTTTGAAAGATCAACGATTCACATTTCTACGATATCAATTACTTTTCCAGTGATGAAACAGGCGCAATTTGAATTTATTTTGGTGGTAATTTAATCTCTGACAAAAGTCGATTCTCACGATCCGGACCCTTCTTAAGTTCTTCAAATGATCAGTTCAGAAACTAAGATGAAGCCAATCTTCTTGTTCTTTAATCACATTCAAATCTTTCCTTTCTTCTTTCGTCAATTTCTCATGATCGTTTGATTGGAAATATTGGACTTTAAATAACATCCGCGATGTCATTGTCTTGTTTTGAAAAGAGTTCTTTAAAAGTCTTTGCCTTTCACTGCATGTTGTACATCATGTAGCCACACATTCAATTACAGCTCTTTTTTTTTCTATTAAGCATTTTAAAGACTTTTCTTTTGGTCACAAGAAGACAAACCGACAATCGAATATCCACATGCGGTCATAAGACTTTCGTTTAACTCTCAAAGAGTTTCAATTTCCTATTGTTTGTGTTATAACTTATAAGTTATAAATCAAATATGAAAACAGCGGAAAAACATTCTAACGAGCATCAATGATAATCCAAACACATCGTTGAGAGAATCTTTTTAATCATAATTAAAAAAATAAATTGGTTGAACCGTCACAACCAGCATAACGAATCGTGAAGTTGAGATTTTGTTTTGAATATTCAACGAGACAGAAAGTAAACATTGAGAGATTGATTTGAAGTCGCAGCTTGTAGTTTAATTTGAGATTTGAATAGGATAAGTTTTGCAGATCACAAATTTTCTCCTTCAGTCAAATCATAAGTTTCAACGAGAATAAAAATTATAATGAAGTGAAATGAAAAGTTTGGGGTCGTTTAACACACAAACAACAAACGATTTGTTTATTATTGTAAAGCGCACAAAAGCAGCACAGAAATGTTCTTTGTCGAGAGTTATTTTCCTTTCCATTCGCTTCATTCAGTTAATTTCCATGCAGTCAGTCAGTAAAATGATGCATAACATATAACGTCCAACACGTAGTAATAACGAGAGCGCATTCTTTCTCCTAAACTTCAACATATTCTTGTTTTGCTTTTGGTTGATGCAACAATGGATTCGTTTGGACTCTTCGCTTGCATTCAGTAAGAAGAAACTTTTTTTAATGCACAAGACTTTGATAGTGTTGGAAGAAATCATGCAATTTAAATTCTCTTAACGTCTGCTTGTCAAGCGCTACTTCACGTCTTTAACTCTTCTCACATACTTACAACTCTCGAGATCATGTCATAAATAAACAACAAAATTTGCATAATTTACTTACTGACTTTGCGATCTGCGATTAAGACTGAAAAGTTGATGTTTAACTTCATATTTTCGGCAGCGACAAGTGACTGTTATTGAATCCGTTATTTAGTTAATCCACTTGGACCATAAAGCTCTTTAAAACAAATATTCAGCTCGCTGAAAATATTTTTGACTCATTTTTCATTCACTTGTCGTTTGCGTACATCACCTTACACCACTAAATCATGTTCATTCACAGTTGCCACCGTTTTTCCCTTTGCGATCACTTTCTCGGACATGTTTTGACTTTTCTTCTCGATCCTCTGATCGCAAATTATTTCTTAAAACGCAAAAAAAGAATCTTAGTGAATAAATGAAGAAAAATACGGAAACGAAGCGGTCGAGAGTGAGAAAGAATGGAAAAGAAATAAATTTAAGCAAGAAATTCTTGACAAGTTTCTTTACTTAAGAAATTTCTTTGAGAGTAGACGACGATTCAGGTCGTTTATAAATAGCGTAACATGCGAATGTTGGAGATGATTTGAAGTCAAGTGGATGCCAAAATTCGCAAATTAAGAGATGAAAAATCATTGAAAGATGATGACGCGTTTTAAATCTTTGAAATGGAGTCGTTCAACTTATAATCAAAACTAGTCTTATGGAATTTAAAACAGACACCCGCACAATGAATCCTAACAAGAGTTAAAAGTTTTAATCCCATCTAGTTTACAATATTGACATTAATATTGATTAATTGAGTGCAACATTTGACATCCAGAATTGTAACTGCAAAAAAACCTCAACAATGCTTTCGTGTATTGAAGCAGCTGTTAACTGACATTACTTAAATCGGATGTGACACATTTAGCCTCAAATTCAGCAAATAAAAAGAGAAGAAAGAAATGAAGCATAATTATGCTCTGACATGTTTTATGACTCGGCCTTTGTTTGAAAGATGAAATGTGAAGTCACAAGGGCGTGAGGGTTTTCTCTTTCATGTCTACTACTGACGCCTTAGATACCTGCATAATATTTATCACCTTTCGTTTGATCTTTTTATTTTTTTCTTGTCTTTATATCTAAATCTGTCGCGTTTGCGATATTTTGGCGTTTATCAATTTTAAGTAAAATTCAAGACATTCAATCTAGGTGAAGAAACATTTGTCGTGGCGTTTTGCATACATCAAAGTCGTCGGGTATTTGGAATTCAGAATTTTAAAATTTATGTCACGACATTGACGACTCGATTTAATTTCCAGCGACTCTCAAACATTTCTTTTCCTTTCATTATCGATTGGCATTTGAAGAATTCTTAACGCTTGCCGCTTGTTTTAATTTATCGATGACTGCTTGCTATGTATGAGAATTAATTACTCATGACGGAGTCAAAACTCTTACTGTCGATCGTAAAGTATACCAGGAAGAAGTTGATTGCTGAATTTTGTTTAAATTGCAAAAGAAAACGAACAGTTCATGAAACTCATCAAGATTTTCAGCATCGATAAATTAAATTTATTGAAGTTTATTCTTAGTTAGAATTCGACAATGTATGAATAATTTCGCAGCAGATGTCCAACGCTTAATAATCTGGATTTCCTTGAATCAAGCATTAATTTAAGATTCTTACATATGATTAATATTCTCATCAAGTGGACGAAGTAGTAGAAAAACTTGCTTCTATTGAGTTAGAAAAGTTAATGCTTGTTGTGGAATGTTTTAAAAGTTTTTATTCGAATTGTGTGATGTCATGCTTACGGCGCTTAATTAATCAACAACAGATCAGCATTTAATCATCGTGTTTCTCGGTGCCTGCTTCATGAGGATTTGTTAAACTTTTTATTTCTATTTCTTCTTTGAGGTCATTCACTTGATGTCTTCGATCGATGAACATATCTTTGTGGTAATAAAAAAATGTTGAGTAATTAATATGTTTAACTAGAGCATGTTATATTGATTAGAATATCAAAAGAAATTTTGGGTGGTGATTTTAACATTCATATCTAAATTTATTACATTTCAGATCTTCATGACAGATAAAAATTTCTAAATAAAAGAAAGTTGAAGAGACGCTGATCATTGCTCATGATTTAACGTTCTTATAAAGACATTTACTAATGAATTGATAATAAATTAAGAATTCGAAGAAACCCAACAAAAAAAAAATAAAGAAGAAGAAATTTATTTACATTTTCTTGAATATCTTTCTCTCCCAAAATTCAATGACTAAGTAAGAATCAAGAAACAAAACAGATGTTTAGCTTTATTTGAAACGAAGCACTAAAATTCTGAATTCATTTGTCTTGAGAAAAGAAGGCAACAAAGTTATTTTGATGAATGTTTATTGAATTGAAAAAGAATATTTTCATCGATGAATTTTCTTGAGTTTCTGAGGGAAGTTCAACGAAATTTTAGTGAATAAATTTGAACTTTTACTACTTGTTTACAAGTTTTGTTGCAGTTGGCAAAATTTCAAATCGTTCTGTGGAAGGAAGTTGAAAATCTGTTGCCAAATGTAGCATCAACTGACTTCCCACATTTTTCATGAAAATTATTTTTCCAGAACAAAGCTGCATCATACAAGATTTCAGGTCATAAAGAAGAAAATTTCTCGTTTTTATAACAAGATTCTCGTCTGCTTATTTACAAAACATTAACATCGATACGCTCCAGCAGATTTATTCACTGTATGGTTTGGTAGCGTGAAACATTCATTTCCGAATGACTTCATGACCTAAATCTACATCTTTATGCTTCCCAAAACTAGATGAAGAAAAAGAAATGAGATGAGAACATGAAATTATGCTTTTTATTGTTTTAGTTTGGAAAAAAAATTATTTTATGAGAGATTATGCAAATCAGCAGCAACATAATCACCAGAATTGATGTTCATCAACATTCGAAATTTATGACGTAAAAGTTTTTCGTTGAAAGAGCGGAGAGAAAAGTCATAATACCAAATTATCGATTTATGTTGTTCCACATATTCAATAGAACCGCTCATTTCATTGTCTGGCATTCATGGTTCAGTGACTGTTAGGAAAAAAGAGCCGAAAACAGAAGAGAAATGAATAAAACGTCGTTCAATCTTCCCGTCTCTGGGCCGATAAAAAATTATTCAGTTAATAATGAAGGCATTTCGTTCTTTTTTTTTGGTATTCCTTGTTGTTATGGGTTTGCAAAAGCAACGGCCGAGGAAGATAAAGGAAAGAATGTCAGGAATGTCAACTGAAAAGTTCTTTCAAGATAAAAAAGCGAAAAGAGTTGTTGGTGTCATGATAAATGGTTCGTTGAGGCGGAGAAATTTATTTTTTTCCTTTCGCTAAAAAAAAATTCAGCGACAACAAAATTTAATTTAATAGCAATAAATTGTGCGTCAAGTCAATCCATGTGTGCGGGTTAAAAATCGTTGCTCCAACATGTGTCCAATGACTGTGAGCTTGTGCGTGGAAGTTGGAAAGAAGAAAAGAAAAACATGAAATCAACAGACGAGAAAAATCGTTTTGGAAATTACTTCGATGCTACAGTTTATAAATAGAATTCCGATTGAGTAATCTGCATGAAAAGAAAACACAACTGCCGGAAATCTTCTGACGAAAAGTCATGGGAAAAGCTTATGAATCACAATTGATTCTTGTCTGGCAAATCTTCTTCTCGTGAAATGTTTTCATAACAATTTCTTCGTTTAATGGCATGAATATTGCCAATAATTCACCTCTCAATGCAGATGTTTGTGGATTTGTATGAACATTGACCGTATTGGTGATTCAAAAACCTTCCCACGCTACTAAATTCCAATCGCCATTATTTTAAATAAATGTAAGGATAAGGAAAAGAGTTTGAATATTCATGTTGATGCATAATGTTGAACAGTATCACTGGGTCAATAAAAGTTTGCGATTCTTGGTAGAGCCAATGAATTCAACCAACCAACAGAATGAATTATTAATTAATGGTGGCGTCATGAAATTGATAAAAGCTGAAAGATTACGAGCGAAGCTTTAAAAGCCATAAAACTTCGTTAATTCCTTCTTTGATACAGAATCGCATTAAATATTTACCGACCAGCATGAGTTGTTAAGCAACCACAGATAAGCGAGCACGCATTTGGACTCAAAACAATTAAAATTGAAGAAAAATCTCAAGAACGACAATTTACATTCGCTTCGCTTGAGATTACAAATTAATTAGTTCTTTTCAAGTTTCAGTCGATTGCTTCCACTTGCACCAAAAAGATTATTCCAATTAAACAGAATTAAGTTTATATCTCGGATCAAATTTAAGCGTGCACATTCCATGTCGTTTCAATTTCTCTGCACTTGAATTTACAACATTCATCGAGTTAACTGCATTTTAATTAAGAAATATTGAGAAATAAAGAAATTTGTTTGATTTTCTCGGAATGATTTGAATGTCTGAAAGATCTTTTGATCGTGCGTGTAGGTCAGAAATTTCGCAGTTGCCTTCAGACGTCAAGGCAACACCGAAGATCGTAAATAAATAAGAAACAAATTACACGAATTTCGATGTTCTTTTTTTGCCATCGAAAACGATCATGAAACAATTTTAAAGACCCACCAACTCAAATGCCAAGTTTTTGCTAGCAACAGCAGCTGCGTGCCATGAATGTGTGTGATTGAATGATTGTTAGCCGGCAGTCAATTGAATAAAGTAATCCCGTAGTGAAATTAAACAGTTTGTTTTTGTTTCTGCTGCTCGTGTTTAAATAAGTAAAGCAAAAACCATTCGGTGGCTGTTCCACAATAGATAAATAACTAATAAAACGAGTTGCGTGTTCTTCGCTATGAAATATTTTCTCACTCGCTCTCAAGTTCGCAGTGTATCCAATAATAATGAAACGTTTTACGCGATGAAAGACAAATTCCTTCAATTAACATTTCGTTGTGATTTTTGGCGGGCCTTTCATGTTGATTGATTAAATATTTGGATTAATACTAATACGCTTCGACTGCTTCCAATTCGCAAGCAAATAGAGTGAAACAATATTTGAACTTTCTATTATTAGTGTGTTGGAAATGTAAGCAACTGCATTGTGGGATTAACGAACGTATTTAGATACAAATCATGTTCGTCTGTTTATCTATTTACTTTAATTAAATTAAACTTGCGTTTTTCATTTTCATGTTGAGGATAATTAAGTCAGAGAAGTCTTTTACCATTTCTTTGTAAACATTTCGCATGGTTTAGTTAATTCATTCAGCTACCAGTATTTTTTTATTCTTTTCTTGTTCATGTTTCCATCGCCTTCAACGTTGTTTTCAGCTGAAATGAAACTTCCAATCTAAATCTGCATCGAATATAATTCAGTCTCACATGCAATTTTCCTTTTATTTTATTTTTCCTTCGCTCATTTTTCAACTTAATCTGATCGCGCGATGCCAGCCTCTTTTCTTCACAATGAAACTTCTTTTTTTTATTTAAAAAAAGACTTCAAACATTTACACTACTCGTGGCTGATAGCAAAGCTAATGTGACTTTATGAGGCACGATCCATTGCCAACATCAGACATTACATTGCGATTGGCATAAATTTTTCTATCGCTTCAATGCTAACGAAAATTTCTTTGTGTCACTTTCAAATAAAGACTTCAGCTGTTCACTTTGTTTAGCTTCAACCATTCGTTCGGACTTGAAGTCTCTTTTTTACTTTTCAAATATCGTGATTCGTGCGCTATCATAAAGCGCCCATAAAATCTGTTATACAAAACAAATTATAAATAATTTTTATTATGTTATTCATTTCTTGTCTGTTTGATTTCATTTCCTTTGGAATTTTGATTTATGTGATAATGTTTTGTTCAATGTATGCGGCGGCGGCGGTGGCTTCAATTTCTCGACACAACTCTCGACTCGATGCCAAAGTTAATTTAATTTTTGTGTAGTTTTAACATTCTGAAGGTGTAGAGTGATTGAATGTTTTAATTAACGCCGTTTGCTGAATGTTTAAAAATGTTCGTACATAATTTGCTTCCAACGCCAATTAAATCAACATAAATCATTAATCTGGCAATTCGGAGAAATTTTTCTGTCACATCAGTGAATTCATAGCCGAAAAGAAAAATAAAATTAATCGTTGGAAAAGACTGTTAGTCGCATGCTTTTTTATTCAGGTTTATTCATATTTCGATCTGAGATTTAATTAAATTTCAATACCGAGTGGAAAGCAGACAGAAAGGAAAGAAAGACATAAAAGTATGACGGGATGAGTTGAAAATAAATGTCACAATATTTCATACGATTAATGTTGTAAAGTATGAAATTGTCGCAACGCAAAGTTTGCTACATAACAGACAAACTCATCATGACATATTTAAATCACAAGCAGAAAAGCTTCATATAATCAACAATATTTCCCCGTTAATACTCAAGCACCATACATGTTTTCCGGTCATTTAATTACTCCATTGTTTCATAAAAAACAACATTAGAAATGAGATTAAGCTACGTTTTTTCTTCTTCTTCTATTTCGAACAACATAAATCTTGCTCCCTATCCAACTTTATAATTGAATTGTTTATGAAAGTTTCTTTAATGGATTCGTTGAGCGGAGTTCATGATTGTCGGAACTCACACGTGAAAAAGTTCAGCTTATTTCATGATGAATTAACATGCCATCACAACGAATTAAGTCAAAAACAAACGTGGTTAAAGTGATGAAGAGAAGAAATCTGGTTAGAAATGAAACATATCGTGTCGGTTTCTTCTTTCTCTTTTATTTCTGTTATTGCGAAAAAAGGCCGTCATCAGCATTGCCAAATTTCGACTCACAACGTTGATATTGCTTCATGTGTCAAGCATTCATTTCATTTTCGTTTCTGTTTTTGGCTTTTGGGTCACAATGTCGAAATAAATTTAAGTTTTTATCTCTTCTCGCTTGTCGGTTGCCTGCAAGAGAGAAGGAAGCTTTCTGGATGTTGCTGATATAATCTGTTTTGCTGCCGTTAATAACTCGCAATAAATCATAAATGGTTCTCTTTGTCTTACCAAGTCCAAAGATAAATTGTCAATAAAGCACTCGTTTTGAAAGTTTCGCGCTTTGTTTCATGCTTTCATAACAAAATTCGGCCGCGTGTCGAACTATTAAGCGTGTAGGTGTGGGCGTTTGACCAAAAATATAAAATTGCCGCTATTGATTTCACTTAAAAAGGTAATAACCCATCAAGATATTACCTCTGACAGCAACAACGACGCTTAAGATAGTGAACGTCATGAGAGAATTTATTTCTTGAGCGCTTTCAACGTTTCTGTGTTCAAAATGTTGGATATTATGATAATTAAAAGCGCCAATATTTATGCCTTCGGAAAAGTGTCAGGGACGTGAGTTTCTTCGCAAAGCATAAAACATAACGAGATTATATGTTGAAAAATGTTGTGAAACTTCACACACATAACACTTAACATTTAAATTAATTTCTCTAGAAGTCGTAATGTTGAAGGGTTCCATGCTGTCAAATGTGATTTTAGAGACAACAAATAGCACAATAAATAATGAATGAAGGCAAAACATCGTAAACTAGATAATGTCATAAATGTCAGATGAAGTTAAGAGAATTTTTGTTCAGTTTCTATTTTTTTAAGTGAAGCATACGAGGCTTGACTTTTGATTGATGACAATTTTAATATTCATTGAGATTACCCATCCAGCATAATTTTAATCGTTCAGATCAAATTCATTAACCTTCATCTTCCGTTCTAAAAGCAATTAAAGTCATTTGAACAAAAGAAAATTTAAGTTCGATTAGTGCGTCAAGTGTTGATTGTCATGAGTTTGGTTGATGTCAATTTGAATAATCAATGAATGTCATTTATGTAGTTTGCTTGCTTCATTCAAGAAGCATCATTGTTACTGTCATTGAACTCAACTGTAAATAAACATATGTAAAGCAGTGATATGTTGCATGTGCCTTCAGTTGATTTACATCAATTGCAATTCAAATGCTAATAAACTCTGTCAGTTTGAATGTTAATCCAAAAGTAAATGCAAATTCACAAGCTAGACACTTAACTATGCGTAATCACAATCACATCGTGTTAAAATGATGGTTAAATTTAAATGCGAATGTATAATAAATTCGAAAGATTACCATTTTTGATCGGAACAACAAAATAACAAGCGAGTGTAATGCTTTCGCAATGTAATTGTGATTAACTCACAACACCGGAGTTCAAACATTGTAGTTTGTCACCTGGCATTATGTATTGTGTTTGCATGTTATGTTCAACCGCATCAAAGCGACTCACCACAATTTATTAACTCTGAGTTTGATTTCTTTCTCTTCCTTTCCATTCAATTGAACTTAAGCACCACCAACTTGCAATTGTCATTGTCTTGCAGAAGTAAATGCGAAGAAAGAAATTTATTTAACGAGTTTAGAACGTTTATAGTGACCGTAAAAGAAAGATCTTCCCATTTTGATTAAACGCAGTTGCATGCGGTCGCGAATCTTTCTTTTACAGTTAATCGTGAGAATTAAAAAAATCAACATTCAGCCTCAATGGAATTAAATGAAAGAACAATATTAGCTTCATAAGCAATCACAGCACAACAAATATGGCAACAAAGATCGTGAAAATCTTCAGGGCTTTTGCGAAATTCCAATAAATTCCCTCATTAAACATCACTTAATTGTTGATCGTGCTTATGGAACTTTCACTGTTTCCAGCCTTTTTTTTCTTTATTTGTTGCTGCTTCGGGATAAAATCTTTTTAATTTTCGTTGAATTTTCTATCATCTCGTGATTCGCATAGTTCTTCTTTTTTCACAAAATCCAACATTAATTCAAGTAACTTGCCTTTTTATTCTCATTTCCATTAAAAAAAACTGAAACAATTAACATGTTTATCAATTGATTTCTTGAAAAGAGTGCACAATTTCACGGTTGCTTGACTTCATTCTAAAGCCGAAGAAGCGAATGCTTGATTGGAAGTTGTAAAAATATTTTTGCATTTGCATATGTTGAACTGTTTTTTGTGATTGAAAAGTAAAACGAGATGCAAACTACAAGATAATAAATCATGAACCTGGTTTTGGAGTGTAAAGCGAAGCGAAACCGCCCACCATTCATATAAAAGTTTAACATGTTACGTGACGGTTCGATTATTTCTTTCTTCCTTTTCATTTGCATCGCAAAATTTGCATACATTTTAATGGTTTTTGAATGCATCATAATTAATGAAATGTTTTTATCATTTTCTCTTTATTAATTGATGGTCTAAATTTGCATAATCATTTACTGTTTCGACATAAAGAAAGATGAAGAATGAATGCAAATGCTTCTCGATCGAAATATATTTTCATGTTAAAAAAACTCCACTTAATTGGACTCTGATGAATCTTTCCGCAATCTGCAACTGAAAGAAGCTACTTGGAACTTGCAACACAAAGAGACACGTACAAACAGCACTAATAAAGTAGAAATCAAGAAACAATGATTGGTAATAATGTTGAAGCAAAACAAAAGCGCTGAGAAATTGCCTCGAGATCATCAAGATGAGATGAAAAAAGAAAGGAAAAAAAAGAAAAATTGATTGAGTTAAAGGCACATGGAAAAAGAACTTGTCTTGCCTACGCACTAAGCTATGTTGCATTTATATGTTGCGCCTTCACTTTTTAAATGAGATTTCTCTCCATCTCTTCTTATTCTTCCGCTTTCAGGGTGACTAGAAGTTTATATGAATTTTAAATAAATCTCAGCAACTTTCATATTGTCATTCTTGAATCTTTTCTGGGTCATTTAGAAGACAATTCATCAAATAAACTGCATCAGTTTCTTTTCAACTGACGTAGATTTATGTTTCATTCAAGTGAAATGATCAATGATCAACTGATGATTCGCCGCACAACATTCTAATGAATCTAAAATTGTCTTCATGCCATTTCGGGATTTAAATGAAAACGCTTCCTTTAATAAAAAACAATTTTGTTCGTTTTGTTAGCGTCGTGTTCTGATTTTATGTTCCATTGTTCAACAAACCACAAAGTTCCAGACTCGACATAATAAATCAAACACGAAGTCACCGCCAAAATAATGATTATGTGCAACGTTGTTTTTTCAAAATCAAAATCATCTCCTAATTGCATTCTCGTGCATTTTTTTATTTTCCGATAGACTCTTTTGGAAATATTTTACTCAATAATAATTGAAGAAACTTTTTTGGCGATATCAGAATGAGATGAAAGACGATGATCGTGCCCTTCTTATGCCATTCTTATTGTTCGATGTTGGATTTGTCATCCTACACGTTTTTATCGCTTTAATTGACTTTGTTTCTCTCTTCTTAGTTCCACAATGTTAAAAATATTTTATTGATGCATTTTTGATTTCTTCTTGTTTTGCTTGCAGGATTCTTGTAGGCGCGCCGCTAGGTCAAAACCCCCAACCGAACACGACTCAATCCGGCACATTGAAACGATGTCCAGTGACACAAAATCAGTTTGATTGTGAAGATGTTTTAACAGATGGTCGACTTAGTAAGTGCTAATCCTTTTTGATTTCAGCAGAATAGAAAGTAGCTTCATTCATCCGTTTTATGTTTTTTTTTCTCGGAAAATGGTCAGAAATTAATTATTTTTGAGGTTTAGGGGTAGAAACGAATTGTAATAAAATTTGTCGAGTTTTATTTTCTTTTCCATGAAAAAATTTGCAATCATCTTCAAGAGGGTCAAAAGAAATTTTATTGATTGCAAGACAATATTCGAATGCACCCTTGACGTATACAATAGAAGTAGCAAATTTTATTTTTCATGTACACTGAAGGAAAAAATTTTTATTTGGCTTATTCAGATATTTCTATCAAAAGAATTTATCGATGCTTGCACTGACGAATCTTGAAACATTTAAATATCAGCAATGAGAAGAAATTAAATAAAAAATGTTTTACAACAATTTTTTCCTCAGTGTACAAGTAAACGAAATTTCCACAATTGAAATTAGGTTTTGCTTTGATGTGGTGAAAAGAATCATCAGAATGAGGTTTTAAGGTTTTGTTACAACTTCCTAGAAGTCTTTTGATGGTTCTTTTGTTTTCACACACACTCAAATAAATAGAATAAATTTTGGGTAGTAAGAAATGTTTAAATTTGTTTCCCATTCTGATCACTGTAGAAGATAAAATTTATTTGAATTTATGTACATAAATATTTGACGTTCTTTTCATAAATCTTTTCAACTTTTTTTTTCTCTTGCACATAAATAGTTTTGGCTAATTTTCTGTCCAATTCTACGCTCGATAGATATTCATGAGACTGCAACAAACCATGACAAAACTGTAGTCGTTCACACAAATAATTGATGACCATAAACTTTACACATTAATTAAAGTCTTAATTGTTTCCATATCATTCACGCTTAATGAGTTTGCTTTCAGATTGAACGAACGAATACGGAATCGTTTAGCCAATCAATTCTAGATCTAATTGAATTGATTTTATTTAACAACTTTATAGTCAACATTTATCACATTACGTACATAAATCTAGAATCACAACATTAATTAAAAATATTTTAAATTTTCTTTCTTTCTTCCTACAGTAGTTTAGTTGAAAAGTTTTATTTTTATTATTTCTTGTTTTGTTGATGCCGACGAATGAGATGTCGTTTCACAGTTTGAGATTAAAGTGCAGTCATAGTCAGAAAATGCATTTCTCAAGCATTTCGGAATCTCATTCCAAGCAGCACTTAAGGAAATTCATTCGAATCCAACCAATTGTTGAATGATGATGAAATGAATCGAGTCTAATAATTAAATCTTTTTGTTTTATTTTTATGATCTCGATCGAAAATTACAAAACTCAATTAAAAATATTAATTCTTCTCCTACAACTTGGAAACTTGGTTGACTTTCTTCCTTTTGTAATGAAAAAAAATCTGTAAAAAATCTTGTAGATCCAGCTGGACGTTACGAACGTAAGTGGTGATTAGGGTTTAGTGCTGAATGAATTTTTGATTAACCGAAATGATTTACTTACTCAGTATAATTAACAGAATGCTTTGTTCTAACTCTGCTTTTCAGACAACTTATTCTTTCACACTTATTTACTAACCATTTGCATGACATTGGAAATAAGTTTAACCTCAGCCATGAGCTGTTGCTAATTTCATTACATCATTTAGACTTCTTTTCTTAAAGTTAATGACCATAAGAATCGTGATTTATTTTGCACAACCAACTTTGGTCTCTTTCTTATTAGCAAGGAAAAGTTTAATGTTATTTTAATTTTTAAACGTCAATTACTAGTCGTTTGTCGTGTATCGTGCTTGACTGTCTGAATTTTAATTAAAACAAAATCAGTTTCAACTCCTTAGAACGTAAAAGTTCAACATAAAACATGTTTAAGCTTTTAACTTTAATTAATGTTATGGGCTAAGGAAATATGCAAAACTGTTTTCAAATCGTGATTTGTTCTTTAACCAAATAAAGTAAAAAACAAACAAAACGCTTTAATGTTGTCATTTATCACTCGCTCTGTCATTCGACCTTCAAGGCATCTTACTTCCTATTCTTCATTAATCACTTCTTGACTGATTTCCAAAATCATAAATCATTATCTGACTAAATGAGCTGACCTTGAAGAACAAATTGATGCAAGTCAAGTCACAACTTTTCTTCTCTAGCAACTTCATTTATCACTTCAAGTAACTTTCCGTCTGTAGTTTGCTCCAATAATGTTTATTGCATTTACTGTCTTGGCCGTGATCTCTTTCTTATCTCTGCTTTATGCAGCAGCAATATAAAATAATTAATTAAGCTTCTAAGGAGTCGAAACCTGAACGTTATTTGTTGGAAATTTATGGATTGCATTTTTCAATTTCTTTTTCCGTCTTCTCTTTTCGTGCTAAGCGGTGACTGAGAAAAATAAAAGATATGCAAAGCAATATAATGAAAATAAATAACTTTCTTAAGATTTAAATAAAAGGCAAAGCCGACGATTTATCCGACAAATTGTTTAAGAAATATTGACGCAAATCTAGATTTGCTCGCGTACTCACACAGCATGATGTCATGACGATGCTGAACTGTTGGTTTATATTCCATAAGACTACTGCAACGTGTGAGAAATTCAAGCGTGAAATACAATGCGATACAGTCAACTTGTGGGTTCAGCTTTCATGATTTGTAGAAGTGAAAAATTTTGTATTTCCTTTTGCCATGTTTGCAAAAACATTTCTTATCGATATTTGAAATAAATGTATTCGATGTCACTTAAGTTAGACAGCAAATGTTGTTAAAAGTTTGAAGCTGAAGGGAAAAAAACTGAGGCGACAAAAACAATTTCTCGGATTTTAATTTGACTGCTTGCTTCGCTTGCATCATAAGTTTGAAGGGTTTAAGTATTCATAAACATAAAATTATTTCTTATTTTGGTCGGGATTATCCATAAGTTATGGGCTTATTATAATACATATGGCACGAGATAAACAAAATAAAAGACTTTCTCATTATGCTTCTGGTTCATGTTTATTTGAAATTTTTGTTTGAATGACAACATCGATTTATGCTGAGCTAAACAAATTTTCATTGCTTTTAATGATGATGATCATGTTGTTGATGATACTTATGGATAATCCACAGTAATATTTCAAGCGATAATCGGAGAATAAACATCAACTTTAAACGGGAATATCAGTGACTTATGAAGTCATATTTGTTTGCAAATTACTTAATGATTATGTCAGAAAAGATTGCTTTTCGCATTTTCTTAACGAGATTAATTTTTTTAATCTTTTTATGATTTTGAGTTTGTGAGAAAAGTTTCCGATTTGAAGTATTTTTAATGTAGTCGTTGTTGTTGATGTTTTGCACAAAAAATTTTTTTTTTCACAATTTTTAACAGATTTTTTAATGTTTTTTCTTGTGAAAAATGAGAGAATTAAAAGAAATTTTGTTTCGCTGAATTAAAATTGAAATTTTACACTTTGAACGAACATGTGTAACTAACCGCAAATGAAGATTTTTTATTTGTTTCTTAAACGCACAAAAAAATGGGGAAATGTCTTTATTGAATGGAACTATGCAAAGACAAGAATGATGGACGCATAAAAATTGTGTTTATGCTCTCAGTATTTCCTTTCAAAAATCTAAAATTCTTGCCGGAACATCTGGCATCGAACGAAAACGATCTCTTGAACTATACTCGTGAAAACAAATCCCATTCATCATCTTAATTTCAATTAACTCAAATTAAGATTGATTTAGATGTTGACTTTTGACATCGTTGTTGTAGATAAGGAAGAAGCAACATAAATGCTCAAATATTCGTCCAACAACGTCGAAACAAGAATTTATGATGTGCTTTATAAGTTTTCACGCACGATGGCTAAGAGTCGTTAAAAATATCATGTTTCAAACACAAATATTTGTGTGTCTTGTGCTAACAAGACGACGAGAGTTCTAAATATCCGATGTTACCATGTCATGCATGATTCCACTCAAAGGACATTTTCGTGTGCAATCAATCCAGAAAAATTGTGATTTTAACAATTCTTCTCTCTTCAACTTTCTGTCAACAGCTGAAGACAACGAGAAATTGTTTCCACCACTCCCAATTGAAATCAAAGAAGGTCAATGGCTTGGAGTTACTGTCAGCTCGCAAAGGCCTTCTGGAGTCGTAAGTCACATTTATCGCATTATCAATTAAGTAAACATTGAAAAAATCAACATTTATGCTCACAAATATTTCTTATCGTTGATTTTTTCATGTTTAACTTGAGCTTCACTGATATCTTCGCGTTCACTGATAAAACTTTTTATTTCTTTTTCCATTAGATTCTTGTATGTGCCCATCGATACATTTCGAAAGCTGGCAACACTCCTGAGTCAGCACAACATGGTCTCGGTCTTTGTTACATTTTAGATAATGACTTCTCGTACAGTGATGTCTTTGAGCCTTGTAAGGGACGAAAAACTGAGAAGCTTCATGAAGAATATGGATTTTGTCAAGCGGGAACGTCTGGAACTCTTCTTGACGACGGAACTGTTGTTTTAGGAGCTCCTGGTGTCTATACATGGCGTGGAAGTCTCTATCTGAAGAATGTTGCTGGTAGTTACTTGAAACGAGATAAGAACATTTACTACACGCCACATGAGGGAAACAACCCGCCGATTGACAAGTACAGTTACTTAGGCATGTCTGTGACTGGTGGAAAATATTTCGATGACACGTTCACTTATGTCGGCGGTGCACCTCGTTCTGAGAATCACGGCCAAGTAATTTTCTTTGAAAAACTTAAGCAAATTAATCCAATGCGAGTGATTCAGAAGCTTGACGGTGAACAATTTGCTTCTGGATTTGGTTATCAGTTGGTAACTGCTGACGTCAACGGCGATACATTCCCGGATCTGCTTGTATCAGCACCATTTTATTTCGGAAAACATGAAGGCGGCGCTGTTTATATTTATCTTAATGACGATCAGAAAATAAACAAAAAGTTTGATTTGAAGTTGACGGGAAAACTTGAGTCGAGATATGGATTGGCGGTGGCAAACATGGGTGACATCAATAAAGATGAAGCTGAAGATATTGCGATAAGTGCGCCTTATGAAGATGAAGGAGTTGTTTACATTCATCTCGGATCGAAAGACGGTTTAAGCAAACTTCCTTCACAAATTATTAAAGCTTCAGAACTTGGTTTGAAACCAAATCAGAAAATCAACACATTTGGAAGTTCTTTGTCTGGTGGATTGGACATTGATGGCAATGGTTACCCTGATCTTGTCATTGGAGCTTACAATTCATCAGCTTCAGTTGCACTTTTGTCACGTTCAATTATTTCACTTCAAACGACAGTTCCAAAGAAAGGCGACATTAAAGCGATTGACCCAGCAGTGAAAGGATGTGCAGTTGATGTGTTCAGTAACTTCTCTTGCTTCTCATTCAAGACTTGTTGTTCAATTGATCCATTACCAGACACTGAGAAGCAACAAACATTGAATATTATTTACACGATTGAAGCAGAAACATTTCAAAATCAGAAGAAGTTTTCGAGAGTTTTCTTTGGTCCCGACACTGACAGTCGAAGTAACATCATGAAGAGAAACTTTGAAATTGAGTCGAATGGCATCGAGCAGTGCTTTGTTGAAGTTGTTTACATTAAGGATAGTGCTGGCAATGACATTCAAACACCGATAAAATTCCATTTGAATTACACAATGGTTGAGAATCCTTTGAAATCGTCCGGCTTGGTAGAATTGAATCCAATTTTGGACCAAAACCAAGCTGAGCGAATCTTTGAAGCGAGCTTTCAAAAAGATTGTGGTAATGATGATGTTTGTGAGTCGCAATTGGAAGTTATAGCAACACTTGGTGGACTAAGAATGGGCGATGATGGACAATACGATTTTGTGTTGGGAAAATCTGATGACATTCAACTCAATGTAAACGTGACAAATCTTGCGGATTCTGCCTATGAAACAAATCTTTATGTTGTACATCAATCGAGTGTGACTTACATTGCGGCATCTAAAGAATCAACAGTCGTGTGTAGTCGTCACAATGACACAGTCGTCCTTTGTAACTTTGGAAATCCATTAAAACGTGGAAATTCAGCAAAAACTGTCATTAGATTCGATCCTATTGGACTTGAAGATTCAGAACCACAAGTCAAATTCATTGTCTTTGCAAACACAACGTCCAAGCAAATTGAACCAAAGTCTCCGATAATTTTGAAGACAAATGTTGTGAAACAAGCTGAACTTCGCATCATTGGGTGAGTTTTTTAAGAAATTCGAGATTTGAGCATGCATTTAATAACTTTTCATTTCAGTTATGAAACTCGCCCACCACAAGCATTCTATGGTGGAGAAGTAAAAGGAGAAAGTGCCATGAAATATCTTGATGACATTGGAAATTCTATTCTTCATACTTACGATGTAAATAACTCGATTAAACCTGATTAAATAATTTCGAAAGTAAAATTTAATAATTTATTATCTTCAGATTGTGAATGAAGGACCATGGCGTGCACCATACGTTGAAGTTGACATTGATTGGCCACATCAAGTAGGGAATGATAAGCCGCTTGGCAAATGGCTTTTGTATCTTGAAGAGATGCCGATTGTTGAAAGTAGCACTGGTGGAGAATGTGAAATCGAAGATCGTTTCATAAATCCACTGAAGCTCGAGAAAAAATTGCAAGCAGAAAATTTAATGACAGCAGAAATGATTGACACTTCTTTAAGTGGAAAGCGATTAAACAAATCTCATTCTTATATCGAATATCGAGACAAATCTTCATTTTCATCGCAAGAAAAGAAAACAGTTTATGAAGAAAGTTCTTTAAATCGTGTAAAACGAGATCGTGCGATGATCATTAGAGCTGAGAAGTTGACTGATTCCGATGGGAAATCCACAAATACTGTCACAATGGTGAGTTACAATTTATCGAAATTAAAACACTTAATTTTGAAATCAATTTTATAATTTTAGGATTGTCGAAAGAAGACAGCAAAATGTATAAAAATTAAATGTAGACTTTACAATATTCAACGGAAAGGCCGAGCCTTGATTAAAATAAAATCAAGAGTCTGGAATTCGACGTTAACTATGGATTATCCCCGCGTTGATTACGTGACAATCGTGTCAACAGCAAAACTTCGTATTCCTCCAATGTATGGAATAAATCAGAACGAATCTGATGATTCGTCGTCGATTTCCTTAAAAGCTTATCCTGAGTTACGTGACCAAGCACCATCAGGTGAGATCCCACTTTGGGTGATCATTCTTGGCATCATTGTTGGCCTTTGTCTGCTCGCGCTGGTTGCTTTCATTCTCTGGAAGTGTGGATTCTTCAAACGTCGTCGTCCGGATCCAACGCTAAGTGGCAACCTCGAGAAAAACAGTGAATCGCGTCCTTTCATCAATAAATGAATTTGATTTACGGGCATTTAAGGGATGAAAATTGAAAGGGAATTTGATTCAACGAATGAATGTAAATTTTGTTCGGTGAATTGTTGCTGACGCTAGTTCAAGTCTTAAAAATTGTTAAGTAGGAAAGCACTTAAAAAGTATTGTTTAAAACCGCTGCACTGGTAAAATTTCCAGTGATCTTGTCTAAGTCTTCAAGATAGCCATAAGTAGGATAACTTTAAATATAGAAATGAAATTTATAAATTGTTGTGATTAGATTTTCCAGTTTTTCTCTATAAATAATTAGAAAATTATCTTAAGAATTTCGGAAAAGCCTTAGATTATGAAAAGCCGAATATTCTTAGATAAACTTTGTTCAAAGGAAAATTCGATGTAAATTTTTGATCATAAAACAATTTTCTTTTTGGACAGTCATTTGTTAATATTCGCATCCACCTACAATACGGTCATGATAATATCTTAAATTTTAATTAATGACAAAACAATTGAAATGTGTAATTTCAAATTAAATTGTGGATAAAATAAAATGAAAATTTATTTTTAAACAATTTCTTTTAATGAAATTCTTTTCAGGAAGTCTTAAATGAAGTCAATCATGCAAAATAAGTAAAAGAATTTAATTGAGCCAGTTTGATCAAATTCTTGGAATCCGCTCAAATGCTACGTTCTTTATTCCTTTAGAGCATCATCAATGGGTAGCAATTTGCAACAAATTAAAGTCATATTGAAATTATCAGCAATATGATGACGACAATCTGCTGAAAAAACATTTAAATTATACAAAAAGTTTGTCTGGTTTATTCTAGTAAAAATTATTTATAAAATTTCACGTAAACTGCTTCGCCTTCATGTTATCTCATTCATTATTTTCTTAAATAATATTCTACTTATAACTGGTTTATGTGAATTTCAGTATTGTAACTTCATTGAAAAAAATATAAATTTTCCAGACTTTATTTTACTTTGTTTTTTTTACCAAACAAGTTCATAAATTCTGAACCATACAAAACATTTTAATAATGTTTTCATTCTGAATTAATTAAGTTTAGAATGTATGTTTATTGATACCAAACGATTTTCTATTCGTTCATATATTTTACCTAATTATTCACAAATATTTCAAAGCTTTCATTAGAATTTTGGAAGCATTTTAAAAATGTGTTTTAGGATCTCTGAGCACAAGGTCGTCAGGTGATTCTTGAATATTAAATAACTAATTTTTCTAATGACGCGAATCTTTTAATCACCATGAAATTTCTTAAAACTTTTTGTCAAGTCATGAACATTTATCATAAAAAAAGAAAACAAATCTGCAATTCTTGAAAATTCTGAATATCCGTAAACATTTTGAGAACGAATTCAAGTTCGAGACCAATGACACCCAGTTGCGTTTTTGAACTTGTTTTATGTCTTCTTTCCACTAAAATTTGCATTCTTTTTATTTTCTTATGTAACAAAATATAAAGTTCTAGATTTTATTGACTTAACATTTTATTATTGGCTTCTTCACAGCCAAATCTAAAAATATTCTGCATCAATAGAAAAAAAATTATTTAAATTTCTAAATATCTAATTTGCAAATTTTATTGAATTCTTCCAATTCTCGTTCTAAATCTGAACCTACCCTCATCTCATTTTCGTTGATCGCTCAATCTAGTCAGGAATCATAAGATTGTGTCTCGATCACTGCCACAAAATTTTGTGTATAAACATCAACAGGTTGTGTGGATATACATTGAAGAAAACAACAACGCGTGGATTTTGAAAATTTATCTTTAAAAAACTTGAATTTTCATGTTCAAGCTTCGAAGAAACTTTCAGTTGGTCAAAGATTCTTGAACAAAGCAGAAGCTTTAGGGAAATATTTTGGAGATGAAGAAAGACTTGAACAAAGGTTTGAGAGGTTCGTTAAATAAATTAATTCCGGTTTTATTCCTACTGAAGAAATTATTTGAAATTTAAGCAAAGGTTCTCAAGCTTGTGATCTTTGGAGTTCTTTTATGTCTGCTTTCATTTGGATTAATATATTTTAATGTTGCTAGGCAGATTCTCAACTGGGTAAGAAAAAAATAAATGAAAATCATTTGAAAGTGAAAAGAAAATTCTTTTCAGCAATTTACATTAACACCTGGAACATATTTATATAATCTTTGGAGTAAACCATCGGTTTCAATTTATTTCAACATATATCTCTTTAACATAACTAACAAAGAAGCATTCTTAAGTGGAGAGGATACGAAGATTGTTTATCAAGAAATCGGACCATATGCGTTTCGGTGAGAAGTTGAATATTAAAATATTTAATTTTTAAAACGCAGAGATTAAAATAAAATTTTGACAGAGAAACATTGGAGAACACTAATGCGATATTTCATAAGAACAACACAGTAACATATAACATCAAAAGATCTTACAAGTTTGACATCGAAAAGTCTTCCGGGGATATTAATTCTGATAATGTTGTGACAACCAATATGATTCTACTTGGCGCGCATACATTAGCATCAAAGCATTCAGTTTTGACTGAATTAGGCTTATCAACTATCACAAAGTCACTTCAACATAAAACAATCATTAATATGAGCGTCAGTGAATATCTTTATGGACATGAAGATAATCTTTTAGATTTGGGAACAAATTTTCTTCCTTTCGCGACACCTTTTGAAAAGTTTGGATTGTTTGATCAATTTGTGAAACGTGAAGAAAATATCGAAGTGACCCTTACACTTAATGAACTTTTTGATGAAAATCAAGACGATGGTCTTGAAAGCAGACAGCAAGAAGTGAAAGAAACCTCTACCGAGAAACCTTCCTTTCACCCTCTTGATGTTGAATATGACGACGATATCGTCGAAGAACTTCATGATTATCGAGATCATAAAACTCACGAAAATGATTTTAATTTTGATAAACCAAAACTATTTAGTATGCGAGATTATTCCATAGAATTTTGGAATGGTTCGCCGTATATTCCAGGATGGAAAGATTATGGAATAAACAAGTGAGTTGGTTTGAACGATCGACAATAATTCACAACATTTTATTACGTTTCATCCAACAGAAATCACACGAGATGTAACCAAATAAGTGGAACATTTGATGGCTTTTTGTTCTCTAAGAATGTTACCAAAACTGACAACCTATTTGTTTATCGACCAGGTTTGTAAGATAAATCATTAATTGAATGATTGATTGATATTTAAAAAATTATTACATATGTAAATTTCTATTGAAAGGATTTTGTCGACGCCTTGGTTTTCATTTTTCACATTCCGAATATCTAATTGATGGCATTGAAGTGTTGTGGTTTGTTGTGGACATCAATTCTCTTTATGATCATCCCGATAATCCCGAAACTTCTTGTTATTGTGATAAACTTGAGAAATGCTATCAGCGGGGAATTGGAAATGCTTCGCCATGTTATCATGGTAAGTGAAATTAAATTTCTTAATTAAATCAATTCTAAATTTAAATGACATTTAGATCTGCCAGTTTCATTCTCTCAACCTCATTTTTACGACGCCGATCCGTCATTATTGAATCAGTTCGAAGGATTAAAACCAGTAAAGGAGAAACATCAAACGACATTCGCCGTTCAACCTGTGAGTTGATGCAACAATTTAATTAATAAATTCAAGTGACTTTTACTTTTCTTTTTTCTTATTTCTGACCGAGAAAGAAACTAGGAATGAATGTCAACTTCAATTTGCGAACACAAATGAACCTGATGACGGGTAAGACAAAGTTTCATGAAGAAGTTCAGCGATTCAATGACATGGTGATTCCGGTTGGATGGTTCGAGAATGTATGTTGGCTCAATGATTGAAATTGTTCGATTCTTAATATTTTATTAATAATTTAGACGCTTGACGAACTGACACCAGCGTTGGAACTTCATTTAAAGCTCGCTATGGTTTATCTTCCTATTTTAATGTGGATTTTATCAGCAATATTTGGAATGATCGGGACTTTGGTCCTAATAAACAGCTATCGAAAATTCGTCAGACTAAATCATGGAGAATCTTATAGTGTCAAAGATATTCAGAAAAATGTACATTTTAATGAGACAAAACTTTTCATTGATCACTAATTACGTTTATGACTAATGTAGTACTTTAATTAAATGACCTTTATAAGTATTTCGATAGCAAGTCACCTTTCATCATCAGAATTTCGATTCATACTCCTTTTTTTTCTTAATGATGATGCTACATAAATTAACGATAGACTGAAACCAGCTGTCAAACTTCTTTTCTCACTAATTATCTTCAATTTTTCATGTTCTTTTTTCTGTCCACGCGCGAAGACTTTTTTTTGTAATGACGAACACACTTAAGAAAATTCTAGAAATTAAACTCATTCTTTACCATTTTAATTTAATCAGAAATATTTTACGATAAGTTATGAGTATGCAATTGTTAGAAATTGTCATCAATTGGAAAAAATCCTTCAATGATAAAAGTTATGACATTTTTATCAAAATATCTATATGTTTAGAAAAGAATTTTAAACTTCTCTGAATTCTTTAAATTGTTATCTTTATCTTCATATGTATTGTTTTTTGATAGTTAGAATACCCTGAAGATGAACAAAACAAATGTTCGAAACTAGTCGTTTAGACGAACAGCAAATAAGGAAATAAATAATTCAGGTGTCTGCTAATTCATAAACTGAAATTTATGGCAATCGGATCTGAGAATATATCACACATGGTGATCGATTCCTAACAACAAAAACGACTTTTAAACTCGTTTTCCGCATTAACACTTAAAAAATTCATAATCAGATTAGAATAAGGAACATCACAACAATTGAATAATAAATTAACGAAATTATCGACATCATGAGAATTGATTATTAATTAAAATTTAGAAGCTTCGATGTCAAGCTCAGCTTTTATTGCTCTTAATTTATTTAAAGCATCGAACGCTGTTTTAAAGAACAAAGAGAAGCATAAAATTTGATTAAAATTGAGCTATTAAAATCTGTTTGTTACACTTTGACATTTGATTTCTTTATTTATGATTATGAATAATCAAATCGAATTTCAGTACAAATCTCAATGAACTTCAATCTTGAATTTGCATAATTCTGGAATTACGTTTTCTTCCTTGTCTTTCGCTATTTTCGCATTCTGTCGCTTCATGTATATCATCTCGAATGTCCACAGAACCAGTGTCGTAAATGTCACAATGTTGATAAAAATGATACAAACCGCGTAGCTACCGAAAAAGTCACGGAAAATTCCTGAATTTTGATATTTTTAGAATCAGAAATGAAATTAAAATGTTTGAGAACTTTACCAACAAATGATCCCATCGATAAAATGATGACACCATTCGCAACCATTTGAATGCCTGAAGCTGCTGCGAGTCTGTCAAGTGGAATGTAACTTGGAACGACTAAACTCATGTAAACCGATCGAACACCTTTAGCCAGTCCAAGACCCATGGCGACGATTAAAATTCCTTCGTAGCTTCTAGCGAATAACAAACTCGTCCTTGTTATGATCAACATAAGCAACGCATACATGTACATAAGTCTTGGTGGTTGCTTAAAGAAATCACCGATAAAGGGTGAAATAAATCGACAACAAATATCAACAACAGCGAGTGTTGACATGAACACAGCAATTTGTTCGGTATTGTAATTAAATTCACTCAGAATGAATGGCGTAAGTAATGAAAAGTTAATCTCTGCAAACACTGCAATTGCAATGCCAAGCATCATATTCAAGTAGATTTTATCACTCAACAATCCTAAATCGAAGACACGAATAAAACGCAACCATCCAACTTTGATTCGATGAAAGCAAGAAATTTTCTTCTTTTTTGATTTATTTGGAATTTCTTTTTCAGTTTCAGGATTTTGTTGTGACGTTTCAGATTCTGTTATCATTCTGAAAAGAAAGATTTTTAAAGAAGATTCCTTCAGGGCAATGAGCAAATCTTACGCAACAGTATTTCGTCTTTGCATTTTATTAATTTTGAACATTGAAGCTCGTCGATTGAAAAAACCTTTCTCACCATTCATAATGCTCAATCTTGACGTCGTCTTTCCTAAAGAAGACCTTTCATCTTCATGAAAAAGTTTCAATGAACTTTCAAGATTAACTGAAGTAACTGATTCAGTTTCAAACCAACGTTTCTTTTTACTGAATGTGATAAACTCTTCGGAACCTCTGGGTGAGTAATCAGCGCTTCCAGATCGATTTCTGCCTCCATTAATTTGCATTTGAATGAATTCTGAAGTAGGTGGCGGAGCTACTGGAGGTAAGGTTTGCGATTGTGTTGATTTAGATGGAACTTGGAATTTGTAATCCACTGAAAGTCGTAAACATGAACGAAAATAAATTTGAAAAAGTTTTTCTTCCGCATAAATTATCAAAATATGAATAAAAAAAACTCACAATCTTTCCATAAAATCTCTTCACTCTTCCTCAACGGATGTTGAATGATATCAAAGCCATAAATACTTTGTGAATCGACATCATGATAAATCGGACATGTATCTAAATAATCGCTGGCATCTGATAACGTTTCGATTGAATTTCTTTGATGACTTTGGGTTGATGTCCTGGAATCTTTCATTGACATAAGAATTTCTGATTTAATCGAAAACATTTTTAACACTTTTACCCACTTATTGATGGTTGTGGCTTGTAGAGACTGTCCTTCTCTTCACTCGATCCAATTTCATCTTGTGACGATTCCTTTTGATGTCTTTTCACAGGTTGAAGCAAAAGGGCAGCGGGAATAATATTCAAAGCCATTCCCCCAATAACAAGAACACAACCTTGAGCTCCATAAACACAAAGAAGCAATGAGACAAGCTGCGGGAGAAAAATTGGTCCAAGGCCGGTGATTGTCGCTCCAATGCCAAACGCTTTATTTCTTCTCTCTTTGAAATATGTGTTCAAAGCTAATGAGAAAGATGACGAACAAAGTCCCATTCCGATTGCTAAACATTTAAATTCTAATGCTGATTACGTCAATTAAGTAAAATTATTAAATAATGCTTACATGTAATAATACTGTAAGTAATTAAAAAGTGTCGAAAACTGTTGGCCCATGAAGTTGCAATGAGCCCGCTCGAGAACAAAGTTCCACCTAAAACAGCAATTTTACGATATCCAAAACACTTCAAAAGGGCTCCATTAAAAAGTCCCAAAGTCATTCCAAGCGCTGAGTTAAGATTTAATATTAAAGTCGCATCGAGTGCCGTCATGTTCAGCTCTCGAAATTTATCTTTGAAAATTAAACTGAAGCTTGTGAGTACGGGAACAATCAACACCTGATAGGAATGACGAGTTAAATAATAAAAGAAAATTTTGAAATTATCTCAAATGAAACTATTCACTAGACTACTCGTGAATTGGATAATTACACGACAGAGGCAAACAAAAGATGTCTGAAATGTTCTTATCAGTCAGTCTAGTGATTGCATTAAACAACAGCTTTCGCTTAATCATCAAGCATGATAAGGCGAAGTAATTTTTACTCACGTTAGCTGTTCCATATGCGATCACAATAAACCATCCAAATCCCCCATCGGGTGGAGTGATCGTTGACTTCTTCAATGCACTCTTATCTTTGTTTTCTAATTTCGACGACATATCAATTTTATTTTTTTTTTGTGGCTATCACAAACAAGTCTTCGATTTATTTTTCTTCTTTTTTCTTTTATTATTCAAGCATTTGTTATCACTTATTCTGAGATTTATGTCACATGTTCAAGTTAAATTTTCGTGACTCTTGTCTCGTTTCGTCTTTGATTTGTCCTGATCGCGTGATGATCCTCTCAATAAAATTTGTTGAGAGTAAAAATGGTTATGTTGATTGTCGTAGGTGAATATTTATTCATAAATAACCGAATTAAAATGCTTTATGATCACAGACTTTTCAGAAATCGCGACCGTATCACGATAACATTAGCGACTGAATGAGGAAGAACTTTTATCATCAATCTTTTTGTTCTTTCCTGGAGTTTATCCAAACTTTTTATTAGGATTTATTTGGGGATCATGTAACAAAGTCGAATTCCATTAACATTCACTGGTTGTCACTTAATTTCATCATGTCACAAGCAATCCCACATTGATAAAACATTTACTTATCAAGATATCACGATTAGTGTAAATTTTGTGACACCACGAAAATGGATTATCGAATGTTTGTTATCTAAAATTACTTGCCAAGGCATTTGATTTGATAACTAGAAACAAAGTTAAGAGCAAACAATTAACAGAATTTACTAGGATTTGAACACACAAACTTGTTAGATTCAGTTTATTAATTATTTCGAGTTCATTGTCTTAATTTATAAACAAATAAAATAAAGTACAAAACAATTAAAATAAGAATTTAAAAAATATTTGTCGCGTCTCTCACTCGTTGATGTTTTCTTTAAGATGTTCACTAACACACTAAGCGAGTATTCTCATTGAACGTCGCTCTCCACTTCGAAAACATAGAAAACGAAAAATGTAAATAAACAAAAGTAGCAGCTTCAATTACGATAAAGTTAGGGATAAAGTTAACTTCAGTTTCTCAACTCAGCTGATCAAGGAGGGGAAATTTTCGAAATCATTTTCGAAAAATGAGAATTGTGAGAGCGATCAAAGAATTTGAATTTGGAATTAACGGAAATTTTCCTAAAGATTTAAAAATGTTTTCTAATTTTTTAAAAGTTTTGTTATTTAAATTAAACAAGCCATTCAAAAACAGTGATAATGATAATACACTACAAGTGATACTTTCTTTTATTTTCTAAACATAAATGCACAATTAAACAAGCAAAATTCAAGAATTCTAATTAACATTTATTTGTTCTTGTTCTATTTTATTTCGTTTTTCGTTATGATTTCTTATCAATCTTTCTAGGGTCCATGATAATGCGCAGATATATGTTGATATGTTAAGGCAATGCAATGTGATTGTATAATCTGAATGATCACGGATCAGACCTAGATTGTGTTTGATCGATTAAAACGCAATCAAGGCAGTGAAATGCATTCAAACTCACCAATAACTGGGCCGATGACGATGTAAAATATTCCTGAAAACAGAAGATGAATGCCAGTAGCACTTGGCAATCGATCAAGGGGAACATGTGAAGGAATGCAAAGTACCATGAATACTGTTCGTAATCCTTTGTTGAAGCCGATCCACAAGAAAACCAACAATGCGATGTAATAGCTTTGAAAATGTGCTAAAACTATTTTTTTAAAAAAAATATGTTAATAAAAGAATTTCATATAAAAGTCAGTTTCATTTACCAATTCTTCCCATAGCCATTCCAAGCACACCAACAAGGAAAAATGTTCGATTCTCCCATCCAATGAAACCCGCGATAAACGGAATAAAGAATCGACAACTAATATCAGCAGCCCCCAGTAATGACATGCACATCGATATTTGTGACTTTGTGAATCCAAAATCAGCCAAAACAAAAGGTGTCAAAACTGAAAAATTGAGTTCGGCAAAGTTTGCGATTGTTATGCCGATCATAATATTGATGTAAGTGAAATCTTTCAACAAATCCAAATCAAAGAAAATTACAAACTTTTGCCAGAAAGTAAATTTTACTTCTTCCACTTCTTTCGTTTGAACTTGTCGTTCTTCAATGAAAGCTTTTCTAATTTCTTCGCAATGGCATTTTATCATGTGTTCATTTGCATCATTCATGTATTGTTCGAGTTTACTTTTTGCAACGTTAAGAATTTCTTTCTCAATGTTAAACGTGTTTGATCGCATGCGAAATGATTGCCTGCTGTTGCCTTGCATCGATCGATTACTTTTATTGTCTTTCAAATATTTCCCTTCGCTGATTTGTTTCATTACAAATGATGGTGTCGTTGGTGATGTTTTATATTGTTGTGGTGGTAAATTGACTTTAATTGAAAGGAGATTTTGTGAATTTTTCATATCGTTTGGCGATTTGTGTGATGGACAATCTTCTGCTGGATTCTCTTCAATCTTCTCATTCGAAAGAATTTCTTTTGTTCTTTTCGGTTTCCCTTCAGTATTCGACGTGTTGATGAAGTTTGATGGAATTGATTGTTTTCTTGATCCACCCCCACCTTTCTTTGATGACAAACTTATTTTAGATCCATAAAGTGAACGTTTTGCTGGAGTTAATGAAAACCAACCGTCATTAGCTGCTGCCAACATCGGAGTTCCTGGATCAATAATTTCATATCCGGGCGCTAAATAATCATCAACATTGTGAAGATATTGACTTGACATCAAACTGTGTGACTTCTTCTTCATTGATTGACAATAGAGACATTTAATTTCCGTCACTTGATCAACTAAAGCTTCTTCTGATGATTTTCTTGGCTTTTTCTCTGTATGCCATCGCACTGGCTGTCAAATGAAATAAACAAAAATTATTTGAATGTCTATGAATAAATTTGCAAACCTGAAGCAACATTGCACAACAAACTGCATTCATAGCGATAGCTGAAAAGATTAAAACAGTTCCCTGCACACCAAAACGTGGCATTAAAGCGGTGACAATATGTGGAAAGATGATCGGACCAAGAGCTGTACACGACCAACTAATTCCAGTGACAATTCTTCTCTTCTCTTTAAAATAAGTGTTCAAAGCTAATGAATTTGCAGATGTTGTCAAACCACATCCAGCTCCATAAAAGATTGAAAATGTTATAAGAAATTTAATGAAAGAATCTGCGAAAGAAGTGAATAAAAGTGCTGTGGCAACAAGAGTTGCACCAAACAACGACACTTGACGAAATGTGAATCTTCTAAACACCGGACCATTTGCTAAGCCAATTAAACACGTAAGTGCTTGATTCATGTTAATTATTGTCGTGATTTCAGCTGCCGGAATTTCAAGAATCGCTAAATGATCACGGAAAATTAAACCAAATTGTTGAAGAACGGGAAATGTACAAAACTTTGAATAAAAATGAAAAGATTATGAGAAAGCTTTCGAGAGTTTTTTAAATTTTCTCACATTGGAAAATCCTGCAGCGAAACAAATAAACCAACCAAATCCACCATCAGGAGCAACAAAGTCGGGCCCCAATTGCGAATGATTCCTTCGCTTTTTCTTCTTTTCACTGGTTTTTTTATCGCCTTTGACATCATTCATTCTTTTTTGCTTTTTATTCACGGTTTGACCTACAAAAACCACTTCAAACCTGACTTTAAGATGTCGATAAGGCTACTGGAATTGATTTTCACTTAAGTCTTACGAGCACTTAAAATTCTGTGTTTCCTTATTGAGCTCCAAATTATAACTAAACGTCTCTTGATAGCAACTTGCAACAAATTTAGGCACTGATAAGAAATGTTAATCAATTCTTTTTGGCAGTACTTGAAGGAGGTATTTCATTCACATTATATTTGATAAGAAGGAGAGAATTGAAGCACCAAATAAGTCAACGATTAGTTAACAAATGCAATTGCACAACTGCACAAACCAACGATGATAAATAAAATTAATGAAAAAAAAAATGTTTGATGGAAAAATGAGGAATTGAATGATAGGAAAGAAAATGAAATGAAAAGCAAATAAATTTTCCTTTAACGAGCTGTAGTGTAGAAAATAAAGTTTATTTTTCCATCGTTCCTTTTATGACGCATTCAATTAAATTAATAAAAATGATTAAGAAAGAAAATAACATAAATTGTAAGTAAAGTAACAACGCGCATTGGAATGCGATGAGAGATCACAAGAAGCTCATTTTTTCTTATTTCTGAATTAAATTCATTCTTTGGTACTCCATTTTCCATCGTCAATATCATTGCAAAGGTCTGAAGTATTTAGGGAAGTGTCAAGAAGCAACGTCGGCGAGAAACGGTGATCATAGAACATTCCTGGAGATGGCATGTAATAATTCGACATCCTGCTGTGGAAAAATCGAGAAAGAGAGAGAGAAATGTTTTATACAAACTGAAAACAAACTTCATAAAAAAAATAAAGTTCTTGGTTGTCATAATTTTATATTTTTTTTTTATTGAAACATTCATTCATGAAGATGAAATGCGAATATTTTTTATAATTTTTTTTTCTTTTTGTTTCACCAAGATTACACAATTTCTTTTTTTTCTCAAATGGTTAATATCTACTGCATTAATATTTTTCTTTTTCTTGTAAATCTCAAGAAAAAAAAAGTGAAAGAAAGTTAGGAAAAGAAAAGTTCTTAAATTAAAGAAAAAAACACAAAAATAAAATTATTAAATGAATTTAATTTGCTTTTTTAAAAGAAGTTTTCTCACTAACTAGCAAAGTTTACTGGTCGTGGAAAAAGATTTTTCTCAGAGTTAATTAACAAAATATATTCATAGAGAGAGATTGAGACATTAAAAATGAACGGATTATGAAACTGTATCAAATACAAGAAATGCACTTTCTTATTTAATTAATTTTCTTCTTTTGTTTCCAATTATTTTATTATCATATCATTGATATTTTAATTAATATGTTGTGGATCTTAAACAAACGATCCAGTATGACGAGACATGCAGTTGAAGTTTTAGGAAAAAAAACTTTGTGTTTGGTGAAAACTTTTTTTTTATTCCGTTTACTTATCTTAGAAGATAAGATCATCATGAAAATTGAAACTGTCAAGTTTTCACCTTTAAAAATATTTCAAACTTTTCCTTTCGTTGTCATTCTTGAGAAGACGAATTTTTCTCTTTTCCATGTTATTATTTTCATCATGAAGATTTGCAATCTTTAACAGCCTTTAAATGATTGTTTCTTTAAACTTTATATTTTTTCCATCTTTCGTCAATTTGTTTTCTTCTTTTTTTTTTCTTAAATTCACAAAAATGGAAATTATTCAAATGAAAACATGACAAAAATAATAAATTGTGAATAAATATCCCAATTAATAAAGCCTTGGTTATGAAAAATTAATAAAGGAAACTTAAAGTTTGTTTTCGTTTTTCTTTTTTTCGTCCATAACTTGGAAGCGTTTTTCTTCAAATTTTCTTTTTTTTAATATTTACGATTATGAGAAAAAATTAATGATTCAATTAAATTCCCCTGAACTAACCGAATTATATCAGATACAAATATATATAAGAGTCCCTTTGAATAGTTCTTATTAATGATATACATACATGATCGCTTATGTTTGATATCAATTATTTAAATACTTTTTTTTCTTCATCTCACAACTTAAGTGATTTGTCGCAATTTTTTAATCTTCCTTGACACGCACACACATACACACACGTACTATGAATTTCTTCTGCACAGTTTAATGATTATTTATCTTTTTTTCTTCTTCTTTTCGATACTACAAACAAATTAAAGCTCTGCGATTTACTTGAGTTTATTGTTTTGTCGTTTAAAGTCAATCTTAGTTTGCACATGACTGAGCAACTTAAGATTGTCGTCTTAATTTTTCAATGGAATGGTTTTACTTCCAGTTTCATCTTAAACCAATCCCTGGAATTGACTAAATTTGTAACCTAATATTTTTGTTATTTTTATTTATTTAATTTTTTACTTTTTGACTATTTTGCTTTCATCCTGAAACCTCAAACATCAAATTTGAGAGAAATTAATTTTCGTCTTAAAATATTGCTAAATGTTCCCTATAAGTTAATTAAAAGTGATAAGTAGTGGGAGGATTTCGTGTTCAGGAAACATCGATTTTTCGCAGTCTTTTTCTTTCATTCTCTAAACAAAACTTTTATTTGTTCTCGCATCTCGCAAAATCTTTAATCTAACTGCAAAATTTTACTTTTTTTTCTTTTTCCTTGTTAATTAAATTTTAAACTAAGAGGAAAGTTAACAAAGAAATAATTCGATTTTCTTAAAACTTGCAGACGGCTCATTAAGTTTTCTTTCTTTTTAAGATCAAAGATTGGAATTACTGACATTTCAGTATACTTCCAACCTCTGTTTAAGATCAAATGATTTTTCGTTTCATTTTTCTTTTGTGTATTAAAATAAAGATCAACAGCACTAACAGTTCAGTTTTTTCCATTTTTTTTTTGGTCTTTTGTACTATAATTTGTTGTATTTTTTCATCACAAATAATTGATTCGTTTTCGAGAAAATCTCACTAAATCTACTTAGTTTTTCTCGAAAAAATCAATTACCAACAATAATTTAAACAAACTTTATAAGTCTCATCGTTTTCTTCTTGTTTCTATAAAGTTTCATTTGTCAAAAGTTTGTTTTTATTTTATTTTTTCACTCGTCATTAAATTATCGTTTCATCTTTCGGTCAGATTTCATTTGAAAAAATGTTTTTTTTTTACAACAAATATCACAGTTCAAAAAGAAACCAAACTTTCTTAAGAAATGTTTCAGTTTCATTATTTTTAAAGAAGTTTCATCTTTTTTAATTAAGGAATTCACGAAAGGACCATTTGAATTGATTTAAGAAAAATGTAATTATTTAAGTTGACGGATAACTAAAACAAAGTTAATGGATTAAAGATAGATGCTATCTAATTGCTTAAGCTTTCTTTCTTTCAGTGAGAATTTCATGTTGTGAAAAGAAAACTTCATTTTCTTGACAAAAGTTTTTATGAATCACAGTGCTTAGCATATTTTCTTAGATATTTAAAGGTGTCGAAATAAAAAGGGTGTGGAAAATGAATTTCCATTTAACAAAGATTTGCGAGATTTTCTTCTTGATTAATTGTTATTTTCACATTTGAGATCTCAAGATTCTTAAGCAAAAACAAATTTTTTTATCTTGTTTCCTGTAGGAACAATGGAAAATTAATTGTAATTAATGAATACATTGATCATGAGCACTTTTCGATCATAGTCATGTGAAAGGAAATATTTTATAAAGTTTTCATCATCTTTTTGTGAATCATACAAAAAGAACTGGCAAAAAGTTACGAATTAACAATACTTTTTATCGTTACTTTAATTTAATCATTTTTTTAATATGTTTGCGATCATTCATGAAGCAGCATTCGATCTAGAGTCATCAGTTCGACTCATTGTGCTGCCTTTAGTGTGCTTGCTTGTTTTGTTTGTTGCCTTTAATTTTCTATTTATCACGTTTAAGATTTTTCTTTAGTCGATAGTTTATAAAGGCATCTTTAATGGAACACTTTAATTTGTTTCTGGCATAAAAATGTTCGACTACTTTAGTTATTTTTTTCGTTTAAGGGAACTTTCAATATACATATCTGTATGTTTCTTGTTTTGCATCATCAAACAGAATCTTTTTTCTTTCTACATTTTTTTTTCAATAAAAAAATTTCATCAATTAGGAAAATTTTCTTCATTTACGCTTCAAGTTATTTCATTTTTCTTCTTGGATTTTTTTTCGTCGTAACTTAAAATAGTAATGAGGACAAAAATGTTGCATGCGAAAGTTTTCAACTCTTTAAAACTTTCGTAATAAATTTTTTTTCTTAGTTTTTGTTTCTCATAAAAAAGTTTTCCTTTTTTTTGTGTTTCAAGTAGAAAAAATATAAATTCTAATTTCCCCACCGATTTTTCATAGTTTTCATGTTTTGTTTTTTCTAATACCGAATTCAATTTTCTCCAAGTTCAAATAAAAGTTTTATCATCTAATGTTTTTCACGCTGTTTCTTCCCATCATCATCTAAACCCGCGATTACATTACGGGGTTTTTGGCGATTTTAACTTCATTGTTAAAAATTGCATTATTTTCATTTTTTTTTCATAGCTTTTAACCATTAATACAAGAAAAGAAAAAGGATTGATGATTGTTAAGTTAAGAGTAAATTAGCAACTTTTAAGTTATCACCTGATTCATATTTTGTATGATAAAATTAATTTTTTTATTATGTTTTACTTTCAAAAATGCTTAAATCACAAAACGCTTTTCTATGCAAAAAAAAAGTTATGTCGTTCGTTTTTTTGGGAGAAAGTTTTCTTGCTTAGTGTTTCTTTAAGGCATAGGTGGGAGTTTCGTGATTCAGCACGTAATTTGTTTACGTCAGTGCATTTCCACATTTCTACAGTTAATAATAATTATTTTATAACTTCTTCATTTTTAACTTCATTTAAAAAACGTTTCTTGTTCTCTTTTTTCTTCTTCAGGAAAAATCTTTTAATCTGAAATGAGGGAGACGAGAAACCTCATCGTGGAAACATAAATTAAAATTAAAGGGAAAATAACTGGAAAAATTCGATTCTTTAACTGAAAGGAAAAGTTTTGGTTTTCTTTTTTCTCTTTCGATTTCTAGATTTGTTTCAGATACAAGAATTTCTTTTCTTTGTGTTTCGTTTTCGGGATTAAATTCATTTAATGTCTACATACTAAGTTACCATATAATGTTTTTATTATTCAATTAATTATTCAAAGGAAAAAGATTTACTTTGCTTTTATGCTTTCAGTTGAGCGATCTTTCTTTAAGTTTTTAATAATAATTTAAACAAAGTCGCATTTATCCGAAAGTTTGATTAAATTTTATACGTAAATTACTTCCGCAAACTCCTACTTAGATACCAAATATTATCTATCGAGTCGTTACGGTTGTTATATGTATGTCGATTTGTTGTTGGTGAGTAAGAGAAAATGCTTTTTGAATTAATTCAACATCCATTTAGCAGTTTTTTTCTTTAAATCTTACAAAGTGCTTAATTAAAAATAGGAAAGAATTAGATAAGAAATTTTTTAACACCAATCACCTTAAAAGAAAAATTCAATTGGTGACAAATTCTCATAACATCCCCGGATGTAGATAGTTATAAGTAAAAAAAAAGATTATTTGTTTGTTTTTCAAGATAATTTTTGCTCTGCGAAATTTTCTTTCAAAAACTCTTGAAATTTTTTCTCTCGTTCAATCTCTTCAACTTATTCTACTTGCTCATCGCTATAATGGGTGAAGAGAAAGAAAAAATCGGGGATAAAATATAATTCTAATGATTTTTTTTGTATTATTTTGTTTGTGCCTCAAAAACTCTTCCAACATCATTTTCTTTATTCTATCAATGAGTTGCACAATTTCCAACATTTTCTCACTTTCAGAATTCTGAAGCAACTCATTGAAAGAAACCGAAATGATTCCAGAGGACTTTCAAATATGACTTAATCTAAGTTGAAGTGGATTTATCGTGGCATATTGTTCAAATAACTTTTAGAAACGGAGACGACGAAAAAACACTTTTCAAGCTTTTTTTTTGTTACAAACTTACGGTTGAACAGTGGCATGTTGATATTGAATGTAAGCAGGATTCGGTGCCGCAGCCCCAATCACATACATCCCACGTTGTTGTGGCGGTCCAGTCATATTCTGAAAGCTACAAGGATTATTCGGATGAATATCGCCAATCTGCCCATTGGCCTGTGGAGGTCCTTGTGGATATTCTATCAAAAATTAAATTAATTATTAAATAGAAATATTACGAAAAATAAAAAAGAACTCACCAAAAGCTTGTGGAAATGGAATTTGCCCACCGCTTGGAATCATTCGATATCCAGAAATCATATTCGAGTCAAATTGTCCACCATCAATAGCATCACCTTGAACAAAAGGCTGTTGTGGTTGCTGATTGTGACCACCAGATGCCGCTGCTTGATCACCACCAGCTGGATTTTGATGATCAATGAAACGATTATGTCGAACAGATTGATTGTTGTATTGGTTCGTGCCTTGGAAGTCTTCACTTTCACCTTCACCAATGGCTTGACCATAACCGCCTTTGTAATTGTCAAATTTATTGAATTTTTGCTGCTGTTGTTGTTGTGGTCCTGGAAATTCATTGAAACGATTTGGTGCGTTAAATGGAGCACGTGGCTTATTTCCCAAATATTTATTTTGGAATTGTGGCTTGTCGCCACCATATTGTTGATTCATTCGTGGATTACCATTGAAGTCCGGCTTAACGAAAGCATTTCGTGGTTTAAATCCAGCTTGGTCTTGACCTACTCCGAAATTCTTCTGATATCCTCCTTGATATCCACCGCCAGCGTTCTGCTGCCCGCTGTTCATGTAACCACCACCTTGCATCGGTGAATTAAACTTATTGTTGTAGTCATACTTTTTAAATCCACCATCAGTGATCGGTTTCTTGTCATCTTGATTGTTGAACTTATTAAATGGCTTCGGATATTCGTTCTTGAAACTGTTACCGCCCATGTTGTTGTTGAATTGATTATAAGGTGGCTTTGGTGTTGCACCCATCCAACCTTGTCCAAGATTCTTCATTCCTGACATTAAACCAGGCTTATTGAATTGATTGTTGCTGTTATATTGTGGCTTGTACTGATCAGGACGTCCATAACGTTGAATACCGCGAATATTTCCTTTTCCTGATCCTGACGTTTTAGCGATATCGTGAAGTTCTTTTGAAGCTGTTTGACCTGCTTCATGAATGACAGCAATCAATTCACGTGCTTGACGACCATTTCCAGGAGTAAAGAATGTGTAAGCAGTTCCAGTTTGTTCGCAACGTCCCGTGCGACCAATTCGATGAATATAATCTTCACTCGTATTCGGATAATCATAATTAATGACATTCTTGACCTCTTCAACGTCGAGACCACGAGCAGCGACATCAGTTGCAACTAAAATTGCTGTTCGTCCATTACGGAAACTATCCAAAACGTAATCACGTTCATGTTGACTTTTATCACCATGAATTGAGTTTGCTTGATATCCTTCACGTTGAATTATTTTCAAAATGTCTTCAACTTTCTTTTTTGTCTCGACAAAAATGATGCTTTTGTTGTTTTCATTAGGATTTAATGTTTTTAACAAAGAAATCAATTCTTGTTCTTTCTCAGATTCGTCGCAAACTTTAATATTTTGTGTGATGTTATTGTTCGCTGATAAGTTAAGTGAACCAATGTTGACTTGAATGTAATTACGCAAGAAATCTTCAGCTAATGTTTGAACTTCCTTTGGCCACGTTGCTGACCACATCAACACTTGACGATCTGGACGGATTTGCTCGATAATTTTACGAATTTGAGGCTCAAATCCCATGTCAAGCATTCCTAGTAAAGAAAGAAAGTTTTTAATTAAATAAACATTATTTTGTTAATGAAAGATTCTTCCAACTTACGATCAGCTTCATCAAGAACCAAATAAGTCACGCGACGAAGATTTGTGACACCACGTTCCATAAAGTCGATTAAACGTCCGGGAGTTGCGATAACAACTAATAAACAAATAAAATGATAAAAAATATTTTTTTACAAGAATTTAAACATTTACCTTCAACTCCACGTTCAAGATCTCTTATTTGTGGTCCCTTAGGTGAGCCACCAAAGATGCAAGTGTTCCTTGACATTGGCTTAACAAATGACCCATAATCCTTTGCAACAGATTGAATTTGTTGTGCAAGTTCACGTGTTGGTGCGAGAACGAGTACAATGGGTCCTTCGCCACGTGCTAATGGACGTTGATTGTTAATATGAACAAGTCCAGGAAGCATGTAAGCGAGAGTCTTTCCAGATCCCGTCATAGCAATACCGAGAAGATCACGACCAGTCAAAGCAATTGGCCAACCTTGAGCTTGAATTGGCGTGGGTGTAACATATCCTTGTTTACTTAATTCACTCAAAATTGCTGATGAGAAATTGGCTTCCTTAAAATCTTGATGAGGAAAAGGAATGTCCTGTCCAACTACAGTAATTGCCATTGCTTTTCGCCAGGCATTGACTTCTTCAAGAGTACGATTTTTATTATTTTCATGGATTTTGTTGAAATCCTTCATGAACGGTTCAAGCACAATTGATTCCCAGTTTGGTCGTACAAGGTTTTGTCCAGGACATTTTGCTTTCATGCTTTGCAGTTTTGCTCTTTCTTCTTTTGTCATTTCATCCAAGTCAGGTGAATTTCCTTTCATTCCATTTTTAGGTCCACCAAAATCCTTCTTCGGTGGGTAGACTCGTTTAACAAAGTTTGGATTAAATCCACCATCCATGAAGTTAGGGTTGAAGTGATTATTGAACTGGTTATTTGGATGACGGTTCCAGTAAGGTTTTTCACCGCCATTGTTAAATTCCGGACGTGGTCTGAAGCTGAAATATAAAAAATTGATTAATCAAGGAAATCAAATCCAATGGAAATAATGAAAGTAAAAGGTGTTAGCTAGCAATTAGTGCTATTAATTTAAGAATAAGTGTACCAAATATGAGCTGTTATGATATCACAACTAAAATTTTAAATAACTTTCATGAACTGCAATGAGAAGGACATTTAGTGTCTTTATAAATGATTGAATTATAATACTGAATATCTTGACATGCAAATAGAGGGGTTATGAATGAATAAGAAGCAACTTCCCATGAAATTAGCAATTTTTTTTGTTACAACAAAAAGTTTAAAATTGGCTTCGCCATGTCTGATTTTTTTTCCTTCGCCATGAATGAAAATAATTTTTTTAACTTACCCATGGTTCTGGTTATATCCTCCCTGATAAGAGCCTTGATACATGATGAGATTGGTGTTTGTTTGCGTGTTTTATGGTACTAAAAGCTCAAAAACAAGCAATGAAGACGAAATTATTTGACAAATGTGATTTCACTCGATCGATGAAATTCGTCTGTGAAAAAATTTGAAAATGTGGTATTAAAAATCTCTTTCCATTCAAACTTTCATAGTATTTTCATTAGAAATTTGTAGTATTTTTAATATACACTAAATTTTATTGAAAATAGCAAGTTTAATACATGTATTTTACCGTTTTTCAAAAAGTGAATTGCTTCGTCTTCGTTTCTTTACACCACTCGAGAGTCGAAATTTTATTGTCGACAATTTTAAAAATAGAAAAGTCGTTAAATTTAACAAAATATTTATTTTCATGAATTTAAATGTGAATTGCTCAACATCGACACATCACTTTGATCTGGAGAATTTATATGATATTCCATTTGACTGGGAGCATCGTCATCATCATTGAGTAGCTTATTCATTTTAATTTTGTACCTAAATAATTCAAATTTTTAAATTATGTTTTTAATGAATTTAATGGAAAACTTACGCTTCACTATCTGGATTGTTATCTTGATTTCGACATTTGTCGAGTTTCTTTTCTAAAGTTTTAATTGCATTTTTATCAGGTGCCTCGCTTATATTCTTCACCATTGATCTAATTTCTATAAGAGAGTGAAGAAAAGAATATATTATGAAAGCAGCAAATACTTATAACACTGCCTTACTTCTCACGGCTTCAATCAGTGGCTTTAACATGTGAGCTGATTCAGCAAAAAGTGACTCGGTGACATAAGAATCCAAATTTTCTTGCTCTTTACTAGCAGCATGAAGAACAGCAGCTAATGCAATCTGAGATGGAGTGTAAATCAAGCAAGCATCAGTTAGAAAAGATTTATCTAAGAATTCATCAATCCCTTTGCGTAATCGATCTGGATTTTGCATTTGACATCTAGTTTTGATATCAATTAAAAATCCCTCCACTGGACGGAATGGATTGTGAATAGTGAGATTGTAGTTTAGTTCTTGCATAAGCAAAAGCTCATTGCTTAAAATTATATCCATTGCTTTGTTTCGATCGCCCTTCACATTTGCTACAAATTGCTGAATGCTGACATTAAATTCTTCAACTTTGCATGAAAGATAAACACATGTAGCTCTAGAAAACATAATTATTAAAATTATTTATTATGTTCATGAGAGTTACTTACAAGATTTCCTTCGGATGATAATCCATTGGTGAATTGTTTAAATAAAATCTTTTGAAATAATGAAATGCCGTTCCTATAGCATATCTTGGCATTGGCGGGTCAAACCTTCTACAAAACTCTCTAAGCTGAAGTTCATACTGTCTAAGTAATAAGCTTTCTTCATAAGGATTCAGATAGAAAGATTGAATTTGTTTGCTCTGTAAATATATACAAATTTAATTAAAACAATTGTTAACAAAAATTTCCCAGTTACTAACATCAAGATGTGATCCATTCTTTTGAATATATTTTTGATTTGTTTTCATTCGAAGTTGAATTAACTCTTCTTCACTTTCAAAAGTCCAATGTTTCTTTTGAGAACTGCACGGATACATAATTATTAATGTTAGAAAATTTCTTGAAGAATGTTTTAAAGGAACTTTTTTTGTCGTTGTCCGGATTAAATATGTTCGAACCAAGCAAATACGAATTTGCATTTGAAAAAAGCGTTAAACCACCTAAGGAAATCGTCGAAGTGATCTTTTAATATTTTCATAATAAATTTAGAAGTTCTGAATTTTTTTTTATTCATCATCGCACATATTTATCTAAAAATAACAAAAAATTGTATTTACAATCAGTTGGCGTTAATATTTTACGGATGCCTCATAAGTGCAAATTGAAACGTGATTCGATTTCTCACCTTCCAAAATTATTCCCCGATGACCCATGGCTTGTACACTTAAAGAGAAAATTCAAGAAGTTACTGCTTATTTCTCCCAACCACCCAAATGTTAATCGTTATCTCAAGAGTAGCACAGCAATAGAAAAGGAAAGCAAGCGTCATGTTGAGAAATATCCCGGATTCATCATACATCCTTTATCAGAGTTTCGGAAATATTGGAACATTTTGATATTCATTTTGATTTTTATTCGTCAAACGATCACAGCTTTTACCATTGCATTTATTGCAGAGTTGAGCGAAGAAACTATCGATCAGATGATTAAAATTGATGCTTCATTTAGTGTTATTCTTCTTCTCGAAGTTTATCTCTCTATTAGAACGGGTGTTATCATCGAAGAAACTTATGAAATTCTTCTAAATTACAAAGAAATTTTCAAGAAAAACCTAATTTATTTCATTCTTGATGCTTTCCATTGCATGCCGCATATTCTATTCGTAGCAAAATTGTTTGATGATCGAAATGACGGTTCAGTTAATATGGGGCCAGTGATTTACATGTTCACATTGTTCATATTCAGTTTCTACATTTATCATCGAATCACGTTTTATGCTTCATCACTTCCAGCTATGATGAAGTTGTCGGATAAAAATATAATCATTTTTCAAATTTTCCTAAGAAGTTTTTATTAGTGAGTATTGAAGAAGAATTTTCAAAGCTGATAAAATTTATTTATTTATTAACTTCTAAATTAGTTGGCATTGGGCATCTTGTTTGAGACAAGTAGTTATTATTCATCTTGCTCCAGATCAAGACGATATGTTTGAATGGTTTGAAGATCGGTTCAATCGCAGATTTCATGTTGAAACATTCGAACAGATTGTTGATCGTTATGAAGAAGTTTATCTTGAAAGTTTATCCTCGGTATTAAACAATTATACGTTGGTTGAATCATACACAAGAACCATGTTGGTGACTTTAAAATTAACATTTCAATCAGCATATGGCAATGAAACATCAAATTCAGTACTGACCATGCTAAATACAATTTTAATGTTATTTTGGGGATGGATTTATAGAGCTTATGTGACGATTCATTTGTCAAATGTGATAATTGCAACCGTTAATTCAGAGTACAAATACGATGCATTTGGAAAAGAACTTGAAGCCTATTCAAAGGCCAAAGGATTGTCAAGAGATTTAAAAATAAAAATTAAATCTTTCTATAAAAGGATATTCAAGAAAAATTATTTCAATGAAGATAAAATCAAATTATCGACACCAATTCACTTACGAAAGCAAATCATGATGCATTCATGTTCACATTTGGTAGAGAAAGTTCATTTATTCAAAGAAATTCCAAACCTAATTCTTGAGAACATCATAAGTTGCTTAAAAATGGAAATTTATTTTCCTGGTGATGTCATCATAAAGGCAAACACGATTGGAGATGCAATGTTCTTTATTGCTTTTGGAACAACTTCGATTTATTCATCATCTGGTATTTATTTTTAATTAGGTAAATCGTGATAAATGAGATTTTAAATATTCTTTCTGTGATGAATTATCAGGAAATTTAGTGGGAACTTTAACCGACGGCTCTTACTTTGGTGAAATTTCCCTTTTATTTAGAAAGAAGAAGAGAACTGCGAGTGTTGTCGCATGCGAATTATGCGAAATTTACAGATTGAATGCAAAAGATTTTCATAAAGTTATCGAGCCTCACAGTGAAATTCTTTATCGTTTGGAAGGAATTTCTCAAAGCAGAATGAATGCAACAAATACTCGAGTTAATATTTAGATTACTTTTTCTTATTTTTTTCGTATCAAATTTCTGAATAACAAACAATTAAAATTCTCTCCTAAGTGAGAAGATTTGAGACATTCAAACACGTGTTTTAATAAGTATTTTTATTTCGTCACAAAATCTTTCACTTGAACCGACTAAACAGAGAGGAAAAATAATAAACTCAATTTTATTACGTATTAATGAATTTCAAAACATTTCCTCTGTTTGGTGAAAAAATTCTTTTTGAAATAAATATTTCAGATATGTGAAAGCACACCACCTTATTACAATAATAACAAAAAGTGAGATAAAGTTCATTTTCAAGAGCGAAAGTCATCAGTTTCTGTAAATGTAGATATTCAAATAAATAGAGCGATAGTAAGCATGCTCAACGAAACACAATTTAAATAAATATCACTTTGCTTGTGTTGATTGAATATCAAGATAAGTATACGCGAGTTAATGAATTGTGAAAACTTAATAATATTTTACCATTTTGAATAATTTCCGAAAGCTTAAAAAGATTTGAAGAATTCACCTTTAATTTATAAGAAGTTGCTAAAACGTTTGCACAACAAATTCGTTCTATTTCTCGCTGATTTGTTATTGATTTATTTTTATTAAGTAAGAGATTTAAATTTTCTCTGCATACAAAAAAAAAACATTTTAAAGCTGATAACAACGTCATTTAAATAAGAAATTATATGACGGAAGAATTCTCAGCATAGTCGCTCTCTCATCTTTCACAAATCTATAAAAGTAAAAACTTGTTATTTAAATAGTCTCAGTTTCGTTTCAACTTTCGAGTGACAACAATGAAAAGTAATAAGATCGCGGAAAGCTTCAATCTTAAAGCAAGCGAGTGCTTGGCAGCTGGCAAGTACACAGAAGCTTTAGAGAATTACAATCAATCGCTTCGTTTCGCTGTAAACAAGTCCCAAATGTTATCAGACGCATACGCAGGCCGCTCTAAAATCTACTATGAAGTTAATCAACTCGAAAATTGTCTCAAAAATATTAAGAAATCCCTTCAAACATGTATCAATGATGAGAAATGCAGAAAAATTGAATCACTGCGCGAAAAGTGTCTCGATCAAATAAATCTTTCGACATCTGAAAAGAAAGAAAATGTCACAAGTGAATTTTTCAAGTTGTCACACCCACAACATAAGCGAGTTCCTTTTATCGCTGGTTGTTTGGAAGTTCGTGAGAATGATGTTTATGGTCGATACATTGCAACAACGAGTGATTTAAAGCCTGGCGATATTGTCGTTATTGAGGAACCTTTCTACAAGGTGCTCGATCCTAAGCGTCGTCACACACGTTGCGCAATCTGCTTGAAACAAAATATGCTGAACCTCTTCCCATGCGTTAAATGTTCAAACGGTAAACGATCTCAAAAAAAAATTTTTTTTTTGTCGTCGAAAAAAATATTTTACGATTTTTTCTCTCTCGGGTATTTTTAGCAATGTTTTGCTCACGTGTATGCAGTGAGTCTGTTGTTCATCGTTATGAGTGTAACGACTCGAAAGACGATAGCTTCGACAAACTTTTACTGCAACGTATGTTTTATCAGGCTATTGAGATCACTGGATCTTTGGAGGAACTTCAAAAATTGATGAATCGTCAAACGTCAAGTAAAACAATTCTGGACTTTGATTTCAGTGACCCAAAAAATTCAATGAACGATAAGAACAGAATTCTGGCTACAACCAGTTTAGCTGAAAGGGAGCCTTGGTCAGCCGAAGCTTACGCAAAATATGAATCGGTCACACAACAACTTCAGATAGAAACAGAAGATGAACGAAAGTTTCTACAGAATTACCTCGTCAGATGTTTAAAAAGTATGACCGTAAATTTTTTCCATTTCTTCTGGTCACCCACGAAAATCGAAGGTCAAGGACTTGCTTTATGTTCATTGGCAGCTTATTTTGCACATTCATGTGATCCAAATGTGGAAAAGATTGACGTTGACAATAAGTTTGTGTTTATTACGAAAAAGCCAATCAAAGCAGGGGAACAATTATTCATGAATTACGATAGATTCAGCTTTTTAACACACACATTAAAGGACCGTCAGGATTATTTCAACAAAATTTATACTTTCCAATGTGCTTGCAATGCATGCAAAGACGATTATCCAATGCTCAATAAATTACCAAGGATTGATGAGAAATTTATCGAACCGGAAACAAAGTTTGAATCGATTGCTGTAGCAAAACTTCAATATCAGAAAAATTGCGACTACATCAGTGCCAACATGGATCGATATCCATGCTATGAAATTTGTTTACTAATGATCCAAAATTATCGTCTTTTACATGCTATTGGTAATAAGCTTCCATTTTAGGTAATCTTAATCAGGTAATCAAATTAATATTTCTTGCTTTTTGTTTTGTTTATTATTAAGTTTTGATTCACTTAATAAATTTTATTCAATCCTAATTTTGAGTATATTTTGTTTAACTGAAACAAGCTTAGCAACATAAAGTTCAAAAGATTTTTTCTTATAATTTTCAGATTTTATTAATAATAAAATTTGTTTAATTACAATCAAGTCGTAAATTCTTATCAATTCACTTAAAAAAGTCGAAGTCAGTGAACTTGAATTCATACAAAAATTATTTCCTTCACCATCTGGTGCAATTTTTCTTCAAGTTCCACGAGACAGTTCGACTCATACAAGAAGAATAAATGAATGCGATTAAAAGTATTCAAGTCGCGTGTAGCATTCATCAAATTCCTTGCACTCGTGCTCTTATCAATTTCAAAATGATTTCTTTAAATTTAATGTTAATAATAATGATAATCTTAGATGCGTCACATGACCTATTAAATTAAGAAAGACCCAAACATTAAAAGAAATTTAATCATGACGAAATAAATATGTTATGTCTTCAAAATTATTTTATTACTAAAGCTTATCTCATTCTCTTTTTTTCGTTTATTTAAGAAATGTTGTTGTCGACGTTGAACTGTTCAATCATCGCAATAAATTATTTAATTTTTTTAGTCGTGAAAAAATATGAATGAAAAGATTAAAAAGAGAGAACAATTTAGTATGGCGAATAAGGAGATGGGGTTGATGAACTGAATCCACTATTATAAACAGCTGAGGGTTTTGCAGTTGTCCAAACAATGGGTTGGTTAGGGTATTGTTGAGATATCAAACTATACGCGTTTGGTGGTTGAAGATTAAATGTAGGCTGCTTTGTCGGTGTCACGTAGAAAGGTTTTGGAGTTATGTTAATGTAATTCGGTGGAGCTGACTCAGTAACATAAATATTTTGTGATGGAAGAGGTGTCGAATAGTAGGCAGATTGTGTTTGATGTTGATGATTGTGAGGTCGAAGTGGATAAACTGCAGGTGGAGGTTGCGACGTGACAAATGCTTGATTGCTTACAGGTCGAGTGTAGACAGGAATTTTAGGAGTTTCAACGACTTCATGTGGTTGTTTTGGTAAGTGAGTTCCATATGCACGATAGCCATAGCGGTCAGCAATGTAATTTACTGTGTATGTGATGCCATCACTGCCAACGTAACTATAATATCCGCGAACAACTTTGTTAGGACCGTAACCGTTCGAATCCTGCTTCACATGAATCCCATTGCTAGTCCCATACTCATAACTGAAACTTCCATCTGGTCCACGACGATCGGATGAGTAAACAGGTTGTGCATAAGCATTTTGGTTCAGGTAGGTTGGCAATTCAAACTTAGAATTCCCACGAAACGCATTGTGACGTGGTTGGCGGTCGCTAGACACATAATTACTATCAATCTCCACACTACACGATGAATGAATCAACAATGCAATGAATGATGACCAGAAGTACTTTAGAAGAAGATGAAATAGAGAGACAAATTAATATATGTAAATTAGTTCGGTGTCATTGGACGAGTCGTTTCGTTTTTTATTTTCTTAATTTTTTGGGAAAAAAATGATTTTGCGCCCTCAAGCGACCCTGAACCATCTCGAGAACATCATCATGTCGCCATTGTTTCAGCTGTTTAACTCTTTTTCATTTACAACCTCCAAACCGAATGCGATACGAATGGAAACAATTTAATTTAAATTAATTTGAGCTTTTTTATTTTTTATTTCTCTCTTACGAGATAAGAGACAATCGACATGAAATGTTTTGCAATATTCATTTGTAATGATGACAGCGATAATGATGATGACATGAAATCTGACAAATTCGAGAACAATGAAGAAGGTATGTTAATGACTTTCTTGTTCTTACAAACTCATCGAGATTTAAATTTGAAGATTTTCTTCTTAAGAAATGGAAATGTTGGTGTCAAAGAATAAATATTTAAATAACATAATTTTTTATTTGACTTTCCGTGTAATGATTCAACAACAATGAGATAAAATTTCTTCCCAAGAAAATAAATTTGTTATGGTGTAATATCTTACCAATTTCATTTTTCCACTTTTCCTTTCAATAATTATCACAATAAAACTCGTAAGATGAGCTAACAAATGGATGAGGTTGGCTGTCAATTTGCGATATGAAGTCTCACTATATTTAATTATCTTGGGAAGTTGTAAGTCACCTGAAAGCACTTTTTCTTTTCTTTTTATTGCACTTTAATTAATACTACCAATTCAATCTACAAGATTAAACGTTTCCCTCCGGAAGCAAATCGAAATTGTCGTGGAAAAACAATTGACGATCTTTCCTTATAATTATTCAACACGCCCGCGATTCTCAAGCGCTTCTTTAACGTTCGACGGAATATTTCAAACTGCAAACGATTGAGCAAACAACATTTAGTTTTTATACGAAAACCTTCCTGTGCTGTCCGCTGCTGCTTCGCGTAAATTGAAGCACTTTTTCGGTGAGACGCGTGCTGTCACGTAACAATGAAAGATGAAAATGTTCTGTTCGGTGTGTTATTGTTTTCTCTAATAGTCTGCAATCAGTTGTATTGCTAGATGGAAATGTAGAAGCAAACATACTTGAGATTTGTAGTAAATTTATGCAATCTTTGACCATAAGAATTCTAGTAGGTAAAATCATTTAGAATTCTTGTAACTTAAACAAAAACTGCCGCTAGAGTTCAAAGGCATAAGGTGAGTTCATTAGTATTAAGAACAGAAGATAATCTTGCACATCCTACAAACGACGTCGATTCACAATCGGGAAGAGATGAAGACACCAAAAAATTTTCAAGTTTATTCACAGCCCACACAGTTTCCTGATTCAAATCAGGGGACCAAAATATTCGCCGAGAAACAATAGAGCAATAAAAGATTTAATTTTATCATGAACTGAACGCGCTTACCATCAGTGATTAAAATTCTTTTTTTCATTTTAACTTCAACAGTTGTATTCAGAGTTGGGATTTGACTGACTGACTGACAGACATTGACTTGTCAGTCAGTCAGTCAGTCAGTCAATCGACTTGAGCGGAACATTTATATGAACGTTTCCCAACAAACGAATATTTTTGTTCGCGATTTTGACTGACTGACTGACTGACTGACAGACATTGACATGTCAGTCAGTCAGTCAATCGAGTTGAACGGAACATTTGCCCATCTCTGGTTGTATTTATTTTGGTTGCGCTTGGAATGAAGTTGTGACTCATAAATCGAGATCGTGGACTTATTGGTCTGGAAGTTGTTTTTTTAAATTTGTTTATGTGAACATAAACAGAATCCGAAGAATTCATTGAACGACATCACGTCTTGATGAATTGGTTCAAATATAATTGTCATCAAATCTCTGACGAATTTGTCGTGAATAGGCTTTGAACTCAGCTTGTGGCATACCCGAATTTAGTTTATTTGACGATCATCATATGAAGCACTTAAAGAACAAATTTATTCTTAAAATACTCTTGAGAAAATCAAAATATTAGCCGACACGAAAGCAATGGAAGAGCGTTTGACTTATGTTAAGTAAACAAAGCACGAATTGGAATAACATAAATTAACTGACTTCACTCTCACAATTATAATTTTACTTCTAAGTCATCACGAAGATTATTTAAATATTTTTGCTGCGATTTTTAATTAAACTTCCTCAAAGATCACAAAATGTAAGAGATCTTGAAGTAAATCACTGTTTTCATAATGACCGAAATAAGAATTTGAGTGATGACAAACATTTTAATTATTTCTGTCGTTGCGAAGTTCTAAAGCAATTAAGTTCGTCTACATATTCGTGCATACTTCAAGTTTCCTTTCAATAAGAAATGAGAATAAAAAATTATAAAAATTAGCCTTGAACTTGAGTGAATTGTGGGTAAGGCAAGATGAAAAATGATTCGATGATTAAATGATTAAAATATTCAGAGACAAAGAAGTTTTGAAGTAGAAAATGATGTTTGAAGAGATAGCAAATCGATCAACAGTTAAAGCAAAATTCATGTTAAAAGCAGTGCATTAATTTATAAATTGGTTCAATGTTAAATTTGGGAATGTCTACAGGTCATTGCAGGTGGTTTGAATGGTTCATTGCTACTTCCATGTTAGACTGAAAGCTCAACAATATGACTTAATTTATTTACAGCATCAATTCATCAACAATAAAACATTTTTGTTTTAAAATATATTCTTAACTTGCTTGCATATATTTATCAATTCTTTTTTTAATTCAGAAATATTTTACAAAAGAAGTTTTAAAAATATTAAAAGTGTGGGAAAAAATTGAAATCGTAAGAAGTTCTCATTCATTCAGTCACTCATTTAGATTCAATGTTATTAGTTCTACTTACTTTTATTAAATCAACATTCTTACTAAGCAGGAAAAAAAGAATTTAGAAGATTTCATGGAACTGATTTCAGGTTGAAGTAATTCAAACCACTTCTATGGTTTTAAATTCGATATTAGGAAATATCAACTAATCATTAATCATTTAGTTGATTCTTAGACAATACTGGGATAAGTGGTAGTAGTGATAGTCACAAGTAAATAAGTACAAAGGGACCTAATAAATTATCAGTCAATATGGTACACATCAAGTAATTCAAAACGATGATGAAGATCATCACCACACAACACCATTAACTTAATTTACAATCATACAATGTACATAAATAATACATAATTAATTTATTTATGCATTTGATGGCAACTTTGTTATGATTATGGTTTGACAGATGTCACTTCGATTGGTCTCGTGACTTCATCATTCTGTTGTGGCGTTATTATTCTGATGACCTGTGGCGAGAATTATTAGAACAAATTCAATTTGAATTCTTTTATTGATCTTACCTTCGAATTCTCATCGATTGTCTTTACTTGATCAAAATCCATTATTTCATCGTTCCGTCTCAACATTTCCGGTTTAAACTTCTTCGGTTGTTTTCTGCCTAAGCATTTTCAAAAAATCAGTTTTCAATTTGAAGTTAATTAAAATAAAAATCGAATTTAAATTAAATACCTGCAACGGTTGGTCGCACAGCGAAACGTGGTTTAAATGTTGTGCTTTCTTCTCGGTAGAATTCTTGAAGTGGTTGTGGCGTCACAACATAAATTTTCTCATTGGTCAAAGGTGAAATTGTTACGTGAAGTCGTTTCCAAAGTTCTTTTGGTGTTAATGTGGTTTTTGGCGCAAAAACTTTAACACCAGAATCTAAATTGTTATATGTTAAGTTGTTATTAATCAACACAAGTTCATTATCGCGATCTAAAAATCGATCATGTCGCTTTACGTATAACAAATTGTCATCTTTTTTGTATAAAATGCTGTCGTATTGACGCTTCGTTTCTTCCATGAGATCAGGATCGAAAGTTGTCTTAGGTGACAGCGTAGTCGTAGGAAATTTCATAAATGTTGTCGCTTTCATCGTTGTACTTAAGAATGATTTCGGAATTGCTTTTGTATGTCCCATCAACGATGTTGTACTTGTTTTTCCTAAGAAGCTCTGTTCAGTCCAACCATCGATATTCTTCTGTAACTTTATGATATCAATCTTCGGTGGCTTTGGAGTCTTTTCATTCTTCAACAAATCACGAATATTATTCGCTAAAATCTTTGTCAAATATTTCGTTGTTTTCGAAGGTTCAACTGTGACCAACGACTCAACAATCTTCGATTCTTGGCCATGTTCATGATATTCTTGATCATTATGATAACCATGAGAATTAAATTTATCATCATCCGTTGAACTTTTAATTTCTTTTCGTTCTTTCTTCGTTGGATGAGTCAGATAATGACCACGAATGGGTCTATAAGTGATGATTTCTTGTTCTTGAGCCACTTTGAATGGTGATGGTTTGTGATAACTTGTATAAGGAATAACAATTTGTATTTGTTTAGGTTTCTTTGTTGATGGTGGCGGCTTGGGAGGTTCACGTGGTGGTGTGATGCCTAGGAAAGGTACACTGGAAAGTTTCGCTAAGAATGAAAGAGTTGTTGGTGGTGACGATGTGCTTGGAGAAGTTGCAATGGTCGCTTCAGTTTGTCTGTACGTTGGCGTAACAGTTGCATCTGTTGACGTTGATATCGGGAGTGGAGATGTCCATAAAGTTGCCAGTTTTTTCGTATATTCTTCCAAAGGTTTGAACGGCGGAGGTGTCTCAGTACTTGTTTGTGTCACATAATAAATCGGCAAGTCTAAAAGTTCCAAAGGCGTTGCTCGATCTCGATTCTTCGACGGTAAACTTTTATTCGTCTTCTCAGCTGCCAAATCAGCAGCAGTTTGAATTGATGGTTCAAACTTAACAATGTAACTGTCATCAGTTGTTGTTGTTTCAATAAATTCTTGACTTTGTAAGTTGTTAACAAATCGATTAGAGTTTGAAGTGTAGAAAATGTCATCATTAGGAGCCTTTACTTGATTTGCAAGAAGATCTAAAGACTGCTGAACGTTATGCTCGAAAGCATGTTCAGAACCAGCAAAACTGCTGTCAGTTACCGTCTCCAAACTTTCAACTACAATCGGTTGATGAATTGTTGATTTAACATCGAGATTATTAACAACATCGAGACTGAAACTTGAATCTTTCTTGAAAGGTTCTCTCGTGGTTACACTTTCATGTTGAATTGAATTTCCATTTATCGTAAATTCAGCAACTAAATTTGAATTGACAACTTCAACCGATGGACTTTCTTTTAATGCTTCTAACTTTGCTAAATTTTTCTCTGGTTTAACTTGAACATTAACATTATTTGAGACTTGTGCAACAGGATCTAATGGCACGAGTTTAATAGATCCAGTTTTTTGACTGCGATACGGATTAATATTAAAATCTTTTGCATCGAAAAGTGGTGGAATTGGCGTGGGTGAGAGATTCGGAATTGGTATGGGAACAAAACCATTGCCAGTCTCACCTTCAAGAGGGAGAACGTTGGGTGGGGGAATATATTCAGGATTAGTTATTGATCCAGTTGATGTGAAACGAAGTGGTCTGTTGTTGTTGTTTGGTCGAACTGTAGTGAAAGTGATGGCTAAAGGATCGATGATCTTGTTGTTCGGTCTGAAAGTTGTTTTCGTATAAACGGGAGTTGTATATTGAAACCTTTCTTGATGCTGCTGCTGATTATGTTGGGGTGGTGGAACTCCATATAATTGATGACCATTATTTGGGAATTTCCCCAACAATGGTTGTTGATTACTTGGTGGACCGTATTTGTGACTAAGATCTGGTGGAATTTGTGCATAAGGACTTTCATTTCCAAAATGATGTTTGAAATAAATTTGACGTTGTTGATGTTGCTGTTGACCTCCAGAATTACTGTTAACTAAAGGAAGCTGATAAGTTGGCATCATTGGAATCCATGGAACTTTGTTGCAAGGTGAACATTTTGTGATTGGTGGAGATGGACTCGTTCTAGGTGCTGCATGTTCAACTTCGCGAATTGGCGATGGATTGACTCTTGTCAATGGAGGTCTCGAATAATGAACAGGTCGATCATGAATTTGATTATCAATTTTCGCTGATGCTTTGAATTGAAATTCTTCTTCTTCACTGACACCACCCCAAGGGAAAATCCAACTCGTAATTCTTTGAATGAAAGTTGGTTCTGGTGCGGGTGGCGGCCGAAATTTATTAAAAGCGTAATTAACTTGTGGCGGTGATGGCGGTCGTATCAGTTCACTGCATGAGACTGAAAAGCAGCTTAATAGCATTATCATTAAGAGCGCTTTGATGCTTTGATTGTCCATTATCTAAAATATAAAAAAGGAGGAAACTTTTACTGAAAGAAGATCAAAAATTTAATGTCGATAAGTTCGAAGTCTTCAATTAATTCTTTTCATCCATTAAAAATTCATATCATCAATCCGATTACGATACCTGACCCTTCACAATCAAAACTCGATTAATCATTTTCCTTTCTCTCTTTTTTTTTACTTTAACCATGAACTTGAATATTGAATAATTTCTAATCGTTTTTAAGTTTTTTTATTTCGTCATTAATGACCATGAAAATGTAAACATTCAAAGAGTAAGAAGCAGAAGAATTTTAATTTCTTATAAAAGTTAAGTCTTAACAAAATAAATGCCTGTGGGTGTTGTGATTTTAAAACATTTTGTCACTCGACCACAAGACAATGAAAATATTCACTTTAAAGGTGAAAATAATAACAGAACAATGAAGTCTCTTCTTTTTTTCTCAAGTTTTTCAACTGAAAGTCGCTACTCATCAAGAAAAGAGAAAAAGACTACAATAAGTCATACAAATTAAGTGAAAATTATTGCGATGCGTGTTTAGGTCACAGCGAAGAAGTATGAAGAATAATTTCAAACTTCAAATCAACCGAAAATGTGATGAGTTTAATTTAAAAAAAAGATGACAACAATTAGTGAAATACTTTAAGTATTCTTGAAATCAAAACTCAATTAGAGATATTTCCATATTCATTTAATTAACACCGTTTAACAATGTTACGAGCTATTAGAAATCAAAAGAGTTACAATCGCAAGAGTTCATTGATTTCATCTTCATGGAGATCCAACAAGTTCTCGCTGTTTCCCACATGTAATCGTTTCTTATTTCTTTCTTTGTAAATATTTTCTTGTTTTTCTCCACTTTTCCACAACAGCATGAAACGAAAGTGAAATAAAAGAGAGACGACTATGGCGCAAAGTTGGCTTATGCTATCACACACGCGCTCTTGCTGTGTTGTGATGTTGTTAAACTTAGAAATTCAAACATATTTAAAATGGGAATGAAAGAAATAAAGAAAGAAGTCTCGTGGATCTCACGATGAGTCTAATGCAAATTATGGAAGAAAGCAGAAGTTGCCGTTTTTTTCTCACTTTATCTCTCCATGGAAATTTCCCATGACTCATGATCTTCAATTAAAAAACTGCTAAAAGTTCATTAGAGAAAATATTTGTTTTGAAAATGTAATCATATGAAGGTTAAGTGAATTGGAAGATGAGAAAGATGTAACATAACAGCGGGATGGAAACCAGACGACTCTCGCTTTTCATGCATAGTTCACGAGGCATCACGACATTTCTAATTCCATTGTAACTGAATAATGTCGATAGCTTCTTGCCATTTAAAAGAAAAGTTAACAATATTCAAGATCGAGATAAGAAATGTAAATAAATGTAAAGAAAGTGTGATCAGCTTCTGTACGACTATTCAACTTTAATCTTATGCGTGCACAATGTTGTGATATGGTCCATAAAATTCGAAATGCATATCAAGATCATTGAAGGTGCGGTTGGAGTTAAACATGGCAATTTATCGTGATTCAAATGTGTTAATTACGGAATATTAAAGCGATTGCTTGACATAATCATACAATTGAATCGGAGAATGATAATCAAGAGAAATGTGTTGAATAATGTTGAGGTCGGAGACCATTCATTTCCATACATTCATTGGCTATTATCTGTGATTTCGTTTGTTTTGAAATTGAGAGGAAGAAGCTAAATAAACACAATTTTTTTTATTCATTTAAAGACCGAAAATAATTTTCTCCAAATTATTTTGAATTTCTTTTCTCACCGTTCAAGATTTCAATCTGATGTTGTGTAAAATCAATTAGTGAATGAAAACATTCTGTTCTTGTCGCTTTTCTCAATTTGAGATGCTTCTGGAGTTATTCAAAGACGGAAATGAAGATGAATGAATCTTTTTTTTAAATTTAAAGACCTAAAAGGAAATAATTTGTTTTTTACGTCTTAAATGATTCAACAATGTAAAATAAAATGTCAAAAGATTCATTGAACTTCTCGTCGAGTTCAACTAATCTCGACATTGATGCTTATAATTGTCCAACGAAAGTCAGCATTAAATGTCTACTTAAAAAAAGTAAAATCAAGAGAAATGAAAAGTTTTTTTCTTCATCGCCTCCAGACACAAAAGAAATTAAAAATTTCATGAGAATTGGATCATCAGTGACTCCACCAGCATCGTCAATGTGCGGCATTGTTTGTAGGAAAACAAAAAAAAAAAAAAGAGTTTTCAAGACAAAGATGCTTTCTCGATCGTAATTGCTGAGATGATATTCGTGGGTGAAATTCTGCCATTGTCAAGACATAAAATTATGATGGAAGACTAAAACATTTATGGTCTTGAAACTTGAAAATGCTTAAGCATTAATTTGACGATATTTTGTCTCAAATCTCAAGTGACCAAAGTGAAAATGAAAGCTTATTTTGGAAACGGAGAGAAGGGAAACTAATTTCCGCTGCTTGTTAGTTCATCAACTTCAAGTCATGTTCTTAAAAAGTGAAATCTTTCAAATGGTATTACGTCAATAAATATTTGTTGTTTGTTGAATATGCATGCAGATTCTTCGCACGTTCGATGATGTTTGCAAGATGAAAACAAAGAATCCCAATCATAAATGCAAGATGCAAAATCAGCGGTTCATCACTTTCACCTTTTAAACATTACTTTGCCAGTGTCGTCTTCATTTAAATGAAAAAAAAAATAGAAATGACTCGTAATTGTGTTAATTATTTTTTACTTTTCATCGCACCATTTTAATGTTTTTTCTTTCTTTCTTTACAACACCATAAGAGTAAACACATGCTTTATTTGAAAAATATTGTTTTTATGGGACAATCAAATGCAAACTTAAGTAGCATGAGTAGGTTATAAGTTTTATTGTTTTTCTTTAACAATAAAAGTGAAGTGAAAGATAAGCTAGATAAATGCTTAATTGCATTTTTATTCTTTTCTTATCGCTCGATTTCGAATAGAAAACCATCAATCTTCATGATAATTATTCATTCGTTTAAATATTTAGAAAATGATCATAAAAAAATCTACAAATTAACAAACAAATCAAACTCAAACTGAGTGAATAATTTTCTTTAAATTAAAATCGTGACAGATGAAAAAATTGACTAAAGATTAAGCAATTTATTAGCTCATAAAGTTTGAGATATTTATAAATGACACAACAATGGAATAACATCAATGATTTGTTCAGAAAGTTCTATTGTTGCAATGCAACTTGATTAGATTTTTTCTCCTTCTCTATTTTTCTAACTTTTCATTTTGTTGCTTCTTCTGCATCGTCATTACCGTCAGCAACAGACGAGTCTGTTTCTCTTAAACTTGTTTTATATTTCCAACTGTGCTTCATTTTAAAAAATATTTAAAATAATAAAAAAAGAACAAAATTCTTTCGTTCGATATCCTTATACGTAGAAATGATGCGTTGCATGACCCAAACAAACAACTTTTGATGAGCCTCCCTCAGGTTTGATGGATTTTTTTATGGTTTCCGAAGCACGTTATCTAGAAGCCTATGATTTTCTACCTGAAATTCTTGACCCTTCTCTTGACTTACGCTTTCCTAATGGATGTTTTCTTTTACAACGATACTATGAATCCTCAGGTGGTTTCATATTTTTTTAGAAAGAAATCAATTCCTTAAATTTTATTCATTTAATGTCTTTTCAAACAACTTTAATGGATTTCTTTAATGCCCATTTGATGTTTGAAAGATTTGAAGTTTTAGTTCATTAAACCGAAAATAAGTCCAAGACATGTTTCACATTTGTTAATTTCAAAATTCTCTCTTTCCATTACGTAAAAATAATCGCAAATGCAAAAGTCGTGTCATGAGAAAATCGCATCATTTGCATGAGAAATGACGGCATCAAAAAGGTTTTGAAATATTTGCGCGTGTGTTCCATCATAAATTTGCCACATAAATTAAATTTCACTGATTTTCTACCTTTTTACGGGAACGTGTCAATTTGTGAAAGAAGTCGCCGACCTGCGGGTACTTTTCATAACAATTTACAAGTCAAACATAAAATTATTTCTCGAATTTTTCAAAACTAGAAATCTTCTCTTATAGTCGACGCACCTTTTTTGGAAAATTTATTTTTTATCTGCTTAACTTGAAGCTTATTAAATTTAAAGAAATCTTGAGAAAATTTATTTGAAAAAAAGAAAGAAAAATATTCGCATCTGACTCTCCCAACAACAAACTCGATCAAAACTTACTTTCGATTTCATATTTCATTTCGTGCAAGTTGCAATAGAAGGTTAATGAAGATAAAAACATCGTCACGTTGTAATAATCATTTGATGAAAACAAATAGCAATAATAATAAGAATTGAAAGGCTTTCATGTTGATCTCTTATCAACGAGCACTTCGTGGTAACATAAAGGAATTGCATCGTGCGAACACCATCATCATGTCTTCTATAAATGGAGAACAAAAAATTTTCTCTGAATTTGAGTTATAGTTGTCTATCAATGACTTTAACAAAAATACAATGAGCTGCTGCTGCCAGCAAATATGTCTGCAATAAGTCATTATATGTGCTTTATGATCCATTCGCAAATACATTCTTTTAATTTCACATATACGCAATAAATAATAACGAACTTTCTTTCAATTGATCTCAAAGCAAGTGAAGTCAACCATGACCATTGTGAGATTTTCCGTATAAGTTTTCCCCAAATTTAATCACCACAATTATTCATTAAAGCGCGTACCATTGTAAAGAAGTTATTCGAATTAATGTCGGTAGCTAATAATTGTAATTCTTATTGATGATTCGTAGACCCTAGCAATCAATAACGTTTAAAATTTAATTAAATTTTTCTTTTTTTTTCTTTTTCTTTCATCTTAAAATCACTTTCATTCATTTCCGATTGTAATTGATTCTTATTTTTGCCATACAATGTGGACAGTTAAAAAGCAATTATTGGCGATTTTCACACGTGAATTAACATAACGACCAACAAACGACCCGGCAGACGTCAATTTGAATACGAATGTTACTCGCTGATTGAGTCAATTACGTGTCAATTAAACCGCGAAATCAGACGAAAGTGAACCTGAACCTGATCAATTTTGTTCCAGTTTTCTTTTTCTTCTCTAATTTTTTTTATCACAGACTTTTGATACTCAAGTTATTTAATTAAACTCATTTTATATTCTCCTTCGACTTTCCAACATAAACATTTCTGATCGTTAATGTTGGGTAATTGTTTCTGACCACCAATCCGTGATGTGCTTGGAATAAATTTCTTATTGTTGTTACTTAAGCATTTAATCCTCAGTCGTAGAAAAGTAAACTATGATTGATAAATTTTTTGGAAGTGACGTGATGAATTTTAATCAGATTCATAGGAAATCAAATTGCGTAATTGGGTTAAGATTGAAATGGGAAGAGAACTATTTGGAAGTTATTTTATGCTTCGAACAATTTCAATTATTTTATGACGAAATATGACAAAGAACAAAAGATTTCTATGCATGGATGTAATTAATGTTGTAATAATTTTTATGTTTTAATTTCCACATACTTTGCTTGTCTTTTTAATAATTTTTTGTATCCTTTTAAATATCCTTCACATAAAGATATCTTTGCTTCTGATTTTCTTTTTCGTTTTGTAAATATTTCACTTTTTAATGTTGTTCAATCATTTTTTAAACATTTTTTAAATTTATTTTAAACATCAATTGAAATTTTTTTTTGTTCTTCTAATTCTTTTTTTTTCACTTTTATTTAATTCTTTTTTATAATTATTTTAAATAAAAAGTTCCACACCACTAGATGATGCATCTAACCATCACGACTGTCAATGACTTAATGGTAAGAAAAATAAAATGATTTCGTTTTCAAACATTACCAACTGACCCATTTCTCCGTACTCACTACTCGCTCTCCTCCATTGATTTGACTCTCTTTCGACTTTCGAAGAGTGTCTTGAAGACAGCAACATAACAATGTTGATTCTTTGAAGGTCGTACTCACTGCTCTCGCCTTGAAACAACTGACAACAGCGATGCTTCTTACGACTCATCATTTCTCTTTTATCATCAAGCTGAAAGTGAAATTGCAAAAGCTTAAAAATCTGCAATTTTAAAAACATTATTCATTGGTATTTTATTTAAATGTGAAGTCAATAAATTTGTTTCAGATAATCTGCTTCATGAACGTAGAAATCGAATGAGTGTCAAAACGAGCATTATTTTATATTTATATATGTAAGAAATGCAACAACTTCTCGTTACAAGCTTCGTATGAAAATTTTCCTTTTGTATAATCAGCAAAATGAAAGTGAATCTAAATGTTCAGATGACCAGTTTACGCTACCTAGAGTAGAGTTTGCAATTCTTAGATAATGTTTGTGGTTGAGTTTCAGTATTTGTCGATAACTTTTTTTGTGAATGTTTAATTCCGATGCAGAAATGGAATGCAAAATAAGACTTTGATTGTAAAAAGGAAATCTCGTGAGACTAAGTTGTAAGGCGGATATAATAAGTCAATAATCATGCAGTGTCATGTTAAAGCTTTCAGCTATTTATTGATTGTTGACTTGGATATTATGCACAGGCGTGGTTGCCATATTTGTGTGATGAAACTTGACCTTACTTGCAGATATGTATAATTTTAATCCTATTAGATTCCCTTCATTACTTTTGATAAGAAATATTATTTCTCAGTATCAGTCAAAACATTTCATATTTCACCAATCTCAAAATAAAACTTAGATAATTAAAAGTAATCCTCAGACAACTTTAATTAAGAAAGCTGATGAATCACAAGTTCAATGAAAAATGATAACAAACCTGAAGCAGGAAGATCAACGTTTTATCACATTAGATAAGATTTGATTGCGAATGCCGATAAATATTTTTAATATAAAACATTTTACAATCGTCAAAAAGTTCTCAATTTTCAATCATAAATTCACAAAGTTCAAACCTAAATCTGTTGTTGAAAATGAAGTTATTAAAAGTTTTGTTGTTTTTTGGATTAATTTATGTGACTGCAGGGCAATCGTTGGATCGTCCATTGCAATCTTCAATACTTCCAACAAGTGAGATTGATAATCTTAAATGAATTAAATAGCTAATATTTTAAACTTCCATTAGTTTTGGAACGAATACTTGAAAGAGGTCGCAATATATTGAATCGACAGATTATCAACATAATTGAGGGGCAACGAGAAAATTTCTCTACTGGTTGGCCGTTATTAGGAATCCCACCAATAGATCCTTTGCTCATTGAAGATGTTGAATTAAATCTTGACACATTAGAAACTTTAAATTCGTAAGAAAATTTACTTGCACATTATCTAATCAGTATTTCAAAAAGGGATTAAATTATTTTTAGATTCTCGCTGCGTTTGTTTGATGCGGAACTTGTGGGATTGCAGGAATTTGAGATTGACGAGATGGATGTCAGCATTATTGGGTTGTCAGCATACTTTGAGATATCTTTTAGAGAACTGAGTCTGATAGGACAACATGAGACAAGTGGGAATCTTGGAACTACACCTATTTCAGGAACTGGTTCAGCTAGTTTTATCTTCAACGATCTTCGAGTAAATGGAACCATCGACATGAGTAATGTCGATGACGGCTTCCTGAACATTGACAAGTTTTTCTTAGGCATCTCAGTCAGAAGAGTTACCGTTCGTTTGCAAGGTTTCGGTATCTTCTTAGACGCAACCATCAGCACTTTATTATCAGCAGCATTTCCAACTCTAATTACTGAAAGTCAAAGTGCTATCAACGACTTTATAAATGAAAATATTGTTTCAGCATTAAACAAAGTGTTGAATGATTTTCGTATAATTGATGTGATAAATTCGCTTATTAACAGCATTTTCAATCAATTAGTTTCATGTTTAAATCTATTTGAACAGAATTAATCTATGAATTATGATTTTTCCTTTTATTTATTAGAAATATTAATAATTTTTATAACGATAAAATGAAAATTTGTTTAATAAAAAATATATGATGAAATTAATTTAAATATTTAATTAACGCGACTATCCCAACATTTGTCGCAAACACGTACGGGTTTCCCAAGGACTCCTAAATAAAAACCAAATTTAATTAATCATTTTGATTTTACAAACAATTTCAAATTTCTCACCATTAGAATCTTCAAGCGGTAACAAATGTTCGGAACAATTTTTACAAACAACTTCACCGCAACTACGACAGTGATGTTTACGTTTCGTTATGCTAAAGTTCGTTTGGCAACAGTTGCAGTTCGTTGCTGATTCATCAGGTGTCCAATCTGATGCCATCGCTCGTCCATTCCCCATTTCTTCAGCTATTTTCGATCTTTCTTTCATTTCAGACATCTGCAACTTGGTCATGCTCAGTTGAATTCCAAGCTCTTCAAGTGTTTGTTGATCTTCGTTATATTTCTTTCTAAGCTTTTCAAACTCAGATTTCATCTTTTCATATTTCTTTGCATCTTCAGCATGTTGATTGACTTTCATTTGTAGTCTTGAAATAACTTCTTTATATTCAAGTTCTTTCGATTGCAATGCAGACTTCCATTCCCTTTCTATTCTCAAATCTGCTTCACATCGACTTCGACTCTCTTCACATGCAGCGATTTGAGACGATAAGGCTTTGCTGGTGTCTTCAAGTGACTTGAACGAAGCCAAGTCTGAAGCGTGTCTGAAAAGTGTTTTAAAAAATAAATTAAACTTCTTTAAAAATTTCTTTTACAATTTTTCTTTATTTTTTTCATCTTTTTATCATCAAAAGAAAACTTTTAAGCATAGAAAAAATGTCGCTACAAGGGATAAATTTGGAGAATAAGCACAAAAATGTTTATTTATGTTCATTCTTGCGTCATAAAGTTATAGAGTTAGACAAAGGATTATGTAAAGCGAAACCTACTTCTTCTCAAGCTGCATTATAGCGCTCGACATAGACTCCCTTTGATCTTCAAGTTTTGTAAGCAAATCAGTTTTGTGTTTGAGTGATGACTCGCATTCCTACAAAAGGATTTCAATGCAAAATATTTTTTGTTTGTTTATACATTTCATGACTTTAACCACATTTATGTATCTAAATATTAATATTATTAATATGTTTTTGTTAGTGATTAATGAAGCAAACAGATGATTAAGTTTAAGCTTATTAGAGATCATGACTACTTCATTCTTCAGTTTGACTTTCATTAATCTTTTCTTTAACATCTTCATCTTGCTCAACTTCTTCATTGACAGTAGCTGCCGGTTCTGTTGATGGTGATTTTCTTATTTTATTAGCATTAAACGGTGGAATCGCTTGAATTTTAACATGCGATCGTTTGTTAGACGAATGGCCGAGTTGTTGACCCGACGGAGATTTTTTAATTTCTGCGCCATCTTTCTCATGTGTGCTGTTGTACTTCTTCTCAAGATTCGTGAGAATTCTTCCAATGCTTGATGCTTTCACCTGCAATCTCTCAACCATTTCACCTTTCTGTGTCAGCTCATGCTCACATTCCTAATTTTTCAGTTCATTTTCATGTGTTAATATGTTAGTAAAATTAGTTTCTAATAAAAATCTATCATCGCAACAAAATTACATCTAAAAGTAAGAAATATAAAGTGAGATGTTTGAGGAATTACCTGAAGCTTTCTATACATTTCAAGATTAATTTGCTTGATGTCTTCAAGCTGTCGACGAAGAGAGACAATCGTGTCTTGCTTCTCGTGAATATCTTTCTCAAGCAATTTCATAGCCATTTCTGTCTCAGCTTTTAGGCACACCTGAAGTTCCAACTCTCTTTCTGTATCTTGTCGCTTTCTTCTCTCTTCAGCTAAAGTTTCAGCCATTTCTGGATCGAAATTATCTAAAACATTCGCATTATCGACAATTTGTCGATTGTTATGATTTTGATTCTGACGTAAAGCAGCATTTTCAGCTTGAAGAGTTAGAAGACTGTTTCTTGCTATCGCCAAATCTTCTTTCATCAATGCATTCGTTGTCGTCAATTGTTCGACTTTCTGCTGAAGATTTGCAACAGTTGCACTGAAAGTTTTCTTTTATGATTATTTTAAAATTATTAAGAGATGTTTAAATATTACTTTAAATGACGATTTAGCTCTTCGATATAATTTTTCTGATCTAAAACTGCTGTCATATTTCCACCTTCAATTGCTGGCTGTTCATCTTCGGGACTTGATCTTGAACTCGAACGCAAGTAAAGTGAAAAATCAATGACGCCTTGTTGTGAATCTAAATCTTCGCCCTTCACGCATAAATTGCAATCAATCACATTCAATCCTACTAATATTCCCATAATGACGATGATCTGTAGAAGTTTGTACAAATTTTCTATCAATTTTCTTTTATAAAGTTTGATTATTTGAATTTCTTACTTCATCACTTAACATCAAAGCATGAGGTTCATAAAATTCAGCAAGAATTTCATTCTTATGCTCAATCAATGATTGCAAATAATCTGCAAGTTTCTTCTGCATCAGAGCCAATCGAAGCCATGCTCGTGATCTGCCAGTGTGAGTACGAACAGTTGGCAAATCCCTGATACTTAAGGTGACGTCTTGAGCTTCTGGACAATATTTTTCAATACTCTGAAGGAGATCCCAAAGTTCTTTCTTGGGCCCTAAGAGACCTTTTTTTGGTCTCAATCCATGACGAAGAACATGCTCAAGAACGATAAAAAAATGTTGTAATGGAAGATGATCCGAATCTAATTGACGTCCGTAGCGCAACGATTGCTCTAAAAGTTCTTTCACAACAAGCTTACAAATGTTGACGAGATTTGATCGTTCAATCGCTGCGGGATCGCGAGCTGAGAACAAAGAAATTCAAAAATCGATCAAAGCAGTCGCTTTTTTTGTTTACAAATGAAAGAAATAGAAAGAAGAGAACTTTTTAAAAATGTTACGGCGCCACGCGAAATTATCAATTATAGTTCTTATCATTTTATTTTCTACGCAACAAAGGAAGTGTAAAGTGATTCAATCCACGGGTTCGATTCTTTTTAATGATCATGGATTTCAAAAAAAGTGTCTGGGACCAAACGATGTTGCATTATTAGCTGCAAGATTGAAATTTCAAGATCTTCTGCCAGATATTACCGACAGCAGACTTCTAAATGATGAAGGAATGACGACTGTCATCAAATATTTTTATAAAACTCATGAAATTATTGAAAATATCAACACAAATGATGTTCGTGAGTTGCTTCAGAAAAGTTTCTTTGATATGTTGGGAAGGTGAGCGAGAAACTTTCTTTATTGAAAAATTTAGTAATTTTGTGAATATTTTTAGCTTCTTGAAGCATCAATTTCTGCCACTTGCGAAATATTCTTTCTACTCCGGAAATATCACATATAAAGTTGTTGAAAATATTTCAAATTTGTTCGAAAGGTGTAAGGAATTGTTAGACACGAATGGAAATGATTGGCGAAATCCTATCACAGATTTCTCGCAATTTTCATCATACATTGAACCAATTTCATTAACAACACAATTAAATGATGCTGAAGCAATGAAGTCATGCGCATGTTTAGCAACTAATCAAAACGATGATAATGATGATGAAGAGATGATTGTCCCATTGCCAAAGATGGAAATTGATGAAGATGACGCATTGTCAACGATTTGGTTGCCACTCAAACGCAAACACATTTTCAACATAAACTCAAAAGCGTCAACTTTTATACTTTTCCGATTTTTCGTCACTGTCTCTCAATGCTACAAATATCAAAACATTGATCAATCGATTTTCAATCAGCGATTAAAAGTTTGGTTGTTGGAAAATATTTCACCATATCTGAACGATGACAAATTGTATCCTGCATTCGGTGGAGTTTTGAGAATTTTTAAAACAATAAAAGGACCCAACGATGTGAACATTCAAATCAATAAACATAGAAAAGTTAAACAAAAAAGACTTCGCTTAAATTTATTGCAAAATAATGAGTTGCATTCAGAGAATAACGAAGAAAATCTGAACTCAGACGATAATTACAACAATGACTTGTGGATTGCAATTGCTTTAGCAGCTTTCACTACTGGAGTTATTATTATTATCATTTATATGTTGATAAATTGCTGTTGTAGCAACAAGAAAGTGAAATATTCTAAACCAACACGAAAACTAAGTTGCATGCAAAAGCTTATCAACTTTTTCAAGCACAACACGCATCAACCAGACCCAGATGAATTTCATACTTTCAGCAAAAAATCTTCTAAGCAACGAGTGAATTTTGAGAATGAGAAACAACTTAAATCTAGATTGAAAGGAAAGAAGAAAAGCATGGACAGAATGAAACTTCCTTTGCTTCATAATCTCACTGAATCTGAAGAAGACATTTTAGAAGTTAATCCGACAAACAAATCATGGTCAGGTTCTTCTATCGTCTCACAAAATGATTCGAAAAATCAATCAAAATTCAGGATAACTGAAAGCTCAGAAGATGAACAGGAAACGAAATCAAAATCTTCGAAATTCTTAAACAAGATTCGCTCTTTGTCGCCGAGTAGATTCCGCAAGCAGAAGTCTTAAATTTGGGTCAATATCTTGAAGCAAAGCACCAACCAATAAAGCATAATTTATATATTTTTTTAATGAATTCAGTTGAATGAACTGTACTGGATAAAGAAAAAAATGTTTTGTTTCTGTGTCTGTAGTTGAATGGTTCTAACTTAAGAAAAAATGTATGTGGCGATTATGTTTATGCGGGCGCGCAACTAAATCATAAATTAAACATGTAATTGACGTTTGTGTGAGAGTACAAAACGAAGAAACACAAAAAGGAAATACGAAAAAAGCACCTACAGTAATAATTGACCCAATCACGCTCGACAATCTTCTCATTGCACTTATCATTTGCAACATGAATACGTTTAGGATCATCATTCGGAGCACCTTCATTGTTTTGACTTTGCATTCCGTCTTGAAGCTCCTTAAGACAGAGCCATTCACCATCAACCGAAACACGAAAATTACACAAGTAAATCGTATCCTGAGCCGATGTTACATCTTTCGTGGATTTCGGAAGCAAAATGGTGCTCTCGTTGTTGTTATTAATGTTGATAAGATTACTTTTCTGAGATACTTTCGACGACCCCGAGTTGCTGTTACTTCCACGCATCCTTTACTAAAATTGAAACCGAAATATTGCAAAGGAAAACTTTCTCGACATTCAAATGTTTTCTTACAATATGATTCATCATTTTCCAAAGAAAATTATCGATTTTTCTTCCTTATTGCGTTTTTTCTGTTTTCTTGTTTTCGAAGATATTCTTCAGTTTATTTTAACAAACCCGGCCTTTATTTAGGCGTTGAGGATCTTATGAAATCAAGTATTGATAAGTGAAGAGTCGTTATGTATTATTTATCGGTTAAAAGAATTTTAATCGAAACGACGAGAAAAAGGATTCACACAAACTTTGTATACTTGAAACGGACATGCGCAATTGAGTCCTTAAGGAAACAACAGATGATTTTTGTTATGAAAACATTAAACAAGTAAAATCCAATAATAGAAAGAACCGCTAATTGATAGTTCCACTATAAGTTGCTAACGCATACTTATTGCTGATGTCATCATTCATGAATAAATTAAAGTAATCTCCACAACTCTTCTTATACATAATGTTTTTATTTTTGGCTTTACTCACTCAGTCGTTGAATTTTCTCATTTCTGTCGTCATTGTTATCATGTGTTGACCAGGAATCTGTCGAACTATTTTCTCTTATTGATGCTAGCGATGGTGAACGCTGCAGATTATCAGAACTTTCACTTAAACTTCTCCTCAAAAATAAACTCATTTTGAATTTTCACTTGGCAGAACACAACAAATCTTCAAATATACACGAATAAATGTAATCTAGAAAGCACCGAATAAGATCATTATATCACTGACAGAACGGTTATAAAATAAACAACTACAAAATTAGGCTTTTAAGCTAATTTGAAATGAATTTGTGAAAAATTCATTTGTTGCCGAATAGTTTGTTTTGATATCAGAGATTACTCAATTTTCCGATAGAGTGCGCTTCATGCAACGTTCGACTGAAATGGATTGAAAATGAAACATTAGAAATTAAATAAAATCTCATAATTATTAGATTATTCATAGAAAACAAATTTGAATATTAAACTAAGATCATATCAATAATACTAATATACTAAACAAGAAGCATGACAACTTAGAATTTAAAAGAAATACATGAATGAAAATATAAGTTCATTTCAACCGAATTTTCAAATCTGTTCTAAAGTTTAGAATTGTAAACAAATAAACGTGAAATTAAAAATGTTCCTTGCTCGCTCTTCGAAAATTAGAAATATAAATAAAAGTGCTATGGATTATTATAAACCTACTTCGAAAGATGATTCGTATGACTATTATCAAGAGGTTGCTAGATCAGCATTTGCTGACATGCTTCACGATAAGGAAAGAAATGAGAAATATTCACTTGGAATTAAAGCTGCAATAGTGGAAATGAAATCTCAAGGAAGAAAAGCAAATGTTTTAGATATTGGTACAGGCACAGGGTTATTAGCAATGCTTGCTGCCCAGCATGGAGCTGATACTGTCACCACAATTGAAGCTTTCTCTCCAGTTTCAAACTTCGCTCGTCAAATCATTTCAGACAACGGATTTAAAGATAAAATCAAAATTATCACTAAACATTCAACTAAAGTAAAAATCGGCTGTGGTCAAGACATGGAACAAAAGGCAAACATTCTTGTTGCTGAAGTACTTGACACTGAATTAATTGGTGAAGGTGCTATAAGCACTTACAATCATGCACATAAATATTTAATGGAAAGTTCTTGCATTTGTGTGCCTCATTCTGCTTCAATATTTGTCCAAATAGTGGATTGTCCTACAGTAGTTAATTGGAATTCACTAACATTAGAAGGCATAAAAATTCCCGACGATGTAATATTCAATGAACAATTATAAATTTGATGCAAAGTTTAAACTAAGTTTTGATTTTCTTTTAAGGTTTTGCGATGCAGAGGATCGCCGTCGATACATGATCTTCAACTAAGCCAATTACCGACAAATAGTTTTAAAACTCTTGGAAGTTTTTTCAATATTTGTGATGTCGATTTCTCAGGAAAAACTCAAATTAAATCATTGGAAAGATTTACAAAACAATTTCAAGTTGAAAGGAAAGGAGTAGCAAACGCAATATTTTTCTGGTGGGAAATTAAAATGAATTCCAGTGGATCGATTTTATTGAACTGTGCTCCATATTGGAATCATCCCGACTGTGATCTTAAAAATTCTGAAAAGAATGAAATTTATTTAAGAAATTCTATTCCATGGCGTGATCACTGGATGCAAGGAGTTTTCTATATTCAATCAAGACAATCATTAAAAGAAAATAGTTGTGCTTACGTTACAGCTTGTCACGACGAGTTCTCATGGTGGTTTGAAGTTTCACAAACAGCATCATTTGATTCCTCTATTGAGCGACCACTTTGCACTTGTATTTTTCACATGGCAAATTCAAGAAGTCGAATTATGGAAATGAATAAGTTAAAAATTGAGTCTTTTGATCTTCCTAAAACTGGATGTTTACTTTTCCTGGGTGATCATAGTCTTCTAGGTCTTCAAGCGACGTTACAAACAGATGCAAAAATTTATATATTTCAAAGTCATCCGCTTTGTATTAAAAGCATGAAGAACTTTATAGAATCAAATAATCTTCAAGAAAGAGTTCAGCTTATCTTTGATCTGAATAATATCAGCGAACCAATAACACAAATCATCGCTGATCCTCATTTCAATGATGCAATTCTTCCTTGGGACAACATTAGAATTCTTCAGAAATTTATGATAAACTTAAAAAATCACAAAGGGACATTCATGCTTAATCCTGTCTCTGCATCGATTTATGCTGCTCCAGTACATTTCCTGAATCTTCACAAAATTCGCTGGCCCTTGGAATCATCTTGTGAAGGATTTGATCATAAAATGTTTGATGAAGTTTTAGACGTTGCATCATCGTTTGCTGATGCTAATGTTGAACCATTTTCCCTTTGGGAATATCCATGTCTATCTTTGGGTTCATCAGTAGAAGTTTTCAAGATGAATTTCAACGATGAAAGTTGTAAAAGTTCGAAAACGATTCTTCCTGTAGAATCTTCATTGAAAACTTGCAATGGAATTGTTTTTTGGGTTGAATGGAAGTTCAATAATCAAATGAAAATTTCTCAAGAACCTTCACAAGAAATGCGACTTAATGAACTAATAAATTGGTCCATTAATGATCGACATGGTGTTCATCTTATTCCTGAGTCACAAGTTAAAAGAATCATCAAAGAAATTGAAATTGAAACTGTAATTGATGATGAAATTTTAATCAATTTCTTGTATTTCTTCAATTCAAAATAAGAAGAAAGTTTTCGACAATAATTATTGAAATTTTATTTTTTCTGTAAGTACCAACTAAAGCAGAAAATGAAAAATAAAACTATTTTCTTATTAAAAAATGATTTCAATCATTACTCAGTATTTTCATCGAGCCATTTTATGATATTTTTATAATTTTTCTCAAGCCATGCAATGTTAGCTTCAACACTTTCAATTGCTTGTTTGATAATTCGTCCTTCTTGTACTTCTTTGTCATCAAAGTTCTTCAATGCTTCAAGTTGATTTCGATCAGTCAGCTTTTTCGTCGAGAGTTTGATTAAGTAATTTAAGTTACTTAAATATAAACTTCCAAAACTTTAAACAGAATAAAATTTAATTTAATATCTCTATTAACATAATTTAATGATGAAAGGAACTTACTGAGTCTTCAAACGATTCCAATTTTCCTTGATAAAGTTAAAAGCTATTGATTGACTCCAAACATTGTTTGAAACCGATGAGAAAACTCTGAATGTGTCTTGCTTACGAATCGGACCATTCTCGGCTATTGTTCGTTCAAGATATCGACTTAAAATCCAATGTTCTCTGCTGCATCCCAAAGCTTGGATGAGAATTTCTTTTTCACTTGGTGCTGTCGCGTTCAACAAACGATTCCATGCAAAATCCCATTCTTCATTGTCTCCATGCTTGATGGCAGTGCAATAAACAACAAATTTGAAGTTTGGTGAAATTCTAAGATTGAAAATAAATTTAAAAAACTTTAAAACATTCGAATGTTAGAGAAGTCTTACGGATTGTTAATGTCAGGATTTGCTTCATGGACCCATGTATGGAATTTAATAATTGCATTTGTGACGCAATCCTTCATGCCCAAATGGCAAGCAGCTTTCAAAATTTGATAACGATTGAGCATAGTCAAAACATCGCCAGTATCTTCAAATTGCAACCTGTTGTAAATATTCTCAATTCTCGATGTCAAATATTTCTGAAATGAAAAAGAAATAAATTTCTATAACAAATAGAAAAAAAATTGGCATTAAATTACCTTCATTTTGTCATAGTCTGGCATGCGAATTAACATTGAGTCAATGTACAATAAATTGTTGAGTGCAGTTTTCCACGGAACATAATCGCGTTCATGACTCAAGTATTTTGTGACATCAAGTGCTGTTGTATAATCTAAAAGATCAGCTCGTGCTAAATTCATTGCATCATCAATCAGCTGTGCTCGATTAGACTGTGAAATTTCATGATATCGTCGCGGGTTGTTTAAGTGATTGATGATTAACTTCCAATTTATAATGTCGTAATTGACGCGATAGAAACCTGTGACTTGAATGTTTAGCAGCAACCAGTCTGATGACTGAGCGATGTTTTCAATTGTTATATTTTTCTCAGCTTTCATCCAATGAGATGGTTTTGTGTTGTCGAACTCTAAGTCAGTTTTTGTTGTGTATGTTATGGGCACCCACCATAAAGCTTCCTTTTCATTTCTTTTTATCGATTTTTTGTCAACTTCCGATGATTTTGTATCCATAAGAATAAATCGACGTTGTTCTAAATATGCTTCATTCGTTTCGTAATTTCTCGTGACCGTAATGTAAGGAAATCCGGTTTGCAATGTCCCCCCATCCATGATTTCCTTTACCGACATTGTGTCATCGAAAATTCCTGACTTTTGTGCTTCAAGAGTCAAAGCTGACCACAAATCATCTTGGGTTGCTGATTGGTACTTGAACTGATTGAGATAATTCGTTAAACCCCTCTTGAACACGTCAAGAGTTAAAAAGCTTTCCATTGAACGAATAACTGAAGCTCCTTTCGAATAAGAAATCATGTCAAATATTTCATTAATTTGATCGGGATTTGACACTTCAATCGATATTTTATGTGAACTTGAGAGTGCATCTAATCCAAAGACCGAATGAAGTTCATTTGCAACAAACAAATCTTTGCTTTTCCATGTTGGTTCGAGATGATCAAGACAAATATCTTCCATGTATGTTGCAAAACTAATTAAATTATTCCAATCAATTATTGAGATATCTGCGAAGACATTAAAACCAACTCACCCTTCATTAAGCCATAAATCTGACCACCATGACGGTGTCACTAAATTTCCAAACCACTGATGTGCAATCTCATGACAAATCACAGCTGCAACTGTTATCTTCTTACCAATCGCTGACACTCCTGGTTCATAAAGCATTGCCGTCTCTCGAAATGTAATTAAACCCCAATTTTCTGTAATCAGTTTTTGAAAATGCTTTTTAAATGATTATCAAAGACATTTCATCAATTACCCATAGCTCCGGAGCTAAAGTCAGGAATTGCAATCATGTCTGTTTTCGGCAATGGATATTTTATGTTAAAGAATTCTTCGAGAAATGCCAATGCCCTTGGACCAACACTTAAAGCATAATTCAAAGATCTGCTGGCATCTTTGCGAGACCAAACAGCGAAATTATTTCCATTGGATTTTCTCTCAAAATCGCAGATGACGAAAGCAACTAAATATGACGACATTGGAACTGATTCTTGATAAATATCCCACACATATCCTTCAGTATATTTGAGTTTATCAGTGAATAAAACAGTCTTCTCAATTGGCATATTTGAAAGTGTCTTCATTTCATTTGGACGACCGAGACTAAGTTTGAATTTTGCCTTCAAATTTGGCTCATCAAAGCATGGAAAAGCTCTGAAAGGAAATGACAATTAAAGTTTAATTATCGTTAATTTTTCTGCGAAATATTTCTCTACCTTCGAGCATCGGTAGACTGAAATTGTGTTGATGCCAACCATTTAGTTTCTGAATTCTCCTTATACGAAGATTTGTAAAATCCTTGAAGATTATCTTTAATCATTCCGCTAAATTGTAATTTGACGACGTAATATGAATTTTCCTCCAACTCTTTAGACGTTTCAAGAACAAGAAATTGTTTATCTTCAACAAAATATTGATTTTTGATTGAAATATTCTCGAACGGCTTATCATCGTTATCAAGTTTCTGAATCTGAGAATCATTCCAAACGATTGACAACGTATTTGAGTGTAATGTGACATTCTTACAACTCTCAAGAATTTTAATTTTTATAGCCACTTCACCAGTTGATGTGAAGTTTTCACCAGATAGTAATGGCAACAACACAATGTCATAAGAAATTGGAATAATTGATCTTGGAAGTCGTAAATCTTGCGCATATTTCGGTGAACTTTTATCTGGTGAGTATGTCGATGTTGTGAGCGCCATTGATAAATTGTAAACTTCATCGTGATCTTGAATTTTTTTCTCTGCTTTCTGTGACTCATCTGGAGAGCAAACAGCAAAATTGAAGACTAGAAGAGCGACAGCAGCGATGACAAATAGAAGGAGAGCTACGATGAATAAGAAGCCGCCTCGACTAAGTTCAATGAAAGTCTTCTTCTTTTTGGATTCATAGCGATCATTGTGTCTCGTATTTTCCATCGCAAAAGTGTCTCGCATTCTATTGCTGTAATTTAATCAAGTAGAAAAGAAACGTTTAAGCATATGGGCAACATATCTGATTACATTTGTTCATATTTAAAGATATTAAGACGGGATGTGGGATCCTTTTTTTCCTTTTTTTATTTCTTCGATGCATTCCCCGGAAATTTCCAAATCCAGTTAATGTCAAGTTGTGTAATTAATTTCTTTTTTATTCGCAATAAAAAATTCTTTTCTCCCCCGTAATCTTTATAATATGATTTAGTGAACCATGCGACATGAAATTAATCGCGACAATATTTATCAATGTACGTCAAGAGTCTTGTGATGAAGAAGAAGTTGATCTTTAAACTTCGTGGCTCTCGTGAGACTTCATCTCAAACTGCTCGACAGAATAATTTAGAAGTAATGTTTACGTTCACGTTTTAATAGATAATTTGAACAAAAGAGACGAAATGTAACCTTTGAAAAATTATCAAGCAATTATCAGTCAAAATAAAACACCAGAAGTGAGTTGCGAGTGTGAACGTCGTAGACCTTTTATGTTTTGATTCAAACCAAGTGGACCATGATAGACATTTTGACCGTAATTTCACTTGTTTGTCTCATGTCAAAATTCGTCTTTATATCTCCCAAGACGTTCTTTCCGTGTCTTATAAATCAGTCACATGGTCGTTTGTTTATTTGTTTGTTTGTTTGAATAATAATTTCACATCGTGCTGGTCTGTAAAGTCATTAATAATACATTAAATCATGTGAATAAAGACACAACTAATGGAGTGATTTGAAGTCTTTTGGAATATTTAGCTAATCATCTGATTGAAGTTCTCAAATCTTTACAAATTCACAAGACAATTTACGCTTAATTGATAACTTTTGAATGGAACTTTCATCACATTTTGTGTACAGTTATAAAAGATTCTAATCGAAACATTGAAGCATTCAATTATGAATAAAACATGATCAAAATGGTGATAAATTCTTTAAACGAATTCTGTTTTTATATCATAATAAAATGTTTGACAGTTTTGTTCTCTATTGATTCCTACGATTGACAAGAAGCTAAGAATGAGATTTATTAGCTTCAATTGGCACTAATAACTTAGTTTTGAAGCCGAATAATAAAAACAAGTAGACAAAAAAATGAGAATATTTGACGAGGGCATAAAGAAATTTGCCTCACGCGGTTTCATCGGGGAATGGACGTAAGTGTAGTTGATGAAATTGAACGACGTTGGATATGAGATGAGATAATGATGTAGCAAAACAATTTTAATTGAATTAAATTTAAAATATTGTGACAGGCAATTCTCAATTATGGTTGCGCTACTTTGATTGAGCAGTCGAGAAAGAATTTCAAATTTCATTCTTTCTTCATTCAGAACATTTTAATGTCGTTTTATATCACGAGACTCATTAATCAAATATAACCCTAAACAAATTGAATTTAAAGTAAATTCTTGGGACCCACACATAAATCGTTGCCACCCACATGTTTAAAACTAACCCCGGTTATGCTACATAATGCTACATAAATAAATATTCAGGTTAATTCTGATAAGAAATGTTTTCGTTTAAGTGTCAAAGTAAACGATTTTTCAATCATTCACTCGTAAAATCACACAACGTGACATAGTATAATTTATTTATTATTTATGTTCCGCATCTTTGAGCGTCATCAATTGAATCCAGTTCACTGTTTCTTTTAAAGTCTAGTTCAAGGATAAATTTCAATTGAATTAAATGACATCCACCCGGCATTGCGATTTATGATGATGTACGTGAACATGTACATAAATATTTGAATTTTCATATAAAACTTTTCTCCTTGACACAATCATGAAATAAATTATTCATTGAGTTATTTGATTGGTCTTGAATCCCTTGAGAATTGACAGGTGACAATTGATCTTTTTAATTAAAAAACTCATCCAAAACATGTTTTCTAGCAATCAAATTTATTTCGTACAAGTTTCATCTCTCCATTAATTCATCATTAAAAGCAGCTGTGCGAAATATAATTTTGTTACAATGCCAAAAATCATCGTTATTAATGAAGCATACGACAGTTTTATTCGAAGAAAAGCACATCAATTCGTTATCACTCCGAAAGAAGAAATGATTGTGACAAAAATATTCTCACAAAGGAATTTCAAGAAGTAATGTAATTGGCAAATAAATTTATATCACAACCTTAAGAGGGATTCTCGAGTAAACAGACAACGATCAACTATCAACCACTTAAATAAAACATAAAATCTTTAAAGTGTAGCGGAGCGTAACCGATACCCTTAAGATTGATACGTATGAGAACATCACACCGGTAAGCACAGTGTTAAGAAACAGAGGTAAATGAATCAGAATTCCTTAGGGTGAAACTTTTTTCCTTCACTCGTACCCTTGTCAGCCAATCGCCCTTATTCAGCGATGGCTTAGAATGTTTTTTTAATAAACTTTAAGAATTCAACTAGATACACAACTGTCTATGTAAAGTGAAAAGGCTTCGTTCTTGTTAAATGTTCCTCGATCAAATTTTGGCTTGTTTCTATAAAATATTTCACGAGTCTTATTATTCTACAACTAATTTATTATATTAAATATCATATTATGCGCAAACTTCTTCATTAAAGCTATTGGAAAAAAAAGTTTGAAAGATATCAAATTTCTGCGTCGTGAATTCTTGAAATTTGCGTTGGAAATTTAAATTCATTGCGAAAGGAAATTTAATTATTAAACGGCACTCACTAATTGAACGGTTCAAACTGCACAAGTTTGTGTTTCTTTTTAACCTTGCTTCTTACTTTTATAATGACACCCAAATATACAATTTTATTTGATTCACTTTGTTACACTGATCGTAAGTATTTATACAAAGATCTGAAGTTTTTTTTTTGATTGTTAAAAAAAATATTTAATATGCTCTTCAAAGCATTATTATTTTTTTAATTGAACCAATATATGATGAATTTCAAGAAAAAAATCCATGAGAAAAATCTTCAATTTGCCACTCAGAATTAATTTCAACAAATTGACAAAACGATTCGTTTTAAACGTCTTATCGCAACGAAGAACACGGAGAGACTGAGATGATTTTTATGCTTATGCTTCGTTCTTTTCGCTTACTTTGAGAATATTTTTTAATTGAAACTGTGAGAGAAAATAAAGCAAATCATCAACAGAAAATTCTGCACGTGATACTCACAGTTCTTTACATTTCTCTTTGCTCGGTTGATTAATTTCATTTGAAATCTCAATTTTGTTTCTCTTTTCAATATTTTTTTCTTATTTATTAAAGTGTGAAAAAGGAATAGAAAAATTTGATTTCGTAAGGTAAGCATTTCGTTCTTATAAGAATTATTTCAAAATTTCGCATGCTTGACAATCTTCGACAATCTTCTATAAAATTCATAGCCAAAACATTACAAATGTTCCATTCGGAGCACCTCAAATGTTTAGCTCATGCAACATTAAAAAAACTTTAAAAAGCGTGAAGCAGTTTAACATTTTACAAGGATTTTTCTTACCAACATATATTTCAGGAAATGTAAAGCGTTAAATGAAATCGTAATCAGGTCACTTCGACATTTCAAATGACATTGCATTTAAACACAAATGCTAAAAACTCACTCGCACAAATGTGTGGTTTTTCTCATAATGCATTTCATTTACAAAAAAATGTTTTTTCTCTCACTAGAACCAATGAATTTGTTCAACAACAATGTGTTCACAATATGGTAATTATTCGGGAAAAAAGTAAAATACACAGGCAAATTGTATGATAATGACTTGTAAACCCGCATTTTGTGATATATCATGACTTTTAATTTCATTTGTAGTCTTGAAGGGTTAAGACGTGAACAACGCAAGTCATTCAGTGAAAATATTAAGAAAATGAAAGCTTTCTTCATTTTGTGTATGATAAGCTCATTAAGAAGTGAACCACAACTAGATTTGCCAAAAATCCACACTACATCGCCCCCATCACATGATGGTCGGGAACGTCCGGAAGTTTTAGTGTTGCCAAATAGTTACACAAGTGAAAAGCATGATACACAAAGGAAAAGTGGGTCAAACTACCGTTTTGATAGTGACAGAAGCCAAAGATATGGTTAACATAAAATATTACATAACTTTTTAAATGAAATGTTTTAATGAGTAATAAAAAAATTGCAGGTCCACCTTACGATAGTATCGAAAACGACGAATATCCAGTAAATCAGAAGATTCAAGAACGAGTTAGATATGATTACATTCCAACTAAATTTGACTCTAATCGTGATAATGTCAAAGTAACACCTAATAATGATGATTATGATATTAGAAATCAACAAGTGAGAATAATTTCTAAGTGAAAATTTCTTTTTCATTTTAATGTTCCCAATAATTTTCAGTTTCCGAATCATAATTATCAAAATAATTTCAATAATCCCTATGGAGGTGATGCCTTCAATAATGGAAATGGATTTCAACAAAATCCTTATGACGCTGAATATGAAAGAAAAATTCGAATTGAAACTGAAAATCTTCGTAAATTTCTAATCGAGATTGATAAGAAAAACTCAGCCGAATGCACTTTGAATGTTGCAGCTCAGTGGGCTTTTGAAACAAATGTTAATGAAGTTACTCAGATCGATGCTGTAAGTTTGTTTCATTTATTCTTTCTTTACGAATCTGACATTGACCTAAACATACTTCACATTCGCGTTTCTATCCAATCATCGAAATCTTTTTAACATGCCGACGTGAAACTTTTGTGCGGTGGGAAAACTGATTGTTTACCTATCAGCATAATGAGAAAAACAATCAACCACAAATCTTTGCGATTCTCTGCGTTTCAATTGATTAAATTCATTTTTAATATTCACAGTTAGCAGCTCAACAAAGATATTCTGATTATATGCGATCAATTTGGGAACAAATTAAATTGATTGATAAGACGTCTTTATATGATGAAAACCTTCATCGCCAATTAAAACTTCTAGCTTCCATTGGACCATCAGCTTTGCCAGCTGATCAATTAGATCGGGTAGGTTGATCATTATAATTTTTCTTATTTAAAGTTCCTTGATTGATTAACAATGAGCGAATTATGTGGTTAAAGTATAATAGAATTATCAACGACATGTTGGCAATTTACAACAGTGCAACAATTTGTGGATATGAACAACCATTTCAATGTTCTTTAAGACTTCAACCACATCTCAAAGAAGTGAGTTGCATAACATTTCATGAATGTACAAAATTAACTTTCAATTTTCTTCTAGATTATGGCAAAAAGTCGAGATTGGGATGAGTTGACTTGGGTATGGACAGAATGGAGAAGAAAAGCGGGAAAACCAATAAGAGATTTATTTGAGCAACTCACAGACTTAACCAATGAAGCTGCAAATTATAATAGTGAGACATGAAAAAGATTTCATTGACAGCTTTCACAATGAATTCTTATTTATCAGATTACAAAGATGCTGCTGAATATTGGTCGTTCCAATTTGATACTCCAAACTTTCGTTATGAAATGGAAGACGTTTGGAAGGAAATTCTTCCCTTGTACGAACAACTTCACACTTATGTGCGACGAAAGCTGAGGGAGTTTTATGGCCCTGACAAAATCAACCGCAATGCTCCGTTACCCGCCCATATCCTTGGCAATATGTACGGTCAAAGTTGGAATATTTTAGACATAACAGTTCCATATCCCGGTCGATCAAATTTAGATGTGACCCCAGCAATGAGAGCTCAAGGCTACTCACCTTTGATCATGTTTCAACTTGGAGAAGAGTTCTTCACGTCAATGAATATGACGGCAATGCCACCGGAGTTTTGGGCGCATTCAATATTCGAAGAACCTGTCGACAGGCCAGTGTTATGTCAGCCGTCAGCGTGGGATTTCTGTAACGGCGCAGATTATCGGTAATAATATAAATATTTTTTATTATGAATATAATTAACAATTTCAACACTTCCCATCATTACTTTACATGCTACCGATTAACATACAACAAACGATATGTTTACGTTCATTGTTCATATTTACGTAGAATCAAAATGTGCACCGATGTAACTCATAAAGACTTCGTAACCGTTCACCATGAGCTGGCTCATATTCAATATTTTTTGAATTATCACAACAATCCCAAAGTGTTTCGTGATGGCGCAAATCCAGGTTTGTCAATCAATTTTCTTATCGATTTCTTTAATCTCAGTAATTAAAGATGAAAGGAAAGTTAAAAATATTAATGATCAAGTTATTTTAAAAAGGTCACAAAACTATTAAATATTTCCATTTTGGCATGTATTTAAATTTGTTTTAATGGTACACTCATTTGACTACCTCTCGATGCTTAAAATTTGTTACAAAACGCATCATTGGCCTGTCTTTCTCAAATCATTTCATTAAACATCAAGTTTTTTCCTTTTTTTTTGTTTCAAATTTATTTATTTTTAAGTGAAAGCAATTTTTAGCAACCTTCACACTCCAAAACATTGAAGCGGAAAACACTCGATAGTTTATATTCGTGAATATGCTTTTGAAGATTAATTACTTCGATGTAACTTTAATACGTTAAGTTCACGCGATGAAAGTGAAATGTTCGTAACAAAGTCAAGCGGAAAGATTAAATCTCGCAAGACTACTTTTAAATAAAAAATAAGAGTGAGACGAGAAAAGAAATGCAATTGTTGTTGATGCAGTCGTTGAACTTTTATTATTTAGGTGAACATGTTTCAAGTTTTAACCGCAAGAAACAATAAAATAGTACAAGAGATATGTACAGTACATATGCTTTCTACTGTCTTGCTGATTGTAAAAATGTAAAGCAAATACACATTAATGACAAGCGATTGCATGAGCTAATGACACAATTTTGTGTGTTCGCAAGCGATAGGCTCTTTGTGTTAATTACATCACGATTCAACATGTGACTGCTTTCCCATTGAGAGAACAAAGACGGGAGAAATGTTAGATAAACGTTTTAATATTTCCCAGGATTTCATGACGCTATTGGTGATGCTATAAGCTTATCAATCACTCCGAAACATTTGCAAGGTCTTGGACTTATTCAAAAATCTATTGACGATACAGCCCACGAGATCAACTTCTTATTCGCCATGGCAATGGATAAAGTAAGCTTAATGTGAAAGCTTTTACATTAATCGCCTCTTAAATAATTTAGACGAGAAATGATACACATTCACTTTAGGTTGTCTTCTTGCCATATGCATTGGCCTTGGAACAATGGCGATTTGATGTCTTTAGTAAAAAGGTCCACAAGGAGCAGTTCAACTGCCATTATTGGTTATTAAGGTAAAGTAAAAGTAATCCTCCTTCATTGATAACATCACATTGCAACTATTTATGAATGATCCCCACTTTAATTGCACTTTTATAAAATAAAAACGGTTGAAGTAAAATCTGACATAATACGAAGAATGAAGGAAAGTTTATTTAAAATAAATAAGCTCAACATTAAATGGTTTAAAATTATGTAATAATTCAATTCATCTATTTGATCTTTCTTGATATTTTTACTCGTAGTATTTACTTCCTTTGTTGAGTAAATAATTTAATTATTTAATTACTTGCAGGGAGAAGTATGGGGGAATAAAACCACCAGTCTTAAGATCAGAATTGGATTTCGATCCCGGAGCTAAATATCACGTTCCAGCTAACGTACCATACATGAAGTAAGTCACAATTGAAAGGCATAACATCAAAGTATGTAATTATGTGCACAACAATGTTTCAATCATTTCAATGTCATTTCACACTTTTAATCTTTAAATTTCTTCATTTATTGCGATCATGATGACTCGTTGTTATAAAGCTTGCAATGCTTGCGCATTAGAGTGCTTGTCTCTGGTTATTATGCCAATTAACTCATATTTATTAACGAGAAACATTAAACATTTTTATTCAATACCGAGACGATGCAAGCCATTTCACAACCATGAAATGTGCACGGAAAAAATGTTTATTTAGAGCAACGTTTAGCTTCTCTTTTCTTCATAACTATAAATAGCTAAAAGCTTCTCTCAGCTTCAATATAATTTACTATGTGCGGCTTCTTATGCATGCAGAATATGAGAATCGGTGGTTTAAGTTGTGTAATGCGAAGGAAAAGTTCAAAATTTTTCTTTTCAATCATGTTAGGAAAATCCCAAGAATTGCAACAAAAATTTATCGACTAATGATTGATAAACATGAATTCTTCACCTTTATTAATTACTCAACATAATTGTAGAAAATTTCCAAACAAAATTCCTTTGCAATTACGTTAAAGTAATTTAGATTGCTTCACTTTAGTCACATGGGCAGCAACTGTAAATCATAAAAGTTTAAAGCATAATTCTTTATAATTTTCAAACAACAATTAAAAAGCCCAATTACTGAGGTTGTTACTCGATATTTTATGACAAACGCTTAATTCTTCATTTTCAAAAACTATTCACTTGACTTTGTAGATAAATTGCTGGCAATTATTTATTTTTCTTTAATTATCCACTAATTTAGATTTCTTGTGTTAAAAAGTTTTCTGTCTTTCTAATCAGTTTGAAAAGTGTTTGAATGTTTGTGCTTAATTAATTTCAATAACTATATTCAGTTCAACATAACTTTGACTCAACATTAATGGATTAATGAAAACAATTCGCAACTAATGATGATTTTATGATCTTGTTACACATAATTTAGTTTGATTGATTTAATCAAGCATGGTGTGAATGTTTCATTGTTATCATGTCAAGTTTTATTGAAAGATCAATTCAAATTAGGTCATCATGTCTTTAGCCAAAAAAAAAGTATAAAAGCTTAGAAAAAACCAGAAATCGCGGGTTTCGATCAAACTTTTTGACATGTGTTGAAACCGCAACAGCAGAAGTTAACAATCGCAAGTCGTGACACACAAAAACAATATTTTGCAATTTCGTTTGCGAAAAACAAATTGTGTTTTTTTCAAAACATTAATTCATTTATGTTCAACATGCTATATGGTTTCTATTTATGTATAATTACTACAAAATTTATGCTCCACATCATATGAAACGGGTCATTAACCTTCGTGCTTCTGGTCATGATTTTTCTAAATATTCTTAAGTGCTATTCAAGCTTTTGATGGTTTTTATAATTAATTTAAATCTTATTTTAAATGTCAATTGAAACCTTCGACTGATTCATCAATTCAATTTGTGGCCCTTATTGTTCATGCTTTATTTAAGCTTTTTACGGAGTAACCTTTAGAAATGAATTATTCAAGAGTAAATCTTTACTCGACATTTGCCCAGCAGTCACGAATGCTGCACGATTCTTCATTCGTTCACATTAAATCAATTTCATGAAACCAAAGGTCTAACAAGTCGTTATTTGAAACGCAAGCATGGCATTTGACTTGCATTGCTGTTAGTTATGTTTCTTTCTTCATACCATGTCATCTTGACTTCTTTCCATACTTTTTACTTATGTAAATAAATCATTTTAGTTTTAAGGTGTAAATTTTTCGCAAAAATTAGTTCGCTAAACAAAGGTCTGTGACAATATCTTAATCTACAATTTTAAATAATTTGATGTCGTTCACACGATTACAATTTACAAAAAAAAATTAGATGATCAGATGATATCTCTAGCTACACAAATCATTTAATAACTGAATAATATCCAAATGTAAATTAAGATTGAATATTGATTGTTGTTGTTTAGTGTGAAAGAGAATAACATAAAAGAAAATTATTAACATTAATTTCAAGTTGAAACAATCAATTACTCTCCTAACTATCATGATGCAAATCACTTCAGATCATGTTAATTTGTAAATGATTTTAATCGACTCGTTCGTCATTTTCTTTCAAATTTGAAGACATAAAAAAACATCATCAAAATTTATGATACCCATTACTTCTTGAGTGGTTTACTCAAATTAGGTAGATGACTTGAAGCTTGAAGGCTTAACCTTGCTACTGCATCGTTATTGTAACAAGAGAGATTTGTTGTTTTACTTTTTTTTCTGCTTTTTTGTGCCGTCTTTGAATTATGTTGTTATAAGTAGTGCGAGTCAAGACTTTTAAACCTTGACAAAACAAAAAACCTCTGTGAAGATGATGAACAATCAAGTTCATGAGACGTTTTTTATGTCAATGTTTTGTTATTTTTTTTCGCAGATATTTCTTCTCAACAGTTTTTCAGTTTCAATTGCATCGTGCCATGTGTATTGCATCGAAGGAATTCGATCCTTCAAATCCCTCAAAGCCATTACATAAATGCAGTATTTATCGTCATCATGAAGCTGGTCACATGTTGAAGTGAGTTTGTTGATAATCTTTGATTAAAATGTAATCTGACGCTTCACTGTGTTGTACAGAAAATTAATGTCAAAAGGAGCATCACAGCCTTGGCAACATACGATTCAGGAAGTTATGGGTGAAGGTCGCCTTGATGGATCAGCTGTTCGCGAATATTTTAAACCACTTGAAGAATGGCTGCGTAATGAAAATCTAAGAAATCAAGAATATCTCGGTTGGAATTACGATGGTGATTATTGCAAAAAAAGGTGAAGAATTGAGAGCTTTAAAAGATTTAATCATTTAATTTAATTCACAAAATTAATTCACTTCCAGTATTGAGACGGCGAATCTTCAAGTGTTTGGTGGCTTCTATAATGATTCTACTTACGCTTCGATAAGCACGAAGGGCTTGATCTCTTCAATTTTCCTTAGATTTTGCTTCCAATTCAGTTTTGATTATTTTTATAAATAAATGTTTAGATGTAAATTAATATTTAAAAATAAAATGATGAAAGTTTTACTTTTAATCTTCTATTTTTTACATAATCGTCTAAGTTCTGAGGTTATATTAAGCAACCAATCCATGTGAGAAATATCTACAAAGCGTCAAGAACTGGTTATGGATCAATAAACACTTATTATATCATTTCTCCGACACAACTTGAAAGAAACAAAAAAGAAACGAGAGATGCAATTCTACAATTGATTGTATGCTTCAGTGTTGTGTTCAAAACTATGTCAGTGAAAACGAAAGTATATATCAACTTGTTTCAAACGTAAATGTTTAATTTTTCGCAATTCTTCTGGTTTTTATTTAAAAAAATGTTTTTAAAGTTGTTTCTTATGAGAGTTTTCATAGAAAGGAAAGCGAAAGTTACGAACTGTAACTGGAGAATTTTAATTCTTATCAATGTCAATCATTCTGCATACTCAAATTAAAAAAAGTTTTTGATAGCCTCCAACTTTGATCTGATCAAAGGTCATCAACATACTCAAGTTTTTTTTTTTTGAAAACAATAAAAATGAAACATTCAACATACCAACATAAATATTGCATATTTATCAGCAACACTTTTGCTTTCAATTTTCATACAAAATTTGAATTCGTTTGTTTCAAAGCGTTTTTATTTCAATTATAACGAGTCAATATGTGGAAGTATTTTTGCTTTCAGTTTGAAGCAACATATGCTGAAGAAAAAAATTAAAATTAAAATTTTTTCAAGAGATGGCATTATGTAAAGAAATGAACGATTTCATCGCGAATATTAAGGTCAGAGCAACAAGAAATGTGAATAGAAGCGATAAACATCATAGACAAACATCATGTTGAGCTTACATTTGATCAATGAAAATTTATCAATTCTTCAATCAATATCAATTAGACAAATTCAACACCTCACATACAAAAAATTCATTAAGTAACAATTTTAATTTAACTTATAATTTCGAAATAAAGTGACAAAGTAATATTGCAAAACAATCTCCGCCATGAATGCCCCAATTAATTGCCAAAATCTAGATGTATGAATTAAGAAAAAATATTTCGATTTCATTTTGGTAAACATTTATCTTTTATTTCTTCAATATCTTTTCAATTTTTTTTCTTTTCATTTTTTTTATAAATACCTAATTGTATTATGTTACAAAATTGTATTTATACATTACACAAAAAACAACTTATAAGGCAAGAAAGACTTGAATGAAAGAAGCTCAATTTGGTTTTATGTTTTGACACATTCTCTTGTGATGGGCGTGATGTGTTGTGATGCTACTGTAATTATGTTGATGCTTATTTTTTTGGTGGCAATGGAACTTATATGAGTTGAGTATCTTAAGGGTAAGAGTTTCAAGTTAAGGGTAAGAAAGAAATGAATGAGAAACTACAAATCTATGAAAATTCAATTAGAAATTTTTATCACAATAAAATTTAGTAGTGTCCGTGTTCTTCATGTGAATGTCCATGGTGGTGGGTTGGAACTTCAATGTGATAAGGTTTGTGTTGTTCAACTACATGTGGGACATGTTTCTCGAGTGTGATTGGGACTGGTCGTTCCACGGGAATGTGAACTGGGTATTTAACTTCCTTATAGACTGGATAAGGAACTTCTTTGTGGACTGCGTATGGGACTGCATAAGGAACCTTTACTGGTACTTCGATTCTCTTTTCCTGAGAAGAAAAATTAGACAACAAATATTTATTAATTGATTTAGTTATAATTAACTTTTTAATTATAAAATTACCTTGTACACTGGGACAGGGTTGTCAACATGAACGTGATGGGGAACTTTGACTTCTTTGTAGACAGGGACTGGCACCTTCTTCTCGTGGTAGACTGGATAAGGTTTTTCAACATTATATGGGACTGGACGATCAACCTTCACATGAACTGGATAATGTTGAACTTTTTCAACAGGGTAAGGTTTGTCAACATGAACGATTCTCTCAACAGGGTAGTGGACGGTCTGTGAATAACAGAAAATTGTTAACCAACAGTTTAAATTTAACATTTCATTTAACTTTACCTTTTCAACTGGGTATGGTTTTGGTACTTTAACTTCGACTGGAACTTTGATTTCTTTCACAACTGGGTATGGTTGAGCCACTGGAAAGAGTGTCAAGAATAAGAAACAATTAGTTTTGTTCATTGTTAAATATTCACAAGCATTTAATATGCTCGAAAAACATCAAAAAAAAAGAGAATGGTAAACTTTTCTGTTACCTTTAACTTCATAAGGCACTGGTTTGTCAACTTTAATGTGCACTGGATAGTGGACGATCTGTAAAGAAATTAATTCAATGAAAGTTATACAATATTTAATTGTTACAAGAAATCTCGTGTATCAAAAATATGTTTCTGGTCAATTTAAACTAATGAGCGAGATAATAAACCGAAATGTTATGACTGGCATGCTTAACGAAAAAACAAAATCGTGAGAAAAGATGCGACTTTTTCCATTGACTTAACATAATTTTGATTCGTGATCATGTGATGAAAAATTTACCTTTTCAACTGGATAAGGTTTTTCGATATGAACTGGCACTTTCACAATTTCCTTAACTTCATATGGAACCTAGAGTAACAGTGCAAGTGATGAGATATTTTATGTAATTTAAATAGTTTAATACTCTTACATGTTTGACAACTGGGTAAGGCTTTGGAACCTTAACGTGGTATGGAACATGAACTTCCTTTACTTGTGGAACATGAACGGTTTTGTAATGAGGGACTGGCACTGGAACTTTCTTGATGACATGTAAAGTTTTTTCCTCATGATGATGATGATGATGAATTGGTTCTTCATAATGATGATATGATGGCTCTTGATGGATGACTTCTTGGTGACCAAAGTCATGGCTGCTGTAGCTGTGGCTACCGCCGAAATCATGACCGCCGAAATCATGACCACCGAAATCATGTTCGAACAAGCCTCGCTTGTCTTGCTTTTTGCTCGCTTCCACGGGCTTTTTTTCTTCCTTTGCCTTTGCTTTTTCCTCCGCGGAAACGCCTAAAAGCATAAGCAAGGCTATGCCGAGAAACACCTGAAGTTGTATAACAAAACATATTTAATTAACAATTTGCCACTTTTTACAACTTCAAAAGCTTTGCAAAAGTAAGTACGATGATGAGTTTACATTTCTTTAATTTCCTTATTTATTTTTATTCTTTTTTTTATTATCTCATAATTAATTTATTCATTTTTCTTCTTCTCTTCACGAAATTCACTTGCACTTTTATTTGTTTTGATTTTCGCTTTCATTAACTTTCATTGAATATGTTGGAGAAAATATTTTTCATCCATAAATTGCACAATAAATGTTGTGAAGTAGATTCTGGATTATAATCCTTTGTGACTACGTACCGTAAACCTCATTGTGATACCACTTATTTCACTCGTTACTTAAAGAAAATATTATAGTGAAGAACAGAAGTAAACTGAATATGCTTAACGAAAATGCACGTCTTTTATAGAAATAACTTTTAGCTCTTGTGTTTCTTTCGTTCGTCTCTCCCTCTACTGTTTGACTCAAGTGAAGCTTGTTTTGCTGTTTCATTAAATTGTATAAAATTCACGAAAAAGATCGCTTTTGTGTTGCAAGTTCTCTTCTCTTCTTGCTATTTGTCTAAAGAAGTGTTGCCATTAATTTTGAATAAAGCAGACGATTGGCAACACGAAATGCGACGAGCTGGTTTTCGGCTCCTAAATAATTTTATGTAGACTAAATGTCTTCAAATATAAGATGAAAGAAAAGCAATCAGACGACAAGATTTTTGTTAATGTTTTCTTTGACACCATAAATCAAAAGAAATTATAATAATTTGATATGAAAAGTTTAAGCTTTTATGATGTTTTGTACAAATATTTAAGCTTTAATTAATCATTAAATCATTTAAACCAGTGTATGTATATTTATTTTCAAATTTGTAACCGTAACTGTAAGCAAATTGATTATTCGCTTATTTTTTTCTCAATCATTTGATTTAAGTCTTTTTTTTATATTCATCATAGAAATGAAGTTGTTTAAGGTCTTACAAGAAACATTTAACAATTTTTTTTCTTACAAGTAAAAATTTACACTTCTCAAGCTTTAATTTCTGCGGAAAAACTTTTTTGATACGAATTTACATATTTATTTATGTCTGCACGTATATTCTGAACTTCCGTGTAAATTGAAAACTTAATTAATGCTTATGAATTTCTTTCATATAAATAGTGATTAAATATTTATACTCCATAAAAGCTTCTTGTTATGTTTTGTGTCGATTTGTCGGCAGACGTTTACATGTCTACCAGGAATTGATGGGCAGGTTTGCGAATCGATGAACCGTTGCACTTTGTTTACCTTTACAAAAATAAGTTTAAAAAGCTTCCGTCAGCTCAATTAACTGCTTTTGAGCAAGAAGATTTTCACCTCGGAGCTCAACGTCCATCTGTTCTTCAATTCAATTAGCGCTTGCGAAATTCACCATTGCAAAATAAATTAAGCTCCAAATTTCCATCAGACCATTTAACTGAGTAAAGTAAAGAAAAAAAAAAGCGATTAAAAGCTATTGAAATATTTAAAGACCTTAATTGATGCATATTTCACGGTTTATTCATATTTTTCATGTTTATTTACAAAATATCAGCTGAAGCTGATAGAAATTGGTTCAGATTAAATGCGTCATTGATGCAGCATGAAGCATCAAAATTAAAATAAGTTAGCACCAAGAAAATGAAAATAATCTGATTTCTAAGTACAATAAATAATTATTTTCCCAAGGCGCAAATTTACAACAAACAAACGTCTTAGAGTCGTCGTGTGAACTTGTAATACTTTGATATTTCAGCATTGTCCATGTTTTACATAGAAAACATAAATTATATTAAAAATGGGTAGTTAAAAAAACTTTCTGTAGATATTCTGCTGCCGAGTTTAGATACACATAAACACATGCAAAGTCTCTTGATTTCAATACTCACTTATAATGATGTAATAATAATTGTATCATTTCAAAAAATGAATGGACTCAACAGCATTCAAACTTGCACGACAACTAATAAATAGTTTAATGAGGGACTACAGCATAATTTTTTAGTAGCTTAACCAGATAGCTAGCTGTTGATCGGGATCGATTAGCTTGAACTTAATGATTACGTAAAAAATTTCATTCATGATTGATTGACTTTTCCGCCAACACTATTTAACAGATTTAATTGTCCCAAGTAATTTGAAACACATGCTTAACGTCGAAACATAATTGAATTATGACTTGATGTGAATAATTATTAATTAAATTAGAAATAAGTTTATAAAATCAATTTTCTCGTGAATTTTTTGATGCGCAACACTTGACATTGATTTCATTTTCTGTGTAATAGTAAAGCGCGTCGATATTAATGTTCATGATCATGTCTACCGCTTTCATCATCCTTTAATTTCTTTTCGTCATATTTTTTTGCTTTGTCTGTTTTTTATGAAGCAATTTAATTTAAGTATGTGATCGGTTGCAGTCGAGTAGTTGTGTTTTTCTTTTATTGTTAATATTTTCTTACGAGACTACTTAATTGAAAATTCACATAATTTTGCAGCATGTGGTTGGAAGAATGAGTCTGGAAATAAATATTTGAATTTGATTCTTATAAATATTAGATATAATTCCATCGCACGCTTCATAGTTTATGTTTAATTCAATGTATGTAAACAAAAGAAAGATCTATTGATTGTTTGGGGAATTTTTAAGACGCTTTTCTTAATCTTATTGAAAAACGCTGTAAAAGAATGTTTCGAATACGCTTACAAAAAAAATTAGACGTAATTAAACCTTATCAAAGCAATATCTGTTATCTTGCAATCTTTTATCTCTCATAATTTGATATACAATTTTTATTCTCTTATTTTAAAACATCTTGAATGTCAAGGTTAAGGTGAAATTTTTAATAATATCAAAAATGTATTTAATTAACAATTCTTCAGTGATTTTCTTAAAAAAAATGTTTTACATGCCCATTTAATTTTTAATTTCTTTAATTTTGATAACATTGCTTAGAAAAGCTCAGGTGAGCTTTTTATTTTAAAGCAGATTTTTTTATGGACAGAACTTTTATTTAAGGTATCATAAGAATGCATCATTACATCTCATTCCAGTGCATCGTAGTTATTCATTACAAATAATTTTAATTTCAGATGATTTTATTTGGGAATCATTGAGTGGATCATACAAACTTCGTTCGAATGGACAAATTGTTGATTCACAAACGGCGCACTCATCAACCTGTTAAACATTTTATATGAATAATAAGTTTTGGATCGATTTTAAATGTTGTAAACGTACATGCTTCTGATGCAAAAGTTTTTATCAAGGTCAGTTCCACAGTCTTCAATTTTTCCAATAAGAGTTTGAATATTTGTTATTTGCTAATTATAGCCTTTATATTAAGCGATTTTCCTGATAAAAAATCTTAAAAATAAATTCAATAACTCTTGAAGCAAGCAAATAAATAATTAAGTTTTTTGCTTAATAAAATTGTTTTGAATTAAACTTCTGGAAATTATAAGAAAAAAAAGGTAATTAGCAACAACCAATTCTAAAAAGGAAAAACAATTTCTTTGATTGTGTGAAGATATTTCAGTTAATTTTTTTTCTGGAATTCAAATTTCTTCAGAAGAATTCAAAACTGACACACTTTCCTCCCCTTCGTCACTCGACACAAGTCACGTCCACCGGCTTTTTCATACAAAACCGAGAAAAAAACCATGTAGTTCCGAGAAATTTTCTCCCCGGGGAGATTTATACACTCTCCACCTGAAACTAACTTTCGTGCAGTGTTACACTTATCAAAACTTGGGTCAGTTCTTAAAAAAATATTAATTACCTATTATTCTTTTAATATTCAATTCATCTTGATTTAAGTTTAATAAGTATTCTTGTGTTACATTTTTTCAAAGTTGAAAAGTAAATATTGCTTAAATTATAAATAAATAAAGTTTTTCTCCGCAATAACATTGAAAATGAAATTTGTTAAATTCTTTTCATTAATCTATATCTACACAAATATCTCGTTCTATTTTAAACATAAGTGATAAAATGTGTGAAAGTTCATCCAATAAGAATCACATATAATAGAATATGAGATCATGAAAGTGTGAAATCTTCAATGATGAAATTTTTTCTATAAAAATGTTTTTTATATTTTCCTCCAAGGGTGACACTAAATAATTCATTATGTTTAGGAATGTTATTGATATAGACAGTTTAAAATATATAATTAACGCTATTGATTTGCAATATATGTGTTTAAAAGCATGTCATGAATTATTTCTAAACTTGATTCAGACATTGAAAATTTGGGAAGAATGCTGAGGAAGCAAAAAATATAAAAATAATGTTTACATTGTGTTTTTTACATTTCAGAAAAGCCTCTTGTGATATAAAAGTCATAAGTGTTTGTTTCTTTTATGTCATCAGCGAAACATCATATCATCTGAGCAGAAATGGGTGAAAACATAATGGGAAGCACCAGCTTGCTTCATGTCGGTGATATTGTGTCGTTGTACGCGGAAGGAAACGTTTCAGGCTTTCTTTCCACTTTGGGGTGAGTACTTTAGTTAATTTACCTGTTGAATGTGCATTATTATGATAAAAAATTCATTTCATAGCCTTGTCGACGATCGAACTGTTGTTTGTCCCGAAGCAGGTGATCTCAATGCTCCGCCAAAAAAATTCCGAGATTGTTTGCTCAAGATTTGTCCTATGAATCGATACTCTGCTCAAAAACAATTTTGGAAAACAGCAAAACAATCAACAACCACAGATGCTTCACTTTTAAAACGTCTCCATCATGCTGCCGAAATAGAAAAGAAACAAAATGAATGTGAAAATAAAAAACTTCTCGGATCGACAATTCAATACGGTTCAGTTATTCAATTATTGCATTTGAAATCAAACAAATATGTCACTGTCAACAAGAGATTACCTTCATTATTAGAGAAAAACGCAATGAGAGTTTATCTGGATGCTAATGGAAATGAAGGTAAAATTAGCGAAATCGCACAATTTGTAGCTTGACTTTTCCATTTAATTTCTTTCAGGTTCGTGGTTTTACATCATGCCATTTTATAAGCTTCGTACAACAGGTGATAATGTTGTCGTCGGTGACAAAGTCATTCTAAAGCCAGTGAATGCCAATCAACAGAATCTCCACGTTGCAGCAAATTACGAACTTCATGATAATCCTGGTTGTAAGGAAGTCAACGTTCTTAACTCAAATACAAGTTGGAAGATAACTTTATTCATGGAGCATCGTGAAAATCTTGAGGATGTTCTTAAAGGAGGCGACGTTGTTCGTCTCTTTCATGCTGAACAAGAGAAATTCTTGACAATGGATGAATATAAAAGAGTGCAACATGTTTTCCTTCGTACTACCGGACGAACGTCTGCAACAGCAGCAACAAGCTCAAAAGCTTTATGGGAAATTGAAGTAGTGCAACATGATCCATGTCGTGGCGGTGCGGGTCATTGGAATTCACTTTATCGATTCAAACATTTAGCGACTGGTTTCTATTTGGCAGCCGAACTCGACTCCGATCCAGGCTATCAAGACACTTATTGCTTGGTTTCTGTTCCATATTCTACTGACATCGCTTCAGTCTTCGAATTGGATTCAACGACAATGACACGAGCTGATTCGTTGGTGCCACAAAGCAGTTATGTTCGAATGCGTCATTTGACAACCAACACTTGGGTTCATGCTACGAATATTCCAATTGATGCTGATGAAGACAAGCCGGTGATGAGTAAAGTTGGATGTCGTGCTGTCAAAGAAGATAAAGAAGCGTTTGCAGTGATTCCAGTAAGTCCCGTTGAAGTTCGAGACTTAGATTTTGCAAACGATGCATGCAAAGTTTTAATTTCCATCTCACAACGTTTGTCACAAGGAACGATAAATTATAACGAGCGAAAATCTCTCATTGCATTACTCCAAGATATTGTTTACTTCATTGGTGAAATGGAAAATGAGCAGAACAAAAGTGAAGCACTTGAGTTGACTATTTTAAGTCCGAATCGTGACAGACAAAAGTTACTACGTGAGCAATACATTTTACAACAACTTTTTAAGATTCTTCATGGACCTTTTAAATCGGACGGCGATAAACCGGCTTTTATGTCACTTGATGAACTTGGCGACCCTAAGAATGCACTCTACAAGTACATATTTCGTTTATGTTATCGAATTTTACGTCTTAGCCAACAAGATTATCGAAAGAATCAGGAATACATTGCGAAACATTTTGGACTTATGCAGAAACAAATTGGCTACGACATCCTTGCTGAAGACACAATCACAGCTTTACTTCATAACAATCGAAAACTACTAGAAAAACATATCACGCCAGCTGAAATCGAGACATTCGTTGGTCTCGTTCGACGCAATATGGTGACTTGGGATTCACGATTTCTTGACTATTTAAGTGATCTTTGTGTAAGCAATAAAAAAGCAATTGCTGCGACACAAGAACTCATCTGCAAATCAGTTTTAAGTCATAAGAATGCAGATATTTTAATCGAAACAAATGTCATGACTTCTATTGATTATTGGCGTGCAAAAGGTGAAGACGATTTCTTGGATGACGATGATCAGAAGAGTCATGAAGTTGTGCTTGTTTGGAACAATGAAAAGGTGAGAAACAAAACTTAAATTATTAAGAGTAAAATAGTGGAATTGGGAATGAAAAAACTCCCAAATTCAATCTTTTACTCTACTTTGACATTCAATTTAAAAATTTAAGCTTATGAACATTTAAAGTATGGTGCATCGATGTTGTAACTTATTATGAAACTGTTTGGATAGTGCAGGGTAAAAGGTATTAGAAATAATTTATAAAAGAGTGAGAGTGAACATTAAATTATTAAAACTACTAACAAGCTTTAAACTTCTTATCAAAGACTTTTCATGTCAGTGCTTTGATGTGGATAAGAAATGCATGTGCATGTTGAAAATATTAACACCAAACCAAGGTCTTGACTTGACTTGACTTATTGTTTTTGACTTGACTCAATTTTGTCAAGTCAAGTCAGAAACTTCCTTTGACTTGACATGAAGCAAAACACAAGCAAGTTGAGACCCTGCAACAATCATTAAAGAAAAGATCAAAAGCTTAAAATATTTTTGAAAAGACCTTATTAAGACATTCAGTGAAATTTCAGGCGCATTTGTATACACGCTGGAAACTCTCGTGATCATTTCTTTTATCAAATTCACAATGTTTACATTTCTTTGTTCATATTTATGGTTTTTAATTTCTTATGCTTATTTAATGAAGTGTCGGATAAAAATAACGCTTGAAAAAATATTTTCTCTGAATAAATTTAAATTTTCTTTTGATAAGATTCGAGACTGGAAAAGAAACAAAAACCTCAAACTGAAAATGTAACAAATTCCAGTCTCTGTTTGAAAATTAATTTTCTAATTTCTCTTCGTTTTTCTTCTTCCCCTGAACAGCAATTAAAATCGTTAACTGATTTAGGAAGAGGATGGAAGATGAATATTACTTCGGATGTTGCAATCATCGATTATTATCGACATCAATTGAATCTCTTTTCAAACATGTGTCTCAACCGTCAATATCTTGCGTTAAACAATCTCTCACCTCATCTTGACATCGATTTAATTCTTCGCTGTATGTCGGACGATCAAGTTCCTTACGAACTTCGTGCTTCATTTTGTCGTTTAATGCTCCATCTTCATGTTGACCGTGATCCACAGGAACCTGTAACTCCAGTGAAATATGCAAGATTATGGAGTGAAATTCCTTCTGTGATGTCAATTTACGATTATGACATAAGAAAAATTCCCGACAGCAGTAAAGATCGTGTCAAGGCTCGATTCAATACAACGATTGCATTTGTGGAAAATTATTTGTGCAATGTTGTCAACAAAATGTGGCTTTTCATTGATCAAGATCAAAATAAACTCACATTTGAAGTAGTGAAATTGGCCCGGGATCTCATCTATTTTGGATTTTATAGCTTCAGCGACTTATTACGATTAACTCGAACACTTCTCTCAATTCTCGATTGTGTATCGGAGAATGAAATCTCAACGGAAATTCATCTCGGTGGAGTTGATTCGGAAGGTGGAGTTTTACGTTCGATTGGTGACATGGGCGCTGTTATGACTTCATTGGCACTTGGCCCGAAAACTCCAGTCTCAACTGTCATTCCTTCAACGAAACGCTCAACATCTGTTTCACAATTAATGAAAGAACATCCGTTAGTAATGGACACAAAACTTAAGATTATCGAAATTCTTCAATTTATTCTCGATGTCAGACTTGATTATCGCATTAGTTGCTTATTAAGTATTTTCAAAAGAGAATTTGACGAATCTGAAACTGTAAGCAACGAATCGGTAACAATAAGACAAAAAAATATCGATTTGGAGTTGATTGGTTCACAGGCTGAAGGAATTTTTGATTATAAGAAGGTACAAAATTAAATTTAATCAATTGAAATGTTTATAAAATTTTGTTTCCTCAGACATCAGCAAACCTTGATCTCGATGGTCAAGGTGGAAGAACTTTCCTTCGTGTTCTATTGCATCTGATACTACACGATTATGCACCACTTGTATCAGGTGCTTTGCATTTACTCTTCCGTCATTTTAGTCAACGACAAGAAGTTCTTCACGCTTTTCGTCAAGTTCAGTTGTTAGTGAGTGATCAAGATGTTGAATCTTATAAACAAATCAAAACTGATCTTGATGTGTTGAGACAATGTGTGGAGAAAAGTGAACTTTGGGTGTACAAAAGCAAAAATCAAACTGATGATGATCAGGTTTGTAAAATGTTCTTAAAAATATTTTAGTTAATCCCGATTTAAATCCTGACCTTAATTTTAATCTTGATCTCTATCTTAATCTAAATCTAATTCTGAAAAATATAAAATTTGAAATTTCTATAATTCCTGATCATTATCATTCACAGAACTCGCCCACAAAACATGGAGACGTGAAAGAAGGCGAAGTAAATCCAGATCAAGTGCAAGAATATACAAATATTCAAGAAATTCTCATTCGAATGAACAAACTTTGTATTCAACATGGACCTGGCGGTTCTATTAAGCCAAGGAAACATGAACAACGACTTCTTCGTAATGTTGGTGTACACACAATTGTTCTCGACCTTTTACAAGTTCCTTATGATGAGAAGGACGATGAAAGAATGAATAAACTGATGCAACTTGCTCATCAATTCTTACAAAACTTTTGTCTCGGAAATCAACAAAATCAGAATCTTCTTCATTCGCAATTGGATCTTTTCTTGAATCCTGGAAAACTTTATGCTGAAACAGTCTCTGCTATATTTAAAGACAACTTATCGTTATGTAATGAAGTTGATGAAAAAGTTATTCAACATTTTGTTCATTGCATTGAGATTCACGGACGTCATGTTGAATATTTGAGATTTCTTCAAACGATCGTTCATGCTGAGAATCAATTCATAAGAAAATGTCAAGACATGGTAATGCAAGAGTTGGTAAATGCTGGTGAAGATGTTTTAATCTTTTACAATGACAAAGCAAACTTTAATTCATTATTGGAAATGATGAAAACGTACAAGGAAGATGCAGTTGACAGTTCGAATTGCATGCAATATCACATTGAATGTGTCAGACTTTTGGGATGTTGTACGATGGGCAAGAATGTTTACACAGAAATTAAATGTAATAGTTTGCTAGCTCTTGATGACATTGTGTCGATTGTTTGTCATCCTGATTGCATTCCGGAAGTGAAGAAAGCTTACATTGACTTCCTTAATCATTGCTACATCGACACCGAAGTGGAAATGAAAGAAATTTATTCTTCCAATCACATGTGGAATATTTTTGAGAAGAGCTTCATACCCGATTTGAATCATGTCATTGTTCATGGCCCTGAAGAAAATACTTTGGAAAATTATATTTTCGCTGAGATGATGACGATTCTGACAACTTTCTTCTCATCACCTTACAGCGATCAAAGCACTTCAATGCCACACAGACATGTCGTGTTTGTTGAACTCCTTCAAAAGGTTTGTGAAGTCTCTCAACTCTCATTCATTACAGCATCACAAAAGTTTTCTGTACAAAGTTGCATCAAAATTTTAATTGATGTTGCTAAAACTCGCGCTATTGAAATACCTTCGGAGTTGGAAAGTTTAGTTGAGAATATGTTCAGTAAAACTGCAATGCTTTCACGACAAACCAGCAAATGGTTGTTGGCAACAAAACAAACGAAAATTGACCGTCAACAAAGTCAACCGAAACTTGATCGAAGCATCATTGAAGGTTTGCAAGACATCGTGAGTTTACTTGAAGATCAACTAAAGCCATTAGTTGAAGCTGAACAAAGTTTGTTGGTTGATATTCTTTATCGATCTGAATTGCTTTTCCCTGACGGTTCTGAATATCGTAAGCAGTGTGAATCTGGTGGATTTATTAAACGATTAATTAAACATGCGGAACTTCTTCTCGAAGAGAAGGAAGAAATGCTTTGTGTTGAAGTGTTAAGAACATTGAGAGAAATGATGGCATTGGATATGGATTATGGAGAGAAGGGCGATAAATTGCGACATAATTTACTTGAACGTTATTTTGGTGATCAATTTATGAAGAAAATGGATTCAGTTGGAAATCTGAAGCTACAAAATATTACAGCAAGACAAGACACGAGTGGAGCTGTTGTTGGCATTGCAACTCATGGACCTGGAGCGAAGTTTTTGAGTCGCGCTGCTCAAACACTTTACGAAGTTCAGAATTTACTTGACAAGGAAGGTGCTGGCGATTTGGTTGTTGAACTTGTCATAAAGTCAATTAATTCACCATCAATTTTCGTTGAAGCTGTCGAGTTGGGAATTGCTCTGCTCGAAGGTGGCAATAATGTCATTCAACGCGGAATGTTTAATAAATTTCTTGCTCTCGATCCATCGCAAGCATTTTTCCGTGTTTTCTATGATAAAATGAAAGATGCCCAGGTTGAGATTAAATCAACAGTCACTGTCAACACAACTGACATCGCTGCAAAAGCGAATGAAAATCGAGAATATCAAAGAGATGTTGATCGTGTCAGTCGACGAACAGCTTCATTAAAATCAAGTGGAATTATCATAACTGAAGAGTTTCGTGATGAATTGAACAATGCTGGAATATCAACAGCTCGGGCATTTGCAGCAGCTCGAAACTTCAACGGTGTTGATGACATTGGAAGTTCATTAAACACGAATTTTGGGAATGCGCTTGAAGATATTTTAGCGGAGAAATTAGAGAAACACAAAGATAAAGATCATCGAGAGAAGCTTTCACCGAAAGTTTTAGTGATGCAGCCAATTTTAAGATTCCTTCAATTGTTGTGTGAAAATCACAATCCCGAACTTCAAAATCTTTTGAGAAATCAAAACAACAAAACAAACTACAATCTCGTATCAGAAACTCTCATGTTCTTAGACTGCATTTGTGGATCAACAACTGGCGGTTTGGGTTTGCTCGGCCTTTACATCAATGAAAATAATGTTTCACTTATAAATCAAACACTCGAAACATTGACGGAATATTGTCAAGGGCCGTGTCATGAGAATCAAAATTGCATTGCAACGCATGAGTCGAATGGCTTGGACATTGTCACAGCTTTGATATTGAATGACATCAATCCTTTGGGAAAGAATCGAATGGACTTGGTGAGTTTGATTGATTTTTTAATTATTTTTGATGATTCACAATTTTCAATCGACATCCCTAAATTTATTTATTTCCACCAAACAACTTTCTTAACAAAAATCTTCCTTCAACAGGTTCTTGAGCTGAAAAACAATGCAAGCAAACTTCTTCTTGCCATCATGGAATCTCGTGGTGATTCTGAAAATGCTGAAAGAATTCTTTACAACATGAATCCCCGTCAACTCATTGACGTTGCTTGTCGTGCATATCATCAAGATTACTCGAATGAATATGACGATGAAGAAACGGATTCATTTGAAGATATTTCAGTGTCGCCTAAGGAAGTTGGTCACAACATTTACATTTTATGCCATCAACTTGCGAAACACAACAAAGAGTTGGCACAACTTTTACGTTCAACTGACAACTCGAACATTGATCCGAAGATTCAGAAATCGCTGACATTTTATGCTTCACATACAGCACAGATTGAAATTGTTCGGAATGATCGCACATTGGAGCAAATCGTCTTTCCAATCCCAGAAATTTGTGAATATCTTACACAAGATACAAAAATTAAAGTTCTTCACACATCTGAAAGAGACGATCAAGGATCGAAAGTCACCGACTTCTTTGAACGAACAGAATCGATGTTCAATGAGATGAAGTGGCAGAAGAAACTTCGTGGTCAACCAGCATTATTTTGGGTGTCATCTTACATGTCACTTTGGGCCAACATTCTCTTCAATTGCGCTGTTTTGATCAACGTCATCATCGCTTTCTTCTACCCCTTCGACACTGTCACAATACCTGAATTAAGATTTCACATTTCCTTCGGCATTTGGTTATGTTTCTTTATCGCATTCGGCTTGGTCATCATGCGACCGCGAAATTCAACAGTTCGAGCATTGATTGGATCGATAATCGTTCGACTAATTTTCTCAATCGGACCGGAACCGACGCTTTGGGTTTTGGGAAGTTTAACTGTCATTATGAAAGGCGTTCACATTGTGTCGATTATGGGCAATCATGGAACGTTGGAGAAGCATTTATGGAAGATTCTAACAGATGCTGAACTTCTTTATCATTTCGGATACATGACATTTTGTGTTTTTGGAATGTTGCTTCATCCTTTCTTCTTTTCCGTTTTGGTGAGTTGAAATTTGTTAAAATTCACTTCAAATATTTCTTCATATATTTTCTTAAAAGCTTTTTGACGTCGTTTATCGTGAAGAAACTTTATTGAATGTGATCAGATCGGTAACACGAAATGGAAGGTCAATTATTCTTACTGCTGTCTTGGCACTTATTCTCGTTTACATGTTCAGCATAATCGGATACATTCTCTTTAGAGATGACTTTCTTGTTCCTGTTGACGAAGAATTAATTGGTGAGAAAGATAAAAGAAACGAAAAACTTTAACTCAATTCCATTCTCCAATTTAGTGTCGTGTGACTCAAAGTCAGAAGGCTTGCGGTCAACTCTCATATCAGCAATGAATCGAAATTATTGTGAACAAAAGTTTTTGGAATCAAAAGAACAATCGGAAAGTGCAGAGAAAGAACGAGCTTGTGATTCTCTTCTTATGTGCATTGTAACGACTCTCAATCAAGGGTTGAGAAATGGTGGAGGCATTGGCGACATTCTTCGAGCGCCTTCAAGTAAAGAGCCGCTGTTCATGGGTCGCGTCTTGTACGATCTTCTCTTCTTCTTCATCGTTATCATTATCGTGTTAAATCTCATTTTTGGTGTCATTATTGACACGTTTGCTGATCTGAGATCAGAGAAACAACAGAAAGAGTTGATCTTGAAAAATACTTGCTTCATTTGTGGATTGAATCGATCAGCGTTTGATAATCGAACAGTGAGCTTTGAAGAGCATATCATAAATGAACACAACATGTGGCAATATTTATTCTTCATGGTGCTAATTAAAGTGAAAGATCCAACTGAATTTACTGGACCGGAAAGTTATGTTCATGGAATGATTAAAGCGATGGTTCTTGATTGGTAAATTTCTTAATTCAATTTGTGTTTATTAATTAACATTTCAACTTTTAAAGGTTTCCACGATTGAGAGCAACATCTTTGGATACAGCTGAAGGTGAAGGCGATCAGTTAGACATTAAAAGTCTTCAGAATCAACTTGAAAGAACTCATGATATCGTCAGTCACTTATCAGGACAATTGATGGAACTTAAAGATCAGGTTTGATTGCTTTAAAAGCATTTCCAACATCAATTTTAATTATTTTTCTTCTTCTTTCAAAGATGACTGAACAAAGAAAGCAAAAACAACGTTTTGGTCTTCTTAATCCATTAGCCTCTGGTTCATATCAATTTAATAGCCAATTTATGTAGATTTTATTTTTCTATTTACTTATTTTAATGTGATTATGACATGCGACAGTCGCATTTTAAACTCAGCAGCAATTTTTTACTTAACAGAGATCTTTACTTAAAAACGAGTTGTGTCGTAAATTGTTTAATAAAAAGAATATAATCTTTTGTTATTTAAAGTTTTGTGATTGATTATTGGGAGGTTTTGATTGCGAAGTTCACTGAATTAATTTCACAAAAGGATTTTTCATTAATGTCGCGTTCCTTTTCCATCATCTGACACTGAATGTCGAGTAAGTAAATCTCTTTTATATATTTTTTCATAAAAATATTTATTATCATCACTGATAAGATAACAAATCGTTTGAAATTCTCTCTCACTTGCTCTGATAAAAATATCATTAAGTAAACTCTAAAATCATAATTAATTTCTCATCCGTCAGTCATCGTTTTACACTCGAATGTGTTGTATCGAATAAAATTATTTTTAATCCATAGGAAGGAATAAATTTTTTAATTAATTTATCATTTATCAAACAATGGAAAGTTCGCGTGATTTTTATCTAATTGTTATGTGTCAGTGATCCGACTTCGTATGCGATATCAAGATTATGAGTTGAAAATCTTTTCCGATTTATTTCATCAAAAAGGAAGCAAAATGAAAATTGAAAATGAAATCAATCGAAAAGAAAACATTTATGATATCATCTGTTATTACAACGAAGGAGATAACGATGACCCACAACATGTTAAAGAAGTTATCAACAAAATTGTGAAGACAAGTCAACAGGAGAATTTAAATACAGATAAATGGATTAAATGGAAGCTTCTCGGTTGTCTCTTAATTAACGTTTTATTAAATGCACCAATTTATTCCTACGGCACAATTTATCTTCTTCATAAAGAAGCATTCGACGACGACCCTAAAATTGTGTTACCTCCAATCATATTTTGTAGTGTTTATCTTCTGGTTACGCCGTGGCTGTTCAACACAATCTCCACACCATCTTCGAGAAGCTCACGAGCGCCGAAAACCGACACGTCAATCTTCACAAAACTTACAAATAAAAGTGTCATCATCGTGTTTTCATTAATACTTTGCGTAAGTGTTTCCATCAGTGGATTCACATTTGTGTATTGGGAGGCAAACTTTGTGATAATTTTAATCTTCTACAGTGTCATTGGTGGTAAGGTTGTCAGTAGTTTCAAGTTTATGGCTTTAAACATTGTCAAAATCTCTTTGTTTAAGGTATGTCGTCATGTATAATCATGGGAAAATTGTTTGTTCTTATCAACACAGTGTTAAACAATGATCGGCTGCATATGATTAACTTCATTTACTCCTTTGGACAAGCTTTAGCGCAATTTGCTTTTCCTTTTATGATGAAGCCTTTAATGGGATTGGTTTGCCATAATTGCTTCTTCCTGATGATTGGAGCTGTTATGTTTCACATCATCCCTTTAACAATGTTGTTGATGAAGAGTAAATTTTCACTTCAATTGAATCAAAGAAAAATGACGAAAAGTCCCATCCAATTAAATTTGAATGATGAATCTCGCTACTCTGACACGTCTGATACGTTTGACTTTGTTGTTAATATCAAATATCCTTCAGATGTGTTCGATGTTGAAAATAAATGGCAGAATCCGAATAATAACTTTAAAGATATATCAGGAAGTGATCCAAAATGTGATCATTTTCTCGAAGATCTCGAAGCCCTTCGAATTATGAATTCAGATGGAGTTGAGATACTTCAAACGATCATGGAAACTGATGAAGAAAATGAGAATAGAAATTCTGAATTGAGTGAAGAAATAATCGAATCGATTTATGACGAAATTAACAGAAAACACAAGCAACAAAGACGTCAAGATATTTCCAAACCGAATCAGTGTGGTTTCATTAAAAAGTTTATTTTTGAGAAGGCTAGAAGAGTGTCAACGACAATTTACCGTCAAATTGTTAATCCACTTCATAGATCTATGAAGATTTTCAAGTTTTATCCTTCAGTTATTCTCAAGTCTTGTGACATTTTCTCGTACATTTTGTTCATCACACTGATCCTACCAAATCTTGCTCTCAAGCAATACAGATTTGTGGATCGAGAGAAAGTTATTTACTTTATAACACTCATGGGACTATGTTGGATTATTTACGCTCTGCTCGTACTTAAATTTCATAATCGACTTAAACAGAATTTTATTCACTACTTCCACATTATTGGACTTTTAGGAAAATTCTTTGGATATTTGTGTGAGTTAAAATTACTTAAACTTCAAATTAGATTTTATTATTAATCGTTTCAGTTACAAATCAACGATATTCCATTAATGGATTCGTATTTGGACTTATTCTTATAAGTTTGGGTCATGCAAACTCTTTTCATCTGCAAGAGATTATGATTCGCAATTGTTTTCATCCAAGAAAATGGTTCTATGTTCGTGGATCAATTTACAGCTTTAGTGGTTTCCTTATTTTAATTTATTGCATGATTTTTCACATGCTTCATGTGACTTTGAGTTTTGTGACATTTTGTAATATTTTCGTTTTATTCAATTTAACAGGAATTATTGTGTGGCTGTTAACACATTACAAATCGATTATCTACATTTGTAGTCGTTACTGATTATGTTTGTGAATATGAAAATAAAAACAAAATTTAGGAAAGTTCATTGTGAAGATATTTCTTTGTGATTGGATCAATTGGGGGAAAGTTTATGAAACTTTTTTGTGTTCCTTTATATTGAACTGAATGTGAAGCGATTTCAATTGAAGCTCCAATCTTTTGAATCCATGTGGATGTTGGATATTTAGCAATGAAGAATCCCAAAGCACCGATGAAAGCATCACCAGCACCAACAGTGTCGACGACTTTGACTTGACTTGGAAGTGGAATGTGAAAAGTTTTGCCGGAATCATCATTGAAAGCAGCTCCAAGTTTTCCAAGTGTTATTATCACTTTTCGGCAACCTTTCTGTCTTAGATCATCAATCGACGGTTTGACATCAGAAATATTTTTGATTTTAATCCCTGTCAATTCTTCACTTTCCAATTCATTGACACAGAAAATATCTGGCAATTTGAAAACTTCTTCTGGAAACTTCAAAGCTGGCGCTGCATTGAGTATCGAGAAACCTTTGAAAATTTTAAGAGCTGCGACAGTTCCAGGCAAAGGAGTCTCTAATTGGCAAATGAGAATCTAAAAAATAATTTCAATAACTTCAATTAATAAAAGTAAAAAAATTCACAAACTTTTGATTGATCCAATAAACGTTTAGCCTTGAAACAATCTTCAGGTCCTAACAATTGATTTGCATTATTGTTGATTACAATTTGATTTTCACCATCAGACGACACAACAATAAGTGCAACTCCGGAATGTTCTCCAATATTCTCAACATAATCAATGTTGACACCTTCACTTTTTAAGTTATTTTTGTACTTTTCTCCATAAGGATCATTCCCAAGTTTAGCAATCATCGCCGTCCTGCATCCCAAGCGAGCTGCTGCAATGCATTGATTTGCACCTTTACCTCCAAAACCAGATTCATAAGATAAGGAATGAATAGTTTCTCCAGGCTTTGGCATTCGATCCACATAACTATCACGAATGATAATAAATTTAATCATAAATGTTTATTGTTACGATTGTTTATCAATCACTTACCTGATGAAATCAATATTGCAACTCCCAAAAACTACGACGTCGTACATTTCAGACGACTGGTCTTTATAAATTTTAAACACCTCTTTTTTCTTATCAGTCTGAGATAATACTTTGCTGTTTATTTATGCAACTGAGTTTGTGTTGAGGTTTTTGCTGTGCCTACTGTTGATAAAGTCGTGTGGAAATTATGTCATGATCACATATGCAAACAGAATTAAAGCTTAATGTTATTTGCCTAAGAGCATGATAAGCCTACTTCTTGCATATTTGTTTTGTGATTTAGAAAAGCAGAATTATGAATGCTTTGTTCGACGAATAAATTAAATCTTAATACAATTACAAAGCGACCGTGCAACTTTTATTGTTTTGGTAAACAATTGAAAGCTCACCAATCTGTAATACCGAATCAGGAAGCATAAAAGATTTATGGCTCTTTAATTTATTATACATCTGATTAACTTATTTATAATTTTAAAACATCTAATCACAATTAAACTTCATGACACGTTTGCCGAGTAAAAATCTGGAAAAAATTTTCGTATCTCTTTGGCAGCAGATTCTTGTGAGTCTGAACCATGACATGCATTTCTGGTGTCAGTTAGTCCAAACATGCCTCTTATACTTTCAGGATGAGAGTAAATTGTTTTGAAGACTTTTGTTGGACCTAACAATTCTCGCCATAATTTGACTGAGTTGTCTCGTTTTAAAATTAACACTTCGGTTGGCCCACTTTAAATGAAAAAATATTAAATAATTTGTGGCTTGCAAAGCAGTTCAAGACAAATAAATACCTGCACATAAAAGTGACCAAACGATTATAATAAAACTTTCCTTGATGTTCTTCATAAAAGGATTCGGCTTTTGCAAGATTAAATTTAATTCTTGTCCTTTTAACAATCTCAAAATTATTGTCATTAATTATTTGCATTATTTGATTAAATGCAATTGGATTCTTCACTACATGAGGCTTGATCATTGCAAATGTTATCATTATTTGAGTGACAGAATATTTTTTGATTTTTGTTTACTTTTTTGGTTTTTCAGGGGTTATTTGAGAAGTCCTGAGGGAAATTTAAATTTCTGAGGGGAATTTCGACATGTCGACACGGCGGGAAAATGTTTACAATTCATAATTTAATTCTGTTTTGTTTTTAATTGATATTTCAATAAAAAAAGTTAATTTAAGAAGTTCTTATCACTTTAGTGAAACTCATAAACTAATTTATATTATAACACTAAAGTTTGTTTTGTACAATGGAGTTAAACAGTAAGTTATGTTTATTTATTTACACATTTTTTTATAAGTATTCTCTAAAAATTTTCAATTTCAGAATTAATAAGAAAAAAAGAAAGAGCAGAGGATGAAAACAATCAGCAAATGGTAGCCGAAATGTGTCATAAGCTAGGAGATCACTATATAAATGAATCAAAATTTATGGATGCTTTAAAGGAATTTCGACAAGAATCCATCATATGGCAGTCATTAGACAAGAAAATGGAATACGGAAGAGCTAATCGAATGATTGGTGAAGTCTACATGCTGCTTGAGCAATTTGATGATGCCCTAAAGTTTGTTAATTTATATCAAAAGATTGCAAAACATGAAAACAACTTAGTAGAAATGCAAAGAGCTTATGCAACAATTGGACGTTGCTACCTTCTTAAAGGTGATTCAGAGAGTATTGAGAGTACAGAGAGCTCTAATAAAGGATCCTACATAAAATCTGCAGAGAAATCTTTCTTGAAAAGCCTCATCATAAGTAAAGAGTAAGTTAAAATTACATTTTCATGAAAATATGAAATTCTTAAATATTTTCAATGTTGCCAGACTTGGTCGAAGTGTTTCGAAGTGGGAGTTAGCTGATATGCAAGCAAGACTTTATCTAAACCTTGGCATAGTTAAAGAACAATTGCAAGAAAGCGATGAAGCAATAAGTTTCTACGAAACAGCAATCAAACTCAGCAGTTCGAATGATCTTCATGAACTTCACCACAAGTGTTTAATGAATTTAAGTTTACTTCATTCATTACGAGAGGAAGAAAGTGTCATTGCACTAAGTCTTCTGCATTCAGCATTAGAAGCTGCTAAAAGACTTTCAGATAAAAATGAAAAAGTCTGTGAAACTTTATTACTTAAAAGTAATTTACTTATAAAAAATGGCGATTATCAAAGTGCTAAACAAGCGTTAAAGAAAGCATTTAGGATGAAATCATCGAACATTAATGACAGTGAAACGATAGAGAAGAATCTACGAATAGGTAACTTAATAATCAATTTTAAATAAAAATGTTTAAAGTTTAAGAATTTTAATTCATTTCAGTTGTGATTCTCTGTAAATGTGAAGATGAACTCATCATAACAAATTCCTACGATTATTCAAAACGAAAAGAGCTTTTTGAGAAACTTGGCGATTTATCGTGTAAATTAAAAAACTTTTCCAAAGCAATTGAATTCTATTTAAAAACACTTGAAGTTGCTAAGCTTAATGGTGAAGGTGAACGTCAATTAATTCCAATTTACGTGAGTTTATATCAAACTTACATTGATTTGAAGCAATACGACAAAGCTTTGGAATTTGTGAGAATGGAATATGAAGTGATAAAAGACGAGCCAAAAGAAGCTTGCACAACTTTAATAGGAATGGGAAATATTTTGGATCTTGCTGGAAAAGATTTCTGGAATATTGACACGACATATCGAAAGGCGTTAAAAGAAGCGAGAAAACTTGACGATAATCAAGCAATGGAGAAGAATGTTCTACAGAAACTTGTAAAGCTTTGTAAAAAACGTAACATGATAAATCTTGCAGAGTTATTGGAACAAGAAGCAGCTGAAAAAGCGATAACGTTATCAGATTACAATGAAGAAAGCGAATACAGCGAAGATATTATTGAAATCAACAATGAAGATAATTTAGAACTTTTATTGTCATCTGACGCTGAATCTTCCGATACTGAGCAAAGTCGAGTAACGAGAACGCCTGGAAGTGCGACAAGAAGTAGACGTTCAGCAGTTCCAATCAAAAAAAACGCAAAAGGTGAAACAAAACTTCACGAAGTTTGCATCAATGGCAATTATCAGCTGGCTAAAGTTCTTATTGAGAAAGGTCATGCATTGAATGTTCGTGACAATGCGGGATGGTTGCCGTTGCATGAAGCTGCGATTAATGGTCATCGAGATATTGTCGAACTTTTACTTGATAATGGAGCGCAGTTAGCAATCAATGACAAAGGAGGCACAAGTTGTGACGGTATCACGCCACTCTACGACGCAGCTTCGAATGGAAATCTCAGCATTGTTCAACTTCTGTTAGATCGTGGAGCTAAAGCAACAGTGAAGACAGATTTCAATGAGACGCCTTTTGATGCTCTTGTTCGTTGGTATGACGAATATGGACGGAAATTGTCTTCAACTGAGAAAGAATTCTACGATGAAATTAAACAACGACTGCAAGAACAATGCGAAAGAGTTGGAATCGATACGACAGCAACAAAACATCCACAAACTGGTTCAAGTGGTTATCAGAGCGCGCATTCAAGAAGTTCTCAATCGTCATTTAATCAGCGAAGATATTCAAAAAGAAATGAAAGCATTGATGAGGAATCAACGAAAGAAAATGAAGACGATGCTTGCATTGAATATAAAAATGTCATGAAAAGATTGAAACATCCTTCGAAAGAAAATCGTCATGCGATTGTTGAAACAAATGAAATGAAGAAACGATCAGCACATTTAACAGTTCAAGATGTTGATGATGATGAATGGTTGGACGATGACCTTAAACCAACAAAGAAAAAGCAGAAAACTTTTAATGAAAATTCATTTGGCAGTCCTGAAAAACAATTAAAATCTGGAAAGTCTTTGACAAGGAAATCTTCAAGTTTGTTAATTGATTCTGATTCTGAAGATGTTGAAATTTTTGCTTCTCCTAAAGTTTCCGATGCTTTTGATCTTGTGATGAATGCTGACACTTCAAAGAAATCTAAAAGAAGAAATTCAAGTTCAAAACTTCCAAAAAGTTTGTCATGTCAACCCTCGGTTCTTGACGCCGGTTTTGCTCGTTTTGTTGAATTTAATTCAAATCATAAATCACCTTCGAAATCACCACTTAAATCATCTCATCATTCATTCTCAAATGAAAGTTCTTTTAATCGGCCACCTCAAGGAGAAAAGCAACTAATAATAAAAGTAAAAGTTGAAGATGAGAAGATTATCGTGCCTGTGAACAGAGACATTATCGACGACTTAAAAATAAGTTGGCTTGCCGAAGAGACTGCTAGAAGATATTATTGGTAAGATAAATCTTCGTCGTTTGAGATTCTCACAGTTGCAGGGCTTGAAAGTTCCCAAAATTTCAGTTCCATGTTCAGAAATAATTTTGCAAGCCCTGCTGAACTGTAACATGAAGAAGTAAAAGTATTTCGAAGTGTTCATTCTTGATATTTATTTCAGCCTTAAAGGCATCAGACCCGAGCTGAAACTAAAGACTTTCGATGGTGCGACTCTTCTCCATAGCGATCCAGTCTCTTTAATTTTAAGTTTAGCGAACGAGAATTTAATTGACTCGGAAATTTTGGATTGGAAGCTTCCGTCATTAGCTAATCGCTATCTCGAAGCATGCTCAGAGTTCAAATGCCGTGAGTGACAAATGTATGTTTATTAAATTCAATTTAATTTATTTATGTTTCTACTTGACAACAGCTGTCGATTCTGATCTAAATGAATTGCTTGACTTCAATCCTTCAGCTATTCATCTTGATTTGTCAAACCAGAATTTTAATTCAACGAACGTTAAAGCAGTTTTCAAAGCTCTTCAGCATCAAACATCACTTCTTCATTTAGATTTGTCAAGTAATTTTCTTCAAAATGATGGAATTAAATTACTTTCAAACACTTTAACAACATTGAGACAATTGAATGTGTTGGATCTCTCTGGTAATTTGATTACCGACAATGGAGTTGAAATTATGTGGAATGCGATGTTAAAGAGCAAGAATCCAAGCGAAATACGACAATTAAAATTAAATTTCAATCCCATCAACTCGAGTTCGTTGAGGTTCATTAGCAAGATTTGTCAGTGCAAGAATGTTATTTCCCTGTCACTTGTAGCTTGTGGTTTAACAGACGCAAAGTGTTTAGAGCAGTTGAGTTCTGTGAAATCTCTTGACATTGGTTACAATAAACTCACTGTTGACGGACTTAAGGGATTCCTGAAACGAATTAACCCAGGCATCATCGAGACGTTGAACTTCGAACGATGCACTACCGAAACCGATATCGGTGACGCACTCGTGCAATTTATCAACACGGGATGTTGTATAAGTTTGAAGGAAATTAATTTCGCTGGAATGAATTTCAATGAAAATGAGATTCTCGATCTGCTTAGAAGTTTAGATAAATGTGAACATTTGAAAAGCTTAGATCTTTCTCATCAGAAGCAGCTTACCTTCTTATCACTGAAATATATTCTCTTCAGTATGGATAGTCAAAGTCTTGAAAGAATCAAACTTATTGGGTGCATGAACCTACACAATCTGTCAAATATTTTCAATCTTCAACATGTTGAAAGAGAGCGAAGATGTCACTTAAAGAATATTCAATTGTCAATGCCAATATCTTCGGGTGAATATGGAACAAGAAATAAATTCAAAGAAAAGATGAAAGAAATTTGGGATATTGTGACGATATACAAAGGAAATGTTGATAACGATAGTAAGCTGCTTTATCTCATTCAAAACGACGAACAATAGGAATAGCAACAAGTAAAGTGATTTCATTTTCTTTAACTTTTCTTCATAGGGTAACGAAGGATAGAAATTTTTAAAAAGCGTCCTTAAAGCATAACTGTCTAAGGTGGATTTTCCCTTAATTCAAATAAAGTCTACAATTCGATGTTCTACCCTAATTTGTGTCACAAAAAATGTCATTAGTTAAATAAAGAAAATTGAAAGACGTAAATTGGTTGCAAATAAATAAAATGACGACAAGCTTAAAAAATGTCTTCGTTATGATGACAGCTTTTTTTCATCGTCTTTCGTTAATCCGTCAGAAATGATTGCGATGGCTACGAAGTTTTACTAGTTAAGGAAAATTGTGAGAATTAATGCGAGGTCGTTTAAGAAAATGATCTTCGATAAGGTTGTGGATTTTTTCTTCAGGTTTTGACGGTTGCTTATCCTACTCTTAGGTCTTAGATTTCTAATTGGAACACATTTTTCATTGCTTTAAACGTTGGAGTGTGGTTTAATGAAAGATTGATAACATTTTGCTTCACCTTACCTTTCTCTTTCTTATCCACTCACTGCTGGTGAAAAGAGCTTCAAGACTTTATGAATCGTAAAAAAGAGGACAAACAACGAAAGGCTTTCTTTTTTCATCCCACAACTTATTTATTTCTTTCTTCTTTATGACCTTTGACGAAATATTTCGTATCAAAGTCAATGATGACAAAAGAATTGGAAGAAAATCTGACGAAGGATTTCTCTTTTCTTCATAATTTACAGACAACTCCCTGGAAAAGCAAGACCTTTGACAGAAACTGCCTTTCAAATTCCCTTGTCGAATCATTTTCTGTAGTTTTCTTATCCAAAGACATGTTATGTGTTTGTTTGTATCGATTGGATCAAGAATTAAACGTGCTATGAATATGATTTAGTTAGGATTGTTAAGTAATGTTGATGTCATGAATACGGAGAAGGGAATCTATAAATGAAAAACTTTAATTTTATGCAGGATATTTTCTATGTTGTTCCACATCCCACGCAAAGAAATAAATCTCTTTTTTTTTTCTCTATTAAACCCCTTCGTTATTCACGCATCGAATTTTATTTTTCACTCAATATCAGCATTCGTTATTCTTGTTTCAATTCGCCTTCCGGCCGGACGTAAATATTCCGCAAAAACAGTGCTGTGTAAATTATTTTCTCGGTTATGCAGGACTTGAAATCATTATTGACTTCTCATTCGATTCTTGATAGTTTCCTCGAATAATTTCCCGTATCAATTTCTCTAACGATTCACGTTTCCATTGAATTCCGCTTTTAAACTATTTCCAATCCCCAGAGAATTCATTTTTATTCTTAAAGCTTTCAGAAAATAAATTTTTAAACTAATTTTTCTAAAAATAAAATTATTTACTTCGTTTCCTTTTTCAAACTCTGCTTTTAAGTGAATTTTTTAAATGCTCTGTCAATGGGAAAAAAATCACGAAACCTTTTGGCTTTTAGCTCTAATCTAACGCAATTTGCCACAACGCTGCGCATTATTCACGAGACTCTGAAAATATGATTTGTTCTAGGCTGATGACAATTTTTTTAACACGGGCGGGAATTACTTTTAATACCGGAAAATCACGTTCATCTCACGCCACACAACATTGCGGTTGCTAATGATGTTGTCTGCGAGTTATTCATTTCTTTCCTGAGGTTGTATCAATTATGTCAATGGAGAAATTGATTACGTGACAGCGAATCTCTTGTGTGGCTTTAAATAAAACAATTTCATAAGATGTTTGTCTACGACGTGAATGATGAAAAAGAAGAACAAATTTCTTAATGAAGTAAAATCAGAAATGAAAAAGTCGCTTGCGTGACGAATCATTGAACTTTTTTAAGAGGAAACTTTTTCCATTTCACTGAAAAATGAACGCAAGCCAACATAATTAAACTGAATGAGATTTTAATGACACTTATTTCCATCAAGTCAATCATTTAGGGTTATTTCTTGTAGAAAATTACTTTTACTATTGACATGGAATATTTATTATGGGAAAACTTATCAATTTAATTTCTTACATTACATATGAAGACGAAACTCTGAGTAAAACATTCATCAATATGAAAGCAGTTTTATGATCCTTGTGGTATATTCAATCATTCATATTGACATATCTTTTGATTTACGAAGCGTAAATGTTAATAAACTTCAACAGATATCATCAAAATTTATGTACATACAAAAAGCATAAAGAGAAAATATTTACAATTTTTAATGCAGAATTTTGTAATCAATCATGAAATTTTGCTTTCTCAGAATTACCTTGAAGCACATATGGTCCAACTGTTTGAAATTCTAACATTTTCCAAGTTAAATATTAAACTTAAAAGCAAATCATAATAACAATTTGTTACAAAATGTTCTTACATTATTGAATATTTGTGAATCATTTCTCTTTGTGCAATAAAACTTTGTAAATTTTCAGAATGTTTAACAATAACCGAGAAAGTTTCTTGAATTATCTTCCATTAGAAAATGTAAATGAAGCATAAAATGTTTCAGACAATACATTTCGATCATTGACATGAATGGATACTAAAGTTTTTATGTAAATCTGATAACTTTACAACTCTTTTTCTTCATCCAATAACATTCAATATTCAATTTAATTTCACATCTCATTTCTATCTTCAATGTGATAAAGTTCGTGATTGTTCCTAACGTGAATGTCGCTTTTTACGTAAATGTTTTAGAAAGTGTCACTAAAATAGAAGTGGAGCAAAGTTCCAAAGAGCGAACATTAAATAAACTTTTATTTTCGATAACTCAATTTCGTTTTCATCATCTATCCAGATGGTACTTCTTTGAGTTCTTCCTAAAGTTTTTCTAGGTCATCAAGTATGGAGAGAAGTTTTGTAAGCCTTTTAATCAGATTGTCACCGTCCGCTGTCGGTTTTTCCTTGATTAAAGTAGAAGTTGAGACAAACAAAATGAAAGAAGGGAAAAAAGGAATTGCCATAAAAAGTTCGTAATTACTGACAAGGGTATCATTTTTATTTATGATAATTTGCATTCAAGGGTGAAAAAACTGTTTTATGTACATCTTGGTCATCTTTTTGAATGAAGATTTTAAATCTGAGCGTCTTGTGTAGTGAAGTAAAAGAATCATAAACATCATCACAATATGGCGCATCATGCAAATCCCAATCTCGTAAGCTTTCCAACACTCGTAACTTCAAATAGATATTGGTGCTTTCACCTCGTTTATTTCTGGTTCTGAAAATCTGCTGTTTATGATAAGAGTCAGGTTGTGATCCTCGTTGTTTGATATTAAATTTTATGATATTCAAACAAATTAATAAAATCTCCCCCATAATTGAATATCGGTGTAATGCCATGTAAGCTCAGCTGAATAAAAAAATAAATAAAAAGTTGTTTTCAAGCATGAAAAAGTTCTTGTTGTTAGTTTTGTTTAACAAGAGCTTTCTTACGTCTATAAAAAAGCATAAATAAATCTTTCATTGAAACATCTGTTCATGACAAAATGAAAACAAAAACAGACGAGGAGAATTCTACCAGATGTGAATGGAAGGCGATAGTTAAAAAGGAAGTGAAAGATTGCGTGTAGCGGAAATGTTTTAATGTTTCCTGTATCTTTAATTTCCCTGAAGATATCTAAAATGTGTTAGAAGCACAACTGATTTTTTTTTATGGCCATTTAATTTATCTCTGCTACAAAACTTTGTTTCAATATGTCCAAAATCAAATTAAGCAGCTTATACACAATGCAAACAATTAATTCTTATGTATCTATTCAATTATCTAATTGAAATTTTTCTTTGGATTAAATTAATTAATCCTTTTAGTGCCATTAACCTTTCGTGAGCATGACGCTTCTGAAATCACAAATCACTTTGTCTTGCTATTAAAGGAATGAACAAAACGACTTACGCTGGTGCCTTTAATTTCTCTTTTCCTCGTTTAACAACAAAAATCTTGAAGTTTCCCAAACAGAAAAAGAGCAAAAAAAGTTATGAAGAATTTCGGATGACCGAGAATTTTCCAGCAAAACCAAATTTCAATTTAGATGACAAATGCCATCGGTATTTATTTAAAGTCTAATTGAAAAAGTGTAATTTATCAACTTTTTTTTATTGACACAACATTTAAATAATATAAGGGAAAGAAGCTTTAATTAATTATATGCGACGTCATGTTTTCAACGAAATTTTGACAAAATAATTATTGCAAGATGATTTTCAAACTCGAATAATTTTAATAATTAATTGAAATATTATCGTTTTACATTTTTCTGAATCATCAATTTATAGCATGAAATTTAAGCATCTACACCCACGCAGAAAAGGTTAAAAAGATGATTTCGTTTATCTATTTACCAACAAAAAGGAAAGTTAGAAATGTAATGTCTTTGAAGGAAAGATTTCTTATTCCATTCCTTTTTTGCATGAATCAACAAACTTTTAATTAATATTGCCTATTTTTTTTTTGTAATTTTTAATAACATTTTCATAGGAAATTTTCATTACCAACGTTTGTTGTGATAACGAACACGTTTTGAATCATAAAAAATTTGTAAAACATAAAAAACTCGCATAGAAATTTACCCTAGATTGCACCCACATTTAGAAACGATTCCCTTGCAAAAGCAATCAAATCGAGGTTTTTCTCTTTGATGGAGACCACGTACTATTCCTGACGATGCTGATGATGGGAGGTGAATATCAAAGAAAAATAAAAGGGATATCCGAATTGAAATCCTTACAAATTTTCTATTTTAGTTTTCGAGTATCTAAATCCTTTGAAGTTATTTAACCACAATTTTATTTAATCTTCAAAACAGATTCATTTGATCTCCTAATACAACTTGGAAGAAGTTAACCATTCAAATAAAATAAAATTTTTATTAAGACATTGTTGAATGTTATTTATAGTCATAAAATTTAAGTTACGTGAAAAGAAAATTCGATTTAGATGAAAAGATTTTGAATAAATAAACAATGAAAATAACTTTTCATCACTTAAGTGATTGCAAAAAAAACCTTTTTTTGCGTCAAAAATAAAGTTTGGGTCGGTTTTCAAATCTAAAATGAGTTCCAAAAAATTGTTGCGAAGAAAAGTTTGAGAAGTTATCAAAAGAGTAATAAGATTCATTGGTTATTTTCCCTTCTGCGTCTGTTCATCTGAACTTTTTTCATGATCATGGTCATGGTCGTGATAAAGAGCCTGCCGAACAAAAATAAATTACAAACATAAACATTTAACGTTGTTGATTCTCCCACGCTTAGTTTTATTTCCATAGGAAAATTCATGGGTTGCGTTACGTGCTACAGGAGTAAATTTATGACAGTTATCAATAACTTAGTAACTTTATTCTTCCAACCTACACAGGTGGTTGTGGTAGCTTAAAAGCGACTTTACATTTTTTTCTCCCGACTCGAGAGATAAATTTTTCATCATTTTCTTCACAAATGGATGTTGTTTGATTTACTGAAATCATTTGCGATTCCATGATTTTACATAAATACATCTTTTTAAGCGAGTATTAATATTGTTATCAAGGAATGTTGTGAGATGTTTGACAGCGTAAGGATTTTTTTTTTGGTATCAAAATGTAATTCTGCTCGAATGTTCAGCAAGTAATGAACAGAATTATTCACAGCAAGTCAAACATAGACCATAAAACGTGACTTGTATCAACATTGCCTACATTTCACTTGACCTCGAAGCGATAAGAAAAGGTCTTGTTGTGGTTGTTATACCTAATAATAATAAAAATGCTTCTCCATAAACAATTTTTCTACATTCCAAGGAATTTCATGTTCAATTCAAACAATCGCTTCAGCAATTTTGTCATGTTTTTCTTTTGAATACTGAACATTCAACATAAGACACAAAACATGACAAACACTACTGTAGATATCATTAAAAATAATAAAGGATTGTTTTAATTAATTTTCAGTATTCCAAAATGCTTTTTTCCTTCGATATTTTGCATGTCATTAGATAAAATTCAAACATCATTAAATATTTTTCATGAAACTTTCACACAAATCTTCAAACTGTCAACTGCAATCTGAAATATCTTGGCATCTTTTTTTCTTATTACCTTTGTTATTTATGTAGATCATAAGATATCTGCAACCTCTCATAACTTCACTACTTTTATGTTTAAAGCATTTCTATTCAAATGTGGAAAGTTTCAAAGCGAAAAGAATTTGGCAAGATTGTCGTTAAGGAAATTAAATTATTTCGAAGTTTATTGAAGTAAAAATTAAATATTCAGAATTAAAAGTCTACTTCAACTATTAATAGATATCCAAATACATATGGCGAAACAAACATGAGTGTTAAATTGGGCATGAACCTCATGAGATATGTTTTTTTTTTTTCGTTATATTCAATCAATCAAATATTTGCATAGATTTGAAGGAAAATAAACGTTGTGGGCAGATTTTGAAGTAGCTAAAGAAACCTTTTTCGATCGTCCTCATCGGATAGGTTGCTGAAACTCGTGTCTTGAACATGTGATGTAAGGATAAGATGAAATGATGAGGGTTCCTTCTTTTGATCAGTATTCATCAAGTGCAATTATACTGAAGATGATAACTCAATAGCAGTTGCAAAGCAACGAATGCTGGCAAACATTATTTATTTTCGTAAAAATTATTCACTTTGACAAGAAGATTTTCCATGAGAAAGTTAATTTTAAATTTTCCAAACTTTTCCCTACAATTTTTCTTACAAAAAGAAATCACAAGAAAATGAATGAAATTTATTTTGACAACGAAAGAAAATTCAAAAGCGTCAATTAAGACGACTCTTAATTTTTTGTATTCTTTCGAAGAGAAAAAGACAGAAAAGTCTTCAAACAAATTTGTTTTTCGTTTCTTGACATTTTCCTTTAAATCATGTTATGAAAATATTTCATTCATAAACTTCAAACTTTTCATCTTTTGTTATTCAGAAAAAGAAAGCTGAAAGCTTACCAAAGAATCACAGTTCAGTTGTGTGTAATGAATTGATTAAGAAATATTTCTCAGGGATTTTCAAGCTAAGCCAATTTATTTCGAGTAACAAACGACCAGCGACAATCCGCAGTCTGTCAAATGTTCTTTAAGAACAATGAAGTTGAAGAATTTCATTTCGAAGCGATGTCTGCTTTCTTTATTTATTGTCTTGGATGTTATGATTTATTGTCTTGGAGATTTATCTTTTCTACCTTGGCTCTCGTTCAACTCTTATTCATTGATTCAATTTTCTTCGTTTTCATGACTTCTCAAAACAATCTGAGACGAAACAAGTAAAATTGGATCAAATAGCCGATACAAACAGAATACCTTTTATTCAATTTATTTCCCGGATGATTTCATCATCTTGCAACTTTAGGACGAATTGTGTAGCAATTTTTATCAATTTGGAGAAAATTTTGAAGAAACAAACCTTGAATTGGATGCTTTTGCATCTCATCTACATATTCCTCGTGTTCGTCTTTTTATTGTTACATTTTTTATCTTCTTATTAAAAGGACTATCTATAGAAAGAATAACATCAACAAAGTTGAATCCAAATTGCCAAAGATCTTTCACTCTGCTCCGTATAAAAATAATCTGATACTAATACTGACGTCATCTAAGACATGACATCTTGTTGATGCCAGTTAATCCATCATTTCATTGTGTTGCTAGATGCTTTTGGCAAGTTTTATTGAAGATGTTTTTATATTATTATTTGAAAGATACAAAGTTTTGATAAAGTAGCCTCTTGCGAGACTATCATCCTATCATAGTCTCAAGATGAATATATTATTAAGAACTTTGCATGTTCAAAAGCTAAAAGAAGCTTAAAATTATAATTTTATTTCAGAGAATTTTAGATAACATATTTTTAATGACTTTGCTTCTTGTTGTGCTTAATCTCTTGATAACTTGTAATTAGTGAATGGGATTTTTTTCCCTGAAAGTTTAATGAAATGTAAAATGACATGAAAGTTTAAAATGTTTCTTTAAAACTTTTTCTAACTAAAAATTTAAAATTTAAATTTGAGTTTTACCGTCGACAGGATGAATCAGATTAAAATGTTATTCATAAAAAAATTTAAAATATTTTCCAACTTAAAACAAACTAAAACAACATGAAACAAAACTTTAAATTGTATTATAAATAAATAAATTTATGCTTCAAAACATAATTTCATTACTAATAACTTTAACAAAACATGTTCGGTTGCAATCTCATCCTTAATGAAAATTTCTCACATGACAATTTGAGGAATTTTTAATTTAGAGAAAAATAAAAAGTCGCTTTATATGATAATTTATCATCAAACGCAAGGATGTTGACGAGCAATCACATAAGAGGAAAGCTCTCAAGAGGAAGGAAGGAAGGAAATTTCAAATTTCTTATGATGAAACGTTCACATTTCAGATTTTCTCTTAATAATATTTAGAATATATTTGCATTTTATGCTTGAACTGCATACCTAGGAATGCAAGAATATCAAACAGTGAATAAATGAAGCATAGCTTCAACTCACCATATTGAATAGAAACATTATTGTTCATTCTCGCTGTAGACATCGCAACTAAACACAAATAATGCCTAGGGAAGAATTCTCTTCGCTAAGTATTTATGTGAATGGCATTTGATGAAAACTTGAAAGAATAAATTCAGACACGCCACACTAAAGGTTTGCATTATTGATAGAATTCACAACTCCAACAATATTTCATATAAAAGCTTCATTGAAATGATAAATGACGAAAGCTTTTATGTTAAACGTAACAGTGAAGTATTCATTTACAATGTTCATTACACGAAAACGCTCAGGTGAAGTTAACAACAGATGTTCCAAATGATTATTCTAAGTAAATGGATTTCGTTCACGTTTTTTGTTTAAAAGATTTTCTAAGTTAACTAACTTTGTGTTCGTCGCGTCATTTTCCTAAAGTTTTTTTAAGGATAATTATTCTGCTGTTTACGACAACATCAATAATGGCAAATTTCTGTTTCTTTTCTCGTCTATTGTCTTTATCTAATTAGCATTAATGCCATCCAGACTACTTAATTTTCTGCCTTAAAAATCGTCTCAGTAATGATAATGATGATTAATAAATTCATTGTCTAATGTTTGTATCAAACTGTCATTCACATTCTTGTCACATTTCTTGTTTTGTCAAATCCCAATCTAATCAGTCAACATACGAATGTAACCTTTCATAACCACATAACTGATAAGAAGGAATCCAATAACAAAAACTTATATTTGTTTCATTTTATTGAGTCTTAATCTGTACCCAAGAAGCACAACAACATAGTAAATAATTAAATTGAAATCGCTATCCAGTTATGCTAATCATTTATTTTTAGATTATTTATGCCACTTGAAGCGTCACATCGTATTTCATTAATGTTGATATTGTCTTTTCTCGGAATATTGAAAGATTGCTGCCTTGACAGATCATAACAGTCGCTACCGGAATTAGTGATGAGTAAACTGTTGTTGTTATTATTGCCCGTGTTGTTGATTGAAATTGATGTCGGTATAGTTGTCGGTTGAGCGTTGTTACAAGTATATGCGCTGAGACTTACACGTCTCGTAGGCTCATTGGGCTGCCTTAAACATCTAAATAAGTTTAGAAAAGCCTTTCTGAACCCTATGTTCATGAAGCAATACGTGATTGGGTTACAGCATGATGATGAATAGGCTAGCAATTGGAAAAAACTTATGGCCGTATAGCCAAGATTCTGATAAATGATTTTATGATCAAACAAAGTTATCGTATTGATCACGTAAAGTGGTGTCCAACAAATAAAAAACTCGAGAACGACAACAAACAACATTTTTATGACGCGTTTCTTGTTAAGTAAGCTTTTTTCGGCATTCGACCTACATCGGAAACGGGAGAGGGAAAAAAAAATCATTCAGAGTTTTATGGATATGAAAAAAAGAAAGTGAACTTTATTAATCACTAATTAATACCTCCTCAAACCCGGCATGTGAACTCTCATCGATTCGTTTTTGACGAGGGTTGAATCGTGGGAACAGTTGTGGAGTTGATGGAATGAAGATTGCGTGTCGTTTGCGTTGTATTTTGGGCTACTTTTGCATGTTTGTGAGCAGCGACTTCTTGTCCCACCATTGCTAATGTATACTTCGATGTTATTTTTCGCTATTGTATGTGAGAGTAAAATAAAAATTATTGCTTTTAATAAAGACTCCCAAGAAATCCTTTCACAGAATGGCAATTTCTTGAAATTGAAAATTAATATTTGATAAGGGAAAACAAAAAAGGAAGAAAAAATTATGGTAATGGAGCAGAATTCTAATTAAATTTCTCTAATAAACACTTTAAAACCAACAAATATTAATCATGCGAACACATTTAGAATCCCGAATATTTAAATCATTATAATTAACAAAACTGAACATTCAAGAAGAAGAAATTAAAACAATTAGCGGAAAGAAAAGGAAATTAAATGAGAATGCGAAGCATCTTTAATTTATGTGTTGTGTGTTTAAGTATGCAATACAAATATGGAAATTTTCCTACAATTAAAATCGAAAGATAAGAATCTCCATTAAACATTCAAACATCAGCATTTGGAGTTAAAATCAACAACGAAAATGTTGAAAAATGTGGAAACTTCTTTTATAGTTTATATCGCAGATGTAATTAATTTCAAAATACAAGAAGAAAAACAAATAATTTAAAATAATCTCTGATTACATAGCCACAGGGCTTCGAATTCAAAGAATTAATTATTCATTAAAATATTTAAATAAAATTTCAAATATTCAAAATCTCAACATTCTCAGAAAGAAAGTAAGTAAGCAAAATTAATACGTAATAATCACAGCTTAATTCAGGATAATGATGGATAATTGAAATACAAAATATTAATCTATTCAACCATTACTCACAGCACTTTTCATATTTGATTAATTGGTTTTTGAACTCTCTCTCAGTTCGTATTCCTTGCCATAACGACTTGGTGATCATGAAGTAAGTTGCTCCCAGCACAAACAATGGGAAAACTAATAAAATCATATCCAAAAATATATTAAAGACCTTTTCATACTCTATTGGCTTATCCGGCCACAATTCACGACACTTTTGGTGACCTATTTTGAAAAAGGGGAAAATTTACGCATTTTTCTAAAGCCATTGAAATTTATTGCCATTGTTTGTTTACCTTGACTTGTTGGTATAAGTTTGCTCAGAACAGCAATAGGTGCCATGAACAATAAGCTCGAGAACCAGATCAAAATAATTAGTTTATAAGCATGTTTCAATGTTTGCCATCGTCGTGATCTCAATGGATGACAAATTGCATAGTATCGCTCTACACTTATAGCCACTAAAGTCCAAGCTGACACACTAACAGAAGAAGCTTCAATGATAGAAAGATTGAAACGAAACACTTTTATTAGCTTTTCAGAGAATTTTCCTAAATATCGTCAATAAATCTTAAGTTGCTATAGTGACATCAGCGTAATGGAATTGACATTTATACAAAACACTTTTTCATCGTTAAGTCAGTTTGCTGAGAAAGTAGATAAGTGTAAAAGTTATTCACGAAGCGTATAACTAAAGGCAAAGTCATACTTTATATCATTGAAAGAGATTATCTCAAGTTTCTATAATGCCATAAAAATCTTCTTCAAGTAACTTACACCCGTTCTTGTCTCTTAACTCTTTTACACTTCCACTTCTTTCTCAAGATTTTGCTGTCTTGACATTCAACCAGGGGAAGTTTATTGAAATAATATTTTGATAGATATCAAAATCAATCATAAATCTCAAGTCTTCTTTTCAAAATTTCATCGTAAATATAGAATGAAAGTTTTAAACTTTTTGTGTCATATTGTGAAACATTGAGATAACCTTTGTCCATTCATATCACGATTAAAAGTCTACATTAATAAAGACAAGCGTTAATAATTTATGAATTATTTTTATGACATGAGTTCAACATTATTTTTATTGCTGACCATGCTGAAATTTTTTTCTGTTAAAATGATTACTTTAAATGAGTTGAGACAAGTTTTTCTAGGCAACCTTTTAAAACCTTCGTCAATTGAATGAACCACATAAACAGCAAAAAGGTCTTGAAGAATGAACATTTATCCTAGTTTTTGATTTATGATTCTGCTCATAAAAAGGATGAGATTTTTATTGTTGATCATATATTTCTTTTTCAATTTTTTTGTGATGGCGACATCAAATTATAAGCTTTGATACCTTAAATTCTCTTTCTTTTTATTGTTATTACACAAGATACAAAAAAGCAAGACAAATACTTTGAGCTTTAAAAGAGCTTTTTAACTTCTTCTTTCATGGAAAAAGAAAATCTCAATTTTTGTATTCATGTTAAGTTGTGCTTAAATCATAATATCCCCAACTCATCTGTCACTTGAGAAATAAATGAAGAAAGAAATAAAGAAAAAAAAACCCTTTCTGCAATGTGAATGCGAATAAGATCCTAGCACTTAGATTAATTTAATTCAATCCGTCTGCAGACGATATGATTTTGAGGAGGAATTGGGTTTCTTCTATTATATCCAAAATTGCTTATGAATGGCACGAACCTTGTAAATAAGGTAACAGTTTGCACATCAATTCTCCAAAGATAAAATCCCGCAGTAACATTCCAACGAGTGTGAAGGGCATACAGAACACTCCCAAAAATAAGTCGGAAACAGCCAAATTCAGTAGAAATAGATTGGTTATCGTACGCATTCGCTTATTCTGCACCAATGTCAATATAACTAAAGAATTTCCAATCACAGCCAATAAAAATATCACGGAATAAAGTGGAATTATCGTTGATGCTGTCGTTATCCACGATTGTTGTGAATGATATAAATTATTAGTCACATTTAAGGGTGAACTTATATTTGATAGCATCTCCTCAATTATTTCAGCTCTATCTAATTTCATTGTATCTTTTACATTATCCGTAGTAGTTGAAAAACTTTCGTTTACATTTGAATTATTTTCCATAATTAAGACTTATTTAATTAATTTTCGATAATTTTATTATTTTTTTTTTGTCTCTCAAAATATTCATTGAATTTGATTCTTTTTATCACAACCTGGTTTTTTTTAATCAATGAATAATTAAATATTGTTAGTTAACATGCTTTATAATTGTCACTTGTTTATCCCACAGAAGCCCGATCGAAACTGATTTTAAAAAAATAATGAATGAATCAAATGTTGATGTTGCATGTTGATTTGATGCTTTTATGAAACGTTAGGATTAATGCTTTACCAAACATTAACTTTGAAAGCATAAACACGCTGGAAGAGACTGGAAAATTAAAAGCTTTGATCTTTTCCACCAACCGCAAGGAAAATTGTCGGAAAAGAGAAATAAAATAACTAAGCCTCTAATTATGTCATGTAATTATATGGAGATTGGATTTTGCTCTACAAACTCAAAATCTTTTCGTCTTCTAATAAATTTGAATGTCTTAATCACCATCAATCTTGATGCTTATTACCACAAAGCAAATCTCTTTGAACAGAAAAGAAGAAAATTTAATATCATCAAATCGAAATTCAGATTTCAATGTAGATTAGAAATCACAATCGATAACATCGTTTCCTTATGTATGAAGAGAACATTTTACTGTATTATAATCTTTGTTTAAAACAAAAAAGAGTTTTGCACACGTTTCTGAGGTAAACGTGAACCGATTTTCGATTACCGCTGCTGTGAAAATGGTTTTTCGCTAGAAGGCAGCAATCAGACCGCTAATAAAACTCAACAGCAGCTGCTCGTGATGAAAGCTTACGATTGTATAATGGTTCACTTTACTGATGTCGTCTTCATTTTGACGAATACTTAACGATGAGTTTCCGTAGTGAACTTTTTGAGGCATTTGTGTCTTCTTTCACACATGTTGTTATTCGTGCTCGTGCATGTAGAAACGAACATTTTGTGTTGAGTATCAATAAATGAGCGGCAATCAATTTGCCATTTGTCGTTTGTATTTATATGTTTGCGAAAATTTGCCTCTTGCGAAAATTGAAGGCCATCACATCCATTCATATTTCAGATTCCTTTAACAAGTTGAATCGAGAAATTTCAAGCTGAATTTTATCAAGAAAAAGAAGCAAACATTGCCATGCATTCTACATGTTCTGGGAAGGTAAATTTAAATTGAACTACTCAGCTTTTTAGAGAGTGAAAATAAACCTCATAAAAAAAGGTAAATTCATGAGATAATAATGAACATCTCCATCGCCATTAAATATTATGACTTCAAGTTGTATTCTAATGGATAAAAGCTCATAAATTTTTATGGGGAAATTTATAACGTCATTTATATGCAATGTTCTAATCCCAAACAAATACATTTCCCAATCTTCTTAATAAGCATAAGTTTAAGAACTAGGAACAAATGCCTAAAGATGTTCTTTTGTTCATCAGGAATTTTTATATGACAATATGAAACGCTTTTTCAAATGAAAAATCATTTATTCATATCGTTGTTATCATTCTTTCAGTCACAACTCACTTGTTGACATTTATTGCTTCCTTAAAGTGAAGTTTCAACTGGAATGTTGAATGACATCAATTGTAAGAGAATTTCCAGCCCAAGAGCATTGTTTATGATATCAGAAGCAGAATTAAAATAAATTGGAGAAATATACAAATTTAATCACTTCCTGGTTAGAAATTAAGTTAATAAAAACATAAATATAAATAACTTGTCGGAAGATTCATCTTCTCGTCATCAACCGAAACATTTCTCATTCTTTCACACTTTGTCTATGTTCACAACTCCACATTTTCGATGAATAATTTGCCGGGTTTAAACCCTCATCACTATACGCTATTTCATTCTATTAAGAAAAATTTTACATTTCTTGAAGTGCTGCAATTTATAAAACTGTCACGAAATAGAAAGGGAAGCATGATTTGCTAATAAAATAAAGCTTTAAAAATTCTCCAGCTTTATAATCTGGGCTAAAGTCATTTATACGTACATTTACAATAATCGTACCAGCCGCTGGTACTTACCTCTTGATCAAAAGCTTACGTTTGAAGTTAAATCTCTTTGTACACTGCTTTAAGAAATAACCTCTTGTGCCTTATGGCGTTTCGCAAGGGAAATAAAACACAAAATTCTACTCAACATTTTTAAAAGGGGATGAAAGGCATTGAAAAATGAAGACGGTTCCTGTGGAGAATAAAATCCATATTGAGTTTTTCATTTTCCTTGCCAATCCTCATGGCATAAATTAAAACTGTTACTCAGTAAGTATTGAAACGGAATAAATTTATAATCTTTGTCATCTCCCAGGAACATTAAGAATTCTTCATGGCTTTTGATGTGAAAGAAGGAACGTTAATGCTCTTTGACACCATTAAATTTTTCTTCGTCACTTACTTTTGGAATTTGTGCCTTCTTTCAATTTCATGGATGCCGCATTCAATTCAATCTCATTTATGCTGAGATTTTCTGTTGTTCGCATTGAGCAAGAAGATGATTTCACGCTGATGTACTTTATATTATGAACTGCTTTTTGATTCCCGAAATGTTTTATTTGAACCATATGAGTGCTACTTAGCCCAATTGATAATAACAAATTCCACCTACATTCAATCTCAACAAAAGATGAACGTCGTCCTGGTTATTTCGAAATCCAATGATGTTGTTTTCTGGTATTCAGAGCATAACGGAAGAAGCTGTATTGCATTTATCATTCTCGATTTAAGTTCAATACAAATATTATTGATTTGAAATGAAACGTGATTCTCTTCTTTTCTTTATGATTATGAACAGTTTTCCTTTTGCATTAGGGAACACGCTAATTATTTAGGCAACTCTCTGTCTGCTTATTTTCACTAATTATATGTCTTGAGATAATCAAAAAAGGAAGCTTTTCATCACCACTTCCAGTTTTCCAGTCACGACTTTCCAATGCACTCGAAGCTTTATTTTAACGAAAATTAACGAAAGTAATTCAAAATCTGGAATGAAAGAGAAAAAAGCGCAAAAATCATCATCACATGTTCATTCATAAAAATGTTCAGTTTCATGCAACATCTTTAACATTCAAGTTGTGATTACAAAATTACAGAATAAATTTATTTATTCAAAAATATTTTTGTAGAAAATAAATCAAATCTTTATTGACTGTCGGATTTAACAAAAAAAATCCTAATCATGGCTGATGCATGGATTAATAGCCAAAATACTTCACTAGTTGGAAATGTTAGCATAATTCTCACGCCAGAAAGTTTAACAATTACATCAAGAAAAATAATTGATTCCATTTCCACTAACAACATGTCAAATGTGGTTAATAAATCTATTAAAAGTGTACAGACTGCATCGTTATGGATAGACTCGGGAACTTGAATAATAATTTTATATTCAGTGATATTCTTTTTAGCTGTGATTGGAAATTTATTGGTTATTTTAACATTAATTCAGAGCCGGCGAATGAGAACAATAACAAATTTATTTCTGCTCAATCTCGCCGTTTCCGATTTATTTTTGGGAGTATTTTGTATGCCGTTTACATTAGTTGGAATGTTACTTAGAGATTTTATATTTGGAGAGATAATGTGCAAACTTTTGCCGTATTTGCAAGGTAGGTAAAGTCATCATCAATCTTTTTTGTTTCTGGCAAAAAGCTAAGCAGAAAGTATCATTAAAATTAAATTAAAAAAAGGCAAATGTAAAAGCAGTTTGAAACATTAAATTAAATGAAAAAAGCAATTAAACCGAAGCTTTTTGTTATTTAAAACTCTTTCAACTTAAAAGTAAGGAAGAAGGAATTTTGAAATTATTCAAGAAGTTTCTAAGGAAAATCCTTTGAATACTTCCCAATTGAAGGGAAAAAAATGGAACAAACCATCATTGGTTTTACAATGGAATTCCATTAGGGATTTGAAAGCTTTAGATGAAGAATGTTTAAAAGCAATCTCAATTATCTTGATTGTGAGTGAAATGCTTGAACACTTAATTGGTTTATTTTTATACAGTTAACAACAAAAACCTTTATTATGAAGCTAATTTTGGAGCTTAAGTTTGAAATCACTGACGCTTATCCTTCTTTTCAATTTTAAATCTTTGCTTTTGTTTATTCTTTCAAACACATTAATTCTTAAAATATTTACATAAATATAAATTGGATTCTCATAATATAATGTCTTAATTAAGGCGACGATTTTCGAGGTCATTGATCCAGTGAACTGAAGTCATTAACTTATTCAAGTTGAGTGAAACAAAATTAGCAACTTGGAGAAGTTTGAAATAAATCCAAAAAGGGAATAATTCTCTAATTAAAGATTATGAAAACTTTTTGTTCTCTTTTGTAATTTATTCAATTTTGCTGCTAATTAAACAAGATTGTTTATTGCCATTGTTACAATTCAGCTTTGTTCCAAAATTATGAATAACATCATATTAAATTTTCTATCTCTTCAGACAACTTGTAACATGATATGTTGTCAAAAACAATTAAATTCATAATTTGCATCAATAAATTGACTTCGTTTTTGGGGTTCAAATATAAAATTTTATTTCTCATAGCATATTAAATTTGTAATGAAATATCACGAAATTGTTTTTGTAACTGAAAACAAGTTCCAAGAAGTTAAACTTTGATAAATCAGCTTTCATTTGTATTTCATTTGCGTCCAGATAAATATGTTATTTATCTGTATTTCTTGTCCAAAATAAGTCGCAAAACATCCCATTTTCATCTCCTTAAGCTTTGACATTGGGATAATCATCAAGCTCATACGAAAGTCGTGACAAATTTTATCAACACGAGTTAGATATTTAAAGAAGAACTTCCATTTCAACAAGGCACTTTAACATTATTTATTCAGTTGTTATTGAGAAAGTTTTTATGTAATATTTTGATGGATTTCTTATTCATATTATAAACATTTACACAAGAAAAACAAAAATAATTTATGTGAATCAAATTTCATCAAGTTTATTATTAAATTTTCACGGTGCGAAAAATGATTTTAAGCTAATTTGTCTCATAAAATATTGACGATCGTTGAAAATTTTCCAATTTCCATATTGATTTTCTTAAACACGAAAACTTTTTCTTGAATACTTAAACAACGAATCGTACCACGTATAAGGAAAAACTTTTATTTTCATTGCCATACACCGGAAAATTTCTTCGCATTCAGTTTTCCATCATAAATTACTCAGGCATCGACAGTTTTATCGACTTAAATTGGATAAACGATAGCATGAATGGAAACAGAGTATCACAAACAGTCTGGCATTAAATTTACTGCTTCGATGATTTTGCAATTTCAGTTTTTCTTTCCTCAATAGATTTTTGATAGAGAATTTTCTTTTGTTTCTTTTATAGCTACTTCGGTTAGCGTTTCTGCTTGGACATTAGTAGCGATAAGTGTAGAGCGATACTATGCAATTTGTCATCCATTGAGATCTCGACGGTGGCAAACCTTAAAGCACGCATATAAAATAATCATCGTGATATGGATTTCGAGCTTAATATTTATGTTGCCTATAGCAGTTCTCAGTAAATTAATACCAACAAGTCAAGGTAAGTTAAGTAAACAAGATAATTAAAATAATCACCAAGCTAATTAACATGTCTCTCATTGTGATTTAGGACATAAAAAGTGTCGGGAAGTTTGGCCAAACGAACCTTTTCAATATGAGAAGATCTTCAACATCTCCTTGGATATGATACTTCTGGTAATACCCTTGTTTGTTCTAGGGGCTGCTTACTTCATGATTTCGAGAACTTTGTGGCAATCGTTAGACTCTGAGAAGCTCCTCAACAAACAAACATCAGGTAGGTTGTTAATTTCGGTTAATATTTGCTCAAAAATCTTCTTATTGATTCTCTATTTTCCCTTCCTTCATTCATCAATCATACCATGTGAAACTGAAAATAGCTGTCACGTTTGGAGATAATCAAACGATCGCATCGCCATGTCGGAAGAGACATAAAATCAATGATACTGTGTCATTTCAAAAGCTCAAATGTTCTTCACAACAAATTGTGCTTTTAAATCGGGATGATGTTTCCAGGAAACATATGTTGGGCTTGAGAAGGTAATTGAAAAATTTATCACAGATGACAAATGTCGCCTGGGATATTTTGATGAGGGTTCCGTTCTTTCTCATCCACTTCAACTTCATACAGTAAATTTACTTAACAACATTTGTTTATGTTTGAATCTCAGGTCAAATCCCGCAAAACGGTTGCTGAATAAAAGGAGAGTTGTGAAGATGTTATTTGTGGTTGTTGTTGAGTTCTTCATATGTTGGACGCCACTCTACGTGATAAACACATTGGCGCTTTTTGACCCGAAGGCGGTTTATCAAAACCTTGGATACACCGCAATCAGTTTCTTTCAATTGCTTGCCTACTCATCGAGTTGTTGTAATCCCATTACATATTGTTTCATGAATATTGGTTTTCGCAAGGCATTCCTTAATTTGTTCAGATGCTTCAGACGTGAGCCCGGTCGACGAATAAGTGTCAGTGGTTATTGCATGACAAGTGCAGGAAGTGCTGAAGCTCAAATTCTTGCCGCAACTGTCAACAGCTTAATGCAGAATGAAAGTAGCTGCAGCATTCACACACCAAACGATGAAGATGCTCGTGATACGTTTTCATTTCAAGAAACGCCAAATTCAATTCATTCTTCATACGAGAATGGCGAAGAGAAAACTTCAACAAATTTTTTGAATTAAATTTTTTATGTTCAGAGAGAAATAAAGCTCGTTAATTCAATAAATGTTTCTGAAAGTACAAAAACAAGCTATTGTTATTCATTTCGAAACTTATTAAGTCACTTAATGAAATATGTCATAGCCATGGAAGGAGATTGAATATTTCTATGTCATCATATTGATTTTTCACAGCTTCGAGCTGCTGTTTATTTATTATTTTATTACAGATTTATTGTTTTTTATTAAGAAAGATGAAATTTATTTTTATAAATTGAATAACCAACGATATTTAATTTATTGTGCTAAGAGCTTTAAGGTCTTTACGTAATTTAAGCAAAATCCCATGGCTTTATACTTAACATGATACTTTGTTGATTTCTTAATTATTCTGTTAACATAAGTTGAAATGTGTCATGTTGGATTTAATGGACAAAAAAAAAGAGAGAAAACTTATATAAAAATCATGATCAGAATGAGAGTTTCCTGTAATAGAATTACTTCGTTCTTTATGTCTTCAGTTGCGTACATTCTTAACTTGTAATTAAGTTTTTTATCAAAACTTTCTTCTCTGATTTCTGTCCATTCTTTAACTTACTTTTTTATTCAACAAAGCAAATGAGAATTTTATTACAGATGGATTCCTTCATTAAATAATCTATAAATGGGAAAATGGCCTCTGAACGTTTTTCCCTTATGCATGCAAGGCAGAAAAAAATAATTACACTTATGGTTCAAGTTTCATGTATCAGTTAACGAGCATGTTTGCTGCAAAAATGTCAAAGCGAGTAAAAAAATAAAAAGAGCAAATTCTTTTCATAAAACGGAAAGAATATTTTCATCTCCGTCGTATGTAAAGCAGGTAAATGTAATGTACGTGGAATTAATTTCAAACGTTTAGGAAGGTTCTCTAAAATAATTAGATATAAAAGTCAGACGTTTTGCAGATTGTCGGCGAATAATCTCATACAAAAAAACTAAAAAGACCCAAATTATGAATGCTCTAATGACTCTGGATCCACCATCTTCATGCTTCTGGGGCACGAATAAAAAGAAGACTTGAAATTTACACGACATTGAGAAGCCGACTGGCACAGTCTGTCATACGACAACGAAAGAATTTTTTCTTCTCTGTCAAATCTTTTCTCTTTATTTCTGCACGTTTTTTCCTGTTAAGAAAATTCTCTACATAAAGTTCTGAAGATAAATTGAGGGTTTACATCGAAATAATCTGAACTCACTGCCTATTGGAACATCAATCAAAATTCTATTGCTTTTCCTTGATAAGTATCAGGTTTCCCACTCGCCTTCGCTATTTTCACTTTTATCTTATGATAAGAATCAATAATCTTCTTTTGAAAAGTTCAGAAATTTTAGGAGTTTATTCGGGAGAAAGGAAATGAGAAAGTGAAAATGAAAATAAAATCCTTGGCACAGTCTTTTCCCAAGCATAAATTCTCAAGTGCGGTTCAAGTTTTCCACACAGATTTTCCTACTCAGATAAGACAGTCATTTGTAGTGTGGAAATTGTTTTTCCTTTATAGAATCAAAATATCTTGCTGTTAATCTCATTGAGGCTTGGAAACTGCTAAGTATGAAGCTTCGTAATTATGCTTTACTATTACGTAAGCTTTCCCTGGGAAAAACCTTTTGCCAGTCGCGAATATTGTGAATTTCTATTATAGAGCTTTAAGTAGAAAGTTATGTTCTTGTAGAATGTCTACGTTCCTTCTTTGCGTGTAATCATTTACTTGGACATTTTAAGAGATTTCCTTTCTTTCCTTTTCGTGTTCTGAATAAATTACGCAACATAAAACTTGACTCCTTATTTTTCATGCTTTTCAATTTTAAAGCTTTCAAGAAGAAGGAAAAGATTTAAGAAAGACAATTATGGAAAGCAGATTTAAAATTAACATTCAATAATTTATGAGGATAGAGAGTGGGAGAAATACTGATTAAGTTCTTAAAAGTAAACCGCAACAGACGTTTACTCAAATAAATAATAAAACGATTTGATCCAATTTCAAAGTTTCATCGCTTGAATTTGAGAGGGATGATAAGAAAAATCTACGTTAACAGCAAACTGGTTCAAAAAAGGGTCGAGAACTCGTTCTAAAAGCTCGAAATCTAAATGTTTATTTAATTTTGAAGAATCGTGCGAGTTTAACTCGGTGTCTGGAAAATTCTTTTCTACTTAATATTTAATATGTTTACCGATAAAAGGATAAAACCGTTAGATTTAACATCAATTTTCTTTTATCCTCAACCTCATCATGAAAATGCTTTTTTATACAAAAAATGTGTAGCATTTTAAATTAACTGAAAAACAAGCTTCCGTAGTTACATAAATGAACTCTTCTTCAAATATTTACTTCGAAGCTTAAAACATCAACAAATGTAAACCCGGGCCATGAAAGGCAATGGAAATTTATCACGGCGAAATGTTGAAAAGTCGACCCACTAGTGATGGAGCTTAAATAAAATTCCAACAAATATAATACAAATTGATTGCATGAATATTTATTACTTATTAAACTGAGTTGAAGGCTTTACTTATTATGTTATTGTTCTGATGTCAAATTAAATCAATCAGTTCCTTCGATTCGATTCGTATAAATATTTGACTTTCATGAAAACAATGTTTCGAATCTCTAAGAGGATTCTGTGTTTAAGATTCTTATTTTATTGAATAAAGGGAAATGTTTTCTTTTGAAGGAAACTTTGATTTTGTTATGTTTATCCTCGAAAACTTTTATCTATTTAGTAGATTTATTATTTTTGTTTTTACTGCCAAAGTTTGTGTTTTCTTTGACGCCTGATTAACAAAGAAGGATGAACCAATTCATGATTACTTTGTGCCTTTAAACATATTTTTTCCTAAATTTGATTGGGTCTTAAAATTTTCCCAGGGTTCTCAATACATGTATGTAAATTATATGATTTATATAAAAAGGCTAGAAATAACTTCACGTTTCTTACCTTCTACGTGTTGAGAAGATTTAACTTGGATCTCAACATATTTGTGTGCTGGTTTTGTTATGTTTATCATACTCATCAACATAAAAAATGATAAAAGAAAAACCTTTCGCACATGCTGCCTACCTAGCTTTATTCAAACAACGAACTTATCTTTTATTTAAGTGTTTCCTTTCAACGAAAGATTTTTAAAGTTTACCTTCAATTCTTCTATTTATTTGTGTAAACATTTCACGGTGAAATATCTTGCAACTAAACATTAATTTAAAATCAAATCTGCATGCATGGAAAATTTGTACTGTAAACTTAATTAAAATTTTCTGATTTTTTATATTAAGTGGAAGCATTTTTATGTTTGCTTTGTTCAACCTTAAAAATGAGTTTATTATTTACATTACTGTGAATCCAGCATTCGCTGGTTAAACTTTTTATGCACGAACAAGCTCGACCCACTCTAAAAATAATGAAGAGTACTCATTTAAAATATAATAAGTTCTTGTGGAAATTGTAAAAGCAGTTTGTGAAAATTATTTTTACATTCTCCAGAAATTGATATTTGAAAGGGTTGAGAACAACAAATTTTTGTTTGAATTTTAATTAGCTGTGGGGTTTCGTCTTTTCAACTTTTGTGTATTTAATTTAATTTATTGTCTAATTTACTCGATCAACTTCAGCTAAGCAATTTGATATTTAATGACTTGATTAACCACAAATTTTTTTTACTTAAAGAATTTCCAAGATTTACCAAAATTTTCCCTTCTCAAAGAATTTAAGACCAAAATTTTCCCTTGGTAAGGAATTGGATTCTAAGCAGTTTGAACTAATAAAAGTTGGTTGAAGTAAAATTTACGAAGCTTCAATCAAAGTTGGAAGTTTTAAGTTAAGATGATTATTATGTGTAGGCTTTGATGAACATGGCAAATCTTGTTTATTCTAATCATTAATAAATCATTTTTGGTTTTTACATTCAAATCGAAACAAGGGAGAAATTTACATTATCATTTCGAAGGATTTAAATGACATTGCTGGAGCAACCCACACATTAATTTTGAATCTCTTTATTGATTTGATTATGTGTTTATTGAATTCTCGGATAAAATTTTGTAGATAAGTCGCCTCAGGACAAAGAAAGCTTGTACCATTAGAAAAACGACATCGAAGGTTTAAGTATCCATGCCTCGTTCAAATCTTATTTTTGGATCAACAGATCAAGTGTCTAAGGATAATGAAGAAAATTACTGAGCTGGAGGAAGATCAATTTACTTTTAAGGATGACAATCTGAGAACTTATTCGATTTAGCACTCAAAAATTTTATTATTTACAAAGGAAAATCATTTAACACTTTTTTACTTGAAAGTAAAAGGAAATTTGATAAATTGATGAAGAATTTTGAAAACTTATCTCTGTTTATTGTAAGCATAAATGTTATTATAAGATGAAAGGATTCATAAGTAAAATAACATTTTCTGAGCTTTCTGAAACGTTGATCAATAAAGTTAGTAGAGAATTCAATGAAATCTGACAACTCCAGTAAAAATAGATCTTATAAGAACTGAAATTTATTATCTGATTCTCTTTAAATATGCTTTGAGCAAATAAAACCGATTTTGTTATTGTTTGGTCTCGCAAAGGCAAACTTGATATTTTTTATTGACCATTGCTTAGTATTTGTCATTAAAGATATAAAATCCAACAGAGCTGAAAAAGTGTCCATAGTATGGCTCTAGGGTAAAATCCCGGTAAGTAGAAAAAAAACATCAAAAAAGAATTTTAAAACTCAATAAGAAAAAGAAATAAAAAATCCGAAAATTTTAAAAAACATTTTTTTCATAAAGCTCAAACATTTATGAATCCTCCCACAAATGTTTCATGTAACTTTTTGATCAATGAGTTGAAAAGTTTTCGAATTTTGTTCTTGCAAATTCAAAGCACGTAACAGATGTATCGAGTTCACATTGAAAATTTCATCATATTTATCAGCTTCAAGATACTTTCAATAGACTTCGGTAATTTGGAATCGTTCAGGTATTAAATATTAGATATTTATGAAAATTGATTCTTCCAAAAATATCCTCGTTAAAAATTATTCTGTGATAAAAAATGTGTTTGAAAATCATAGAATTTTAAATTCATGAAGCTTCAAGCATACTATTGAATGAATTCAAGCATAAATCATATTTATATTTATTCATATAACAAACAATGGTGTTTCTATGTTACTGAAAATTTCATCAAATCCTTCTTAATTTTCAACCTTAAACTGTTTGAATATTTATTTGGTAAAACTTGACAGATTAAAATTTTATTTCAAAATAAGAGCTTCTATGGTGCGGTTGTTTACTGCTAGGTTTTAATAAAATTTAACTTTCATGTTCATCTCCTTATTAAATTTTCCTTTGATTTTACAATGATACAAATCACATACCTGCTAAGTTTGAAGGAATGGAAAATATTTAAATGCAATTCACATTCGCAAGTTGTTACCTAATTAAGTTTATTTTGATACCAATTAATTTAAATATTACCTTCTACATCAGATGTAACATCAATCTCTCATATTACCTTATCAATATAATTAAAATGTAACATTTCGTCGAAATAATGAATTAACAATTTCATTATTTCGTAAACAACTTTTGTTCGAAATGTTAAGGGCGTAAAGGGTTTTTAGCCTTGAATTGACTTTGCAATTATAAAGAAACAGAATTCAATGTGGGTGGCTGAGAAAAAAAGGAACTCACAATAGCAGACTACCATCATCAATTTTCCAGGGAAATTCAAAATCAATATATTTTCTTTTCTTCGTCATTTTCCCATAAACATACATTAAACATACGCTGTATTCAAAATCTACTAGAGAAAAATAAATGATCATAACTCTTCATTGTAAACTAATTTAGAAAATAGTAAAAAATGGTTCGATTTTTCAAGCATGACGGTGCTTGGTTCGGCACTTTCAAGAAATTGATTTGCAATATAAAATTTAAAATATTTTTCATCATCATGGTAGTCGTATTTGAAAACGATTTCCTTGCTGTAAATACGTGGCTGATAAAAGAAATGATTTCTCAGTTTACTTTCATTTCTTCTTCTTTTTCGTGAAAGCCTTTGTTCTTAAAATGACAAACAATCTTTTTTGAGAATTGTTTTTCAATCTAAACCAAGTCTCAAACAGAAACTTAATAGGAACAGAAAGCTTTTTCGTTTTATTGTTTGCATTAAAGCTTGAGCTTTAACTCGGATAACAGAAATGATAATAAAACTTTTCTATCTCAATAAAATATTTTTGCCATTAGTATTGCTGAGATATGTCTAGAAACTCATTATTGCAATGCAATGCATTGAACCATTTTCGCATTTTTATGTTATTTAATAGCTCACATCCAACCTAGATATGAAATATTATGGTTTGAACTGCAAATGCTAATAGCTTTTAGCTTTAGCGCTTGAGATTCTTAAAAAACCATAGAAATCTAATTTATTTCTATCTGCCATGTTTCTGAAAAATTCTTTTTAGTTTAATTTATAATTTTCAAGACATTTTCTCTTCTTCCACTTACACATTTAAATTATTTGAATATGTATACCGTTGATATTATACTTTAAAATGAATTGACTAATTAAGACTTAAGAAATATGTAATCAAGTTTTATATATTAAAGATTTGCGTGTTCAGATTATAACATTAAGATCGGAAATTTTTCAACTTTTCTTCCTCTTGCTTTTTTTTTTCATAAAAATGCTACCTAGATAGAAAAAACCTATAAGAAAATATCACGAGTGTCACTAGAATATTTTAACATATGATTTGAATGTTTATGCATGCGACAACATTGTAAAATACCAACAATGACGAATTTCAAACGAGCATAGATTATTTCGAAAGGCTTGTCGAAAGGAATGTTTTTATTACAAATTATGCTTCATGAATTTTACAGAAAAATTGTTGATGAAAAAAAACATCAAATTAAAATTTGCTTAATCGCTGAAGATCTTTTCCTTGCTCCAAGACATGGAAAGGCAGATGTTTCATTAAATTGTGATAAAAAAAAAAGAAGATTTGATGATAGAACCTGATAGACAATGCTTCGAGGTATTTAATTTGTGTTGCTTTGAAATGTTTGTCTGATTCAAAATGTATTCTGTTAGACAAATATTTCGACAATAAGAAGAAATAATGTTTAAATTTTACTTTATTATTATTTGAATTTCAAATAAGAATCTAATCAGGTTTCATTTGAAAATATTTTGAATATTCATAGCTTTAAACAAATGTTGTTTCATAATTTTAAATCAGATTATCAAATTTTATTTAAAATGAGGAAATTTGAGATAATTAAATTTTTGATTGTTAACTAACTGCTACTAAATAAGGCTTGTCGATTAAATTATATACTTTGATGAAAAAACTTTTAAAAAAAATCTGTATAAAGTTTATTAACAAAATTAAAATGCTCGAAGCTAGATTATGTAAAAAAAAGAATTTTTGGAAAATGTTGTTATGGAGTCTCTTTCGAGAATTTTTCGCATCAGAAACATTCCAAATTCTCTATCAAAATGTAAATGGCTTCTCAGTGTTATAAAGAGATTTCTTATTGAAAAACTAATTAATAATTCCACTTCGTTATAACTTGCTCCTTCTACATACAACTGTAATTGCAATATAAGATTCTCGTTTTAAAGATAGTTTTAATACATATTAAAATACGTTTATAAGTAATTTGAAACGACAAAAAACGCATTGCTAAGTAGGTATTTGAAATAATTAAACAAAATTAGCTTTTTGTAAAATTCAGAAATTATTACTATTCTCAAGGAAAGATATTTAACGTTCAGATATATGTTTATACATAAACGTTTATCTATAATTGTAACAAAAATATTGATTTTTCTTTTGTTTGGATGAAAATTTCATTTAAAATAAATAAAGAACTTGATTAAACTGATAGATAGTTCATTATGCAACCATTGGCGGCGCTGCCATCGCAATATCAGGGAGTGATTTTTTTATCAGGGAGTGAGGAAAACTGAAGTTTTCAGTGGCGGCGCTACGATCGATTATCTCGCACGGAGAAATTATCACGCACGGAGAAATTTTTTCTGTGTGTTTTGTATGGGAGGTCAAATCCGCGCGAACGTACCAAAATGAAATGATGACTGAGTACATCATAAACATGGGCCCGAGCTTTCACTTCCTGAAATTTCTGGGAGATGTCGCCTTAACGGATTTTAAAATGTCGCTACAAAAAAGTAAATCACAAGATTTGACAGTCAAATTTATTTAATTAACTCTTTAAAACAAACTAATTCGAATTGATTTGAATTATATGCTAATATGCGCCACTATTTGTAAGAGTTCTTTCCCTTGAAAAACATATCCGATAGATGGCGCTGACGGATAGTTGCTCAGAAAATATTTTGCTTAGTTTATTTCCTCTCTTCAGATAGAACTCGTATGAGAATCAAAATAATTTATAATCAAATAAAAAAGTATACCTTGAAGACATTATTATAAAATTATATTAATTGTGCGAAAAAGTAAATAAATTCTTAGTGTCAATTGAGATTCTTAAGAAATATGAGTTCAGAAGACGAGAAAAGTGATGGATACGGTAAGAAATTCGGCGTTTTTGTTTTCAATCAAAAGTGTCAAATATTGAATACTTTTAGAACTTTAAAAGAGTGTATTTAATGTCATTTGGTGTCATCATAAATAATTACAACTTATTTAACTCATTGATGTCAAATTTATTGACTATTTTAAAAAATCTGAAGTTTCAAAAGTGATCGCGCGAGTTTCATTAAAAGCACTCAGAATCCAACATGGACGCTGTCTGTTCCAATTAGTAATCGAAAATTTCCTTTAATTTATTTGCAGCTAATGAAGATGCATTCCAAGATGATGGCTCTAAAAACCCATTAAACGTGAGTATAAACAAATCTGTGATGAAATTTATAACATAAATTAATTATTTTAGGATGATGATGACGATTACGAACCAGGTGATACAAAGAAGAAATCAAAGAAAGGCAAAAAACGCAAGGCCAAAGGCGAAGAAAAATCGAAAGGGAAAAAGAAGAAGAAACGTAAAAAGAATGACTCAGAAGAGGAAGTCGAAGAACAAGCGGCTGATTCCGATGAATATTCGTCAAGTAAACGCGGTCGTAAAAAGAAAGAGCATCGCGATCGTGAAGAAAAATCTTCAAAATCATCTCGTCATCGTCATGAACACGAGGAAGAAGAACCCAGTGCTGACGCTCCTTCAGTGGAACAAGTCTGTGAACAACTTCAATTGAATGACGTTGAAATCGAATTTACTGAAAGTCATTATCAAAATTTGGTGACTTATAAAATGTTTACACAGTTTGTTCGTCCAATACTGCAAAAGGAGAACCCAAAAGCAGCAAGCAGTAAAATTATGATGCTCACTGCTGCCAAATGGCGTGAATTTTGTGAGGAAAATCCAAATTTACAAGAAGAAGAGACCGCCGTTGAACAAGATGCTGACGATCAAGAAAAATCTGAAGGTGAGGAAGAAGAACCAGAAGAGGAGGAAGAAGAAGAACCCGAACTTGAGTATCAACCCAAACCTTCACGTTCCCGACGTGCTGCTGAAAAGCAAGAAGAAGAATCTGAAGAAGACGACAGTAAAAAGAAGAAACGATCATCAACAGCTCGCTCGAGCAAACGAGGTCGAAAACAAAAAGTTCCAACATTGAAAATTAAGTTTGGCAAGAAGAAAGATCAAAGCTCGGACGAGGAAAAGGTTAATTAATAAATTTATAAATTATTTAATTAACTTAACAAATACTTTCAATTAATTTCAGGAAAGCAACGCTGCAAGTGAGGAACGCGACAGTGACGCTGAGTTTGAGAAAATGTTGATGAAAACTCCAGACGGATCAGATGATGATGACAGCAGTCGTCCAACGATATCAGCAGCAGCTAAAGGAGGAAAAGCGAAAGTTAAAATAGGAAATCGAGGAAAGAAGAAGAAGACAAAGAAACCAACTGGTGACAGTATTGAGCATCAAGATTATTGTGAAGTGTGTCAACAAGGAGGTGAAATTATTCTCTGCGACACATGCCCCAAAGCGTATCATCTTGTTTGTCTCGATCCTGAGCTTGAAGAAGCTCCAGAAGGCAAGTGGAGTTGTGCGACATGTGAAGCTGAAGGTCCGCAAGTTCAAGAAGAAGAAGGCGAAGACGAACATCAAGAATTTTGTCGCATTTGTAAAGACGGAGGCGAATTGCTTTGCTGCGATTCTTGTCCATCAGCTTATCACACATTTTGCTTGGATCCACCACTTAATGAATTCCCAGAAACATCGTGGACATGCCCGAGGTGCAGCTGCCCTCCATTGCCTTATAAAGTTTCGAAAATATTAAGTTGGCGATGGACTGACGTTCCTATCGAAGGTCCATCAACAAGTTCAGCCACAACCGTTCGTCGAAGGGAATATTTCGTCAAATGGCAGAATCAAAGTTATTGGAGATGTGATTGGGCGTCAGAAACTCAAATGGATGTTTATCACAGCATCATGTATCGATCATACATTAGAAAGCACGACATGGATGAACCTCCACGTTTTGAAGAGAATCTCGATGAAGCTGACAATCGCTACAAACGAATCGAGCGAATGGGTAAAAGTTCAAAAGATGAACGCGGTGAATTGGGAATCGATTTGGAAGAGAAATATTACAAGTACGGAATTAAACCTGAATGGCTCATTGTTCATCGTGTCATTAATCATCGGACAATGCGAGATGGTCGCACAGTTTATTATGTGAAATGGCGTGAATTGCCATACATCGACTGTACATGGGAAGATGAAGAAGACGACGTTCCTGGCTTGAAAGCTGCCATCGAATTCTATCAAGATCATCGCAATTTCAGTCTTGAAGGTGGTTCAAGCAGCTCAAAGAAGAAGAAAAAAGGAAGACGCCGAACAAAAGACGACATTGACGACGGAATGGTTCGAAAATTCACACCGCCACTCGACCGACCTTACACTGATTTGAAAAGGAAATTGGATCAACAACCGGAATATTTCGACGAGACTGGAATGCAACTTCATCCTTATCAGCTTGAAGGTATCAATTGGTTGAGGTATTCATGGGCAAATGGAACTGATACGATCCTTGCCGATGAAATGGGTTTAGGCAAAACAATTCAGACAGCAACATTTCTATATTCGCTTTACAAGGAAGGTCATTGCAAAGGTCCTTTCCTTATCAGCGTTCCATTGTCAACCCTCATCAATTGGGAGCGTGAGTTCGAACTTTGGGCTCCCGACTTTTATTGTGTTACTTACATCGGCGATAAAGAATCGCGAGCTGTAATCCGAGAGAATGAATTAAGCTTCGAAGAAGGTGCCGGAGGCAAACGAGCTTCGAAAATCCGCAGTGGAACGATAAAGTTTAACGTTTTGATTACGAGTTATGAGCTTGTTTCCATTGACAATGCGTGTCTGCAATCGATTGACTGGAAGATTCTTGTCGTTGACGAGGCCCATCGCTTGAAGTCAAATCAATCAAAGTTCTTCAAGTTTTTGGCTAATTACAGCATTGACCATAAATTGCTGTTGACGGGCACGCCACTACAAAACAACCTTGAAGAACTTTATCATCTTCTGAATTTCTTATGTCGTGACAAGTTCAACGATTTAACAGCTTTCCAAGCTGAATTTGCTGACATTTCCAAGGAAGATCAAGTGAAGAAGCTTCACGACATGCTTGGCCCTCACATGTTGCGTCGTTTGAAAGCGGACGTGCTGAAAAATATGCCGACAAAAAGTGAATTCATTGTGCGTGTTGAATTGTCGCAAATGCAGAAAAAGTATTACAAATTTATTTTGACAAAGAATTACGAGGCTTTAAATTCGAAATCGGGAAGTGGTGGAAATGCATGTTCAATGTTGAATGTAATGATGGATTTAAAGAAATGTTGCAATCATCCTTATCTCTTTCCGAGTGCAGCCGAAGAAGCTCCATTAAGTGCAGGAGGTACTTACGAGTTTAATGGAATGGTTAAAGCAGCTGGAAAATTGGAACTTCTTGAGAAAATGTTGCGAGTGTTAAAGAAACAAGGACATCGTGTGCTTATTTTCTCCCAAATGACAAAAATGTTGGACATTTTAGAAGATTTTCTCGACGGTTCTGGCTACAAATATGAAAGAATTGATGGCGGGATTACTGGAAATCTTCGACAGGAAGCAATCGATCGTTTTAATGCGCCCGGAGCACCTCAATTCGTGTTTTTATTATCAACACGTGCCGGAGGCTTAGGAATTAATCTCGCTACAGCAGACACTGTCATTATTTATGACTCCGATTGGAATCCACACAACGACATTCAAGCCTTCTCTCGAGCACATCGAATAGGTCAGGCGAACAAAGTCATGATTTATCGCTTCGTTACAAGAAATTCTGTCGAAGAGCGAGTAACACAAGTCGCTAAGAAGAAAATGATGTTAACACATCTCGTTGTTCGACCTGGTTTAGGTGGAAAAGGAACAAACTTATCGAAGCAAGAACTCGATGACATTCTACGTTTCGGAACGGAAGAATTGTTCAAAGAAGAGTCGAGCAAAGACGAAGCAATTCATTATGATGATAAAGCTGTTGAAGAATTGTTGGATCGTTCCAACAAAGGCGTTGAAGAAAAGGAAAATTGGGCTAACGATTACTTGTCCAGTTTTAAAGTTGCTTCTTATGCAACGAAAGATCAAGATGACGAAGATGACGGAGTTGAACGTGAAATAATTAAACAAGATGACAATTCCGACCCAGCGTATTGGGTGAAATTGTTGCGTCATCATTACGAGCAACATCAAGAAGACATCGCAAGAACGCTTGGAAAAGGCAAGCGCGTCAGAAAGCAAGTAAACTACACTGACAATGGAATTGTGACAACGGAAGCAAGAGATGAAGCTTGGCCTGATGATGGAAGTGCATACAGTGACTTTTCGTCAGATGAAAATCGAGACGACATGGATGAAGATGAAATTGCAGCACGTTCGAGAAATCGTGCCCGTGCGAGACAAGAACGTGAACGGCCGTTGCCGCCTTTGTTGGCCAAAGTTGCTGGTAACATTGAAGTTCTTGGATTTAATGCACGTCAACGAAAATCATTCTTAAATTCAATCATGAGGTATGGAATGCCACCGCAAGATTGCTTCAGTGGCCAATGGCTTGTGCGTGATTTGCGTGCAAAATCTGAACGTCAATTCAAAGCTTATGTTGCCCTTTTCATGCGTCACCTTTGCGAACCTGGCGCAGACAATTCAGACACATTTGCTGACGGAGTTCCACGAGAGGGTTTAAGTCGGCAACACGTTCTCACGAGAATTGGCGTCATGTCATTGATTAGAAAGAAAGTTCAAGAGTTTGAGAAAGTGAACGGATGTTATTCAATGCCCGAAATTATGAATGGTCCAGTCTTGCCAGTGAAAATTAAGAAGAATGCTGAAGGTGCTGTTGGCGAAAAATCAAAAGAAGAAATCAAACAAGAATCAGACAAAAAAGAAATTGAAACAACTGAAGCTGAAAGCGATGAGAAAGACACAAAGCTTGAATCAAAGGAAGATGTTGATAAAAAAATTGATAACAAAGATCCGGAGATAAAAAGTGAAACAACCGAAAACATAAAAGAAAAGAAAGAAGAAAACGAAGCTTTGAAAGAAGAGAAAACAACAGTTAAGGATGAAAAGGAAATTAAAGAAGAAACCAGCGCTGAAGAAGAAATTAAATCAAAGGATGAACCCGCTGAGAAGAAGGAAGAACCAGAAACAGATCCGCTGTCGCTTGATAAAAAGGAAAAAGCTGAGGTTGTAATCAGTGACGATGACGACGATGATGTCGTGTTGATTGATGACGAAGACAAGAAGAATAAGCCTAAAGAGAGTCCCGCTGAACGAAAGTTTATGTTCAACATCGCTGACGGAGGTTTTACGGAACTCCACACGCTTTGGTTGAATGAAGAAAAAGTCGCTGTTCCAAATCGCGTGTATAATATTTGGCATAGACGCCATGATTATTGGCTTTTGGCTGGAACAGTCGCTCACGGATATGCGCGTTGGCAAGATATTTTAACAGATCAACGTTTTGCTATCGTTAATGAACCTTTCAAAATGGATGCAGGCAAAGGAAATTTCCTAGAGATACGCAACAAATTTTTGGCACGTCGATTCAAGTTGTTAGAGCAAGCGTTGGTTATTGAAGAACAACTCAGACGAGCTGCTTACTTAAACGGCACAAGCAAAGAGAATCTCACTGACAAACATCCTGGTGATTTCGATGCAGAAGCGTCAGAACCAGAACCACCACCGAAATCAACTGCCAACAATCCAACACTTCACAAAGTTTTAAATCAGTTGGAAGAACTACTTACAGACATGAAGAGTGACGTGTCGAGATTACCTGCGACTCTCGCTAACATTCCACCTGTCGCACAACGTCTCCAAGCTGCTGAAAAATCGATTCTTTCACGTATCGCAACGAATCCAAAGAATTCGTCGAATGCTGGTACGTTGGCGAAACTTTTTCGTTTTTAAATAAATTTAATTTTTTCTTCTTTAAATTCACAGTAACGTCAATGCCACTGTTCCCCAATGGATTCAAAGATTCAACCATTGCAGGCTTCTCATCATCAGAAAATGCAGCAAACTTTACAAATTTCCGCCCAGAATTTTCCGTTCCGGGACAAAGACACGAAAGCGACTAAAGCAACACCAACTGCTGATGAATATTTCATTATTTTTATTTTATGAAATTTTAATTATCTGACTTCATTCATATTTAATTTTAAACTTTAATGCAAAGGAACAAAAATAAAATCATAAATAGAAATAAAAAGATTAACTTGAAAGTGGAATTTTCTCCTTGTTGCAGATCTAAAGCAATTAAAAATTTAACGGAATTAAACAAATCTTTCAGAACTAAAATGAAAAAAGAGAATTTCTCAGTGCCAGAATAATTTCATTTTTTAAATCGAATCGAAGCTTGTGCTTTTGAATTGTATGAAATACGTAACGAAGCCTTTAAAGAGAAAATGCTTTAAAATCCTCTCCAAGCATTAGTTGATGTCTGTTTTAGTTGGAAAATGTTCATCATTCAACGATTATATATTCTGGAATGAGTGGAGCGTCGAGATTGATATTTTTATTCCTTTAATTTGCATAAGCTTGAAATAATGCTAAAATAACTTTTGAGGGTAATTCCTGGTGCAAACGTATAACGTTTACACATTTAATATCTTTGTAATGATTCTATGTTGAAAGTTTACATACTATGTAAGCATATCAAATCCATGGGTAAATCATTTGATTGAGCAACATTCACGAATGAGTAAATTGTGTAAGTTAGGCAAATGAATAATAAGAATGAAATAATTTAGACATTCTTAATTCATCATTCCAATTCATAAGCAAGAAATCTTTCCACACATTTAACTTCGTTCTAATTCAAATATAATAAACAGTTACTCCCTTGAACAAAAATTTCAATTCTCATTTCCAAAATATCTTCAAAAGATTTGAAGTTAATTAAAGAAAGTTTTCTTGAGGCTTTCTGACTTTGAGTAGTCATTGGAAACCTTCGAAATTGGCAATTATAAAATTGTTACATCAAACAAACGTACAACAGAGGAAAATGAATGTTTAAAAATCAAATTCCCTATGAATATTTAATCAAAGATCTATCAAATGTTTCTTCCCAAATGATTAACACTTCACTGCACATTACTTGAAATGAAAATCATTTTAATGATTGAAAATTTTTTGTATTTTGTTTTGATATCAGGAAATTCTCTTTAAAAATAATATGAGATGGGATAATGTGAAGGAAAACCACTGTAAACAGTTCTCTTACGTGTTGATATTTAATAAATTTATGAAACTTGAAATTGAGTAAAGCTTGAACGACGATGTTGTTATGTGAATGATTTATTCAATACACTTTATCAAAATATTCCTAAATTTGTTCAAATTAATAAGAAACCATCGAATTCTTGTTTAATATTTGAAATATTTGAAATATTTGAATGAAGAAGCTTTCAGAGATTTAAAGTGGCGGGGGTGAAGTTTCATGATTTTCATTTCTATTTTTATGGAAATCGTTTTAAGATGATGACGAGAACAAGAAAATTTACTTTCAGTTATCTGAGAAAATGAACATGTAATGAAGTTACTCTCCATTGTTTCAAGCCCGCTAAGAGACGATGACAAGCAAAACTTTTCACTCCAAGGATATCATCAACATGTAAAGTTCACGACCGGAATTTGGGAATATAACAAACACTTTATCAAAAACAAATTGCAGAGGAAATTCTCCTGTCAAAGTAAGAAAAAGTTATTTCATTTGGAATGTTATTAAAGAATAGAAAAAGTTTTATCTTAGAAATTCTGTTGCCATCATGGCACAAAACGGGATAAGTCAATGAACTTGACATTGCTTTGCGCAACCTGACAGTATATTTGTTTTGTTGGATAACTTTAAAAAATCAATAACATGGCCTTTGTGGAACTAGAGAATTAGGATCATTCTTATTCAAGCATTGTTCATTCATGGAGGAATTTCCAAAAATAATTTCAATATCGAGGCTGAAAGCAATCGTTTGGAAAAGGAAGCCACAAACGAGAACCTTTTGACATGAAATTCATGAATAAATAGATTTCACCAACTTGTTGAATTTCCCTTTTATTTACGCATCAAATAAGTGTGTGGAAGCAAAAAGCAAATATCTTGTAAGAAGATTTCATGTGTTATTCTAATCTGAATTTCAAGTTCAGGAATTGTTTTGAATGTCTTTGAAATCTGTTGAAAATCTCACAGAACAAACTTTCATTACAAAAAGAAACAAAATCATCTCGAAAAATATTCATGAAGCTTTCACGAGAATTTTCGCTTAGAGAAGTATTAAAAGTTTGAAAAATGTTTTTAATGTCGAGTTCGTTTGTATGTTTAACAGCTGTAAAGATCATAAAGTTGTTGTCAAGGAAGCATGACGAGAGTGATGAAGCTTTTAATTTATATAAAATTGAATTAGAAAACTTTATCAACATAGTGTTGTTAATTTAGACATCGCAGGGAATGAAACAGACGTTGGTTGGTCGTGTGAAAAAGGTTTCAAAAGAACGTCGACATTTAAATGATTCCCTCAAGTTTCTTTGGCGTCTGCTATCGTTCACAAATTGTGAGCAATCAACAATTGAGGATAATATAAAAACGTGTGAGGTTCGCAATTCATTTTAACAGCTTTGGTTAAAGTTGAGGAAAAATAACAAAAAGAAATTTTTCAAATCAATTTGCACGTTTGTCACAAATTGTGACAAGTTTCATTGACGATTCGATTTTTGAAACTTCAGTTTATTTTCTAATGTTGTTATTCTTACGTGTCAAAGTCACAGAAAATGATTTTTTTCTGCCATTTGTTTTTATCATTACAGTGGAAGCCCGTTAAGAGAAACACTGAAGGGAGTCACAATTAACGGGCTTTTTCTCTTAACGGATTTTTTCGAAAATACTTGAATGAAAAAGCTCATTATCAGCTTAGAAATGCTACAAATCATTATAAATTTATAATTTATAATTAAACGGCTTTCACCGGCATTTCTAAGTTTTATAATTTTTAGTTAATCTTTTGCATTTATTTTTTTTTTTTTTTGAATGCAACTGCTGCATTTTTATTTTGACGCGTCTCTAATCTATAGTAAACTGATAGAATAATACGATAAACACGTTGACAAATGCAAAACTGCGTTTTTTTCTCTCATTTACTTTTAATGAGCGTGCTTTTAATATGAACTCTCATGCTCACCCCAGGGCTTTGCTTTTATTAGGATTTTGCTCTTAACCGGCATAAATTGTTCGGAAATGTGAGTGTGTGGGGATTTAGCGAGCTTTTACTCTTAATGGAGTTGCTCTTAACGGGCTTCCACTGTACTTCCAACTTTTCGTTTTTCAATTCCACATTGTACGATTGAGTCATTTACCATTCTTTTTCACAGACTGTGATTATAAAATGGAATCATCATCATCATCATCATCAGTAATGGGTAGAACGGACTGTTCTCAGCAAGTTTGTCCTATGGATGAGTTTTTATTCTCCTCTCAACACTTATCTCCAAGATGGAAACAGTGCGAGAAGTAAACTCGTATCACACCCTACTGATGTCTCCATGATGATCGAGACGTCAGTTTAACCTGCATGAGTTCAAAGTATGAATATATAAAAAAAATATATCCAGAAGCGAGCTATTAAATTCAAGAATAAGTGAATATTTATTTAGTTTTTCGGATATTAGTGCAATAACAAGCAATATATATAATTTGAATTGTCCATGTCAATTAGGCGAGTGGTCGAGACAAGAGTTAGAATTTATTTTCTTCTCCTTTCATCATCGTCTTCATCATCATCACGATTGCAAGCTTCCCGTTCTGGAATGAAAATAATGTTTAATTAATTAGTTTGAATCACATAAAATTTAAATAAAACTTACTAGCTATCATTGCAGCTCCAGGTCCACTCAAACCCAAATCTTCCAAAGCTTCTGACGATTTGTCAGTACCTTCCTTAGATTCGTCAGGATTTACCTGAGATTGGATAACTGAGATGACACAGGCGATCAAAAGAACTGCAATGACGGTTTTCATTTCTAATGTTTTAGTTAGGATTTCGTTACAAAGAATGAAACAACACTCCAAAAGTATCGCTTTATATAGGTATGATTGAGTGAATAAACGTTGATATAAAAAGTAATTTTGGAAACAGTTAATAATTCTAAGTGTAAAAAATTACCTAATTAGCTTACAGAGCTTTTGAGAAAAAGAAGCACATCATAAATTATTTGTTTTTATTTGTAATTTGTACGATTGAAAATGAGTGACACGTTAATCGTTGTGCAGATAATGATATTCAAGTGATGGTGTTGACTTTAAAGTTCTTATTCGCTGCATCTTGTGTGCAAGAAATTTTATTTTGGTCATTATATAACATGCTTGTTCCTTATAAGAATATTTAATAAACAATTCTTGAAAAGTTCTTTTAAAAAGAAGAGAACTAAATTAGAATGTTTAAATTTTTACAAAAAGATTTGTTAATTTAAGTTGCCAAATATTTAAGTTCATATAAAAAGTTTCATCGCGAAAGTTTTTACTGTATTGGCAAATTTTTATCGTTTCTTTTATTTTGATAAACGTTTCCATTATTTCTTTTGAGCTCTTTTTTGATTCATTTCTAATTTCTTTAATTGTTTAAGACAAGAAAATTTGAATAAATTTCCTAAATACAAGCGTTAGGACTGAAAATTGTTTCTTGCTTCCTTAATGAAGCAATTTATTTCTATATTTAGATATTCCAATTTTAAATGTTTGGACCAAAAAAGCTTAGCTGACATTTTTTTATGATATTTGAAAATAATCGAATTTAATCATTATTTAAAAAAAGTGAACTTCAATGTAAAAAACTCTTCAAACTAATATCTATTTTTATACTCGTTGTTTATCATTTTTATTGCAGATTTTTATACTCGTTTATATTTCGAACGTAATGTGTGCTTTTTAGTTCCATTTTGACTTTAATAATGGAAGACGAAAGAAGAAAAAAGCAATCAGGTGATTTCTGATAAATAAGCACAAAATTCAACCAACTTGTTTTATTTACTTTATAAGGCACAAGTGAAAGTTAGCAAGGTCAATAAAAAAATGTTCATGTTAGGGATGTTAACAATTCTCAAAAGTTTGACTTTACATCATTTAAGTTCATTTATATAAAAGAATTTTAGATTGTGCCAAAGTTTGAATACTCACTCATCAATTTGCAAAACTCTGTGTTAGTTTCTAACTTTGATCATTGCTTTATCGACGCACGAGAAAAAAGCCACTTTAGCATTTGTTTCTTCAGTCAAAACGAAAATAATGGCTTTGATTTACAAATTTTTCTCTTATCCTGTATATACACCGTCATGATATAAAACGCATTTGTAGGCTACAAATGTTCTAATTCTAAATATCGACAGCATAAAATGAAATCATTCAACTTCGTCTTTCATGAGATAAATTTAATTAAAAGAATAAATGGATGTCTCTGCAATGTGACAACTGTTACGCATTAGAAAAAGTTTTTTATAAACGAAAAATGTCTGTTTTACAAGTTAAATGACTTAGAAGAGTTCATTGCATATATAAATAAATAAAAATTTGAATTTTGAACTTTCATTCAAGAAATTTCCAATTGAGTCCTTAATTAGAATTTCATTGTTTATTTCTGAATTTCCATTTTATCAATTTTCTGTTTATTATTCTGTTGAAAATAGAAATTTGATTTCAAAATATTGAGGATCATTAAAAGATTTTTGTTTGTTTATTAATTATGAATATTTCTCAAAACTCAAAGGCTCGGAAATTATTTTAAATATTGCTGAATGGAAGAATTCGATTTTATTTAAAGTATAGCAAAACTAATGTCAATGAACCTGTAAATGGTCTGATAAATATCACGACATGGTATGCTCAAGAATTATTTTACTGTCCATAATTTCCATTCACATTCTTCATGTATAAGTCGACCATTTCTCTTCAAAATTCCACTGCATTTGAGTATATTGGCTTTGAGAAACTATGAAATGTTTCTGACTCATTGCAATAAACTTTAAAATATTCCAACTAAGTCAAACATAATTCATAAGGGGAAGATACCAAACTAAATTGTAAACACATAAGCAGCAGATATGAACTTGCAAACGTTGGTTCTTAAAAACCACAAATTATGCAGATATTTATTTGCTTTCTGTATTTACATACCCTGAGCTCAATTTTCAACGAAAGAAAAAGAAAAAAATCATTTGTTTGATATTGTCATGAATTCCAATAAAAACAAATTTATTAGATAAGAGAATTTGCTTCTTTCCTCGAGTGATAAAAAGAAAAGAGAAAAAGTTCATTTGGTACTTTGTTGTTTTCTATTTTGGTCTCGAACTGTCATTGCTATTCGAAGCCAACAAAAGTTCCAAACCATATACTGACAATGGAATTTATAGCCACAAAATGTGGATAAGTAACTGAATTTGTCCAAAATATTACGAAATAAATATTTATTAGACAACATCTGCTGTATAGTGTGTCAAGTTAATATTTATAAAAATCTAGGCAAAACACCTCAAGCATTCTTCACACTGTTTTTGCAATAAACATTTAAATATTTGAAGTTTAATGAATATATCTCAAAAATATGAAGATGTTGAGCAAGGTAATGCCACACAAATGTTCTTGTCTATGTAAACAGTCATTTCAAGTATCGTTAGACGGCAAGAAAAACCTTTATGGCAACGCAAGTAATTTAAAACGTTCGCTCGCAAAGCCTTTATGGTACGCCGACAGGGCGTAGTGTAATCATTACCATTTACTTCATTACATTTTCTCTCCTTCTTATTCAACCTATTCATGCCTTACAGGCTGCGTCGATAAAAAATTGTATATCAGATGGTACAAAATATTTAAGCAGAATATTTATTAACCGCAATCATTCGCTACCGCTAGGCAAAATATATTCGAAAGTGAAGTTTGCTTTTGTAACATCGTAGATGCGAAAATCACTTTTAACGGAAATTATCCTTATTGGAACAACACATGAATAAACATCAATCTGTCACTCTTGAATTTTTTAAATATGAGTTTTCACGCGTGTTCACTCATCAATACTTAAACGATACAAATCATATTTGCCTAGTGACGTTATTAGATGTATGAAAAAACATGAAAAAGCTTTGAAAGCTCAAAACATTGAAAAACATTGAAACATTGAGAAAATTTCCAGTGAAGCATTTCGTTAAAAATTCAATGCTGCGTGAAACATTGAAGGATCGAATGAAACATCGACATATTCAGTAAGAGTTGATACTTCACGACAAACAGATTATTTTTATGTTTTGTTGTTAAATTTTAATTCATATGTTTCGTAATTTCCCATCACGAGATTATTTACAAATTTATGTCATGATTCTGGGAATTTTAGCATCATTATCATTTTATTTGATATGTAGATAATAAATTCGTCGCTTCTTTTTTTCGATACTGCATGCACGTAATACTTCATGCAAATGGAATTTTTTATTCAATTAAGCGGAGAAGATTAATACTACAAGACATGCTAATACTCATATCATTCCTTTCTTAAATACATAATTCCTTACCATTGAAATGTTCAAATCGAATCTCGCTTTTCTTTTATTTTCCGTAGATTTTTTTTTTCCACATCTGCATTTCTTTTATAAACCTTCTCGAATAACTTGCTTGATTTGGGTTTCCTTAGAAGACGCCTCACTCTTTAATATGTAAATATTTCTTTTTACATATTTATTTCTTAAATGCGATGGTAGAGTTTGTGGTAGAGATATTTAAGTTCGCTTCAAGCAATTCTTTCAATCACTTAAGAATACAAAATTTGACGGAGTGAATGCGCATAAATGAGAATATTTACATTAAAGTAATTACCTTTCATTACATAAGAATCTGTTAAACGATTTCAGCGGTTTTCATAAATTAGTTGAGACATTCACAAGATTTAAATTCGATTAAATTTAAGAGATTAATTTAATCTTTCCAGTGATGTAAAAGCAGAAATTTGTCGTCTTAGCAGCATTAAATCGGCAATTTATCTTTAACATCTCAATAGCTAGGAGAAAAGCAATAAATTTCCAATCATTTACTATTTTAAGGATTATATCAATGTTTCTATTGAACAATTTTCATCTACTATTCAATTTATTCGACTGTATTAACTAAATATTCAACAAAGCCTTTGGAAATTAACACCATAAAGGAAACAAAGGATTTGTAAATGTATGATTAAAGCGGACATCACGCAATGATTCATTATCCGTAACGATTTTGATGCTCCCACATGCTCATGTAAACGATATCAAAGCGTAAACCATTGTTCCATTATATTGGATAAAAAAGTATTTCAGCTCCTCAAAATTCTTTTGAGTTACTTTGAAAGCAGAAAAAAAATCTTTTTTGCCGAATATGAAGAGACTAAACGTAACAATGTACATAGAAGTACAACGTTGAATGATGATAAATGATGAGATTTATGATTGAATTCAACTAAGCATGAAGAAGGTAGATCTGTTGCAATGAGTTTCTTCTTTTTTATATAATAATGAACATTGAAGATGAGCGAGAATAGAAGCTTATCAACATTTCCTTAAATTTAAATTATTTTTAAAATAAACATTTGTAGATTTATTCCAGGTTTAACTGCATGTTTATGGAACTTTTCTTCTCTAAATGATAGTAATGAAACTCATAAAGACATGAGTATTATGATGAATAAGAAGAAGCGACGACGACGACGACGACGACGGTAAAATTTCGACAGCCATGGGAACTTTACGTTACTGTCATGGCAGTAGCGCTTTTTAAATTGAAACCTCACGTGTAGCTCTTGGGGATGAACTTAAATAAACTTTGTTAACCGAGGTTCGAAAACCAAATTCATCAACATTTTTAAATGTCAGCAAGTGCCATTTGCAACCTTAATCTTGTTTCGTGTTGGAAAAGTTTTAATGAAATTTCAGGATGTTACAAATGTAAATGAATTTCGAACATTTTTCGATAGATTCAAAGTGACATGTGACGTCAAATTGGAATGGTATTCTTTGACTTAAATATGTAAATAATTCCGAACAGAAATGAATGTAACAAAGGAAAGCGATAAATATTCGAAGAGAATAAAAAAAAGGCAATGGAAAGGAGACTGAAAAATGAAGTCTTGATATTTAAGGACCACATAAAAGCGATTTATATGGAAGGAAATAAATCGAGATCGATCACAAGGGAATATAACATTACAGTTTTATTGTTTTCATTAATATTTCCGAGAGCTCTGAACGGTAAACGTTAAATCATCACCCAGGCGTTTTATGAAGCTTTCTTCGGATTCACTTCGATGAAGTAAGTGTTGAACATTAAAATCAATGTCACATTCACGAACGTGCAATTCTTCTTCTCCTACGCATCACAACCATCCATTGATCAAATGTCCCAGATTTTCCTTCGTGCTTCTCTCGAAATCTCAAGAATTATTTTATTGCTGACGTCATTTTGATCTATTTGTATTCTTCTTGCTGAAATATTTTTAGCCTACAATGCTTCTAAGTAATCACAGCCGCCAAACACTGAAAATGATTTCTCATTTATCAAAATCGTTCACTTGATTCATTCACAAAATTTTGCTAAATAAATTTAAATTTCGCGTGAAACTCAATTTGATTAAAATCTTTCTCATCAGCGGTTTTTAAATTAAAAATTGAATTTCCATGAAAGCTTTTATTGTTTTATTACATTACAGCTGAAAGGGGTAAAACCAGCAGTCAGAGGTCAAATGAACTCGAAAATTTATTTATGAACTTTCCACTCATTGTGTGGCCGAAGTTAAATGATTTCGGCATTTGTTTAGATAATGGTTTGTGATTCATTAGACTGATTGTTTTATTCCCAAATTACATATGAGGTTCAAACACCTACACATAACGAGCGTCCGTTAATGGAATTCCATCATTTTTTAATGTTTATTAAAAAAAAAGCCGTGAAGCGAAGGGATTTGAAATTATCTGGATGGAAATGGTTTTTCAGCAATGCTTTTAAAATGTTCACAACATGTTACTTAAGTAGAAAAGTTTCATGTTTACGTAATAGATCAAAGGAAATGTTAAAGGCAATAAATACTCTCAGTCTTGTATTAATTGGAAAGTAAATTCAATCAATTCGTACAAAAGACTTAACGATCTGTTTTTCTTCATTCAATGATTTGCTACAAGATAAATATTGGAGATTTTCATTTAAACTTCAATAAGGAAGGACATTCAGAGTACTTTTAGACTGAAAGTAGTTTCAATGCGTGACCCAAACTCATCTAGGATTTATCAGAGAAGTGACTTTCCTGGAACTTGAGAAGATGAATGAAAGAGGATTAAAGAAATTAGAACATAAAATATAATAAAGAGTAACAATTTGTGTGAGTGTCTGGGAAATATCGACATAATTTGAAAAGGACGATGAAGATGAAATTAAATAAAACAAAGAACCTAATCAATGAACTCTTTACTCAGAAATATTTTTCCATTAGGGAATTCAACAAAAAAAGCTGACATAATGTGAAAAAAGGTCGGGAAAAGAGGCCAGTGGGTGTTTTGCTTTATTGAATCGTGATAAACTTTTATGCTTTTTATGACCGACCTAAAGTTTTCGTAATAAAGAAAGCTGTTAATTATCATATCATAGAATTTCCTTAACTTCCATTCTTTAAATTTGAGTTGAAAAAAGTTCATTTTTTAATAAATGTCTCGAGGGAGCGAAAATGTGATAAATTTCCCCCAATTTCTCTTTCAAGGGTATAAGCTGTTCATTTTCGTCTGAAAGCTTATCATGGCCTAAGTTTGCAGACTTAGCTCTTATAAAAGACTCGAAAAAATCTGTTCCTACTCCTCGAAAATTAATTATTTCCAAGCGAAATCTTAACATTTTAATTAATCTTAAAGTGTATTAGAATGAAATCCAAACGATTTGTCTTTGAGGCCTTCAGAGATCATAAAGATATTTCAACTTTACTAACCGATATGCCACTATGAAAGTTTTCTCGTTATACGCCCTCAATATTGGAAAGGAAGAAAAAAAGTTTTAATTGCTCTCATTTTATTGGTTTTGCTCCGTTGGGAGTCTTGTCACGTAAAATACTTTCAAGTACTGTCTTCATCACCATAAATACTATAACAGAAAACGGGAAAAGACCTGTCGGCGCGTGAAGCTTCGCTATCGTTGTTCATTTGAATTTCGATTGAAAGTTGTTCATGTGGCAAGAAAATTGACGCTCATGAAATTTTATCGGTTTACAGCTTTTGTCGACATCGATTATTGACATCAATGAACTTTTTCCAGTAACATTCATCAGGTAAACGATTACATTTTGTTTTGTGTCGAGTCAGTGAAGTATGAAGACAGACAAGTATCTCAAACGATTCTCCTGTGTCTCATTACCATTTTGAACAACAAAAGATAAAATAAAGATTGAGTTGACATGGCAAGAGGCAATGAAAATGATGCTTAACTTCCATATCATGATAACTTAACAGTGTTAAGTAAAAAAGAAACATAAAAACCCTTCACGATATTCTCATTTATTAATGTCACACATTGCAAGTTATTTTTATGTTTGGAAGTGGTTAAAACGCTCAACATTCACACAGTAAAATATTTTGGTTACTTTTTGTCATGACAAAAGTGTTGTGAAAAAATGCGGTTTCATTTCGCGCTTGGATTAAACGGAATCCCAAACTTTTCCTTTTTCAAAGCACATACTTCGTTGAAACACTTGCCACTGTTACTGTCAGCTTTGTAAATGTGGAAGTGTTTGTCAAAGCTGTCATCGAGGAAATTGCTTGAAAGGAAGAAATTAAATACACACATTGTGGCAAGATACTTTCAAGACTATTTTGACGTTTATTTGGCAGATTTAATCCAATTTCTCTCACATTAATTCACGCGTTAACCGCAATGCCGCAATGCCAACATTTGAAGTCAATTTCAAATACTTTTCTTCTTTCTTATTCACAATTGAAGGCATTGTGACGTGATACATTGTGTCAAATTTAAACTTTTTGTTTTGAAAGCTTTCAAATTTATTATTGACTTTGTTTTTGTTGGGAAATGTCTTAACCAAATTTGAAATTTCCATCCTGGTTGTGATAAAGCATGCGAGTAAAAATGTTTCTTTTTCTTCCATCTAAAAAATTTTAACTACTTTAAAAGCAAGCTCTTAAAGTCGTTTAAAAGCTTTCATTGTGTTAAAAATAACTTTTTTTTTCGCTGAAGCGATTATAACTTTCATTACATTTCTTTGTTTGGCAAAGCTAATGCTGAAAATAAGACAATAAAATCATTATCATGTAGAGAGAGCTGCTGAAAAGATAATCACAGTTGCGTTTTTCAACTTTAATGTGTCTAGAAGTTAATGTCGTAAAGAATCTTTCATTAGCAATATTAGAAATTCTCATGACATGAAAATTTTCTTCACATTCACCAACAGGAAATTCATAAAATGTTGAATAAAAGTTAAGTAAGTGCTTCCAGCTACTCATAAAAAACATGTCGGTTGATAATGCAGTAAACATTTATTTGCTGGTGTACCTTCTTTGATGATACTTTGTTGCCTGTTTATGAGCTTTGTAATCAGATCCTCGTCATATTTTTATCTGTTGATAGAATATCTATTACGTTGTCTCTTAGTAAACTTGTTTGTTTAAATTTCTAAAACGGAAACGTCAACAACAACAGAGGGGAAGGATTTTTTTTGTTTTAAACAACATTCAAGCCTTGAAGGTAAAAGTTTCCATAAGGTAACTTGAGGAAGCTTCAACAAGCTAAAAAGAAGCTTTTCAACAATTTTTTGTTATTCTGAAATTCAATTTAAAATATTTACATGTTAAATGTAAATTTGTTATCGATTTTCGTTTGGATGCATTGTAGGAATTGAATTGAACATCATCTGGAAAATAACATCAGTCGTAGAAGTTTTGCAACTAATCACGTTTTATTTGTTCTTGATCTAACGAATTGTCTACAATTTAATTTTATTAGCATTGAATTTATTTTGTAACAAAGTTTCATTGTAATTTAACTTTTCTCTTCTTTTAAAAATGTTTCAAAAAGCTGACGCTGACTATTCGAGTAACAGTAATCCGACAGAATCTGTTTCCGTTTCCTCTTTCATAAAATGTCTGTTAAAATCTACGAACAATAACGAAAAGCATCTTTTTATGCAAGAACAAAAGCAAACACGCCAGGCAAGATTCAATGGCTTCATATATCATAAAAACTTAAAAAGAAAAACTTCACCAAAAATAAAAGAATGAATATAAAACGAACGAATCCAATTAGGATGAAAAATATAATTAAAAATATTTTCATTAATTAAGTTGGAAGAAATTTGATCAATATTTTTAATCTTTAATATTTTAATAAAGAATTTTGTTGATTCGAAAATATTTTCCCCAGCAATCACCTAGCGAACTGAGTGAACTTTGTTGTTCATCTCCATTCATTCGAGATGAAAGGAATGCTTCATAATAGTCTTATCGACAGAATCTGAATCATCGAGATTACTGTCAAAGGCCATGGGAATATTTATTATTAAACTTTGATAGGTAAAAGACGAACTGCTTCAACAAAACACAAAGAAATTGAGCAAATTCATTTTCTGAAACATGAAATTTAATGGCTTTGTTAGTTGCACCTTGAAACCCGAGCTATGTGATTTGCAAGAACACTCTGAAAAGGTTTCATAGAACATCTGTAGATTACTAATTGCATGTGCAATTTTAATTGAATTTTATATGAAAAATTTAGACGATGCAACAAACACTTCAATCTCCATTCCATTGTTGAGGTTTGAAGCTTCATTAATTATTTGAATGTTTCATGTTGTGCAACTTGAATTGCAATTGTTAAGTGAAATTTCCACATCTCAGAAGAATGTAATCTGAAAAGTTAATTTTATTTTCCTCGTTTTACTGCCCTTTTTGGGATTTTTGAAAAATAAATTTTCGACTTTACTTCAACTTTTAAGGAAAAAATTGTTTTACGAAAGTTCTTCGGAAGTTTAAGAAGTAAAACAATTTCATAATAATATTTAATAGCAATAATAGGATTAAACTTTAAGTTTTCACTATTCGCAAAGCATGCTTAGTTATAACTTTGTGAAATTTGAAGAAAAGAATTGAAAATTACTGTAAAATTCTTTTGATTTCGACTACCCATACCCGAAAAATTCTTTGCGAAAACTTGTTACGAAAGTTGTTATTATTATATAATCTTGTAAATGCTAGCAAAATCATGAAAGTTTTCATTCATTCCTCCATTAATTACTCATAATTCTTTCCTTGGAGAATTTTAGAAGCTTCGATTTTTCCGCATCATTAGTTATATTTATTAAAAGTTCGTGTGTGGCATCTCATCAATTTTTTGATAAGCTTAACGCGTGAATATTGCTAATCACATCTCATTGGGATTAATAATTAATAAATAAAACCGACAATGAACTCATCTCGCTTATTACAATATCTATGTTGGAATTTCTAATTCTTCTTCGCATAATTTTCCTTACTTTGAAACTTTCTGTCCTTGGAAATTGAATACGAAGATTCAATCCCAAGAATCATTAATCAACGTCAGGAAGCATTTAGATGCCTACTAAGGTATGAGGAAATCTCCAAGGAATTTGTTGTTATGAAATTATTAGCAAATATTATCAAGGTGACAAATGAATAATTTAATTCAAACAGCAGAACAAATTTTACAAACCAGCTTTCATCCGAAATTCTTTTTAAAAAGCTTGATTGATTCTCGAGTCGTGTTAATGAAGTTAATCAACACAGCAATTTCTTAAATTACTTATCGGATTGAAACCCTGAAAGTTTTGCTATTAAGCAAGATTCATTGAACATAAACTTCTCTTTTTTGTTATCCTGGCAAACCTAGCAAAAAAGTTTGCCAACGAATTGTTTTTGATCATTTGTGTAACAGTTGAATGTTCTTATTCGCTTAAAGAAAAGCAAGTTCAAGTTAAATTCCCAGCTTGGAAGTTTTAAAAGCACCATTCAAGTTGTTCAACAGCAATAAATCATTAGAATTGACGCCACTTAGTTGATTTATTGCTTGTGTAATAGTAATTGGCAAGAGTTGAAAAGAACAACATTTTTCATGTTACATCAACTTTATTACTGCCAAAAATAACTCAAAGTTTATGATTTAACTACATAGCTCTAAAATATTCCAAATTGCTAAGCATTCAGTAAATAAATTTACAAGAGATTAAATAGGAAATGTTTGCATCACAAAATTCAAATTTGTAATCAGATATCTAGTAAAACATGAGTTACAAAATGTAAACAAGAATTAAAATGCTAATCTTGTTCTTATAGCAAATTGTCACTGAATACATGCAATGAGTAATCTAAGATTAAATTAGTTTTGTCCCCATTAATTAATGTTTGATACAAAATGATTTCCTTATTTTTGATTAATTGATAAGCCTTGAGCTGTTTCATTCTCGAACGAAACCAAACCCCACTACATTTATTATGATGGATTGCTGAATGTTGTGGTTTCCTTTTTAGTTTTTCTTAAGTTCCTTTTACGACATTCTGTCAGAAGTTTGCTCTAAATATCCGGTCATTTGTTCGCACAACAGCAAACTCAGCACAAGTTCAATGGTTTTTAAATCGTGTTCAAACGAGTCCGGAATGTGTTAACAGAAAAAAAACCACTTAGAAGTCTGATTACTCTAACAAGTGGTTGGTTTCGTTGGACAACAGTAAAAGCGCTTGTTTTCCCAGCAATAAATTACTATTACTCGTACATTAGTCAACGTTGAAAGGAAAAAAGGAAAGTCAGTCGAGAATCGGCTATAAAAACGTCTCGTTTTATCGTCATAGAATACAAATTGGTCATATGACATAATTGATTGGAATTTCAAATGACTTGGGATGAAATCTGTTGCCTTCCCCTAAAAATCTTTCACTTAAATTAAATTTATCGTAAATAAAAAATTTCAAACATCAATCTTCGATCCAGACCGCCTTTGATTGAAAAAATGTTTAATTTAATTTCTTTAATTGAAATTTTGATTCTTAGAAATATTAAATAAGTTCATGTTGCGTGTGTTTGAAATATTTTGATATTACCAAAGCAATTAAAAGTTATAAACCATCAAATTCATAAAAAATCAATTATAAAAATTACACCCACGAAATCCTTTTTTTGTTGTTTTTGAAGGACTTGAAAAAGGGTCAAGAAATAAATTTGGATTATTTTCGAGAGGTTTGATGAAAATATGAAAGTTCAACGTGGTTGTTCGTTGTAGATTAAAAGTGTTTGGGGAATTTCATAGAATTAGCGACTTTTGAAGTTGTGGCTTATTCCACGTTATCATTAATCAGATACACAAACATTTATAAACAGATTCCTTTCATTCTGTAATCTTTTGTTTTTCAACATTCATTCTTTTATTGCCTTGACGTTGAAACTTGAGAGTAGGCGAGGAATGAATTTTTCGTTGAGGCAGAAATGTTGTAATTGCCGCAATCTCTTCTGGATGTGAATTGTTAAATATTTCAGCAAATTTTGTTTTGCTTTTTTCATTTTTTCACAGCTACAGCTTTAAAATGTTTAAATGAGATTAGCAACAATTCCAAATTGTAGCGAAGTTATCAAGACCAGTGAGTGGGTCGTTTACCCAGTACGAAGCCTAATGAAAAGCTCCAACTGACAAGAGCGGCTTTAATGTAATTTAGATAAAAGAAAATAATTTTCTTTCGAAGGAATTAGTTTAGTGTTTTAAAGTAAGAAAGTTGAATTAATTATTAATGTTTGATATTTGTTGAGTTAATTCCAAATTTCCAAGGAAATTTATTTCGCTTCAATGCTTATTTAATTATGAAAAGATTTATTTATTCATCATTTGATTAAATCGTGATTGTTTCCAGGCAAAACTTCGCCAATTATTTTCGAGTCGATTCTGAGAAATTAAAATTCAAGAAGAATTTTTAATGACATCGAAAGATGATGAAAAGTAGCAAGAAAATATTTTATTAAGAAAACTCAATTCTCAGATGTTAATTTAAAAAAAAAATGAAGAAATTAGAAATCCATTTTCTTATCGCTGATTGTGATTGCTTGAGACTTCAGACTTTGTTCAAGCTTTCTGAGGAATTCCTCGAAAATTGTGATTCCTTTGAACATCGAAGTCTTCTTGTAGTCTTTAATTCGACTTTTGTCTTCTGGCGTCTCGGCAATTTCATTTCGTTTCCCATCAAACTCATTAATTTCATCAAGTAACAAGCTAATCGTTGGAACATTTATTGGATCGAACTTTTGCACAAGATTTGGATTGAAAGGAACGCAAACTTTTCCCGTTTTCGGATGAATGCAGAATGGCGACTTCAATAAATGATTTGTTGCTTTACTAACATTGATATCAAGACGAGGATAAAGCATCGCCATTTGAACCTCCTCAACAACATATTTAAGCTTCGGTTTAAGTTGAGATCGAACTCTAAGTGACTCAAAGTATCCTTTAAATGAACTCCAAACAGTTCGGGAATCTTTCATACTTGATGTCAATTGTTGTTCGAGATCTTTGCGACAATTCTCATCGGGGATCATTTTGAGAAGTTTCTCAACTCCTTGTGTTGTTCCAAAAGCGTCTTGATCTTCAACAATGATTTCATCAAAAAGCGGTTCAATTATGCTTCGTGCTCGTTTAATGCTGTGATGTTGTTTATCGTAAAGTGCAACTTTTGTTGTTGATCCTTCACCTCCACTCATTGACACTTGCAGATAATCAGCGATTGCTCCACGGCCTTTTGTATCCAACTGGCGAGCTTGCTTATCACTCACCCAACAATGAATTCCTCGACGTCCACTAAAAACCCACAAAATATGTTCAAACCCGAAATCATCACGAAGTGCGACATCGATGACTTTACAAGCGACTGACATGAACTTCCAGCATTTATTGCAAATGTTTGCTTCACTACAACAAGTTCTAACATCATCGTAGTCAGTCAAATCGATATCAAAAACAAGTTCATGTTGCAATGCTTTCACGTTAGGATTTGAACGATGATTTTTAGGTCGGATGTTAAGAACAGGACCGACGTCAATTTTGTAAGGAACACGAGAACAAATTTCCTTCTCTAATTCGGATTGATTCTCAAAGGACAAGTAGCGAATGTAAATATCATCTTTGAGTGTAAAACAAAACTCTCTATGCGAGAAAATTCCGTCTTCAGCTTCAATGAAAGAAATAAATGAAAGAATTATAAATGAAGCAATTTGGCGCCAAAACAAAACTTACAATTATTGTATGACAGCCAACGATAAAATTGCTTGTGAGGAAACAAACGTTTGTAATAGACAGGCAGCATATCTGGCAATAGTTCAGGATCAAATTCTTTAACTTTTATTTCAGGCATCTTTGTGAAAACTTTTTTTATATTTTCAACTCTTTAAAATTGTTTTGTTGATTTTTGGTTTTCGACTAAATTTCGACAGATGAATGAAGTTGCAAACTTTTCGGCGTAAGCCACAGAAGTAAAAGCAGCGGTTGAGCGGGTTGCCTACCTTTCCTCTTGCCTCTGAGAGAAAATGTTCGAGTAATGCGAGTTGCATAAGCACCAGAGATGGGCAAATGTTCCGTTCAACTCGATTGACTGACTGACTGACATGTCAATGTCTGTCAGTCAGTCAGTCAGTCAGTCAAAATCGCGAACAAAAATATACGTTTGTTGGGACACGTTCATATAAATGTTCCGCTCAAGTCGTTTGACTGACTGACAGACAAGTCAATGTCTGTCAGTCAGTCAGTCAAATCCCAACTCTGATAAGCACAAAGAGGTAAAAACCATCATGTCATGTGTGGGCGTATAATCAGAAGATTCAAAAGTGAAACGTTTTTCAAAAGCAATCTCTTAATTCAACAGAATATTCGAGTAATATGAAACCCACACAAGGCAATAACTCGAGAATTGTAATCCCTAAACGAAAGCTCCATATTATTTACTGAGGATTCGCAAATTATCATCATCAGGTCCGAGACGTTACTCTTACGAGAAAATTCGCATGACTGCGTGAGCATTTGGGCTGTTCGGTGGGAAACAGTCGAAAACTGCTACAGCCACCAGTTGTTACTGATTATTAATAATTAATTATCAAATTTATAAATAACCACAAGCCATAACTGTTAACATATGTACGTAAGGAGATTAACATTACCTTCGTCAGCACTTCTGCATTAAATTATTGACATTTAAACTTTTCTGACGACATTTGGGTAATAAAAGCAAACAGAAAAGAAATAAAAATTCTATTTTTGAAGAAAAAAATTCGCAAGGAAGCACCAAGACGACTTCCTTTAATAGCGCAATAAAAGCAAAGAAACGACTTAAATTTAAATAAATTTATTCATCTATAAATATAAGAAAGAGAAAAGGGCATTTTTGAAGGATGTTTACGAAGGAATAAAAATGATTTGAATATTATTGAGAATTTGATGATTCACGAAATACAATTTTCAATATCGAAAGCATTTCCTTGTTTCCATAAGTATTCTAATTTCGTTTATGACCTTCAGCTTCAGGCTTCAATTATTTCTCTCTACAATGATTTTAGATATTCTTCCTCCGTTATTACTTCTTTCTTCCAATGATTAGAAAGCCAATAAAAAGGAATAAAAAAGAAATTTCAATCTTAAACAGGCGGCTGATCAGCATTTATAAAGAAAAGCATTCCTCGATTTAATTTCACTTTGCTTTTTCATTGGAAATTTAATTATGGAGATTAAAAAGAAAAATTTACATTAATTCGATTCAAAGCACTTGATCTGTTTAATTACATGAATACCTTAAATCACAATTGTAATCAAGGAGAAAAAGCAATTTTTAACATTTCACAAATTTCAAACCACCAAAGTGTTTCTTAGAGTTAATTTTTTAACCATGTTTCAATGTTGTAGCCTTGAAGGGTTCATTGACTGACTGATTTTTTTCGAAAGGAAAGCACTTTATTCAACTTTTAAAGTGAAGGTTTACGTTTCACGACATTTGATATTAAACAGAAATGTTACGCCCATTGAAATTGTACGTGACGAGTGAAAACATGAATGACTTTCAATTCAATTAAATCAAATTGATAACCTAAATAAACCCATTAAGATAAAAAAAATGTTTCACTTTGACCTTTCTAACAAAATTAAAGTATCTTCGGATATCTCGAGAGAGAGTGGAAAATGGAAAGGAAAGGAAATGAAACCAAAAAAGGGATGCTGAAGTTAACATCATATAATTTAGAAAATTTAATTAACTGAGACTTTTCGATCGTTATCAGTTTAATAATAGGTGCCTGGATTATTGAATCAAAGCAATTAATTCTCATTCTCCTTGGTCGTTACAGAGTTAATTGCATAACCATTTATAAAGTTTTTGTTTATGTAGCAACCGCTTAATGTAGTTAAGTGGATGAATTCCAACAAACTCTTGCTTTCGTTGTTTTATTTTTCAAATCATTACTGACATGTCCCATGAAGATTCTTAATTACATCTACTCGGATTCAGAAACTTTGGCGATGTGTCGTTAAGCGTTAATTAATATGGTCTACGTCATGTTCGATTGTGTGTTAAATGAAAGAAAAATCATAACAATTAAGAAACGTTAACATGATATCAAATGAATGTTTTTGGAAAACAAAGTAATAATAAAAGTCTCAAATTGATGTTACATTGGAGATGATTTGACTGCAAGCAAATCTTGGATAATATGGAAACATCCAACATTTTGTATGCTTTGGCTTGCACGCGATATGCACAATCTAACAATTCCCGAAGCGTTATAAACTTTATTAAATAAGCTTATCAGCAATGTAAACTGTGAACAGTTGCAAATCTCATAAAATGAAGATTTAAGGATGAAAGAGCGAGACGTTGTTTTCTATGATGTTGAAGATCAACAGATAACCTGAACGTAAACAAAATGAGAATGTGGAAGTCTAATCATCATCATTTGTGAAAAACATTTTGGTCTGACAAGTTATTTGCGAAGACATTAAGTTTAAATGTTTCGTTTGCACCTGAGCAAGTTCATAGAACTAATTACTATAAGTGCAAATGATAGTGAGTCGGCAGCTTTAAAAGTGCTATGCTGGAAGAAATTCATAAATTCATAAACTATTTAATTAAAACTACATCAATTTCAATGTCAAAGCTTAGGACGTGTTAAATAAACATTGATTTAATTACTCCATTTGATAGAAAGTAAATATTCAAGAGCGAATTTTCCTTGAATTTCCGCAACCACAAGGCACGATTAACAACGTTAAGTGAGTTGGAAAAGTTATTAAAGTTTTTTAATAAGTAAAACAGCATTTTGTGATGTGAAATGAATGTTGAATGAAAAGAAAAACTTTAAATGGAAACTGAATGAATGAATGAAAGTTTGTTATAGGAAGTTCCGTAATGGAATGAGAACGAATCAATAGAAATATGTAATCATTTCCTGTAACTAACTAGAGAAGTGATTGAATTTATTAAACCAAAATAAGATTCAGATCATGAAGGTAGCTTTTCTGTGGCTTGTTTATAAAGAAATGTTTAGGCCCAGTGAACTTGAATCATGAAATTTAATGTTCATCTTTTTTTTTCTTATTTTCAAGCATTTAAGTAGTGAAATATTTTATCCTAGGAATTTATTGTTGCTAAAGAATGTGTCGATTGCCACTCTTTTACCGATATCAACCTTAACGACTAAAAACTTTTTCAAATACAGATAAATCAAATGGCCAAAACTTTCATGTTTGCTTTCTTTTTGAGTTTTAATATTATCCAGTTAATGTCGATGTAGAGAAAATATTTTTCAAATATTGGGTGCAGTGCAACTATTATTTTTTATTTCTTTTGTAGAGATAACAGAAAAATTCAAAACAATATAATCAACATTAATTTTGCATCTTTTACCCTTAACCCAAGAAATAGAATAATTACAATCAGTTTAAGTGATGGCAAGTGCACGTTTTATGATCCCAATATCCGTTGCTGGATTCAGATGTTATTGATACAATTTAGAGGTACACCGACACAAAGACTCATTCCAATAATCCCATGGAGAACATGGATATACTAGTAGGCAACGGCATTCACAACGTTCTGTATCCCAAATTTGTATACCAAGACATTCTACACGTAAACAATCGCACTTACAAAGAGTGTCACTCCAAATCCAATTTCCTGCTGGACATGTCTCAATCTGTTCGCAAACGCATTTACAAAGATTGTCATCCCATGTCTTTCCATCAGAACATTCTTCTATTTGTGTGCAATCGCATTTACAAGACTTCTCATTCCAAATCGTCCCATTGGGACATTTCATCTTGCGTGTACAAACACATTCACAAAGTTTGTTATCCCAATCTTTTCCACAGGGACATTCTTCAATGCGTGCACAAACGCAATCACAAAGTTCGTCACTCCAACTCTTTCCATCGGGACATAGTTTCACGAATGCACAACGACATTCACAACGTTTGTGATCCCAAATCTTTCCATCGGGACATTCTTCGATTTCTTTGCAAACGCATTCACAAAGTTTATGATCCCATTTTTGATCATCACGACAACTCTCAATCTCTGAGCAAACGCATCCATATTCTTCATAATCCCAAATTTTTCCATCAGGACACTCATAATCACATGGTTCACATGTACAGAGATCATCATTCCAATCTTCCCCAAGAGCGCATACGATGTCTGGAGGGCTTTCACAACAAGCGCAGTCACAAAGTTTTGGATCCCAACATTTGGGACGAGAGCAACTTTGTTCTTGACACATGCAGTCACAAAGGTCTTCATTCCAGGTATAATTAGGCTTGCACTCCTGTTCTTCACAAACGCATTTGCAAAAGTCGTAGTCCCAGTAATATCCAGGTGGACATTCTTGTTTTTCACAAACGCATTTGCAAAGGTCGTGGTCCCAGTAATATCCAGGTGGACAGTCTTGTTCTTCACAATCGCATTTGCAACGATAAAAGTTCCAGAAATATCCAGGTGGACATTCTTGTTCTTCACAAACGCATTTGCAAAGGTCGTGGTCCCAGTAATATCCAGGTGGACATTCTTTTTCTTTACAAACGCATTTGCAACGTTGGAAACTCCAGTTATATCCAGGTGGACATTCTTGTTCTTCACAAACGCATTTGCAAAGGTCGTGGTCCCAGTAATATCCAGATGGACATTCTTTTTCTTCACAATCGCATTTGCAANACATCAATTTCAATGTCAAAGCTTAGGACGTGTTAAATAAACATTGATTTAATTACTCCATTCGATAGAAAGTAAATATTCAAGAGCGAATTTTCCTTGAATTTCCACAATACACGATTAACAACGTTAAGTGAGTTGGAAAAGTTAATGAAGTTTTTTAATGAATAAAACAGCATTTTGTGATGTGAAATGAATGTTAAATGAAAGAAAAGAAACTTTAAATGGAAACTGAATGAATGAATGAAAGTTTGTTACAAGAAATTCCGTAATGGAATGAAAACGAATCAATAGAAATATGTAACCATTTCCTGTAACTAACTAAAGAAGAGATTGAATTTATTAAATCAAAATAAGATTCAGATCATGAAGGTAGCTTTTCTGTGGCTTCTGTATAAAGAAATGTTTTGTTCAGTGAACTTGAACCATGAAATTAAATGTTCATTTTCCTTTTTCTTATTTTCAAGCATTAAAGTACCTAGTTCAATATTTTATCCTACGAATTTATTGTTGCTAAAGAATGTGTCGTTTGTCACTCGCTTTTGCCGATGACTGAAAATTCTTTCGAATATAAATTATTACGAATATGTAACAATCAGATGGCCAAAATTTTCATGTTTTTGTTTCTTTTTGAGCTATACGAATTTTAAATTTTATCCAGTTCATGTCGAAGTAATTAAAATATTCATCAAATATTGAGTGCAATGTGAAAATTATTTTTTATTTCATTTTTATAGGTAACAGAGAAATTCGAAACAATATAACATTAATTTTGCATCTTTTACCCTTAACCCAAGAAAAAGAATAATTACAATCAGTTTAAGTGCACGTTTTGGCATCCCAATATCCTTTGTTGGATTCAAATATTAATGATCATACCTATAAACACATTCACAAACTCTGTCATCCCAATCATATCCATAAGGACATCTTCCTGCAAACGAATGCATGCAAACGCATTTACAAAGTTCTTGATCCCAAATTTTGGGAAACATATAACTAGGACATTGTTCAATTTCAACTTCATTAATTCGGCAAGTGCATTTACAAAGTGTGTCACTCCAAATCCAATTTCCTGCTGGACATGTCTCAATCTGTTCGCAAACGCATTGACAAAGATTGTCATCCCATGTCTTTCCATCAGAACATTCTTCAATTTGTGTGCAATCGCATTTACAAGATTTGTCATTCCAAGTCGTTCCATTGGGACATTTTTTGCTCCTTTCGCAAACACATCCACAAAGTTTGTGATCCCAATCTTTTCCACAGGGACATTCTTCAGTGCGGTTACAAACGCATTCGCAAAGATCGTCACTCCAAATCTTTCCATCGGGACATTGTTTTATGCGTCCACAATCACATTTACAAAGTTTGGGATTCCAAATCTTTCCATCGGGACATTGTTTTATTTCCTCACATTCACATTCACAAAGTTTTTTATCCCAAATCTTAGTTTCGGGACATGTTTCAATTTGTCCGCAAATGCAATCACAAACTTCGTGATCCCAAATCTGACCATCCGGACATTTCCTAATCTCTGCGCAGACACATCGACAAAGTTTATGATCCCATTTTTGACCATCCGGACATTTCCTAATCTCTGCGCAGATACAATCACAAAGTTTATGATCCCATTTTTGATCATCGAGACAACTTTCAATCTCTGCGCAAATGCATTCATATGCTTCATAATCCCAAATTTGTCCTTCGGGACACTCATAATCACATGGTTCACATGCACAGAGAGTATCATTCCAATCTTCCCCAGGATCGCATACGATGTCGGGTGGATTTCTACAACAAGCGCAGCCACAAAGTTTAGGATCCCAACATTTAGGACGAGGACAACTCCGCTCTTCACATATGAGCTCTACACAAAGCTCTCCATTCCAGATATAGTTGGGAGAGCATACACTTTTGCATCCACAACGTTCTGGGTCCCAGTAATATCCAGGTTCACATGGCTGTTCTTCACAAACGCATATGCAATTTACTCGGTCCAAGTAATATCCAGGTTCACATGACTGTTCTTCACAAACGCATTCGCAAAGATCGTAGTTCAAAAATGAATATCTGATACAATCTCGTTCTTTACAAGCGCATTCGCAATATTCTTCGTTCCAGTAGTAATCAGGTGGGCAATCTTGTTCTTCACAAACGCATTTGCAATATTTTTCGTCCCAGTTATATCCAGGAGGACATTCTTGTTCTTCACATTCGCATTTGCAACGATAAATATTCCAGTTATATCCAGGTAGACGACATTCTTGTTCTTTACAAACGCATATGCAATTTTCATAGTCTGAATATTGCCATGCGGGACAATTTAGATCGGGACACCTAGGAGGAACTCCCATTCTACCAGGTTGATTCACTGAATCACCATTTTCAATTTGAGGAATTGATTCCACGAAACTTGATACGTGTAGGAAAAAAATAAAAACTTTCAAAACTGTATACACTTTTCTTGTCTTAGCCATCTTAGCAAGATATAATCATCACTATCGCTGTGCAGGCTTATTTAAACCATTTTAATATTGTGAGGTGATGTCAAACTTAAATAATAAGAAGAGAAAGGAGATAGCAGCTTAATGAAGCAACAGCTGGTGAACAACAAATATCTTTTTCAAAAACATTTACTCAATTCTTATTTTTGCGCGTGTTCTAAATGAAACTTCTAATACGTTGAAAAGTTTTGTATGTTAAGGTGCTATCATCAACTTATTTTTTTTAACTTCTATCTGAGTGTTCAATAAGAACTTTATAAATAATATTGTGAACATAACAACTGTTTTCACATTTTTCTTTAAAACAACCATGATTATTGCTCTAGAAATATCAATAATAAAAAAAAGATCACAATAAATCTTTTATTTTTTATTTAATATAAGATCATGAAAGAAACTCTACTTAACCATTTATAAAGTTTTTGTTTATGTAGCAACCGCTTAATGTAGTTAAGTGGATGAATTCCAACAAACTCTTGCTTTCGTTTTGTTATTTTTCAAATCATTACTGACATGTCCCATGAAGATTCTTAATTATATCTACTCGGATTCAGAAACTTTGGCGATGTGTTGTTAAGCGTTAATTAATATGGTCTAACGTCATGTTCGATTGTGTGTTAAATGAAATAAACATCATAACAATTAAGAAACGTTCATTGAATTTACATAAATGTTGTTCGTTCTCTGTCCCTCCCTCCGTCTAACAACGCCACACTGAGTTCTAATTTTTTTTTCTTTTTATTAAAAAAGTTTCTCTTTTAAAGCGTTTCAATTTTTATTTCAAAATAATACCCAAGTGGTAATGATGAGCTGCTTTTGATGTTCTAGATTTTGCTAGTTGGATGAGAAAGTTCAAAAGAAGCGAGAGACAAAAAATTTCGTATTGTTTCATCAGCTCATTAAATTAGGAAGTTAAGACGACGAAATTTTGTATTGTTTTCTCGTATGACGCTTGAGAGATGACAGAAACTCGTGAAGCTGAAGAACATCATGTCTATAATTGTCGTCGAGCTCCAGCAAGAAATAATTCTTCAAGAGTAACTAATCGTCGGTCAACAATTTTTAATATGTTGTTTGTTTTATTTTAACACCTTGATCATATAAATAAGGCTGTTAGGGAATTTAACGTCATTTCCGAATTTGATTTGATCTTAAAAACACTGAGCAATAAGGTTCAATTTGAGATTCCATTTTGTATTATTGAACGTAAATGTCGAGAAGAAGGAAGTTTAGAAAATTAATTATTTTAGTCGCTAGTCAGAGGAATCATTACGATTACATATTAGAAGTCGAATTAAACCGAAAGAATTCCGTGTCTATTGTTTGTAAAGACCCGGTCACGAGTTATCAAAACATCGTCGCTGTCGCTGTCGTTAGCATTAAAGATTTGGTGCACATTTAGTCGAAGTCATTACGAGATAAAATCTCATTACAAGTAGCAAATAATCGTCGTCTCATTCTTTCAAGTCAGAACCTTACCGTCGTTGTCGATCAAGTAGCCCTTAAAGATTCAATCAAGTCGAACTCGAAGTCAGAAAAGTTGTCAGGACGTTAGAAATCTTATGCAAAAACCGTGTTAAATAAAATCAAAGTGTGTAACTCAAAGCTCAAAACTCAAAGCGTACTAATCAAATTGTCAGATCAAACAGCCAAAGCTAATTAGAAGATTTATAACGTAGAAGAAAAGAATAAAGATTATCGTACATTATCAATNGATGAGAAAGTTCAAAAGAAGCGAGAGACAAAAAATTTCGTATTGTTTCATCAGCTCATTAAATTGGGAAGTTAAGACGACGAAATTTTGTATTGTTTTCTCATATGGCGCTTGAGAGATGACAGAAACTCGTGAAGCTGAAGAACATCATGTCTATAATGTTGTTAAAATCATCAAGTACATAATATTCCAATCTGCAACTCGATGTTAATATAAATGAAATATGAAAACAATTTTCCACCCACCCTAGAGTGCGAATGTGAATGATTAATGATGTAAACTTCTAGATTTCTGCTTCTCATTGATGTCAAATTTAAAATAAAAAGAAGAAATTCACAAATCAAAGATTTCCTGCTGCTCCCATCGTGGGAGTTCAATGTTTGTTGTTCTTTGATCAAGTTCATTTCATCAAAAGAAGAAATTTATATCAACTTACAAATTATTTACACTGAAGGTTCAATTCAAATGAAATTAATGACTATGTATCAAACATGAAAATCAAATAAAAAAAGGAAATGTACGCTGTTTATTTGTGACATTATGGCAAGCGAATAAGAATGACAAACTTTAAGGTTTAAGCTTTTAATAAATTGACAGTAACATTTCATTCTTTAATATTTTTGAGGTCACATAAATCTTTAATAAAAGGAAGAAGCCATTTCAACTTCACCATCAGCAGGAAGCAATTAACTGAAAGCTTAAGAACTCGCAGTGATATGAAAGTTTTACCCTTCTGAATCAATAAGATTAATTGAATGTGTTCGAAGACGAGATTATTCTATCAATTAATTTATAGCAAGACAAGATGATTCATGAATTTATTGAATGAATAAAAAGCACATTTAATATTGATTTTGTTTCAATTTTATGTCAGTTTGTATCAGTTTTGGAATTCGGCCATTGTTAACATTAAATTTGTTTGTTTTTAGTTCATGTTAAAATCCTCAAATTGCGCGTGAATCAATCCTGTCACAGAAAATCGTGAGAGATTGACCGGATATGCATTTAAATGTCACATTTATCAATGACTTAATTGCTTTTTTTCTCATTTCGACTAATAAACCAACACGACTGTCATCATCACGAATGGAGAAAAGCAATAAAAAGACGCTTCCTTATAATGTGACGCCTTATCTCTAAGCACATAAGTGTTTATGAGGCTGAATAAAAGCTTATTTATTTCCATTGAGTGTGTAAATAAAAACATGGCAAAGGTTTAAGTCCTGTTAAAAGAAGTGTAAATAGTTTATAGCCACATTCAATGGTTGAATTCCGTCAGTCGAACAGCAACATACTCAACTTTGAAGTTTATTTCATAGAAAAACATGATAAATATTTATATTAAATGTTTCTCTCACAAAACTTTTAAATGAACCTCATCGAGAATAAACGATTACGATGATTCAGTAAAGCGAACACAAACTCTTTTCTGCATTTATTCGGAATTGGAAAAAAGTTCGTAAAATATTTAATATAACCAATGTTCTCTGGCTGGGAAAAATAAATAACTCTCTCCTTATCAAAAACTGTATGTAGATATTTGTGCTGGCGTTCTTTCATTATGCTTCGCTTGCATGCTCTAAAATCTCGTCTAAAAAAATTTGCAAGCGATGAAAACCAAACAATTTTTAGTTGTGTTAAATGGAATAACTTTCTCCTCCATTTAAATTTCCACACGTTAAAAATAGGAAATTGTTATAGTCAAAATCAAATTTTACTACCTTCAAGCATGCATGCATCCGTGGATTTATTTTCTAGCTGAAAAATTTACTTGCAAATATTCGCCACGAGTTGTGATGATGCAAAAATTGGTAAACGTCTTTTTATTCCTTCCAATTTCCAAGTCATGTCTATTTAAAGGTCAAGCAAACATCATGCCTCGGAATTATTTGCATCAAAATATTCCAAAACTTCTTCATCATGATGACTTGACTTAAAAGTAAAAATATTCACAATGCTTTCTGCTTTGCAATCGAATGAAATTTACAACATGAAACACTTTGTCGATGTCAAAAGAAATTTTCCAAGATAAGTTTGTTCAACCCACTCATTCGCCGTCGCCAGTATAAGAAGATAAGCGTCAGATCGGGTGTTGGATCTTAAAATCATTGCAAAAAATGAAAATCCCTAGACAACATACATAGTTTCGTGTTTGACATGTTTTCTTTTTCTACTCTGTCGACTCATGTTTATTTATCATTCTGTTTATTTACCTGCACCATACACGTGTCATTATGAAATGTTTTCTCCTTAAAATTAAATTAAACTGATTAAAACAGAAAAAGCGAGAACGTGCACAGCTTTTACTAAGTGAAATGTATTGACTTAAAAAGTTGTAAACACTTTGACGCCAAGAAGCAAATTAAATGAAATATTTATTCTTCTCTTTTCTCAAAGCTCAAGAGGTTGCAAGAAATATTCTTTATTAAGAAAATAAGTCACAAATAATAAAGCTTTGAAACATGAAACTTACTTGTTAAGATGATAAGATTTAAGTGCTGTCAGGTTTCAGAGAAGGTCGCCCTACTTAGAAAATAATAGAAAAATTAATACAGTGAAGCATTGATATAAGAATAGTTGAAGTGACCGGATTTCGAGCCAGATGCTACGTGCTATCGAGCGAATTGTATATATTGATTGTACTCTTTATCAAGGGTTCACTGTTTCGAATATCAATTGAATTGAAAGCCACTGTCAAAATACTTTTATGACAAATAAGTTCATCTTTATTTATTGTGTCGTGTTCTTTATACATTTTTGAGAATTGATGTGACCTTTAGACGACAAATCTTATTCCTGTAATACTCGAGTATTAATATCGTCAAAAAGGATTAAGTGTCATCAAAATATTTCTTCTGAGATTCTCTCGAAGTCGATAAATTTAGATACAAGAACTTATTTATGTGAATCTGGCTCGATATTTGTTAAATCGCTTGAGAAAGGTAAATGGCGAAAAATTCTAGTCGATAAAGATGAAGATTGTTCAGATAAGTTCGAGATGACCTTTTCCACGAAAAGGAAAATAATTTATGCCGTTCGATAACCTTGAGCGACTTTTATCTGTTGTATATGCTTTCAGCTACAAAATATTTCTTTTCTGTGCGTTATTCATTCATCTTAGAAGATTTACTTAACGAACTTTGCCGCTTGTATAAGCCCAAACGCATGTAGGAGCGGTAATGATTTGTTTGAACACGTTTGACTCTTAATTCCCACACGAATGATACAGTAAGACAAGCAATAACTCTGTTTTATTCCCTGTAATGAATAACCGGACGAAATGTAGCAGTGGAAATGATTTCATTTTCTTCTACTCAACTACTTTGATAGTTATTTCTGAACTTGAAAAGCTTCACCGCCGCGGTATGAGAACCTGAAGAAACAAAAAAGGAAAAAAGTCGTAAAAAATTTAAATATGTTGAAATAAAATTTAAATTTAAGTTTTAGAGTATCTATGGGAAAGTTGCTACTTAATAAATGCTGAACATTTGTGTCCCTGTCTAAATTAACAGAATTTCTACTTCATAATAATGAATGTTTTTCTAACAGCACGCACTTCTTATTATAAAACCTTAAAGAAGATAATAATTACTTAAATTATATGAAATGAACTAAACGAAACAAATAATTCAACCAGACTCAGCTGGTTTTAACTATTTAACAGTTTATATATGTAAGATTAATGAAAGTATTGAATAAGAAAACATTTCAAAATAAGTTCATGAAAAGTTTTCCTTTTCGTTTCGGGAATGTTAAGTTGACGTGGTTCTGTTATTAATATCTGTTAATTCACAATTAAGCAAATAAAACTTTTGACAATAATATTTATATTTATTTTGTATGATCACAAGGAATATTTTTTCTTACTTTGAATATCTTTTCTTGTAATATGAAAAATCTCACATCCATATATGAAAAATTGATATATGGATGTGAGATTTTTCATATTAAAATAATTCATTGAGCACTGTCTAAAAGGGGTCAAATAGCCTCATTGGCTTAAGTCGCTTGGAGTCGGGCGTACAATTCATACGTCCCGGGTTCGAACCCCGACTTGGTCATGAGGTAGAGTGAAGTTTAGATACTTCGGCCCTTTAGTATAAATATATACAGATAGTTACTATTAGTAACAAGTGGGGAAATGGCTACAAGCTCAAACCACTATAAATAAGTTGAATCAAAGAAAAAAAGAAAAAGCACTGTCTCGTAAAATCCTGAAAGTAAAAAATTACCTAAATATCTTTTCTTGCTTTTCACAAAAAGATGAGAGACTAAAACTACCTTACACTTGTCTGAATATTTAAATAACTTTAATCATCTTTGAAGTGTGAAGTTGACGATAACGAGAACATTTTTTGTTATTTTTAAAGACATCTTCACTTCTTTTTTGCTTAATGATAAAAAAATAATGAAACACTTGTCTCTATACTTAAATAATCAAACTCATTTTTGGAGTTTGACGTTTATGACAATTTATTAAGCTAAAAACTGATATTTCGCTTTGGAGAACGTTTCAATTTGAACGTATGATCTGGAAAATTTGTGAAGCGTCTAAAAGCTTCTAGAAGTTATTTACTGCTCAAATTCAATTTGGTATTAATTTCGTTCATATTTACATACAAAGAAAGAAGAAATTAAAACCATTTTTTATTGATAACAAGAATTTATTTTAATTCAGTTTGAACATCATCAAAAAAAATTTCACTGCAGTCTGATTTATCAATACCGACTTTTTTCACTAATTTCCCCACGCAGTTCACCGCATGAGCTTTCCAAGCAATTTATCGCAGATTCATCCTGTCTTACCACAAAACTTTTCGAAGAGAAAAACAATAAGTCTGTGGTAATTAAATTGACTGTCTTGAAGAGTTTTCGTTTTTTTTTTAATTGAATTGAATTGAATTTTATTTACTTTATAGTGAATGTACAAATAAGAGCTAAGCTCTTTTTCTACAATAAGTTTTCTTATGTACATAAGTGATCTGGTTAATTAATACAGGAGATCAAATGAAAATTTACAAAATATCATAATGACTAATAAAAATAATTCAAAATAAATTGTTAGTTCAATGGTAAGCAAAATATAATCTGTAAGGGTGGGAATAGGGATTTTTTTATTCAATAAATTTAAAAGAAAATTTGATTATTGATTGGGATTGCAAAGGGAAACTATCAGGTTGAAAACATTCTTACATGGAAAAATGAGACAGACATTCGCGCTTGAACGCTGTTATCGAGTCATGCTTTCTTATTTCGTCGTCTAATGAGTTCCAAAGACGAATGCCATGAACAAAGAAACACTGTTGACGCTGCCTTGTGTTTTTCGCTGACGGAATGGTCAAATGTTTATTTCTTGGGAATCTTGGGTGAATTATTTTCTCATATAAGTAAAATGGAGATTTGTTTTTCAGCAGATTGAAAATCATCAAGCATGCTCGATAATGAATATAAGATTTTAAAGAACAACCTAGTAGATTATTTCTAAAATCCGATAAATGATCGAATTTCTTTAGATTAAAAATGTATCTGATGCACGCGTTGAAACATAAATTTAATTTATCCCACAATGCACCTGAAGACCCCATGAAAATATCGGAACAATACATGAATTTTGGAAGAATAATTGAAGTTATTAAATTCTTTTTAATCGCGATAGGAATTAACGACTGTGAGTGTCTTAATGAAATTAGGGAACAGTAAATATTAGAGATAGTTTTGTTAATATGATTTTCCCATGTCAACGTTCGATTCATAATTATTCCCAGTACTTTTACGCTATCACAAAATTCAATTATATCATTCCCAATGTAAATTGCTCTTGGTGGGATAATTTCCGATTTCTTTGATATTATGAGAGCATGAGATTTAGATGGGTTTATTTGAAACGCATTTCTTTTCGCCCATTCATTAACATCCACAAGCGCATCATTCATTAAGTTTAAACATGATGAAATATCCTGATTCGGGGATGAACAGTAGAGCTGTGAATCGTCCGCGTATAGATGGATATTAACATTAACAGCAGCTGGCAAATCATTTATTGACATTGAGAAAAGTAATGTCGAGATAATTCCACCTTGCGGTGTTCCTGATGAAACTCTGACAAGATCAGAAGATTCATTGTTACAAGTGACTCTCTGAAACCGGTTGGATAAATACGACCATATGAGTTTACACGCTTCTTTTGAGAAATTAAAATCACTGCACAACTTTCTCACCAAAATTTTGTGGTTCATAAGGTCGAAAGCTTTTTTGAAATCTAATGACACAAAAGTCACAACATGATTTTCTTCCAATAAAGATGAAATATCATCTGTGACTTTAAGCATGGCGGTAAGTGTGCTGCGATTTTTCCTGAAACCCGATTGTGCATCACATAAAAGATTCTGGTCTTCTAAGTACGATTCTAATTGAATTTTCATTAGGCGTTCAATAATTTTAGACATTGAAGGAAGAATACTTATTGGACGAAAATCAGATAAAAGTGATGGAGAATTAATTTTTGGAATAGGTTTAACATTTGCTATTTTCCAAGCTGAAGGGAAATAAGATTGCGTAAGACAACAGTTTATAACGAAACTGAGAAAAGGAACTATTATCGGACAGAGTTTTTTAATAAACGTTGCTGGTATTCCATCTTCCCCAATCGCGTTTGTTTTGATAGACATAATTGCATGCTCGACTTCATCATCGTATACCCTCGTGAAGGAAAATTTATTATTGTCCGAGTGTGTTAGATATTCAAAATTGTTAATCAAATCAGTGCCGGAAAATGATGATGAAAAATATTCGTTAAAATCATGAGCAGAGAAAAGTTCAGAAAAATTTTCTTTCGTTGCAGTGATTCCTTCATCTTTAAGAGTTTTCCATAAATTTTTCCCATTTTTAATTTTTGAAAATTTTTCTTTATAATAATTTGATTTTATGTGTTATTTTAGAGAGTTCACTTTATTACGCATTTTATGGTAAGTATTTAGGTATTCATTTTTCCGGGGCTCGTTTAGATTATGTCTGGAAAGTTTATGATAAAAATTTCGGCAGTTTATCAGACGAATGAGTTCTTTATTTCCTGACAACGGGTCATCTTCATATCGAATCGGAATTTTTTTAATCTTAACTGTGACAGCGATTAAATCATTAATGATTGAAGTTAAATGTTCAACCTGATCGTCAATGCTCGGAAAATCATAAATTTCATCCCAATTCTTATCTTTTGCAAGTTGTTGTAAATAAGAACAATCAACATTTTCAAAATCTTGACAATATCTAAATTTTCCTTCGGTATTTGATTTTACATTAAAATCATATACGCCAAAAATCGCATCGTGGGTAGTATAACTACCAGGCGAAACTTGTGAGAGCTTTTTAAGCTTAAAACTTTCACAAAAAACTAGATCAATAAGCGAAGGATTATTAATATTTGAAAAATTTGTTGGTTCTGATTGCGTGCAAAACAGACCAAGTGGTAGAAGTTCATTGATTAAATTTTTACTTGCAAAGTTATTTTTAAGGTGCGGTTTGGTGCGAGACGATAAAGCGGTGAATAAACATATAAAACAAAAAAACAGAAGAATGAAAAAAAGTTTCTTCAATTTGTTGAGCCAATTGCTCGTCAATTGTAATTGAAATATTTCAATCAATTTTCGTTGCTAATTAAAGCTTATTTTAAGGCTTCGAATAACAAATATTTTTATTTTTGTAATTTGAGATATTAATCTGTAGTGATTTTTCAGTAAAAAATTCTAATCTAGCTCTTCCCTGAAATTGAATATATTTTGTTTTCGTGAAATTTATTTTTAGGCTGAGATCATTGAAGAACTGTTTAAGAATATTCATGTCACTAATAATAACATCTTTAAGGTCTTTATAAGAATTTTCTCCATATGCTATAGCGATATCATCTGCATATAGTTGAAATTTTCCCTTCAAATTAAGCATAAATACTCCATTTATGTAATATGCAAAAAGAATAGGACCAAGAATGGAACCTTGAAAAACGCCAGATTCAATTTTAAGAAACCCACTTTTACATTTATCCACATTGACACATTGTTGGCGACAAGATAAATATGATTTCAGCAGTTTTTCGATATTTTGAGAAGGTTTTAATTTTAGTAATTGATGAAAAAGAATTTTGTGATCAACACAATCAAATGCTTTTTTTTAAGTCAATAAATACGCAAGCTACTTTTTTCTTTCCTTCAATGAAATTGTAAACATTGCTTAAGAGGTGAAGGGCTGCAATTTCCGTGTTTGACTTAGCAACAAAACCANAATATCTAAATTTTCCTTCGGTATTTGATTTTACATTAAAATCATATACGCCAAAAATCGCATCGTGGGTAGTATAACTACCAGGCGAAATTTGTGAGAGCTTTTTAAGCTTAAAACTTTCACAAAAAACTAGATCAATAAGCGAAGGATTATTAATATTTGAAAAATTTGTTGGTTCTGATTGCGTGCAAAACAGACCAAGTGGTAGAAGTTCATTGATTAAATTTTTAGATGAAGTTGACGTTGATAAAAGATTAATGTTAAAATCTCCAACCATTAATATATCATTCCCTGATTTAGAGATATTTTTCAAGGAATTCCAAAGGGGAAGCAAGCTTTTGTTATCTGGAGGATTATAAACTATTCCAAAATTTAATTTCTTTCTACATTCATTTACAATTTCTAAAAATAAAAATTCAGTCAAACCGTTTGCACGTGATTTTGAAATTATTTTGGCTTTAATGTTATCCCTAACATAAATAGCAACACCCCCGCCTCTAGCTCGACTTGAACTTTTCCTATCATGCCTGAAAATTTTAAAGCCAGGAATATTGAAGAGTTTAGAATTATGAGATATGTTAAACCAAGTCTCTGAAATCGCTAGAAATGAAGGTCACGAAAATTATTTATTTGAGACACTTAGTATTGATTGTAAAATCTGATATTGTGGAATATGGAAAGGCGATTAAGTAACGCAATTTTTAAAATGCAATTGAACTCTCTAACTATCACCGTTTAGAAGATATTCAAGGTCAGAGTTGAAGTTTGTTTTCTACCATTTTTCACCAATAATATCTTTTCTCTTTCCTAAACTTGCTTTGATGTCTATGGAAGAATTAAGGTCACTGATGAGATGTTTCCATTGATATCTCATTCATTTCTTTACGACTTACGGTTCAAAAGTTACGACTTGTCAAAGTTTCATATTTTTGTATACCAGCGATTGAATAGGCTTCCACGGGATCTTTCATTTTGGGCACTTAGAATTTTTTCAAAAATCTGATATTGTGCAATATGGAAAGGTGATTAAATTACGCAACTTTTAAGATGCAATTGAACTCTCTAACTATCACCGTTTAGAAGATATTCAAGGTCAAAGTTGAAGTTGGTTTTTTACCTTTTTTCACCAATAACATCTTTTCTCTTTCCTAAACTTGCTTTGACGTCTATGGAAGAATTAAGATCACTGATGAGATGTTTCCATTGATACCTCATTCATTTCTCTACGACTTATGGTTCAAAAGTTACGACTTGTCAAAGTTTCATATTTTTGTATACCAGCGATTGAATAGGCTTCCACGGGATCTTTCATTTTGGGCACTTAGAATTTTTTCAAAAATCTGATATTGTGCAATATGGAAAGGTGATTAAATTACGCAACTTTTAAGATGCAATTGAACTCTCTAACTATCACCGTTTAGAAGATATTCAAGGTCAAAGTTGAAGTTGGTTTTTTACCTTTTTTCACCAATAACATCTTTTCTCTTTCCTAAACTTGCTTTGACGTCTATGGAAGAATTAAGATCACTGATGAGATGTTTCCATTGATACCTCATTCATTTCTCTACGACTTATGGTTCAAAAGTTACGACTTGTCAAAGTTTCATATTTTTGTATACCAGCGATTGAATAGGCTTCCACGGGATCTTTCATTTTGGGCACTTAGAATTTTTTCAAAAATCTGATATTGTGCAATATGGAAAGGTGATTAAATTACGCAACTTTTAAGATGCAATTGAACTCTCTAACTATCACCGTTTAGAAGATATTCAAAAACAAAGTTGAAGTTTGTTTTTTACTATCGAAAATGGATTCTCATGAATCACATTTTTTCTGTTTCATAAACTTGCTTTGATGTCTATAGAAGAATTAAACGTACTGATGAGATGTATCCATTGATACCNATATTTGAAAAATTTGTTGGTTCTGATTGCGTGCAAAACAGACCAAGTGGTAGAAGTTCATTGATTAAATTTTTACTTGCAAAGTTATTTTTAAGGTGCGGTTTGGTGCGAGACGATAAAGTGGTGAATAAACAAATAAAACAAAAAAACAGAAGAATGAAAAAAAGTTTCTTCAATTTGTTGAGCCAATTGCTCGTCAATTGTAATTGAAATATTTCAATCAATTTTCGTTGCTAATTAAAGCTTATTTTAAGGCTTCGAATAACAAATATTTTTATTTTTGTAATTTGAGATATTAATCTGTAGTGATTTTTCAGTAAAAAATTCTAATCTAGCTCTTCCCTGAAATTGAATATATTTTGTTTTCGTGAAATTTATTTTTAGGCTGAGATCATTGAAGAACTGTTTAAGAATATTCATGTCACTAATAATAACATCTTTAAGGTCTTTATAAGAATTTTCTCCATATGCTATAGCGATATCATCTGCATATAGTTGAAATTTTCCCTTCAAATTAAGCATAAATACTCCATTTATGTAATATGCAAAAAGAATAGGACCAAGAATGGAACCTTGAAAAACGCCAGATTCAATTTTAAGAAACCCACTTTTACATTTATCCACATTGACACATTGTTGGCGACAAGATAAATATGATTTCAGCAGTTTTTCGATATTTTGAGAAGGTTTTAATTTTAGTAATTGATGAAAAAGAATTTTGTGATCAACACAATCAAATGCTTTTTTTTAAGTCAATAAATACGCAAGCTACTTTTTTCTTTCCTTCAATGAAATTGTAAACATTGCTTAAGAGGTGAAGGGCTGCAATTTCCGTGTTTGACTTAGCAACAAAACCAAACTGAAAGTCATTAATGATTTTGTTGCTGTCAAAGTGTTCAATCAGACGACTAAAAATTACTTAATTCTGCAGTTAAAGATACAAATTGTATTTTTCTTCCAAAACTCTGTGATTATAACCAAACAGTTGTAAAATGTAACATAAAATCGACTAATGGTGATGTTGAACGTTTCTTAATTTCATCAATTTACTTTCCGGGTGAAACCAAGGCAAATGAAATGATTTCTGATAAGCTAAATTATCTAGATTTTCTAAAATAAAAAACTGTCAACTGATAATTGGATGCGACGCAAATGCTCATAATATAATTTGGTCGTCACATAAAACTAATGCTAGAGGAATCAAATACTTTTTCAACCCGCTGGTTAAAATCTTTTTGAATCCCTCGGGTTGACGGATATGGGAATAGCAGAGTAAGGGGTATTAAATAAGGTCATTAAAGGTGGATGACGTGGCTGGAGTGGTTGGTGTGATTGGCGTGGCTAGCGTGGCAAAGTTGGTCCAGTGGACGCCACCTAGCAGGCACTTGTAATTATGGTTTCTCGGGGTTATACCACTAATTTTTTTGAAAATAGGAATGTTCTCTAGGAAATTGAGATAGGGATCTATTATGCAAAACGCAGGGAAATAGGGAAAGAGGATTTTTATTTAAAATCCCTTGCTTTTTTTCTTTAGGGAGGGATCCCCTCAGAGCCTCTACATTTGACTATAACATACAGAGAATAACTGTATTTGGAAGAATTTTTGGTCATTAAAGTTGGTATCGGGGAAAACGAATGACAAATTGTTCCTTCTTCTAAAAACTATTGTATAACCAAATTTTCTAATTGATGATATTGTTATTGTTATACATTTTTTTTTATAAGAAATATGTATTGTAAAATTATTGTTCCGTACAAGGGATAATATAATGAGTAATCAAACGGGCAATTTGCTCATGATTTCTCATCTTAATAAATGGAATTAAAAAAAAAAAACGACACATTCTTTAGCAACGATAAATTCGTAGGAAAAAATATTGAACCACTTTAATACTTGATAATAAGAAAAAAGAAGATGATTTTAAGTCACTGTTCAAGTTCACTGAACCTGAACTTTATTTTTAACATGTGCAACAAGTAAGAATTAAGTAAATGTTTTCGAAAAAGATATTTGTTGTTCACCAGCTGTTACTTCATTAAGCTGCTATCTCCTTTCTCATCTTTTTATTTATGATTGACATCACCTCACAATATTAAAATGGTTTAAATATGCCTGCACAGCGATAGTGGTGATTATATCTTGTTAAGATGTCTAAGACAAGAAAAGTGTATACAGTTTTGAAAGTTTTTATTTTTTTCCTACACGTATCAAGTTTCGTGGAATCAATTCCTCAAATTGAAAATGGTGAACCTGGTCATATTCCAGATCTTCCTAGGTGTCCCGATCTAAATTGTCACGAAAGGCAATATTCAGACTATGAAAATTGCATATGCGTTTGTGAAGACCAAGAATGTCTACCTGGATATAACTGGAGTATTTATCGTTGCAAATGCGAATGTGAAGAACAAGATTGCCCACCTGATTACTACTGGAACGAAGAATATTGCGAATGCGCTTGTAAAGAACGAGATTGTATGAGATATTCATTTTTGAACTACGACCTTTGCGAATGCGTTTGTGAAGAACAGTCATGTGAACCTGGATATTACTTGGACCGAGTAAATTGCATATGCGTTTGTGAAGAACAGCCATGTGAACCTGGATATTACTGGGACCAAGATCGTTGTGGATGCAAAAGTGTATGCTCTGCCAACTATATCTGGAATGGAGAGCTTTGTGTAGAGCTCATATGTGAAGAGCGGAGTTGCCCTCGTCCTAAATGTTGGGATCATAAGCTTTGTGACTGCGCTTGTTGTAAAAGTCCACCAGAAATCGTATGCGCTCCTGGGGAAGATTGGAATGATGATCTCTGTACATGTGAACCATGTGATTATGAGTGTCCTGATGGAAAAATTTGGGATTATGAAGAATATGGATGCGTTTGCTCAGAGATTGAGAGTTGTCGTGATGATCAAAAATGGGATCATAAACTTTGTGAATGCGTTTGCAAAGAAATCGAAGAATGTCCCGATGGAAAGATTTGGGATCACAAACGTTGTGAATGTCGTTGTGCATTCGTGAAACTATGTCCCGATGGAAAGAGTTGGAGTGACGAACTTTGTGATTGCGTTTGTGCACGCATTGAAGAATGTCCCTGTGGAAAAGTTTGGGATCAAAAACTTTGTGAATGTGTTTGTACACGCAAGATGAAATGTCCCAACGGAACGACTTGGAATAAGAAGTCTTGTAAATGCGATTGCACAGAAATTGAAGAATGTTCTGATGGAAAGACATGGGATGCAGAGCATTGTGAATGCATTTGCCCACAAAGAGAAGCGTGTTCACCTATGCAAATTTGGAATGCAGAACGTTGTGAATGCATTTGCGCACAATTAAAAGGATGTTCACCTATGCATACTAATTGGGATGCAGAACATTGTAAATGCCGTTGCCCACGAGAATATCCATGTTCTCCATGGGAATATTGGAATGAATCTTTTTGTCGCTGTTTCCCTGGAGGAAATCCTGGTAGGCCAACATAATTATTTTATTTCTTGGATTAAAGAAGAAAGATACAAAATTAACGTTGATTATATTGTTTTGAATTTTTCTGTTACTTAAACAAAAGAAATAAAAAATATATGTTGCATTACACCCAATATTTGACGAATATTTTTATTAAATCGACATGAGTTGGATAGTTTTGAAAATGCGTGTAACTAAAAAAGAAAGCAACATAAAAGTTGTGTCCATCTGTATTCGAAAGAATTTTAGGTCATTAAGGTTGGTATCGGGGAAAACGAATGACAAACGACACATTCTTTAGCAACGATAAATTCGTAGGATAAAATATTGAACCACTTTAATACTTGATAATAAGAAAAAAAAAGATGATTTTAAGTCACTGTTCAAGTTCACTGAACCTGAACTTTATTTTTAACATGTGCAACAAGTAAGAATTAAGTAAATGTTTTCGAAAAAGATATTTGTTGTTCACCAGCTGTTACTTCATTAAGCTGCTATCTCCTTTCTCATCTTTTTATTTATGATTGACATCACCTCACAATATTAAAATGGTTTAAATATGCCTGCACAGCGATAGTGGTGATTATATCTTGTTAAGATGTCTAAGATAAGAAAAGTGCATACAGTTTTGAAAGTTTTTTTTTTTCCTACACGTATCAAGTTTCGTGGAATCAATTCCTCAAATTGGAAATGGTGAACCTGGTCATATTCCAGATCCTCCTAGGTGTCCCGATCTAAATTGTCACGAAAGGCAATATTCAGACTATGAAAATTGCATATGCGTTTGTGAAGACCAAGAATGTGAACCTGGATATAACTGGAATATTTATCGTTGCAAATGCGAATGTGAAGAACAAGATTGCCCACCTGATTACTACTGGAACGAAGAATATTGCGAATGCGCTTGTAAAGAACGAGATTGTATGAGATATTCATTTTTGAACTACGACCTTTGCGAATGCGTTTGTGAAGAACAGTCATGTGAACCTGGATATTACTTGGACCGAGTAAATTGCATATGCGTTTGTGAAGAACAGCCATGTGAACCTGGATATTACTGGGACCAAGATCGTTGTGGATGCAAAAGTGTATGCTCTGCCAACTATATCTGGAATGGAGAGCTTTGTGTAGAGCTCATATGTGAAGAGCGGAGTTGCCCTCGTCCTAAATGTTGGGATCATAAGCTTTGTGACTGCGCTTGTTGTAAAAGTCCACCAGAAATCGTATGCGCTCCTGGGGAAGATTGGAATGATGATCTCTGTACATGTGAACCATGTGATTATGAGTGTCCTGATGGAAAAATTTGGGATTATGAAGAATATGGATGCGTTTGCTCAGAGATTGAGAGTTGTCGTGATGATCAAAAATGGGATCATAAACTTTGTGAATGCGTTTGCAAAGAAATCGAAGAATGTCCCGATGGAAAGATTTGGGATCACAAACGTTGTGAATGTCGTTGTGCATTCGTGAAACTATGTCCCGATGGAAAGAGTTGGAGTGACGAACTTTGTGATTGCGTTTGTGCACGCATTGAAGAATGTCCCTGTGGAAAAGTTTGGGATCAAAAACTTTGTGAATGTGTTTGTACACGCAAGATGAAATGTCCCAACGGAACGACTTGGAATAAGAAGTCTTGTAAATGCGATTGCACAGAAATTGAAGAATGTTCTGATGGAAAGACATGGGATGCAGAGCATTGTGAATGCATTTGCCCACAAAGAGAAGCGTGTTCACCTATGCAAATTTGGAATGCAGAACGTTGTGAATGCATTTGCGCACAATTAAAAGGATGTTCACCTATGCATACTAATTGGGATGCAGAACATTGTAAATGCCGTTGCCCACGAGAATATCCATGTTCTCCATGGGAATATTGGAATGAATCTTTTTGTCGCTGTTTCCCTGGAGGAAATCCTGGTAGGCCAACATAATTATTTTATTTCTTGGATTAAAGAAGAAAGATACAAAATTAACGTTGATTATATTGTTTTGAATTTTTCTGTTACTTAAACAAAAGAAATAAAAAATATATGTTGCATTACACCCAATATTTGACGAATATTTTTATTAAATCGACATGAGTTGGATAGTTTTGAAAATGCGTGTAACTAAAAAAGAAAGCAACATAAAAGTTGTGTCCATCTGTATTCGAAAGAATTTTAGGTCATTAAGGTTGGTATCGGGGAAAACGAATGACAAACGACACATTCTTNAGCCTCTACATTTAACTATAACATACAGAGAATAACTGTATTTGTAAGAATTTTTGGTCATTAAAGTTGGTATCGGGGAAAACGAATGACAAACGACACATTCTTTAGCAACGATAAATTCGTAGGATAAAATATTGAACCACTTTAATACTTGATAATAAGAAAAAAGAAGATGATTTTAAGTCACTGTTCAAGTTCACTGAACCTGAACTTTATTTTTAACATGTGCAACAAGTAAGAATTAAGTAAATGTTTTCGAAAAAGATATTTGTTGTTCACCAGCTGTTACTTCATTAAGCTGCTATCTCCTTTCTCATCTTTTTATTTATGATTGACATCACCTCACAATATTAAAATGGTTTAAATATGCCTGCACAGCGATAGTGGTGATTATATCTTGTTAAGATGTCTAAGATAAGAAAAGTGCATACAGTTTTGAAAGTTTTTTTTTTTCCTACACGTATCAAGTTTCGTGGAATCAATTCCTCAAATTGAAAATGGTGATTCAGTGAATCAACCTGGTAGAATGGGAGTTCCTCCTAGGTGTCCCGATCTAAATTGTGACGAAAGGCATTACTTGGACCGAGTAAATTGCATATGCGTTTGTGAAGAACAGCCATGTGAACCTGGATATTACTGGGACCCAGAACGTTGTGGATGCAAAAGTGTATGCTCTCCCAGCTATATCTGGAATGAAGACCTTTGTGACTGCATGTGTCAAGAACAAAGTTGCTCTCGTCCCAAATGTTGGGATCCAAAACTTTGTGACTGCGCTTGTTGTGAAAGCCCTCCAGACATCGTATGCGCTCTTGGGGAAGATTGGAATGATGATCTCTGTACATGTGAACCATGTGATTATGAGTGTCCTGATGGAAAAATTTGGGATTATGAAGAATATGGATGTGTTTGCGCAGAGATTGAGAGTTGTCGTGAGAGTTGTCGAGAGTTGTCGTGAGTTTATGATCAAAAATGGGATCATAAACTTTGTGAATGCGTTTGTGCACGCATTGAAGAATGTCCCTGTGGAAAAGTTTGGGATCAAAAACTTTGTGAATGTGTTTGTACACGCAAGATGAAATGTCCCAATGAAACGACTTGGAATAAGAAGTCTTGTAAATGCGATTGCACAGAAATTGAAGAATGTTCAGGGCTTCGGTCCGGAACCTTTTTCCTGTTCCGGAACATAAACGGACCGTTCCGCAAACGATAAATCTGTTCCGGAACAGGAAAAGGACCTTGTTCCGGAACAGGAAACGGACCTTAAACGGATCTCGGAACACGGACCGAAGCCCCGAGAATGTTCTGATGGAAAGACATGGGATGACAATTTTTGTCAATGCGTTTGCGAACGGATTGACATATGTCCGGCAGGAAATAAGATTTGGAGTGACACATTTTGTATGTGCATTTGTCGAGGTATTGAATCATGTGAAAATAGTTTGTTTCCCAAAATTTGGGATGCAGAACGTTGTGAATGCGTTTGCAATGAATTATTTGTAAGAAAATGTCCTTATGGATTTGCTTGGGATGAAAATTATTAAAAAAAATTAAATTATTAAATTATTATTATTATTATTGAACATCATCAAAAAAAATTTCACTGCAGTCTGATTTAAGTATCAATGCCGATTTTTACACTAATTTCCCCACGCAGTGCACCGCATGACCTTTCCAAGCAATATATCGCAGATTCATCCTGTCTTACCAAACAAAACTTTTCGAAGAGAAAAACAAGAAGTCTGTGGTAATTAAATTGACTGTCTTGAAGAGTTTTCGTTTTTACTTGCGAAGTTATTTTTAAGGTGCGGTTTGGCGCGAGACGATAAAGCGGTGGATAAACAAATAAAACAAAAAAACAGAAGAATTAAAAAAAGTTTCTTCAATTTGTTGAGCCAATTGCTCGTCAATTGTAATTGAAATATTTAAATCAATTATCGTTGCTAATTAAAGCTTATTTTAAGGCTTCGAATAACAAATATTTTTGGTGATATAAAAATAAATTTTCATTTAATAAAGAGATTAAAGAATCATGAAATTTGAGAAGCGAAATTCGTCGTAGACATTCCATGAAACATTCCATTGATAATTAATTTTTTTATTGTTAGCAATGAAGAGATTTCAAAATCTTTTTCGCTGAGGAAGAGAAAACTTTCCAAAGTTTCCTTTCTTATCACGCTTTGTTTCAAAATACCCGAAGGCGAGATTTTTTTACTGGTGCTTTAAATGAATCGTCAAAAGAAGAAAAGGAATGTGTTTTAGAGAAAATATTTAAATATCTACTTAGCTGTTTGTGTCGGGGGAGGAATAAAAGAATTAGGAAAACGGGAAAAACTTTTCCAACAGACAATTTCGTCGTTCATTTAAATTTAGTAAAAATAACATTATCTGTCAAATAAGAAATGTTTGTCACTTACTTGTTTCAATAAACCTCAAACTTTTACATTTACGATTACGACGAGTTGAAATATTTGACGAGTTAAGATTTCAGTTTTGATATTCACAGCCAAAAGTGGAAATGTCGAGTCTTTCTAGTACGGAAAGTAATAAACATTGTTGATTGTCCATCACTCAGAGTTAAAGCTTCATTTAAGCATTCCCATTACGCAACATAAACCTAACTGCTTAAACGATAAAAGTAAAAAGAAGGAAGAGAAGTTGATAGATTGTTAAATTAGGTGGAAAAGATATTGACTCGACAAAAAGCAAAGCACATGAATCGCTTTCTTACTATCTACGTACATGAATATCCTTCAAGCCTACCTACATCTGAAAAGCTTTTTAAAGAAAAACATTTTCTGCCTGCTTTCAAAGGAAAATCAATATTTTCTTTCTCATACTTAATTTTTCTTCTTTTCACTCGCAATGTTAGGTGGAACGAATAAATTTCTTCAGCTGACGTGATTTAAATTATTTTGAAATTTCCCACAATAAAATTATTTTATTTTTAATTAATCATAAGATGATCTAAGAATGAGAAAAGATTTAATTAATCATAAAGTTCTAAAAAGAAGACTTTCAAGTTGTTCACAAAGTTTTGTGTTTAAAAAGATGTTTTCCTTCTCTTTCAGATGTCTAACTGCGTATAATATCAAAGATAAATGTTTTTTAAGAAAATTAATCTAAATCGAAGCATGTTTCTTATGTTAATAAATCAGACAGAGTTTTTGTTTCATTAATTATTTAAGAGTTATGCTAACCAAGCGTAATGGAAAGAACGATTGTCATGAAATTATTCTTCTGTCGAGAAAATTCTAAATTCTTTCATCTGCGTGTACGTAAAATCTTCAAATATTTTCATTCAATTTATTTTTCGTTCCTTTTCGATTTAAACGTAAAACAGCTTCTTATGTTTAGCTAAACCCAATGATAAACATTGAATCTTAAGAACGTCTTTGGTATTTAGTCGTCGACATAAAAGCTCAGTTAGCAAATACTTTTCTTGATTAGAATCAATCTTCTCACTTACTTAACGTTTATTCGTCATTATTCAACAAATAAATACACTTCAGACTCAAGTATCGTCATATCAAATAGAAAGATACGCAAATCGAAGCAATTGTGACTACGAAAATTTGGTTTGTAATCTTTTTTGTAAATGATTGAAGCTTTAAAATTGTTTCCCCAGACAAATTCTTTTGTTATTTTTGTGTCGTCTATGATTTCTGATAGCTTAGCAAGTTTTGATAAGATAAACAATCAAAATGGTATTGAAAGTGAAATTTAAAAGTCATTCTCTTGGCAACTTCATAACAATGAAGACGAATTTTATTATTCTTTTGTGTGCTATTTTATCAGTGGGAAATTCGTACAAAATTCTGGGAATATTTCCATTTGGTAGCAAGTCGCATTATGGAACAGGTGAGGGAGTTTTGAAAGCATTGAATGATGCCGGTCACGAGGTTACAATGATCAGCGTTTTTGAGTTGGAAAAACCAAGGGATAAATATCATCAGATTAAGATTAGTGATTTCATGGAAGAAATGCAAATAGGTTCGTTGATTAACAATTGAAATTAAATTAAAAGTGAATTAAATATTTTATAAATATTAAGAAGGTCGAGATGCGAATCCCTTTGAATTTGCTAACATGAATGCGCTTGCAATAGAAATGATGCTTTATGAAATGGGAGCACTACAAGCTGAACATGTTTTTAAATCAAAACTTGTTCAAGAACTTTTAAATTCAAACCAAAAGTTCGATGCAGTCATTGTGGAAATTTTTGCAATTGATTCTCTCATGGGTTTTGGTCAACATTTTAATTGTCCAGTGATTGGCGTTAACACATTTGATGGAGTTTATTGGAATGATGTGTTTACTGGAAATCAATCGCCTTTCTCATACGTACCTTTGACATTCCTTGGACTTCCTGACAATATGACATTCCAGCAAAGGTTATCGAACACTGTTTACTCGTTAGTTCAAAAGTTTCTCTACAGCTTTTATCATTTGCGAAATCAAAGGAAAATTTACTAAAAACATTTTCCGAAAGCAACGAAATGTTTTCATGATGTTCATAGAAGTATGTCGATATTGTTTATGAATTCACATTTGAGTTCATCTTCATCACGACCATACCTTCCAAATATGATTCAAATCAATGGAATTCATCTTCAACCGTCAAAGCCTTTGCCCGATGATATTCAAAAGTTTTTGGATTCAGCCACTGAAGGTGCAATCATCTTCACAATGGGTTCAATGGTTCGAAGTGTTGATTGGACAATTCAACAACGCGAAGCTTTTGTCAACACTTTCGCTAAGATAAACCAGAAAGTATTGTGGAAATATGAGAATGAAACGTTGCCTGGTAATCCAGGCAATATAAGGATTAGTTCGTGGTTACCACAGCGAGATGCTCTCGCTCATCCAAACGTGAAAGTTTTTATTACTCATGGTGGTAACTTGGGAACGACTGAAGCACTGTCAGAAGGCGTGCCACTTCTTGGAATTCCACTCTTTGGTGATCAGATGGTAAATCTGAACCGCGCTATAGCTAAAGGATATGCTTTGGGATTAAATATTAAAAACATTACAGAAGAAAACTTTTCAAGAAGCTTGAACAAGCTTTTAAAAGACAAGAGTTTTTCTGAAAACGCTAAAAAACTTTCAAACATCTTTCACGACCGCCCTTTAAACTCAAAAGAGACTGTTGTCTATTACACTGAATACGCTATTCGTCATAACGGTGCTGAGCATCTGAGAATCTCAGCACTTCAACTGAATTACCTTGCATTTCATCTTATTGATGTTTATGCAACATTATTTGCCGGAGGGTTCGCAATTTTTTATGTTTTCTATAAAGTCTCAACATTTTTCATAAAGCGTAAACCAAGGAAACAAAAGAAGCAATAAAGCGAGGTAATTTTCCTCATAAAATCTTTTATTTAATCCTTTACTCCACCCAAAGCTCGGATTTCCGCTGATATAAATCAATCAGTTAAAGGAAAGTTTCGCTGAGAAAATGAAAATATCCTTTAGAGAATTCATCAAAAAGCTCCGTAAAAATTTTCCGAATGACTAGGATTTTCTTGTCTCATGCAATTTAGCTTTGTAAAAATGTCCAATATTTTATTTTTTCATCGCAATCAGTTGTTTCCGTTTTTTCCCTTAAGAATAGAAAAAATGAAGAAAATAGAAGCGAAATTGTGGCCTTGAATTTCTCAGAAGGGTGTCATTCACATTGCAATGTCAAGAAGGTTTCTATTTACAGATCTCTTCATGTATTAAAATATTAAATATTCAATTAAAATCAAATAAAATGAAGGCATAAGCGTGAACGAAATTAGAACTTTGTACTTGTATTAAATGTTGATTTTTTTTTATTAAAGATTTTGTAAATCTTGACAAGGACAAGAATAAAAATCCACCGAGTCGAGTTGTCATGAGAGAAATTGTAATCTTGTTGATGATAACAAGACATAAAATGTCACCTGTGTTAAAACTCTCAAAATAGATTTCAATGTTTTGTTTTTCAAAGTATTTGAAAATGATATGGAGAGGGCAAAATATTATTCCATGTCATGAATCATCAATCCATACCACACGATCAACATTGATACAACAAAACCTCTGAACGTTGTGTGCTACCATCAACGATAGAGCTTAAATTTTATTATTTAATCTCATATGTTTTCTGTTTTATCATTTTCGTGTTTACTTTTACGCTGTTCAGTCGTATTAGAGTTTTAGTTTAAAGAACAACAACAATGGGAAGTGCTTTAAAGCTTTATTTTGATTTAATGTCCCCAACTGCTCGTCCTTTGTGGATTTTATTTGAACATGCTGGTGTAAATTGTGAGATGATTCCAATTGCGCTTAGAAAAGGTTTGATTTAGCGGACTAAAGAATCTTGTGAATAAACGATAAAGATAAAAATCTTTTTTTTTAATCTTTTAGGCGAACATTTCACAGATGAATATTGTGAGAATGTTAATAGGTTTGGTAAAGTGCCTGCCATCATCGACAATGGTTTCAAATTGTCCGAGAGTATCGCAATTTTCCATTATTTAGGACGAAAAGAAATTCTTCCTGAACGATGGTATCCAAAGAATTTAAAAGAAATAACTCGTGTAGATGAATATTTACAATGGAATCATAATAATTTAATCTTCGGAGCGGGGGGATTGTTCAGGATGCAATGGGTGGAACCTCTTCTGACAGGCAATAAACCCAGTTCGGAAGCAATAAAAAAACAGGAAAAGTTTTTGAAGGGAAATCTTGATGACCTTGAAAACCTTTGGCTTAAAGACACGGAATTTTTGAATGGAAATCAAATATCTTTTGCTGATCTGCTCGCTGCTTGCTTGATAGAGCAAGTCATTGGATTAAAGATGTACAAGTTAGATGAACAAACACATAAAAACGTGATTAATTGGTTGGATAAAGTAAAAACCTTTTTCGGCCCGACGTTTAAAGAAGGACACAAGTTTTTGTATATTTATGGTGAAAAGTATGGGAAGTTGTAAAATTCATCAGTTTGACTCTCGAGTTAAGATGTAAATTCAGGTGTAAGCATTTAATAAAAAAAAGTTTTCTATTTCAACAATTTTTTTAAACTAAGATTTTGTTCATAGAGTAATTTTGGAATATTTTTTCTTGCAAGTTTCTACTTCAAATATTGTTTTCAGAATATTTTCCATTCATCAATAATTAAATTTACTCAATTTAGGTATTTAAAATTCCTTGAATGGAGGCAAGAAATAAGAAAATGCCCAAAAATGGAACATGACCAAAAGTGGGTGATATTCTTTTGATGCCCAAAACGTTTATAAACAACATAAGAATTTAAATTTTTACAAAAAAAAAATCATTTTCAATCATTATAAAGAGTTTTAAGAAAGATGAGTGCATCAGTTGATCATAGTGATGAGGAAGGTCTTGTTAGATCTCCAGATATCATGGATAATCCAAGGTAATTCGAAGTTTACGATCCTTTTCAAGTGTTTTAATTTTAAAAATAAATTTTTTATATTTTCAGCGATGATAACTCACTTGATATTAAACCACCGCAGGCAAAAGCTGAACATCGTTACAAAGATAAGAAAAAACATAAGAAACATTCACATGAGCGGAAATACAAAGAGAAACATCGCGAATATGTACGCGGTGAGGAAAGTTCCGGTCGACGACATGATTACCGTGAAAAATACGACGATCGTGGTTTTCATAAGAATAAAGATTATTATAAGCTTCAAAGAGATTCACGAATTGACTATAGAGGAGAGTCTTCTAAAAAAGATGAACGAAAGTCATCAACAGAAGAATTGAACCGACTTGACAGTGACATGAAAATGGAAGAAGACTTAAGGAATCGTTTACTATCCCGTCGAAGTCAAAATGATCCAAGAGGAGTCCGCAAAGATGACTTTTATAAACAGAAAAGCAAGCATCGAAGTGATTATTACACAAAAGAACGTCCTGAAGTATATTCCGATGAATATGATCAAAGTCGGAACTCAAAGAAACATCGCAATTATCAACCAATTGATGCTGACGCAGAAGCTCGTAAAAAGAAATTTCTTGAAGTTGAAAGGGATGAATTGAGAAGGAAGGAGAAAGCAAAGTTTGAATTGGAAGCGAGAAGAGAACAACATCGCCAAAAGGAAGTAAGTTTGTCTCCAGAACGAAAAAAGAAACGTTACAAGTCACCAGACACAGCTGTACAATCAAACGACGACGTTGTCATGTTGTCATCAGAACAATCACATGAAGAAGGAGAAGAGGAAGAGGAAATAGATTCAGATTCTGACAGTAACTCAAGTGAAGGTTCAGCAAAGTCGAAGGAATCTGAAGAATTCGAAATCAGCCCAATTCCAGTTGAACAATTGGAGAAATCCGATCGAAGAAGTCGTTTCAGTCGTTCGAAGAGCAAAACACGATCTTTGACGAAAAGTCGATCAGAATCGCATTCGATCAGCTCAATATCAAGTAGAAGCAGCTCACATTCGACACATTCTCGATCTGATTCTGAATCGGAAAGTGAACAAAGCAATGACGAAAAAAAATCTTCAAAAGCTGAAGAGACAAAAGACGATGAGGAGGAAAAGAATGAGAAAAATCTTGACAATGTTAAAGAAGGTGAAGAAGGAGAAGCAGAAGTCAAGGAAGAAGAAAAGGAAGAATTGCCAGCATATTTTCCAGCTCTTCAAGGATGTCGATCAGTTGAAGAATTTCAATGTCTCAATCGAATCGAAGAAGGAACTTATGGCGTTGTTTATCGTGCAAAAGACAAAAGAACCGACGAAGTTGTCGCTTTAAAACGATTGAAAATGGAGAAAGAGAAAGAAGGCTTTCCAATCACTTCACTTCGTGAAATCAACACGTTATTGAAAGGTCAACATCCAAATATTGTGACAGTCCGTGAAATTGTTGTTGGCAGTAACATGGATAAGATTTTCATTGTCATGGATTACGTTGAGCATGATTTAAAGTCATTAATTGAAACCATGAAGCATAAGAAGCAAGTTTTCCTGCCTGGTGAAGTGAAATGTCTGATTCAACAGTTGATCAAAGCTGTCGCTCATTTACATGACAATTGGATTCTTCATCGTGACTTGAAGACTTCAAATTTGTTGTTAAGTCACAAAGGAATCTTGAAAGTTGGAGATTTCGGCTTGGCACGTGAATATGGCTCGCCGTTGAAGGAATATACGTCGATTGTCGTCACACTTTGGTATCGCGCACCTGAACTACTCCTTGGAGTTAAAGAATATTCAACTCCGATTGATGTTTGGTCAGTTGGTTGCATATTTGCAGAACTTCTAGCAATGACAGCACTTTTTCCTGGAAAATCAGAAGTCGATCAACTTAATAGGATTTTTAAAGACTTGGGAACGCCAAATGAGAGAATTTGGCCGGGATATGATCTTCTGCCGTTAGTGAAGAAAATGACATTCTCTGATTATCCCGTTTCGCAACTACGAAAGAAGTTTGCGACATTAACAAGCGAACTTGGATTGTCACTTCTCCAAGGCTTATTAACTTACGATCCGAAGCAAAGATTAACAGCGGAAACTGCTTTGAAACACAATTATTTCAAGGAAATGCCGCTGCCAATCGACCCAGCAATGTTTCCAACGTGGCCAGCTAAAAGCGAAGTTGGTTGGAAGCGAGCGATGGCAACATCACCGAAACCACCATCAGGCGGAATGCAGTACAAGAAACTGGTAATTAATTAAAAATATTAACAACAAATGACAATTATAAATTAATTAATTTTTATTTCAGGGCGTTGATGATGAAAATTCTGGCTTCTCGTTATCAGCAACTTACGCTTCATATTCTGAAAGCCGAAAGATGCAAATGGGCTCAGGATTCAGCTTAAAATTTTAATTTCAATAAAATGAAAACATGAGAAGATGAAATAAATTTAATTTTAATGAAATTTAAGACTTTTATTTGTAATCTCTGACAAAAGCAATTCAATCATCATCAACAGAAACTTCATTTCTTGCAATTCGAAAAGCAGCAATCAACGCTGAGAGTTGAATCTTTTCAGAGCATCCTTGAGATAATCGTTCTTCAATATTTGCCATTCTGATGATTAATTTGCAGATCACGGGGCTGGGAAGTTGCATTCGTTGCACGTAAAGATGAACTTGTGTGAGAATGTCTTCAAGTGCAAGTCCTTTATTTATTTTCATTTGATTAAGTTTCTGATATGTGTCCTTGAAGTTTTCATCGTTTAACAGCCAATAAACAATATTTTCAACTTCTTTCTTCAATGGATGTCCAACACAACTGTAAACATTATCTTCCGATACATCTTTGAATGCCATCCAAGTGCTTTGAAGAACGTTGAGAACTTTACGCATGTCACCACCCGAGAGATCTATTAACGCCTTCTTTCCAGCTTCGGATACTATTAAATCTTCTTCTTGAATAACATGATTTAAACGAGGTAATATTTGTTCAGATGCCAGTGGAGCAAAACGAAATCTCGTGCATCGGGATTGTAATGCTGGAATGATTTTACTCAAATAGTTACAAATGATGCAGAAACGAACATTGTCAGTATATTTCTCAATGATTCTTCTTAAAGCATTTTGAGCATCGTTTGTCATTGCATCTGCTTCATCGAGTATAATTAATTTGAAGCCACCGCTGAAGATTGTACGAGTAGAGGCAAAGTTGAGTACTTGACCTCGAACTATTCCAATTCCTCGGTCATCTGATGCATTTAATTCAAGAACCATTGAAGGAAATTGTGCTGGTGTATATAACTGTTTAGCACATGCAAGAATTGTTGATGTTTTGCCTGAGAAATCAACAAAAATTGTAAAAAAAAATTGTTCAAGTTTAAATTTAATCATATTACCAGTTCCTGGTGGTCCATAAAAGAGAAGATGAGGCAACTGATCATGACTTATAAATTTATTTACTGTAAGTTAATATATATAATAAGTTATTGGATAAAGATGTAACAAATTTTAACAAATTCTTACTTGTTGAAATTATTTCTTCATGTGATATCAAATCATTGAGTTTGGCAGGACGATATTTCTCCACCCTTTAAAATGCATAAAGCTTTAAAAATTATTAGCAGATTTTTATATTAACACTTACCAAGGTAAACTTGCAACATTTTCTAAAACCATTTTTATTAAAATTATTAATTTCGTTTTCTGGCGCGCAAATTTGCAATAATCTGAGGGGTACAAAGCTTTGTATTTATTTTGGGTTTAATGAAAATAGAAATGTGGGAATTTTGGGCATTGAAGGTTCTGTTTACATTTTGAATGATTAAAATAAATCTTCCACTTCAATAATAATAACTAATATAAAGCTTCTTTCATAATTTGTTTGGAAAAATATGAATTCACAACAAGACAGTAGGAAAATTCTCGAAGATTTGAATTTTAAAAAGCAACAACTTCAAAAAGGTTTGTCACCATCTGGTGTAAGTAAATTTTCATTTATTTTCATAAATTACTTGCATATTATAACAACATTAATTTATTATTTTCAGACTTCTCAATCTCTTCAATACGAACCACCTATAAACTCGTTAGCACGCACAACACTTGCCCAAGCGCAATCAACTTCATTTGGATTTTTCATTCTGCAAGATTCGACATATGGAAATACAATTCTTCCTGTGCTGCCCAGATTTGAATAGTTTCCATTAGAATGTCATCACGAATCAAACTTAAGAAATTAGAAGAATATCTTCAATCCGTGGATTCATTTGAGAAACCAAAAATCCTTCTCGAACAATACATAACACCATCACATATCGCAAGTAATCTGCTTTTCACTATACAAAACAACTACGATGACTTGGAGGGGAAATATGTTTGTGACTTGGGTACTGGAACTGGAATGTTATCAATAGGAGCAGCAATAATTGGTGCAGCACAAACTGTTGGCTTTGATATTGATTCTGAAGCTCTTGTGATTGCTCAAAACAATATCAACGAAATGGAAATAACAAACATTGATTTCGTTCAATGTGACGTCATAGACAATTTATCCTCAGAAAATAATAAGTGGCTGAAGGTTTTTGACACTGTTATCATGAATCCACCATTTGGAACGAAAAAAAACTCTGGCATGGACATAAATTTTCTTAAAACAGCAGTCAAACTTTCACGCAATGTAATCTACTCACTTCACAAATCCTCGACTCGCAGCTTTATTCAAAAGAAAACCAAGGAGTTAAATATCAGCGGAAAAGTCATCGCAGAGCTTAGATACAATCTTGATTCTTCTTATAAATTTCATAAAAAATCTGTTGTTGATATTGAGGTAGATGTTTGGAGGTTCAACATAGAATGAAAACTTTCTTTTATAATTTTAATAAATTTAATTCATTTTATCTTGGAATATTTTGTTTTAAAGGTTCAATTTTGCTTCATTTTGAGTGATTTTTTTCCCAATTTCAGTGGCACAATTTAAGTGTGTGGTTCAAACATTCTAGTTTCATATCCTGATTTGGTCATAAGGTTAAGCTTACATGTTTCAACCCATGGAAATTGGCAAATATTGGAATAAAACACCATAAACAAGAGTAAATAATAAAGACTTCATCATTAAATTCTTCTTATTGTATCATTTGCAATATCAATACAATTATTTAGTCACTAAAACAAGAGAATGCGAATTATCATTGATGTTCTCGAAAAAACAGTTGTAGAAATGTAAATAAATGATTCAACTCAATGTTTTCTTTTTATTTTTTGTTCAATTTAAAACAAAAAGAGATAAAAAATTTCTTTTATCAAACGATGTTGAAGTCATTTATCTAAATATATATTTAAATAGATAAAGCATTGAACAAATCTTTTATAATTTGAAGGAGTGTTGTTAATGATCTTCAACATTGACAGTACGATACCAAAATAGATAATGATATCCAAGATTAACTACAATATCATCAACGCCAACAGGAGAAAGATCGTTGATTCCAGGAGGATTGTTTTTCTTAGGACTCCATGGAAGGTTGTAGATCAACCAATATTGAGAACTGTGAAAAGAAAAAGTGTTATTGAACAAATAAATAAAACCATTTTAATTCAATTAACTCACGTTTCATCATTGTTTGCAACACCAGCGATTGTTGTAATGTACTTTCCGAAATCATATTGGATGAAGTCAAATGCGTAGTGCTGATTCTTTTCCGCTGCTTGATACATCGCATCAATGAAATGACTTCCTGGAGGAGATGTCAGTCTAATTTTGTATTTCGTATGAACGTCATCCCCGATCCACAAGTAGTAGTAATAAGCAACATCGTTTTCGTTCTCAGAAGATTCTGAAGCCGATTCAGAAATCGTTTCATCAGGATCTGAATTGTGATCTGATGAAGTGACAATTGTTAATAGCGATAAAAATAATGCAACGTAGAAGATCTTCATGGCTGAATAATTTTTCCAAACTGATATCAAATTATAATCATCAAAAGAATATATAATTATGACTCTTCTTTGTATGTGTTTTTATAAACTTCATTTCTCTGTTTATTCAGGTTTTTTATGTGGATCTCATTTAGTTGTTATGATTAAAATGTATTAAAAGTAAATTATTTAAGTGTAGTTTTAAATTTTAAAGAAAAGTTGAAGATTTCACTGTATAAAGATATAATTTAAAAAATTTTCATCAAAAAGAAAATTAAGTCTTGAGGACACAGAATTTTAACTTTAAAACTCAACTGAAGCTTTCATTTGAAAGCTCATAAAAAATGGAAAATATAATTTTTGAAATATAAAAGCTTTTGAGCTTTTTCTACCCTCATAAACTTTTGAATTTATTTTGAGCTTTTCATTATAAAATTTCATCGATACTAATGACAAAAGCTCATTTATACTAATTTTTCAGTTTTCGAATTGTGGAAATTTTTCTTCACTGACATTCATTTCCATATAAAAAAAAATTTCAATTGAATAACTGATCTTAATGATTTGGTACATAAAATTAACTAAAGTAGGTATTATGTTTTCATCATGAAGGTAATTCTTTATTTATATTCATTTAAATAATTTATATCTTCAAAGTTCTTTACTTTTCTTGATATTTCAAAGAAAAATTATTTATTGGTGTTCGTCAACATTGACAGTTCGATACCAGAACAGATAATGATATCCATCATGAACTTCAATTTTATCAACGCCAACTGGTGAAAGATATCCGTTACCAGGGGGGTTGTGTACATCGGGGCAGAATGGAAGGTTGTAGATCATCCAATATTGAGAACTGTAAAAAGGAAATTGTCATTATATAAACAGATTCAGATACATGACTTCAATTATGTTACGTTGCTTCATTATCGCAAACACCAGCGATTGTGGTAATGGACCTTCCGTAATGAGTTTCGACGAATTTAAATTCGTAATTGTGGTTCTCTTTAGCAGCTTGGAACATTGCATCAATGAAACGAATGCCACAAGGAGATTTCAATTTTATTGTAAATTTCGTGTGAATATTATCTCCAATCCACAAATGATAGTAATAATGTATGTAGTGGTCTGCAGAAGGTTGCTCATGTTCACTACTCGATTCAGATTTTGACTTCGATTTTGATTTAGATTTTGACTCAGATTTCGACTTAGATTTTGACTCAGACTTTGACTTTGACTCAGACTTTGACTTAGACTTCGACTCGGACTTTGACTTAGACTTCGACTCAGACTTTGACTCAGGCTTTGACTCAGACTTTGAGTGATGTTTTGACTCAGACTTTGACTCAGACTTTGAGCGATGCTTTGATGAAACAATTATTATCAATGCTGATAATAATAAAGCTGCGAGTAAGATCCTCATGACTGAGTAATTTTTTCCAGACTGATCCCAAATTATAATCAAGCAGATAATTTATAATATTTACAATTAATTCTTAATGAAATGGAGGGGAGGGATGAAGTTAAGGCGAAGATGTTTCATTTAAGACATTTTAAGTGAATATTTAATTGTATATTTTTTTTAAAAAATAAAAAAGAACTTTTGTAAAAAAAAGTTGATCAAATGAAAATTTAACTGTTCATTAGTCATTACGCAGAGTTCCCACTTTAAATATTAACAAAAGCTTATTTGAAAGCTCTAGAAACGTTTGCCCGTTTAGGAATCATTTTCACGAAAGTTTGTGTCGTTCGTATGACTGGAAGTTTCATTTGTTTCGTTGAAGTCACACTTTTATCCTAGTGAACTTTCAGTATCATCATTTCACATGTTCATTAATAATATTTTTTCAACTGTTTTTGAAAAGAATTGTAAATATTTTTAAAAACTGAGATCCATTATAACTGATGAGATGAGTAATTGAAGTCAATGACTCCATTTAAAAAATAAATAAATAAATAAAAATATACACCTTCTTTGAAAAATAAAAAAGTAACCCCCGATCTTTTATATCGGAAAATCGTGAAAAAAAAGCGTGATTCGACAAAGTAATTAACAAATTTAATATCACTTCACAATTCTAATTAAAATATAAAATGCCAATAATCCTCATTCATTCATCAATTTCCTACAGTCGTTTTAAATTGAAATAAAAAATAATGTTAACTAAAGCTTTATCTATTCAACATGAAGGTAATTTATTAGAAAATTTTCATTTGAATATTTTCCTCCAAAATTATTAATTTTGTTTATATTTCAAGGAAAAGTTATTTATGTATGGGTTGAAAGATCGACGGTGCGATACCAGAACAGATAATGATATCCATCCTGAACTTCAATAAGATCAACACCAACTGGTGAAAGATATTCGTCACCAGGAGGGTTGCCTGTATTGGGAACGAATGGAAGGTTGTAGATCATCCAAAATTGAGAACTGTGAAAAAAGTGCCATTGAACAAATAAATATAACCATTTTAATTCAATTATGTTACGTTGCTTCATTATTAGATACGCCAGCGATTGTTGTAATGAATTTTCCAAAATCATATTGGATGAAGTCGAATGCAAAGTTTTGGTCCAATCCCGCTGCTTGGAACATCGCATCAATGAAATGACTTCCTGAGGGAGCTGTCAGATTTATTTCATATTGCGTATCAACGTCATCTCCGATCCACACATGATAGGTAAAATTAACTTGCGTAACGCATTTCTTATCCGATGTACAAGTTAGTACTAATCCAAAAAGTACTATAGCTACAAAGCAAATATTCATGTTTGAATAATTTTTCAAAACTGATGAGAAATTGTAGACGACTTAAGAATTTATAATACAAAAATAACTTTTAAAAGTATGTGTTCGACTTATATTCAATTTTCTTTACAAAAAGGCGTTTATTTGAAAATAAAAAAGGTTAAAATGTATTCAATTGTTTAATAAGTAATATTCAATTGTCTTCAAATTTTCTTTTCCTGTTCAGCGGATTAGGATTTGAATGAATGTGAATTTTCTTTGTATAATCATTTAGTTGTCTTTTATTTTTAATAACTTCATTTTTCTTTTGAACGTCGTAAAGACCACTGCGCACCATTCTCTTTGCTGCATCTTGTTGCAATACTGGACGGATAGTTTTGTGATCGTGAATTTGTTTCTGGCGTTCCATTGCATCTTTCACACGACTAAGTTCATGTTTGATACCATGCTGAAATAAAACTATTAAGATAACTTTATTATTATTAGTTTTCGTTACACTTACTGTATTCGGATTTTCTCCATTTATTCTAAGGTACATCCAATATAAAGAGTTGACAGCGTAAACCATAAACAAATCAAATTTAACCTTATCTTCTATGGTAAGTTTTTCATAATCTACTTTTGAAGCTTCTTCAACTAGTTTCTCAATTTCCGCAATTGATTCTGCAACATTTTTAACTTTTGATTTAAAGCTTTCGTCGTTTTTGAGTTCACCGAAATCGATATTCATCGTAAATGTTTAATGAAAATTTCAGATCTTTCCTTACATCAAAATGTAAACACAAGAAGGTTATCGGTCTTAACTGCAGATGGCGCACAAATCATTTGAGTACGTTCTGAAATAGAATTTGTTTTGTTGTCATTTCTTAGCCCGACATAAATAAAAGAATTTTTTTAATTTGAAAAATCTTTTGAAAATGACTCCAAAACTGCAAATATCACAACTTGTAATCAACGTAAGTGTTTGTTCTCTAAGTATAGTATGGATAGGATATTTTTGATATTATTTTAACATCACATCTTATGAATTAAAATTTATTTATAATTACAGCGATTAAAACTTCTTGAAAATGTCTGTGGTGGAGGATTATTTGGTTTAATGTATTCAAAGAATCTGATTATATTAGGATTCGATCTTGAATCATCAGACAAACTAAATTTCAAAAAGATGCAAGATAATTTTCCTACCGAAATTGACCTTTGTGGATTATTTAAGTTTGACGATTGCACTGATGTGAAAGCACACATGCAAGAGATATTGATAAATGTTGATATCACTGATAATCCTATTTTAATTAAGTGTCAACGTAAAGACGACGGCGAATTGGAGCTTAACGCTTCACAATGGAAGAATGGAAAACTAGAAGAAATCGTTTATGAAGTGTTAAGCGAAGAAGAAATTTACAAACAATTTGTTATGGCTCGCTTATTAGGATACATAGAAATCGCAGCTGAACCGAACGAAAAAAGCATCAAGCAAGAATTTATGACTACGAGAAAGAAACTTGCTTATGGAAATGTTTTATTTCAACTACAAAGCAAAAATGTTTTCTTTAACAACAATGAAATCGTTGGAGCTCCAGTGTCACTGGTTTCAGACATTTTCGATCTTGTTAAGAAAAAAGTTGAAAATGTTGATAAAAAGAAAAATAAGAAGGAAACTGCATTAACTGATTTTCAAATGGTGAACATCGATTGCTTAGTTAAGAAATCTGACGAATTTGAAAAGAATCAACAAGCAGCTTTAAATTTGATCCTTGAGAAGAACAAAGTTTTAATTCCCATTACAATTGATGCCATTGCTGCTGTTCATATCACAACAAAAGCTCTCGGACTTTACGATATTCTTATAGAATCACTTTGTCGTACATTGAGATTAATAGAAGAAAATTTGTTGGATCAATTGGTAGAATGCGATGAATTGGCTGTTCCTTTAACTTATCATTTTAAACCAGACAACTTTGGACATTACTACACTTGCATTTATCCACAATCAATTCCTGACGAAGATGAACATTTGACAGCATTTAGACGAGAACTTCATCAACAATTTTCACTTTCAATGGTACGTCCCGTCTTCCGAAGAGCGAATGCTTTTCCATTTGATGTCATAACTAGTTCACTTCTTGTAAATCCTCATGTTGGCTTGAAGAATACAGTCGAAGGGGGAAAGCAGTCTTTGGTTCAAGGAAAGTATTCGTACCATCATTACATGCAAGACAAGTTCAATGACGATGGATGGGGATGTGCTTACAGATCACTTCAAACACTCTGCTCTTGGTTCCGCTTTCAAGGATATTCTGAACATCCAATTCCATCGCATGAAGATATTCAAAAATATTTAGTGAAAGTTGGTGACAAACCGAAAACTTTCGTCAACTCTCGACAATGGATTGGATCGACGGAAGTGTCGATGTGTCTCAATGGATTTATGAATGTTGATTCGAGAATTATGCATGTCAGTTCGGGAACTGAACTTGCTTCAAAGGGATCGGAACTTGCTTATCATTTTGAATCACAAGGGACGCCGATTATGATTGGTGGCGGTGTGTTGGCTCATACAATCATCGGAGTCGACTTTAACAGCAACACTGGCGAATTAAAGTTTTTAATTCTCGATCCACATTTCACTGGTGATGACGATCTTCAAGTAGTGCAGAACAAAGGTTGGTGTGGATGGAAAGGAGTTAACTTCTGGAATAAAACCGCGTACTACAATTTGTGTATGCCACAAAGACCAGCAATATTTTAATTTCATATTTATTCATTTTATATTCATCGCATGTTGTCAGTCACTTCTGATTATTTGTGAGCAATGACAATTTTTGTAATATTTTCAATACAATTTACTTTAAAACTTTCTTTCATGAAATAAATTCAAATTTGAGGGAAACCAAATTTTTATATTTCTTTATAATTTGAAATTGAAGCAACAAGTTTACTTTGAAAAACTGAAAACTATCTTAAAAAATTCTTATCCTGAATAAAATGGTTTAATTTGTTCATAAAATCTTTTTATTAATATAATATTTTTATTTATAATAATTTTGTCGTTTAAGTTAAGAATTTCAACATTTAAATGCTTCTTAAACAATCACGCCGTTCAACTTTGACTTTCTTTGATAAAGGATTGTAAACAGAAAAGGGAAAACTATCAATTCCATGACAAGCAGCTCCGTAATTTCCATATTTATCAGCAACAACGATGCCACCTACAAAGTGAGGATAATGTTGAGCTATTCTCATGAGAGCTTTCTCTCCAGCAATGTCAGGTGTTACTCCTTGTCGAAGAAATTCAACAGCTAGTAGAGAAGGAAGAAAGCGCATGAGAATGTCGCCGTCCCCGGTTGCAGCAGCTGCGCCAACAGAGTTGTCAGCATAGGCACCTGAACCAGGAATCGGAGAATCACCCACACGACCAGGAATTTTAAATGAAGCGCCATTTGTTGATGTTCCAGCTGCAATATCGCCATTCTTATCAATCGCTATCATTCCAATGGTGTCATGATTATTTGAATTAAAAAACGAATTGATGTCGTTAAGGGATTGCTTTTCTACTTGTTCATAAACTGGCTCGTAAGGTCCACAAGACATTGAAGGATTTGGTATCACATTAAGCCAGAAATTAGGCTGGCAATTCCTGGCTTTCCATCCATTAAATTGTTCCTTTGATTTTGTTGTGCTTAAACTTTGTTTTTTAAATCCCATTTGTACCGCAAAACTTGTTGCCTGTTCTCCGACTAAAAGTGTGTGCTTTGTGTTATCAAGCACATGTCTAGCAACAGCTATCGCATCTTTAATATTTCTTAAACTACCCACAGCTCCAACATTCATTGTTTTCCCGTCCATTATCATAGCGTCAAGAGTCGTTTCTCCTACTTCATTAGGAGAACCTCCATAACCAACTGTTCCATCGCATTGTTCTCGTTCACAGACTGAGCATCCTTCAACCACAGCGTCAATCTTTAAGAAAAAAATGGAAATATTCAATGGGAACTTAAAATAAAAAGTTGCTACTTACTGCAGATTTTTCTAGATTATAGATAACATCCCATGCTTGGATTGTTGCATTTGTGAATGGCCAAGTGTTGATAACAATCGGTAGTTTATTTTTTGGTTTACAGCTGGACGAAAGGTTAAGAAATTCTATTAAAACTAAAACAAAACATAAAAGTCTCATTTTTGTAAACAAAATAATTTTCTCTACAAGCGTTTTGCTGAACGTCTAATCACGGACGGCCAAAGTCTCATCTAGAGTACGTTCGATTTTTTTTGAATTCATTAGAGTGTGTTTAGAAGTTTTTAGGTTAATATCAACACGAGAAGTTTAAAACTCCGCTTCAGAATTGATGCAAATTGATTTTATTCTCAAATAGACTTTGAAGTAACAAAATTAAACCATCAAAAATGACACAAGATACAGTAGAAAACAAAGTGAAACTTGAAGATAATTACGGTAATTTATTCTTTTAAGACTCATGAAGTGCGAGTTAATATTTTTATTTTCTTGTTTATTGTTTAGAAGAAAAAATTAAATTCATAAATAGCATCTCTCAGCCATTAGCTTCTCGTAAGCTTACAAAAAAAATATACAAACTTATCAAGAAGGCTTCAAAAGAAAGAACGAAGAATATCATCAACGGACTGAAAGATGTCCAAACAAGAATTCGTAAAGGCGAAAGAGGAATTGTAATCTTTGCAGGAGATGTTTATCCTGTTGACATCATGTGTCACTTACCAGCAGTATGTGAGGAGAAAGACATTGTATATTGTTTTACTCCTAGTCGACAAGATCTTGGTGTTGCCATGGGAGTTAAACGAGGTTCAATCACTTTAATGATTCGTGAAAATGCGGACTATCAAGAACTCTACGATGAACTGAAAGAAGAGTTAAAGGTTCTTCCTCATCCATTTTAAAAAGTTATCAAAAATAAAACATTTGTAATTAAGATTTAATACTAAACAATTTTCACAAAATACATTTATTCAAAAACAGTTAAATAAATTTCTTTTTCATTCTTTGTCACATTTACTTGAAGAAAGAAAGTTAGAAAAGATAAAAAGACTTTAAAAGTATTTTCCCTGAAAAAGAAAAACATAAATAGAGTTTTAGTTGTAACTGTTGTAAGCCAGTTGATAGTTAAAAAGTGCTGCTGAAGGTGACCGAGTCGGTACTAAATGAGTTCCATTCTCATCTTTGATGATTGCATATTTTCGACCATTCAATGTTCGATATCCTTCAATCGAACCAGAATTGCTAAGTTCGGAATCAACACTGGCCTGCGTGTTGAAAATAGTCTTGATAGCTTCACCATAAGCTGGCGGTGGTGAAATTGTTTTTGTAGATTCTTGTATAAATGACGCTTTCGTTTTACGAAACGGTTTAACCAATATCTGCCTGGTGTTGGATTGTTCTATGCCACGTTCTCTCATCGACATGTCTTTTCGGCCATTAAAGTAACGCATTATCATCTGCAAGTATCATCACATGTTAGTGTTAAAATTATTTCCTTCAATCAATTAAATTCTCACCTCAGCAACGAAGATGGCTAAAGCTGAACTGAAGCCAATAAGCATAGTCAAGTATGTTGTGAACAAGTCATTGAGTCCCAACTGTCTTTCAATACTTCCCAAATTTTGTGGACATATTTCAGCTTTCGGTAAGCCATAGTTCAAACGATGATTGATTATTCCACCCTCTACCATATAGCGAAGTCTGCAAAGCAAAAAAAAGAAATGATGATAAATGGAAGAACAAATAAACTTTGATAACTTTACTGTTGATCAAAAAGTTTTGCCCATTTAGAATCCTTTGGATAGATAAATCCACGTTTTCTTTTCAATGAAACAATCTTACTCATGGCGAACGGACATTGAAGTCTTTCCGATGGCAACGTTTTGCGTTTACGATAATCATCATACACCAAGTGATCAATCGCTGGCTTATCTCGAATGAAAACGACATTCTTCTTATAAACCTTAAATCATTTTATGATTGCATTTAAGAATTTTAAGTTACTTAAAATTGTTTTATTTACTTGATTTAACAAAATTTCCGTGTCATTATTCTGGTTGACAAGTTCTCCCAATTTATTCTCCAGCATTGATCTCAAAATCCCAAGTTCTTCATCATACTAGAATATTAAAATATAATTAAAAAGAAGAGTTCTATTAATTATTATTCATTATAAAAAGAAGTACAAGGCAGCGTTCTTCATTGTGAAATGCTTTTAAGTTTTTATAATTGTAAGGCAGCTTTCAACATTCGATAGAAAGAATAATTATAGTTTGGTGTCTCATCATCCGATGACTTCTGCTTTTGTGAGTGGCAATTAGACAGTGAATGGAAATCTTTTACCGATCAATAGTTGGAGTGAGAACGAGCCACGCTAATAAAGACAAGAGTGTTCGTGTCGACAGCCGGCGGCATCGTGAGTGACAATTGAAAAATTATTACTCATACGAAAGACAAATTACCGTCGAACACTCGATAAAGTAAACAAATTGAAATGTTGTTTCCACATACACTTAAATTAATGGTAGTATAATGAGATGCGTGGGGTGAGATAGGAACAAGCAAAGGCAAACTATCCAACGAAAGCTCGTTCATTCGAAGGAAAATGCTGTTGACGATTTTCTCATTAATTATTCAGGCTTTTGATGTTTTCATTCACATTGAGTTTTGATTACAATTGGAAGCCACGGGGTGGGGAAATATCTACATGATTTTTAAACTGTTAACGCTCAAACGAACACTTTAATTTTTAATAAAAATTTAAGAAAGAAAATTTCATGATTAGGTCCAGAATGGAACTTTTCGTGAATTCAATTTATCATCATTACGTTTTGTCACACACACACCTAATGTAACTAAAGCTTTCAGTAATGATTAATTATCTATTGAACTTACATTTGTGATTGCGTAGTTAACAGCAAAGCCTCGATGACATATGAAACGTTGACTTTTATCACTCAAATCCTTGGGTTCATTAATAGGAAGTGAGAAGCGGGCCAATGTCAAGAACGCAGTCAAATTTGCAGTATAAAAACTTGTAAGAATTGTTATGAAAATCCACCATGTTGCAAAAGCTACACGAATTGAGTCAGCATTTGGAGAGAGAACGGATCCTTGTTTCATTAAGCCACCTGGGATGGAAATGATGAAATTTTAATGTTCTTTTACTTTTTAATTATTTAAATTTTTGTTACTCACCATAAACATACCAAACACATTGCCATAAATTGTAATAAGGTTCACCAGTGTGCTTTCCAAAACGATGATAAATCCAAATTATTCCAAAGATGCATGGACCGGTTACAATCAAGGATACGAGAATAAAATACCAAACAACTTCATCAAAAGGTGCAAGCAAACCAGCACCGGATGCTGACTCTTGTGGTCTTTTCATGATCATTTTCCACTCTCCTTCATCTAATGGTGTTGAAAAACGAACATGTCTGTTTGATATCAAATGAAAATGCTTTGGAAAATTGTTCAAAATGATTGAAAGTCTTTTCTTACTCTACAAGGTCAGCCATCATGGGAATGAAAGCAACGGCAACATCAACTTTCTTTAAATTCATTAAAAGAAATGAAATTAAATGATGAACTTTGATTTCATGTTAAACTTCACTTACTTTGTCTCTAATTAATTGCAAAACTGAACCCTCAGTGTCATTACTACTCCCAACAATATTATATTCTGATTTGATCACATTATAATTGAAATTGTACTTTTTTGATAAATGGTCGAAGAATTCGAAAGCAAAGCCTCCTCCATCATATTCGCCTTTATCAACTCGTTTTAAAACACTTAAAGGAGAATCTTCAAGAGTTGTTACATTCAACGTTTGACCTTCAAGTTCTTCTTTTATTTTATCCATTTGTTCTTTATATGATGGTGGTGACGTTTGAATAACATTATAGTTCACTCCAAGTGAATTCTGATCACTGATACACACATCTGGAGAATTTCCACAAATTACCGAAAGTAGAAATGCAATTCCAGCCATAATAGGTTGAAATCAATAATTGTTCTTATAATTATGTTTGACTACATATCATAACTTTTAATCCTCATAAATTTGATGTGATCTCCACCAAAGTTCGACGGCAACTGAAACTTCTAGCAAGTGACTTGCAATGATGGAAAATTATTTTACATTTTTATTTAGTGTCAGACGATGTGTGTCCTTACAAAACATACAAGAGGGGAGTATTCGTAAGTAATGTATTTTAATGATCGTCCCTCTCAATTAAAGCTTTCAAATCATCATTTATGTACGCAACATAAAGGAAGGAAAGTACAACAAAGTGACAGAAAAAGAAAGAGAGCGAAGTAGTTGGGGGTCAAGGTGTATAAACATTTATTACTGTCGATTTTGATTTTCTGTTGAATTCAAAGTGAATAAAGAAAGCATTCACGTATGATTAATTCAGTATCTGTTGTCATAGGTTATTTAAAACATGCTGAGATAGGTTTTCATATTCATTAAAAAGAAAAGCGCAATCTATGTAATCGCAATGTCATTAAAATTTAACTTAATGTTCATAAACATTTTAATAATAACCAATGAAGACATGAAAACTGTTTGTTATTTCAACGACGGATATTTGTTTTACTTAACGGAATTGCGTTTGACACGAAAATATAAAAAAGTGCATTAAATCAACGCAGATATGTGTTTACATTTAATTCATAATATTTGCAGATTGTTTGACGATATTTTCTAGGCTTTCCTTTTTTCTCTCTGACGGTCAAAGCTTTTATCATGATACAAAAACAGTTCATATTTGACATTCCACCAATGTTACCAAAAGAACATCGATTACTTTCAAACAAATATCGATAAAACATTCATCAAAACATTGAAAACTTCTGCGTGATTGGTGCTTTTCATAAGGAGTGAAAACTTTTCGGTTGTTTATGATTAAATAAAAAAGAACAACATGTCACCATTTTACGTTATAAAGCAGAAGCATTTTATACAACAAAGAAAAGTTTCCATGACGATTGATAATAACAAGTGAAATATTCTGGAAAACTTTCTATTCATAAAGATGCCTTCTCTTGAAATACCTGAAGAAATTCAACGACCACTTGGGTCTCCTTCAAACTCATCATTATCGTCCAATTCATCGGATGTTCTTTTAGTTCGCATAACAAATTCACAATCGGAATCATCAGTCAGTAGTGAAACGACAAATACACAAGATGATAACTCAATTGAATCAAATTTTATTGACGTCAATAACAGAAACTTTCACAGCAGACAAACAGTTGAAGTAGAAAGAATGACTTATCAACCTATCAAACTTCCAACTGAACCAACATTAGAAGAACTTTTGGTAAGATTAAAAATAATAAATTGACGTAATTTCCGTTGAATTTATTTTCTAACTTTCTAGCGACAAGTCACAGGAGGTGGAGAAATTCAAGAAATTCAACAAATAAAATTGCGAATAATTTCACCAGCCATTAGTCTCCATAGGCTTCCTTACTTCATGCCAAGGTTAAGAGGATTAAATCTTGAGGGAAGCATGTTGTTTTCACTGCGTGACCTTGGCTGTGATTTGACTTCACTTGTCTACTTAAACATCAGTCGTTGTGGGTTGAAATCTCTTGACGGTACCAACGGATTATCAAATTTGATTGAGCTTGTCGCTGATTTCAACTTAATTGAAGATGCTGGGCCCTGTTCGAACTTAACTTCCATATCAAAGTTGAGCCTGATAAGGTTAAAATATGAATTTCAAAATTAATATTCGGTAAATAAAAAAAGGCATCGAATTTCATTTCAGCAATAAAATTAAAGACTTTCAGGGTGTGATGTTTTTGGGCTTCTGTAATCAATTGAGAGTTCTCGATTTGGAAAACAATCTCGTCAATCAAAAAATTAATTATCGTGATGTTGTGCAACAAAATATTCCAAGCCTCATTTATTTGGATAAAATTCCATACCGAGAAATCGATGAAGAAACAAAAAGAGAATTGCTGAGATCAGAATATCAACCAGAGAATAATGGAACAGTTCGAAGAAACCTGCAATTGAGAATAAATGAATCGATCGATAAGGAATCTTCAGAAAATCTACCACTTGTCACTCACATCTCAATCACTAAACGACCAGCAACTGCAGATGCCATAAAACCAAAATACGACGTAAGTGTGGGTGAACCTGTTTGCGGCAGCATCATAACAAAAGCAAGAAAGTCAAGAAAGCTAAAAACTGCGTGGGGTGACTCATGTTCTTCTTCAAGCTTTAGTAGTTCTGACTCTTCCACACATGGCACACCAGTCATTAAAAGATCAACGACATTGCTAGAGGAAAATGAAGAGTCTTGTGAAACCTTACTTGAAAATTCACGATTATGGAGAGAAAGAAGCAAAGAAACGAGGGAAAGATTTAACAAATGAAATGAAGTTTATTAAAGTATTTTCGGTTAAGTTTGTTGTTCAATTAAAGTTTCTCTAGAAAATTTTATCAAATTTTGTTTTCGACTTTGACCATTCAATCATCAGCTGATTGAAGGTGAGTTGCTGATTTCATGAGAGTTGAGTTGCTTATTAAGTGCCAAAAATTCTCTGCACTTGTCGTGGTATGCTGTCTCGTTGATTAACTGAGAGAATGAGAGTAAAACTGAATACTTATCTGATCAAAGTCATGTTTTACACATTCACGTTTGTTAAACGAAACAGTATACATTACAATTAGTTATATTTAGAGTCACTGCGTTGTGCGGTTGTTTTTCTGATTTCATTTTTTTTGAAAACTAAACAAAAATGGTTGAAGTTGGAAATTTAATTCGATTTATATTGTGTTACACATTGTGTTTGGTATATTCGACATGGATCGGTATTGGACTACTCATTGCTTATATTTTCAAACGTGATCCGAACATATGGACTGTCAAAGAGAGACCGACTCCACCTCGTGCATTGACAAGTAATGAATTTGGCGAACACAAATTCATGAGAGTTAATGTAAACAGTTCTGTGGTTAACATTGAACGAATTTTATTAATCAAAGTTATTTCTTTCAAGGGTTACAGAATTCATTACGTTGAAAAAGGAGACAAAACCAAACCTTTGATTTTATTCATTCACGGATTCCCCGAGTTCTGGTACAGTTGGCGATTTCAATTGAATGAGTTTAGTAAAGATTATCATGTCATTGCAATTGATCAACGTGGTTATGCTGAATCAGACAAACCAAATACGATTTCTGCTTATCATTTTGATAAAATGGTTGGAGATATCAGACAGTTTGTTCAACAACTTGGTAAGCAAACTTAATTTACTTCAGACTGATTTATTTATCTTATCAATTCCATTGGTTGGTGACATAACGTTTTAAGATTAAAATAACTTTTTTTGTTTGTGTTCTAAGGTCGTGAAAAGTTCACTTTGATTGGTCATGATTGGGGTGCAGTTATTGGTTTCCGATATGTCATGAGGCACATGGATACGATTGACAAATATGTGATGATTGGTGCACCACCAAGTGAAGTTTGGCATAAATTGCTTTTTTCAAGTGTCAAACAATTCTTAATGTCTTGGTACGTCTTCTACTTTCAAATGCCATTCCTTCCGGAGTTCACAACTTCACTTCAAGATTTTCAAATGTTTAAAGTAATGAAGCATCAAACAGAAGAAGAATTGGAAGCTTACAAATACACATTTGGAAAGGAAGGAGCTTTGACGGGGCCAATAAATTACTACAGAGCTTCAGCTAAATTTCTATTTCCCGATCAACCTTTAAAGAGACCAGAAAAGTTCGCTCCAGGTCTTTACATGTTAGGTGAAGGTGATAAATACATTTCACCCGACAGTGGAAAAATGGCGAAAGAATTGTACGACAATCTTGATTTCAAATTCATTAAAGGCGCAAATCATTTCGCTCAACAACATAAACCTGACGAAACGAATCGCCTCATCAGAGAATTTCTCGAAAAGTAGTAAAAAAAATATTTGAAGTTATTTCAAGGAGAAAATATTTTGAGAAGGTTCAATAAAATGAATTGCAATGAATGAAAATAAAAGTTTGTTTATTTTTGCTGTCGATAACCTTAAGGCAAGATACGCCATGATATAATTTTGCAATCATAAATCATATTTACATTCAGAGAGGTGACTTTTATGTCAGCTTTTTATATGGTTAAAAGCGAGTTGCAAAATTGAGAAATGAAACGTTTCGTTTGTGAGAATATTGAATAAATATTTATGAGAGAAAATTGCCAAAATTTAGTTTCGTCTTTTCCTAAATACGTTTAGTATTCAATCGACAATTGCGTGGTGTCATCGTGTGCTGATACATCTAAAAAAATTTAAAAATCATTAAAAATGATTCACTTTGTACATATTTTAAAATTAATTTCATGTTATGTTGTTTGTTTAATCATTTCAATCCGCATGTGTTTGTCTTTTCTATCTACTTATTTTATTAAAGGCGATAAAAGTATTTTGGTTGTAAAAAACAGACCAACTCCACCTCAATCGTTAACAAACAATGAGTTTGGCGAACACAAGTTCATGACTGTTAATGTAAACAGTTCTGTGGTTAAGAAATAATTAAGCAATTCAAGAAAGTTTTTCATTTATAGGGAATTAAAATTCATTATGTGGAAAATGGAGACAAAAACAAACCTTTGATGATGTTCATTCACGGATTCCCCGAGTTCTGGTACAGTTGGCGATTCCAATTGAATGAATTTAATAAAGATTATCATGTCATTGCAATTGATCAACGTGGTTATGGAGACTCTGACAAGCCATCTAAAATATCAGATTATCACATCGATGAAATGGTTGAAGACATTCATCAAATTATTAAACAACTTGGTGAGATATTTTCCCTCCCTTCTCGATTTCATTTCATGACATTAATTAATTCAGAATAAAATTCCTAAGGGCACGAAAAGTTTATTTTAGTTGGACATGATTGGGGTGCAGCTATTGGATTTCGTTACGTCATAAAGCACATGGAAACGATTGAGAAATATGTGATGATTGGTGCACCACCCAAAGAAGTCTTTGATCAATTAGTCACTTCAAGTCTAAAGCAATTTTTCATGTCTTGGTACATGTTCTTCTTCCAAATGCCAGTTCTACCCGAATTTTTCACAAGATTTTATGATATGAAATCGTTTCGAATGATGAAGCATCAAACGGAAGAAGAAACTGAAGCATATAAATACACATTTGGGAAAGAAGGTGCTTTGACAGGTCCAATAAATTACTACAGAGCTGGAACTAGTTCCCAACCTGATCCACCATTGAAGAGACCAGAAAGATTCGCTCCAGGTCTTTACATGTTGGGAGAGTTTGATAGATTCATTTCACACGATAGTGGAATATTAACGAAAGAATTGTATGAAAATCTTGACTTTAAAATAATTAAAGGTGCAAATCATTTCGCTCAACAACATAAACCTGACGAAACGAATCGTCTTATCAGAGAATTTATGGAACAAGAAATATAATGTCAAGTCAAATTCATAAAGGTATAAAATATTAACATGGAAAATAAAGTGAAAATGTAAAAGGTGTTTATTTCAGTGCGTTAAAATTCGTGAACCTTACATTGCTTTAGACAAGGTTTGGTAATTCTGTGTAGGTTGAACGAACGAAGCTACAATTTCAAACATTTTATATTCTTAGAAGCTAAGAAAGCATTTTGATGGCTTTGAAAGCATTCTTGATGACGTAGTTCAACTTTCTCTTCAGCATCAATAAAACTCGTGACATTCACCTCGTGATCAAAACTAATTACGGCGAAAGGTCTCTTATGCCTGATGGCAAGCGTGGGAATATTTACCACAAAATGCTTTTTACGGCTTAATATATTTCGTAAAATATCAAGAGAGCAGAACTTGGAAGTGAGAGTTATAAATTCTCCGTACTTTATTTCGCAGAAGTTAATTTTTCAAAAGCTCTTCAATTTGTGTGTGAACGAAGGTCAAGGTTGCAGCATCAACACAATTGCTGACGTAACCATCTCGAACGTTACTTCTTTTATTATGTGATGAATCTGAGTCCATCTCAGAAAGAGAAGAAGATAATTTAACAAAGCTTATTTAATGAATGAACATGATTGTGACGTCACACAATTTCAAACACCCAAGAAAACATGATTTCAGCTTCGTGATGATGCGCCGAAAATTTTAAGATCGAAGCGTCTTCACGATTGGCTGTTCGGATTTTTCATTCACGAAGAAAAGCGGCAATTGCAACTGTAAAGAAACCCACGTGCGTTTTTTCAACAAAACAACATTGCGCAGGTCGCTGATTGATTTTCTTCTCAATCAGCTTTTTCAGTCATTTTTCAGATCTCGATGAAAGTTGATTTGATTTTTTATCGTTTCCGCTTTATAAATCAAACTTTTGTCATTTTCTTACAAATAAAACAATAAAAAAAGAAATTTACCTTTTTTGTGACTAAACATTGAACGTAGCATATCGTAAAGTAAGAAAATTGCGTGGGTGTTTAAAAAACGACTTCAAAGGACAAAAAAGGATTTAAAGAGAACGAAAAGAAACGAAATCTATTTTTAGATATTTTCAATTTGACTCGGTTTAGTTCTCCGGCTGTGCGGTTGCTTTGTTGTGGCACCTAGTCACGGGATTCTTATCGAGGTGCCGCGAAAAGGAAACAGTAGGAGGGGGATTCGTGTTATTACCTCATATATTTATATATATATACATGTACATTCAATATTGATCCATTCTCAAGCTGACGTTGCACACGCTACATAAACATGTATAGAACATAAACTCTCATAGTGATGTTTGTTGCGCCGTGTATATCAGCTCCTTTTTTTCCCTCAAAACGATTGACGTCATCAATTCGAATTCGTCTGTGTGCTTCTTGCTTCCTCCAGTCGCTGTTTTTATTTTGAAGAGTGAAGTTCAATAATTTGGTCGTTTTCTGTGTAGCTTAATTTTCTTATTTTGAAAACGACTTTTGTGTGGAAAATGTGTTTATAATAAATATTATAATTATTATTATAATCATCATTGATTTTCCGAGTGAGAGAAAAGAAGAAAAAATAAATTTCTAAAAGAATGGAAGAAACTCCGAAAGTTCATACGAAAAGCAAACATAAAAGGACGTCGTCGAAGAGTCGGGAACATCGAAAACGAGATTCATCGCGAAAAAATGAAGATGGGGTGGATGTGGGAACGAGTGGTGAGAATATTAATGCTTCGGTTGTTAGTAAAGAATATCCACAAGAACAACCAACAATTGTTATTGAAAACGAAACAAAAAAGGATGAAAAGATTCACAAGGGAATTTTGGGTTACATGGATCGTCAATTAAAAGTTCAATCAGGCGTTGAGACTCCACGTAGTCCAGCACAAAGAAGCAATCGAAGTCGTGCCAGTAGTGATAAAAGTCCTAAACATAAACGAAGCAAATCAGAATCGAGAAGGCGTCGAGAACGAAAACTTCAAGCGGCTGGAGAAATGGAAGTGCGTCAAGCGAATGAAACTTTAATGCGATATTTAAAGCAATGCTCTGATTTGAACGACGCTTCAGGCTCTCTTTCGGGTGACTTGGAAATTAGTGAGAATCTTGACGACCGTAAAGTTCATCGAAAAACCAAATCCCAGCGTGAAAAGAAATCCTTTCGTTTGATTGGTAAGTTTATTTAGCTTGATGTGGGAGTGAAAAAGGAAAAATTTTGCATTACAAATGATGTCAATAATAAAAATGTAAAAATATTCTAGGGAAGGCACCATCAAGTGACTTGACGACAATATTGAATGAACTAAATGACGACATCATTCCAAATAGTGACATATACAATCCTTTCACTCCAGTCGTATCACCGACAACCGAACAACATCCGCAAATCGTTGATAAAATCTTCGTTCAAACATCGAGTGGATACCGTGCAGTTGACAATAATAATAGTTTCTACAAAAGCTCTGCGCTTGATGGTGACTCTGATAGCAATAAGTAAATGTCGATTCGGTTAAAAATTTCACACTCCGATTACTTAATCCATTAAATCTTTCAATCCATTTTCCTTCAATTTTCCACTTAGCTTTTCTATTAAAAATGCTGTTCAACTATCTTGTCTGGTTCAGAAAATGTGGATTAACATATCAAACGTTTGTCACGGTCTGCTTGGTGGATTAGGTAATGAAGCACGAACCATGAAAGATTCAATGCCTCTTTTCCTTTATAATTTTCCTTTTCTTTTTTTTTATTTTTCACAAGTATCAAATATTTTCCTTGTGACGTCATTAAAATGATATTTTCATAAATGTCAAAAAAGAAAGTGAAACAGTCCAAGGCGATGTCGTTTGTTTTTATAAATAAAGAATTACAATTCGATTAAAAATAAACAAAAACAGCTAGAAAAAAAGTTAACTTAGAATCTTTAATTAGCTTTCATTGCAACCAACTTGCTTTGGTTAAAAACAGAAAAAAAATGGAAAGCTTTTAATTAATGAGTGGGTGAAAAACAAAATACATTTTCCTTTTGTTTTGTTCTTCTTCTTTTTTACTTTCATTTTGGGGTTGAAAGTTTTTTGTTGTGGCATAAAAACAGAAGAAACAATTTCCGCCTGCCTTAGCCAATTTTTTTGATTGCGTACTCGTTTGAGTATATTTTTGCAATATCATTTTCTTATTATTTTCATACTGAAGTTAATTGGAAAATAATTTTCTTTTGCAGCTCTTGCTCATCTGATTTTCATTTTAACGACAAAACCAGAAGACTGGTCAGGCACTGAAATGTCTCAAAGTCGCTATGAGTTGCATGCTAAAATCTACACCAACGTGTTTTTCTTTCTTGCTGTTATTTGCTTCGTTTCTATCATGGACCGGTAGGTGTTTAAGAAGAATTTATTCAACTGGATATAAAATAATGAATCATTCTTTTCACAACAATTAAATATTTTTAGCATTGACATTTGTCAGTTTAGTGTTTCGTCTTTATTGAACACTTCGGAAGATAAAAGTCGCTCGATTTCATTTCGTTCTATTATCTTGATAATGATTTATGCTGGAACCATAATTCTCAATTTACTAGCAGCATCAGTTGACAGCAAATTCACAATGATCAAATCGATGTCTTCAGAAAATTCGACAGTTGAAGCAGAAATGGCGACAACACCAGAAAAGCAGAGCTCGGTATAAATTATTAAATTAAAATTGTCACTCAAACTCACTAACAAATGGACAATTTCTATTTCTAGAATGATGATGAAATGGTTTACTTGTGGAACACTCTTTCCATAGCAAGAAGCTTTGGTGCTATTGTTGGCTGGTTAATGATATCAACAATGAACACAGATCTTCTCTACAATACACTAATCGAAATGGATAAATATCACGTACATCCATAAATAATAAAGTTACTTAATCATTTAGGAAGCATTCAATTGTAAATATGTTGGAAACCAAACCAAAAAAAGAGAGCATTTCATAGTCAATAGATCTACCTATTTTGTAGCACAAATGTTTAAGTAGTGACTGATATTTAAAAGCTTCGACTTTCTTTGTCGGTTTCTGTAAATAATCTCAAAAGTAATATTAAGTAAAGCAAGCTGATATTATTACTTAACAGATCTGATATGAATATCTAAGATGTATAAATAGAGAGCAAATAAATGTGTAACTTGATATGATTGGTATTAAACAGACTTACTTGACTTCTAATCAACAAAGTTACATCGTGACATTTTAAATAGAAACTTTTTCAGAAAAGAGGCTTTTATCGTGAAGAGCCTTCAATTATTGTTGAATTTAAGATCCTACGTCATTAAACTCTTGAGAAAATTTAATCTTTTAAGATGAAGGAAACTGAAAACATTTCTTCACGCCAACGCAACAAATCCATCATGCGTCATTTGATATTCCTGGAAAGACTATAAAATATCAACAATTTCTTAACAATCACAATAAATTTTATTTATTTCATTATTTACTTATTTTATACATCAACCAATTTCAATTTAAAGCTGAACAATTTCAAGTCTGGTGAATGTTTAGTCAAGTGAAAGCTTGCTCAACGTCATGCCAAATGTCTCCCAATTTTGAAGTGCTGAAATGTTTTTCTCACCCCAATTCCACTTCTGTTTAATGTCTTCCGAATCACAATTATCGAGATAAATTTTTCTGCTCTCAACATCAGCTGTCAAGCATTTGGGATTGTCTTGTTTGAGTTTTATAATTTGATAAGTTTCAATGTCGTATTTCCATAGTTGATTGCCGCCTAAATAATGACATTCGCTCATTGTCAGCGATTCTTGTAAGCAAAAGTCAAATGTTGAATGTTGAATGTTTCTGTGCCAGGCGAGTTTGAAGAACTGCTTTGGTGAAGGCTCTAATCGGTTTTCATCACATTCAACAAGAGAAATCTTTTGCATATGAGCAGCTTTCGGAACTTCAATGCACAAATTTGAATTCGCTTTCGATTGAATTGTACTTTGGGCAAAATGACCTGGATCGTAAATCGGATAACGTTCAACGATTTCTGGTGCAACAAATTCAAGGAAATATTTAAACGGCTTGCAATGTGCATTACGTTTGAATAATTTCGCTTGAGCTAAATTTCCGGCATTAGTTTGATCGTATTTTTCTCTATTCATGTCATACACAAGATGTTTGTAGTCTTCCAACCAAACTTCTGCAACTCTTTTGAAATTTCTCATCATGTAATCGACTCCGTTTTCCTCAAATCTTTGGTAATAATTCTTATTTCGAAATGAATGTGCCACATGTGAACATGGAATTTCAACAATTCCTTCACCACACAGATGAGCTTTAAGTGAGAGCTCCAATTGTTCGCCTTGCCAAACTTTCAATCCATCATCATAAGCTCCGATTTCCCAAAAATTTAATCGATTTATTGCGAAAGCAGCTCCATGCTTGAATAAAACAATTCTCACATGAATAAATCAACGCAAGAAAATTATTTAAATACCATAATAGGATTTGGAATTGGCTCATCTAAATTGACGCTATCTTCAGGTCGCCGTGGAACTCTCCGGTAATTTAAATTCCAATTAAATATCCCTCGACCTCCATCATCAATTTTCCGATATTCAAAAGTGTCATAAGCGAAGCTATCAACTATTGGTGTCGTTATTAAATTAGGTGCTAGAGCAATAGGTTCTGAAAGCAACGTCTTGTAAAAATTTACTCTACTATCGACTTGTTTTGTTTACTCACCCAACAATGGGGGAAGCCAATTCACATTCACTTCCACTTGAGAGTCAAGAAAGACCTTCGAAACAAAATGCAATTAAGGGAACAATGAAAGTCTCAAATCTAATCATTTTACCAACACTTCAGCTTTCGCTCGTTTTGCTCCCTTCATTCGACCGACTGCTAACCCTTTACGTTCATTTAAATTGTAAATCCATACAATATCACCGAAATTTTCTTTCACATAGTTTTGTAATGGCTCGTAAAGCTCGGGAACGGTGCTATTGTCGTTTACTAATATGATTTCGTGCAACAATTCGTGTGGGGTTCGGTTGTAAATAGAATGAATTGTTCGCAGTAAAATGCTCCAATATTCATCGAAGAATACAATAATAATGGAAACCTTTGGAAGCTGTACGAGTTGCCTTTTCGATTTACAGCTAAAATTGAAAATCTGGTCACGGTTGTGATGTTCAACCATCGATTAAATTTTACCTCTCCATACGAACGTCGGGTAATGAACGATTAACTGAAATGTGGTCACTTCCAACAGCGAAGAACCCAAACTGCTTAAATAATTGTTTGTTTCTAGCAATGTCGTCTGGATCCTTAAGTAAATATTTCTCTCCATGTTCTCCTGGACCTTCACGCATTTCTTCAGCTCTCATAAACTCATAGTCGTGATAATCTTTTCTTTCGTATGTGTTGGCAAATGGATAACGTGGCGCTGACATTTTACGTTTTAAATAATTAATATATTCTTTGTAAGTAGAAGTTTCAGATTGATATTGATTAGTTCGATGTTCATAATAATTTCTAATTAATATAAAACTAACAATGACACTACAAAATATAAGAATGAATGAAAGGAGATCAAACTTTTTTATTCTTCCACTGAGATACAACATTCTTGACTGATTAACTAAATGAAACAAAAAGTCATCGTCAAAACTTGTCGTAACATTTAAAAACTTTAATTTACAAATCGTGATGTTGTGTCGTGATGACAGTGCAACGATATTTTTTCTACTAACATAGAATTTTATTTCAAAAAATTTGTAACAATTAATTTAAAATTAATGCACAGGAGAAAACCACAAACAGTGGTTTAGTGCCAAAATGTCTGATTTCGTGGTTTTCTCTTCCAATTTTCAATAATCATTGCTTTCATCGGGCATTTCAACTCCTTCATTGTTCCAATTTAGAAGTGCAGTGACATTTACATATCCCCACGACCACATTTGAGATCGTTCTCCAAGTTCACATGTCTTCACTTTAAGTTCTTTTGCTTCAATAATTCCTGTTAGGCAATTATCAGGTGGACTGAATAAATGATGAGTTGCCTAATTAAAAAATAATTAATGAAGCCGAAATTCTCTTAAATTTCAATACTCACAAGATCATATTTCCAATATTGATTGCCAAATGTAAAATGACATCCTCGTATTGATACATTGTAAACATCTAAGCAATTATCATAATAATCTCTTATCTTTATCTGTTTATTCCAATTTAATACAAAGTTCTGAGTCCCATCTGGATGTTCTCTATCCTTGTGACATGGATAAAGGCCAATTGCTTCATTGTGTTCTCTTCCTAAAGTGTCAACACATAATTTCTTATTTAAATCACTTATAATTGCACCATGTGCGAAAGCTCCAGGATCTTTGAGTGGAAATCTAAAGCAAGATTGTAATTAGTATTATGATTTTATCTCATAACTAATACTTAACTTGTCAAGCATATCTGGCATAACATGTTCCAACATATAACTAAATGGTTTACAATGCAACTTTTCCCTGATAAGTTTTTCTCTCGTCAAATCTCCAGCATCAATCTTTTGAAATCTTTTTGGATCCGTTTTGTATAAAAATTCTTTGTATTCGTCTAGCCATACCTGAAGTGAAGGAATCAATATCTAGATGTAAAATGAAAGCATCGATTTATTTTACTTCAGCAATCCGTTTGAAATTGTGTCCAACAAAATCGACGTCTTTTCTTTTTCGCCATTCGTTGTGCTTTCTGAATGTGTGTGCGATTCTTGAGCATGGAACTTCAAGTAATTGACCTCCACAGAGCCAAAGTTTGAAACTCAATTCATAGTTTTCTCCATTCCAAATCATTAATTGTTCGTCATAAGCACCAAGATCAAAAAAGTAATCTCGTCTTATTGCAAATGCACATCCCAACATGATGGGGGTTGGGGCAGGTTTTTCTGGATGAATTTTGTCTTTCCTTCTTCTTGGTAGCCAATGAAATTCAAATTTCCAATCGAATACACCTCGTGAGCCTTTGCCACCACTGCCGTACTCAAAAGTGTCGTGAAAAAAGTTATCAACAATGGGAACTGTTGCAGTTCTAGGCTCAAGAGCGATTGGTTCTAAAAATCATGAAAAGTAATCATAAATCTTAAGTTTTATTTTAGTCACAGTTATTTTCTTTTAATCTCAACAAACTTATGGTAAATTTCGTTCTCACTTTGTGACTTTTCAAGCAATCTTGCTGTGATAATTACCAAGTAAAGGTGGAAGAAAATTTGTGTTTGCTTCCATATGAGAATCTAGGAATAACAAAACTTCTCCTGATGCCCTTCGTGCTCCTTCCATGCGTGTAACAATCAAACCTTTTCTTTCAGGTAAATTCACAATTTTAACTCTTTCGTCAAAATTTTCATTAACATAATCTTGTAGAGGTTCATAAAGTTCCTTTTTTGTGCTTGCATCATTCACTAAAATAATTTCATGAAGCAATTCACGAGGCGCTCGATTATAAACCGAATGAATCGTTCTCAAAAGTATGGAAAAATATTCGTTATGGAAAATAATGATGATTGATGTCGTTGGCAGTTTTTTCAGATATTTTATTGTTTTGCATCTAAACATAAATAAACAAAAATCATTTGTAAATTCATTGTTATCAGTGAAGACTATGACAAAAAAAGAAAATGAAAATGTAGTAGAGAAATTACATTGGTAGACGTGTATCAGGTACACTCCGATTAACTGATATTTTATCACTGACAAGTGCGTACAAGCCTTCAATTTTAAAAAGTTTTTCATTTAATTTGATGTCTTCTGGATCAGTCAGCTTGTATGGTTTGCCACGTTCACCGGGACCGTTTCGAAGATTTTCTTTCTGTAAAAAGTCCCAATCATGCCAATCTTTTCTTTCATAATCTGTAACCACTGGATACTTTTGATCGTATCTTGCTATCTCATTAAAACTATTTTTACTTTCTTCAATAAATTGTTCTAATTTTGGCACACTTTTAATCTTACTTTTTTCAAAAATTATGAAATATAAAGAACACAAGAAAAAAAAGGATAAAATCAAAAGGAATCTATAGGATCGTATTGAAGGTATTCTAATGTACTTCATGCTTAAAAGAGTGGACAGCGACTAAAAGTAAAAAAGTATTCGTCCGTCTACTTGCTTATAATTGAATTGAAAGGTATTAGTGTAAGCGCACATGGAAAGAACGTTTTTTGACGAATAATAAAAGCTTTGTTGATAACGATGCATAAATATACTGATATCTACTATCACAATTAATTAAATAAAAAAAACCGTATTATATTAAGATAACGATTTATTAGTGTGAAAATGAGTTATTCTTTTTACGGGGGTTTTCTTAATATTCGTGTGAAATTTTCTATTAAAAACAGCTTACAAAATTTTCTCAAAGATGGCGCTAGTGAACTAATTCACTGCAAAAATTCACACGAAGATATCTCACCATATTTTACTATCCACTCATGTTAAAGACATGAGACATAATATTCGCCTTGTCAATATTAAATGAACCGTTTGGGTTAAATCTTTTGTCTGCTTTTAACCTACGAGTGGCTAATGTAGTCACGCCTATGGACTCAATCACATCACAGGAAACAAAAAGAGCCAAAAACTTATTTGTTCGACATTAAATTGAATTGTTATAATAGGAGCTGAAAACATGGTGGGAAGGAAAATAAAGGCAAAAAAATGTGATCCCAATTTTCACTATCACCATACATGGATAAACCAATAAATGTTAAGTATCCGTGAAAAAAGGGACCAAATTGATTCTTCTTGTCCTAAAAGCATTTGCTTTTGTTTGTCAAAGATATTGATAGAATAAGAAAAAGGAAATTTTGGAAAAATTTCATGTAACTCGAGAAATATTCTGCGAATAATCTTATTGATGGTTTACATACTACTCGATGTGGTATGGCTTAATGACGAATCAATCACTTGAAGTGGAATTTATGCATCATTCAATAAATTCTATTAAAATGCTGAATAAACGAAGCATCTTATAGACGAAGAAATATTGTTTCAGCACGTTTTGTGAAGATGAAAAATGTTGTTTCGTTTATCGTTCAAGCGTACAAATATGTATGTTTAGTGCTTAACTTAAACGACTTTTAAGACTTTACGAATGAAACAAACAGATGAGTATTGAAAGTTTAATGAACCTCACTCAGTTATGTAGATATATGAAAGTAGGAAAAGTTTAAATATTCTAATATTTTAGTGACACTCGTTGGTGACAATAACACCGTCACGTTTTTATCAAGAAACATTCATTTTCTTTCACATTAATATTTATTTCCACTCATGAGCTTCATTCTAATGTAATATAATGTTTACCACAAGAAATTGATGACTATGGGATGTCTCAGAGAGAAAATAAAAAAGATCACAAAAAAAGTTAACACGTTTGAAGTTTGCATACATTCTCCAAACCCCCAAAAGCCACTTGCCTATCATCTCTAAGCGGGTGAAGATCAAGGTTCAAACCACCTTGGAAGAAAGCTGCAATTCTTCTCATTATAACGATCTAACACGTACGATTTTATATGGTGTGTAAATGAAAAAAAAGTTACACACGTTATCCATCAAAAGTGAGAAGCTCTACGTTTTCACACTTTTTTTCATTGAGAATCGGGCGTGGAAAAAGCGTGTGTTGGAGGAAAGGAAAAAAGAAAGAATGGAAAAACTTTTAACAGACATTTCATGAAAGTTTTTATGACGGTTGTAATGAAGCAGATAACAATATAGAATTAACAATCTCGAGACCTTATCACTTCCTGAGAAAGCAGAAAAAAGAACGTTATTTTGCTTGAGCGTGTGAAAAGCATGTTAATGCCACTAAAAAGTGTGTAAGGAAAAAATTCTATTCACAAACTCATGGGAAATCAAAAAGATAAAATTATTGCGATAATTCGTTATTTGATGTTTTAACGAGCAGTCACATCATACCAACCTGATGATGTTGCAAAAAAGAAAAAAATACTGAAAAACTTCGGAAGAAAAATCAAGCTTTTAACACATCATGTACGTGGCTAAAACTTTAATTGCAAATGAAAAATGAAATAAAGTTTCGTCATGTTTTGAAAGAACATTTTGGCTTTGGTTGTTGATACTTATTTGAGAAGAATCTATTATGACTTCACGTAGATGAATTGAAACACAAGGTAATCACATCTCGTCTCAATTTTATGAAATGAAAAATGGCGAAAGCATCTATCTATAATAAGAAATTTGTGAAATCCCTTCAATGAAGTGGAAAAACCTTTCAAGGGGATTTTTTGCTTTTTCTTTTGCGGTTTTCTGTCCTTTTTATTATCTCATGCGAGTAAGAAGTGAGTTTGTTATAGGAAATAAGAAGTGTAGACGAATAAGAAACAAAAGAAAATGCGTGATGATAGATAACACTGACAGAAAGCTTTGAATAATCATCGAGAAAATGGGATTTCATCATGAGGTAGACACATACTTTCACCAAACATTTCGCCGCATTGGCTTACTTTAGCGTAAGCGACGGTGATGACAATCAACAGAATAAATGTCTATGTTCTTTACCTCGCACTTGTTTTGTTTGGTTTTCCTGTGATTAAAGTCAATCCGCATTGCTGCGGAAAGAGCAATGAGAAAAATGAAGATAAAAACATTTAACAAATTGTCGCCGAAAGTTTTTAAACTTTTAATGTTTTTGAAGAAGTTGCTTCTCCTTTATTTCATTCACGAGTTGTGAAATTAATTAAGATAACTTAATTTTTGTCATAAAAAAGCTTGCATGCTTAATTAGTCGAGACGATCTTTGCTTTGATATTATAAAACGGTAAAGCGCTATCACTAATCCAGCACATCATTTGTAGGCGAAGAATAATGAAAATAAATTGAATAAGCTTCGCTGAAAAATAAAGGCGGAAAAGTTGTTGTTGCAGAATTAATATAATTTGAAGACATTTCTCACTTGTCACGCGATTATGACTTCAAATGAAGCTTCTGCGGAAGGAAAAAAGGAAGAAGTACAACATCAGAAGTCTTATTGTTGTTGACTTACGTGTGAATTTGAGTCACCAGAAAAAGGAAGAAAATATGCAAATAACAAATAGTTCTGCGACATGCTTTGACAAATGTTTACAAGCACTCCACATGAATATTGTCAGGTACCAGAATCTCGTCATTACCTTAATGAAAGGAAAATGAGAGAACTTCCAGTCACTTCCAAAAATCCTTCCATGGAAATTCTTCAAACATTTTCATCGTAAACTTCCCAGTACAAAATTTTATGTTGAAGTGAAAAGCTCGCTACCATACAATTTATTCATAATAACTAATTCTGCACTATCTAAATAAATATAAGTATAGGTTGAGTAGCAAGAAAACAAATGTCGGTGTTTCTGTTGTCACTTGTGATAATTTATTCAAATCAAGTTAGTGCTTAATGACGATAAAGCTCTCTAAATAAAGATATTGAACATTAGAACAGCTGACGAGAAAGTGAAAAATATATCAAAATAGGTGCGCTTGCATAATTAATGAACATGAAAAAAGGATTATGCTTTATGCTGAAGAGGGTCTTTTGTTTGTATAAGCGTCGAGCATGAAGCATGGAAAAACTTGTTTCGGAAATTAATGCCGCTTTACTTTTAATGAGATTGTGTTCAAAATTCTTGACTAAGAAATTAAAATTACGGTGAATTACAACAGAAGAGCATAAAATGTTTGGTTTAAACATTTGTTAAGCTTTGTGCTGAACGTTCTTTACGGTTGAAAACTTCATAACCATTAAGAAAATTATTTTTCTAAACATTCATTTCATGCTCATAAGAAGCTTTCAAAATGACACAATTACAGACTTCTTCTCCTTCCAATTCTTTTTAATAATATCAGACGTAAAGCTCTAAACAGACTGATAACATCTCATGTGCTTTTATATCCTTTCGAAATGTAATAAAAATAATGTATCGTGAGACAAATAAACACTGAACAATGTTTATTTTCTCAGGAGAAATGAATGAAACATGCGAAACATTAATTTTTCAATGCTACCTATGAGAAAACGAAAATTATATTTGAAATTCAAATATCCAAAAATATAATTATTTGAAGCGACAGACTGTACCATTCTCACTAAAGTTCATTTTTTGTTTGAAACTCTGTTTTCACCCGGAAGGCTTTTGTCCCATACAAAAGGGGAAAGAAAAGCCATAATAAATATTATGGATGCTGAACTGTGAACCGCTCAAAAATTTCTCTCTATCTGCTGAAAAATGTTTTCAACATTATTGCAATGATACTGATGACTGCTGAATCTGTTTTGGCTTCCAAACTGTCTGAACATTAAAGTTTTCAGATTTTCTTCTCTAACTATAAGAACAGACTTATCTTTAAGAAAAAGATTTATTTCGTGAGAAGAAGAAATTCCAGACAAACTTTAGTTATCTCTGTCTTAAATACTTTCGGTGTGTTATGTTAGATACTTAAAAAAATATATCAAACAAGTTTAGAATGAAAATAAAATTAGTCTAAAAATGTTATTTTTTTGGTAGAATGAACGATGGAAACATTATGCGAGTGCTTTCTTTCATTGTTAATTAAATTCATATTTTGAGCGTCGGATTCACTTCAGCTCATTAGATAATTTATTCGTTTTAATTAAACTTAGTCGGATGGAAAAGTTGGGAAATCTGAAAGAATATTTCATTTTTTATGAGCTATTTGTTTCGACACGGCTGTTGCCTTTTTAGTTCCAAGGAAGCAAAATCTTATCGCCTGAGGTTGACTGCTGGAGACGCGTTTTTCTTCTTTCTTTCTTTCTTTTCTTAATTGGCTTCCGCAAAGGCCAAGCAAACAACTGCTGACAAATCAATTTCTGGTTTCTTGAATATTTTCATTTCCAGCATGAATACAAACAAAATTTTTTAAATTTATAATTCATGTTCTCATTCCAGATGGTGACAATAAAAACCAATAAAAGCTCTTAAATAACCTCAATCAAATTTTATGGTTTATTCAGCGAATTTGTACAAAATGAAATCGACAGTCTCGTACTATGGTATGTTGGAAAAGCCACGCTGTTGTCGCATCTTGAACACGAAATATTTGGCATTATTAAGTGGAATTTATACTCTGGTAAGACGGTTGATATCAGAAATTCACATATAAGAAATTTATGAGCAGTCGTTTGAGAAAGCTTCTGATAATAATATGGATTTCTGAAGGCACTTTCTACTCTTTTTATCGATTATCACAACATTCTCAACTCTACAATTTCACCTTTGAGATTTCTATGAATTATTTAAAAACTCTTTTGTGCGATTGACTAGACTCTGTTATTTAAAAACTTTTAATTATCGCGAGTCCTTTTTAATCTTTTTAAAAGTTTTGAAGCTTTTTTTTCCATCAATGTTTTATTTAATTTTATTAATGACTTTATTCCCAAAAGGGTTTTTCAATCTTTCAATTCACAAAGCTGTCACGAACAAGAGTCAAAGTCGAAGGGGGAGAAAAAGCGTTTCTTAGAAAAGTTTCAGAAATTTTAGCAAAAGCTGATTTTTATGTAAATAAAAGTTCAAGCGGAAAGGTTTCGAACATTTCTCCATTCATATTCCTAAAAACTATTTACTTTGAAGCATGCTTTAATTAATATTTAAAATTCAACCTCAAATAGTATTCTGAGCGAATTAATCATAATTAAATTGATCTTGTTTCAATTTATTTATTCATCAACACTCAATTTGTTTTGTGTGTTTGCATTGTTTGAATAGCTCGAATGAAAATCGAAAAGAAAATGAATGAAAAAGCGAGTTTTATGTAGGAATTTGACAACATGTATCCCTAAAGATTTATTGTGTACTGAAACCTTCGATCTTTGATGTCGTTATTATTTATTCACGGTAAAGTCTATCAAAAGTCTCAAATCCCTTTAAAGCTTGTGACGAGGCTCTAATAGAACATCAAAAAATCTGTCGAGCTGTAAAAATAAATTGCGTAATAAAATTTAATGCGGGTTTCATCAAGTAGCAACTGAAAATATGAATTTTTATGGAGTTGGAGAGAAATGAAACTCTCAACTGAGATTTCTACTCGATATTCGATTGATTGTCGTCCTTGCTCGGCTTGGGCATTTTTAGCTCATCAATTACCATCGCAACGTTGAATTTGACGACAGGAAACAAGAGCGCTCTTAATGTTCAAATATGATTCAATACTAAATTTGTAATGAGACATTCGCATTTATTTTTCCTTCCCACTCGCTTTCTCCAGAATATTTCCATTCTTGTTGTTCTGATGTTTGGATGGCAAATAAATGCAAATTTCAAGCGTTATCAAGATCTCGGCGATGTTTACTATGGTAAGTAAAAAGCAAATAATGATTTACAATTTCATCGCTTTTTTTTTCTCTCCGACCTCATCATTTCTAATTTTGATTAATGTTTCTTCTTCGCAACATTTCTTTTCTTTTTCTTTTTTCTCTTACCATGATAACTTCTCCTCCTTTTACCATTTCCAATGATGGTGATTGATTAGGAATTCAAATAGCTCAAATCGCCATAATAGCGACACAATTCTCCATGGTGATACTAAGCATTGTATTAATTTTTGGAATTCATAATGTAAGTATCGTTTATAAGCTTCTACCTAAATATGTCAAGTTTTTCTATATTTTCCGCATTTTTTCTTTTATGATTAATTAAGGAAAATGCGACTTTGGTTGTTCCATGGATAATCGGATTTTTGACGTTTATGTCTCTCGAAACCGTCGCAATGGTGAATTTTTCCTCCACAACATTTCTCACACTTTGTCTAAGTTTTTGTTTCTTTATTTCTTCTTTTTCTTTAACAAGGTCTACTCCAATGTACTGAGGGATCACATCTTTAAGGTATATTCAACCTTTTTTAATTAGTGAACGACATCATCTAATTGAAAAATTAATTAACAACGATTTTTCTCTTTCTTTCATCACCATTCCCCACAACTTTCTCGTTCTCCGTCATTTCCTTCATCCGCCAATCAGCAGTTTGATGAAGTGTCAAAGGTCTTTTTGGATTTTTTCATTGTTCGAGCTGTGGTTAACGTAATTAATGTTTTTGATCTTGATCATGATATCTTTTGTTAATCGAAGAAATTTTTTTTTACACAGACTTTGGCTATGTGGTCGGTGATCCGATATCATCATTTATTGCGCTCGGGGGTCTCGTGGAAAATTAATAAAAATATTGTTGAGCTCTGACGTAGTTCTTTGTCTGACGAAGACTCAGACAGAACATCGACGACATTTTCGATTTGCATTGACGAGAATGACAATGAACAGTTGACTTCTTCACGAAATGAAGATGATAATAGTAATCAGTGGCATGATTTCGGTTTAAGTGACAGTGAATCAGAGAAAAACACAAAAGCTAACGAAAAGAAAGCTCACGGCGAAGGAAGTGATGAAGATGACTCTCTACTTGTTATTTATGAGGACGCTTCGAATATTTACAGACAATAAAAAGAGTATTTTCGATATTAAATAAAAGTATTTGTGAAGGAAGTTGCGCATATTTTATTTGATTCACTTTTGGATCGCAAACTCAACTCACTCTACTTGATACAACATAAGACAGATGGAAAGCGAAAATGTATTTAAACGTAACCTTGTAACGCAAATCCAAGGAGGATAAATGTTGATATTTATTGTATTCTCTTAGAATTGTAGATGATAATATATTTATATATGGTGGTGGTTGAATAAAATTTGAGGGTTACGAAAAAGCTTTCAAAGCCAATGTTTGAACTTTTGTTTTTCCAACCCTCGTGGCAGTATTTCAAAGTGTTACTCAGAGTCTTTAATCGTTGAAAATTCCTACATTTTCATGCTTACACAAGGGAAACTCTCAGCTCAGAATTAACTATCATGAATGTTTCGAAGAGTTTTATTTAAGAATAAAGAATTCATTTCAATTTATTTATGTATACATAAAGGGGAAGGGATGGATGTAAAGGGATTATTTTAATTTTGGAGCTTAAATTAAGCTTTAGAGTTTGTCGATCACGAAAAGCGATAAAATTGATTGCTTTCAATTATGGAAGTATATAATTATCCAATAGATATCATTTTAATTGGAAATTCCGAAAGCTTGAAAACATTCTGTAATGATGATTTCTGAATTTCAAGATGACAAACTCAAACTCGAACATAAAAAAATGTTTATCATCTAAAAAGTATTCAAATAAATTAATATATATTCATTTCGTTGACGTTACGAGTAAATGGAATTATAAAATGCAATAAATTTTAATATCTTTATCACTCTCGAGATGAGACTTTATACCTTCCGCTAACGAATATATGAGTAATTCATGATGTGAACGTAAAAGTGACATTAAAATTCTATTGAACGTTACGTGACGGTTAAAGAATTTTTGAGACTACAAAATAAGCACGTATGGTTATATTTTATGTCATATGTTGAGTTTAATAAAACATAAAAATTTTAGATTTTCTCTTTGAGAATGGAAAAACTGAATAAGTTGTCACAAAGTTGGAAGAAATATGTATCAAGAACAATTTTCTTTCCTCACTTTTCTCACCTATGTAGTACGAAATATTCATGAAGAAAGTTATTTAATTTCATGCACTGCATTTGCATTTGTAATTCGATGTAGAATAAAAAAGAAAAATGTTTTCTCATTTTTTATCGTAGACATTCACAGAAAAGTTTACTGAAGTCGTTGAGAAAAATGGAAAATTCTTCTCATTTTTCTTTCCTAATGAAAAAGCTTTAATTGCGATCTCAAATAATTGAACTCAGACATTGTAAGTAACACTTGGTTGGAACAATGACTTGTGAAGACTAAAAGGAATCTATTTATAGGATTTGACTCAAAATCCAATAATCCTCATCAACATATTTACGATTATAATGGAAAAACATTATCGTTGTGATGTTTAAATATTTTTGATGAGCTTTCATTGCTGGAAAATTGTAATTTATTTGAAAACAAGCTTCGAAACGCATTATAATTGATTTCATTGTTGTGGAAAATGGGAAAATAATTTCTTTACTTCGAACATTCATTATAACTTTTTCATTCAATCACTATTATGAAAATGGAACAAAAAAAATCTATTGTTGATGAAGCCCAACATAATTTAGTCTAATTAGTTTTACATTTTTATCAGCACTTGTCAGACTTCATTTTGGATTATCCGCAGAACGAGAAAATAAATTTATTTTCTTTGAAAATAGATGACAAAGTTGAATTTGGCACCATTTCTCAGTTTCGTGAGAATCGATAGAAGAAAGAACAAATCTTTAATGGGATTTGTGATGTCACTGATTGACCAATCTACTGATCCAAGCAAAACAGAAAGTTCAAGCTCGTTAATAGAAAAAAAAGACTGAGAAATCTGTCTTCGTATGTCAAAACGTTTCTCTTTCTGTATAAATATAAATCATCTTCGTATTCAACAATCTATTTGTTCAAAATACGCCGAAGTTGAGTGATTGGAAGCTTTATCATTTTGTTCACATTAAATTTGCTGAGTAAATAAGTCTTGAAGAAATTTCGTTTGTCTCGCATTCTTTTGAATTCTTAACTTTTATCGTACACTTGTATAATAGCAATGCCAAAATCAGCAGCGCCAAACAAAAGTTTGGCAAATATTTTTATATTTCTGATGGTGATTTATGGTGTTCAGCAATGTAAAAGTCATATTTCGGAGCTGTTACTTGACGAAGAAGATATACCAACTGTTGTCGCAGCAAACTTGAATCATTATCCACCACCTGAAGCTGCTGCGCCACCCACGCATGAAGAAAACACGTGTCATGTGGAGTTTACTGTTCTGAAACGAGGGCACTGTGTAAGAATTGGCAAAGCAACAAGGGCTTGTGTTTCCGGAACATACATTCATCCATTTCATCCTGATTGCATGTAAGGATTCTCTCATTCAACGTTTTATCTATATAATCAAGCCATCTTAAGCTCGTATCGTTCAACAAGTGTTTTATGGAATGTTTTCGTTTGCTGCTTCGTAAGTACATACATATGTGTGCAGTGAATTGAAATCAAAGTAGTTTAATGTTGATATTTTAGGAAGGAAAAAAAGAAACCTTCTGAAAATAAATAAAAGTAAAATGTTTCCTTCTTTATTGATTTTGAAAGAGAAAAGTTTTATGTGAACATTTATTTAGATGGGTTTAGAAATTTTTGGAGAGCTTTTTTACTTTTGATATTTTAGTGATTAAAAGAAATTGAAGTGTAAAACTTTTTACGACGAACGATAATGATTTTATGAAGCTTTTAGGACTTATCGTTATTGAGTTGCATAATTAAAATGCCATATCTCCTTTCGCTAACGATTCCTTTATCTTTATTTTCACATAAATTATTCAAAAGAACACCTCACGAAAGCGGTTTGATAATTTGTTTTATGAAACTTTAATAAGCACATTGACGGTTTGGGTAAGCAGATTACGTGAGTACATACGTGAGTTTTAGTAAATAATTGCGTGACATGGAAAAGGATGATATCAGCACTCAGCAGAAAGCAAACTTCCATTCCACATTCGACTTGAATAAGATCATGTTAAGCTTTATGTCAAAGTGAGAGAGAACAAGCACGAGTTGTTTCAATATTTGCATAATAAATATGACAAGCAGCACATCTCAATACATTTTGATGTAGGTTTTTAAATGAAATTTGACAATAGTTTCGTCTACAATCAAACGACCAAATGTTGAAATGTTCAAAACAGATTTTCGAGCTTTTTGCTTATCTAAGGATTTTCAGCTTCGCTCTAGTGTTTGATTTCGTTTCCTTTCCTTTCGATTTTAAGGGGTGAAAGGGAAGAAAAACTTTACTTTTCAACAGACATAGTTTTCTCAATGATATTTGAAAATTTGAGGAAACTTTATTTCTTTTTCATCACAATAGCTTTCAACAAAATCATACGACGAACATAACAAAATGTTAGCATAACATTTTCAACCCTTAGCTTAGAAATATTTAATACAACAGACTTTCGGATTACTAGATGTAGATCTAATATAGAAGTTTTTTAAAGGAAAACAAAATTAAGAAAATTAACGATCCATTCCTATCTAATGAAATAAATGATCCGTTTGGTGTACAGATGAAGAGAATTTTCGGAATTAATTTCATCTGTATGATGCTACGCCTCATAAACCTGATGTTATAAGAAATATAATATGAGGAAAGTCTGTAAATCATCTCATAAATGACACAACAAGGACGTTAACATTTACAAAAATAACACTTTTGGGAGAGCAAAAGTAACTTCTTCGGCAACGCATTAGCGACATAAATAATTTATATAAATAACTTAGTGATGAAGTTTGAAAGCTTTGACAGTCACTTTAGTTTAAAAATAAAAGTAAAAATACGAGTAGGCTGACAAGCTGACATTTTCTAAACGACGCGATGTCTGTTTCAACTTCTCAAAACTTTTCAAAATGCCTGTTTTGATTTTTTCGCATTCTCTTGAAAACAGCACAAATATTTTATAATTCATAAACAATGAAATTGTCGTTACTGGCGAGCAGTCATCGCTATTTATTGTTTATTATTGACACGAGCAATAATAAGTGTTGATTTCCTTTTCACTGACTTCAAATTCATCGCCTGGAATGTAAACAAAAAGGAATTCTTCGTATTCTCTTTCATTTTTATTTCAGTAGCGAATCGCCTGAAGGAAGACTTGTTAATCATGTTGATTCAGCCACGATACTAACTTTCCTCATATTGTTCATCTTTACTTTGCCTTTCGACATCATCGAAAACTTTTCTCTTAACTTTATCGTCATCATGCGAAGCGATGGGCGGTGTAATGAAAGTAATTAGAACTCCATTCACGTAGAAGGTCAGCAGTTTCTTCCCTACTGCGTTTTCTTTTGATGGACAGAAAAGCGAACAAGAAGAAAAGTAAAAGCAATAATCATCATCATGACGCTGCTAAACTATGAAAAAACATACGAAATCGAAGCGTAAAAGCAACATTGAAAAGCTTTTTCCTTCTTCTTTTGAAAACACATAGTGTTCCCTCCCGCTTGCTTAGAATCAAGGCTTTACTATTATGATATTTATGAAGGGATCGATTCAATTTGCTCGAGAGCTTTCTTTACAGCCATTCGCAAATGAATATCTTAATAAAAGTAATAAAATGAGAATGCTTTTATTAAAAGGTACGTACAAGAAATGACGTTTAAGAAGGGAGTAAAAAAAAAAGAAAAATTAAATCCGCTGACCAACATCGTCACAATTCTTGCTTCGGTTTTGAAATGATTTTGTCTTGGGGTGAAATAAAACGAGGTGATTTCTGTTAAATAGCTTCTAGAAGAAAATGAAACAGTAAAAGCTTCATTGATTGGTCTCTGAGCGAAATGAAGCGCAATAAAGTGAATGAGATTTTCAAGGAATTTACGAAATTGCTTTCTAATACATAAATTAATGGAATTCATTAAAAGAAACTTTAACACCAAGTTGAACATAAACCAATGTCAATTCTTGTTTCTTTTTACAAATTAAAGAAAATGAGAGAAAAAAAAAATTATGTCAAATCACGACTTTCAATGAAGTTGAGCAATTTTGGTTTTCTTTCGCTTTTCATTTCACAACTGAAACCATTAAAAACATCCAATTACTTATTCGCAAGCTCAGTTAGCGAAACATTTATCAAACCAATGAACTTCGTCTTCTGCTTTATGTGACAAGCTTGGTCACTGCAATTCCCTCAATTAATCATTTTCAAACACTTTCTTTTACGACTTGTGACAACACATTCGACGATTTGATTTATGTTGCTATGGGGATTCGTGAGTTATGAAGAAATTGAGGGTACACCGCAAAATATTGTCAATGAATTGAAAATTTTTACGACTGAAAACACATTTTTTACTTATGCATGACTTGAGTCATTCCCTCCTATTGTGACTGCTTCTCATAAACACTAAAAAAGCTTTCTAGAAAATATGGATCATGATCAAATTATTATTGCACACATAGTGAAGCATAATATTGTTCCACTCCTTTTCTTTTCTTATTTAATAAATCATACGATGATTTTCCTTTATTTATGTGAATTTACGACTCCCGCTTATACAATAAACTAAGAGAATGTGTGACGATCGTTTACTATACATGTCATTTTCTCATAATATTAAAATATGGTTTTCGTAAACATCATAACATCACAAAAGAGGCGGAATCTCAATGTATTTTGATTATTTATGGTGAATGTGTAGCGACTTTTATGAGTTTATTACATCATGTTATGATTTCACAAGAAGGAGGAAGCTACAAAGATATTTATCCACAAATGAGCAGATGCTTCTGCTGTCTTCGTACAATAATTTGTTTTATGTTACGCTTTTTCCCTCGAATCTCTTTTATGAGTCATCCTTTGTCGTTTTAAGTCCTTTTGGCGTTTTAAGAGAATTTTTTATATCCATTTTGTTTTTTTTGGCAAGTTCAAGGTAAGCTCAGTGAAATGTTAACATTGTTTCCGGATAAAAAATTTCCATATTGTACGCGAGATTCCATGGTGGTAAAAAAGGAGTGAAAGAAGGAAAGCAAGAAAAGGTAAAAGTTCATTTAAATTTCATTAAACATTTCGCTGTCGTTAACTTCAAGTCAATAGATTTTCAGTGTAAGGTTCGGCAAGTAGCACATCAACAAGGAAAGCATAAATAAATCTCTTCTTATTTAGCCATATTTCATTCTAAATAAGCTTCTTCCCATCGTGTCGTGTTTTATTAAAATAAATTCTTATTTGTTATTTATTCAAACAAAGATTTGATTAAATATTCATAGAATTAACAATTCTTAAAGCATAATTTTCACAATTCGAAATGGACGATCACTGATGAGTTTTTTATGTCACAATGAGACGATGGAATCCGCGTCGTAAGCTACCAGCAGCGAATCATTTTCATCACTTCCCTCCCCAGCTGGGCGCTTTATACTGTCATGATTCTTATCTCTAATGCCATCATTACTTCCAAATATTTCTTCGGCATACTCAGAATGACTGCAATTGGAGTAGCCAAAGTCATCGTCGTCGGGACAAAACGAGACTGTTGTTGATGATTTCTCTTCAAAATCATAGGAGTTCTGTCAAAGTTCAATCACAGTCTCGTTTACTTTAAATGAGATACCCGAGCGAACCATGTGATAGAACTTCATAACAAAATACATTGCTACAGTCTATAATTGAGATAAATAGAAATTTGATGAAAAATAATGACTCGAAGCTTCCGGAAATTGCAATTTTGGAAACTTACGTTGAAAAATACTCGAGAAAGAAAAAACAACTGAAACGAAAAGAAAGCGGAAATAAATTTTTCAGCAAGGGAAATGGGAAAAAATGTATGCGGGAGAAACCATATGGTGCTTTAAAGTAAAATTCATCATCAAAAAAAGATTTACTTACAACTTCTGCTTTACACAGCCCATCAAAATGCTATAAGGGTTGAAAAACGTCAAATGAAGAATGAACAGAGAAAAAAAAGGATTTTGTTGAGTAAGAAAGATTTTTTTTCTTTTTTCAAAACGGTTCACGAAACATGCTTACGCCGTTAATGTGGTCTCGTAGGATATTTGCATAAACTGTACAAAGTGCTTCCAAAGACATAAAAATTAAGAGACCCAACATCCAGGGAACAACTAATCCGATATTTTCCTGAAAAAATATCAAACGAAAGAAAAATTACTATCATAACTCTTTTCTTACAAGGATAATCAGGAAAATATTCCATGGAGCTATAAAAACCTCATAATCTCTTTTCTAAATTAACTTCCTGCTTCGACTATCTTCACAAGATTGCTTCAAAGCATTAAATATTATAAGTTCATAATATGAGAAGAAAAGTACTCTAACTAAACCAGAAGTTAAATTAAATAAACTTTATGTTTCGACAATGCATTTTCTGCTCAAACAATAGTCAATTAAAATGTTGTTCAAACTGTTATGAAACTTTTAATGGATAACTGCTGAATGTGGATTAGAACTTCATAATAAATTTTGTAGGGCAAATCAAGAGAATATGAATGAATGAAGTATGAAAATGAACTTACTGAATTAATTCCAACTATCAGTACCATACTTAAGAAAGCCATGGAAAGTTGACTACCAATGATAGCATAATATGCAATTTGAATGCCATAGTAAACATCACCAAGCACTTGAAATTTTTTAGCATTCACATTTATCTGCCATGAATACAGCAACACCACCAGAATCGAAACGTTCTATTAAAAGATATTTGAGTCGTTTATATAAAATCATTGAATGTGTTCTTACTAAAGTGTAAACTGCACTCGTTAATGCATAATGTTTGGTGTTGAAAGATCGACACAAGCCATTCCTACGCTCTGGTCCATAATAATGATACAATACAGTCGACTTCATTTTGTTGCAACAAAGAAATGTTTCTGGAAAATTTCTGTTTTGTTATCTTAGCCATTCTTCACAAAAAAAAAATATCTCGTACAATAATGAGGTAAAAAAAATTCTCATGAAAAGAAAAAAGAAAATTCTTATTCAACAAATTCTAACTTTGTTCACGAGAACTTTACCAAAAATTAAAAGAAGTTGGGGAAACAAAAGCTTTTATTATTATCATGAAAAGAAACTTTTTAGGTAACAAATTTACTTTTTCAATTAATGATGTAGATATTCATATTAATCTTGTGAATTTAAGTTTAACTTTAAGCAATTTTGTTTTCATTCCATTAAGATGCGGAATATTAAAAAAGTCACTTCACTTTATTATACTTTTATCTTTATGACATTCAAGTGATGTTTTTATAAAAAAGACATTTCTTTTCCAAAGATAACTTTGCAGCACTTTTAACCCCGAAAGCAAATCGAGGCTTTCTTCTAAGAAAAATTCATCTGAATACCTTTTTATTTACACAAGCATTCCTTTTACTCTTGAGACAGTAAAATTATGTGTGCGGTTCAGAAAGTAATGCCAGAAGAAAAATTTCCTTTCTTTGTTTCTTTAGGCTTTCCGACCGAAACCTTTCAAAACGGGCTTATAAAATGATAAGCTTTCCATGAAGAAACTGACTTTATGTATCGTTTGATGAACACTGAAATATCAGAGACATGAGAATCAAATTTATAAGAAAAGTTCTTTTTTTGCTTTTGCTTTTCGATGGAAAGCAAAGGAAAATTAATGAGAGAAGCATGAAAATCTGGAAAGTTCAAGGAAAGTTCTCTCAAAATGGAAATTTCAGCAATGCTGAGAGTGATTTTTGAGGAGTTTGCTATCAACACATGCTTTCGATCGAAATGAAAACTTCGCGAGCCTTTGGACGACCTTTCTTTATGTCGTTGGGTATCTAAGAAAATTAAATATGTTCAACAGAAAATGAAATCTCAGTGAATGAATTTGATATGTGAAACCTCTCTTGAGAAGAACTTTGTTTGAGAAAGATTATCAATTGATCAAAATTTTATTATGGAGGTTGAGAAACTTTTCAATTTATATGATAATACCTTGTGAAGGTTTGTGGTCATCAATTTGAGTTGATCTTTACCTTTTATAGAGTCGTGCGTGGAATAATTCTCTTAGATCAAGGTCGATAACAATTAATCGAAGCAATAACCATACAAAGTCCAAAGAGAAAGAGAAACGATAAAATAATTACGCATAATTTACTCTAAAGCTTAACTTGGTGGTTATGCTTCGCTCATTATCAGTGATTTATTTTGACGTAAAAAGGAGTTACTTCCAAACAAACATAATTTGTCGGCTACGAATTGAATTATGACTACGCAATGCGATAACACAACGACAGTGATTTAATGAAATGTAAATAAGGGAGAAATCCCTTAAAATTATGGCAGCAGCGAAAAAAAATAAGAAAAGAAAAGAAACTAAATTTCAATATAAATCTTGAAACTTAATTTGTGGATTTTCTATTCAATTCAGATTTTTTTTCTTGCATTACTTTCATGTTGCAAACAATTTCTCTTCGTCCGTCACTTTGATCGTTCTTTGAATGAATTATTTATGGTATTCAAACACGAAATCGCATTTGGCAGAAAGGTTCCGAAATGAAATCTAGAAAATCATTCATTTTCCTACTGATTCTGAATTCATAACATAGAGGTGAGATGATGGCTTTTGTACACAAAATAAAGTAGGAATATTTCGAATTTAATTTGTGAAAGCACTTGATGGTCGAAACAAGTCAAACTGAGAGCCATAAAATTTTATTGAACTTCATAATAAACACAGCAAGAGCTCAAGCTAAGGAAGGAAAGGAAGAGGAAAAGTCTGCCTTCTTGCATACACGTTTTGTGTTATTAATGAATTAAGAAAAAAATCGGTAAATTCATGTAAACAACTTAAAAAGCTTTTTCCGCACGAAAATTCTCATGTCAGCTGAATAAATTTATTACATGTTTTAGCAGATGGAATGAATTTCTTTTCCAACATTGCTTGAGTTCACCTGACTTCATTTTTCTCTTGCTGCACGATGGATGTTCTTCAATATATCAGAATAAATTCCACCAATAAATCTCAGTGAAGCATTTTAAGATGAATGAAATTTTATAAAGCGAACGTAAACATGAAATTGTCCTTTACTTTTTATTTATCCCCAAATCCAAATAAAACTTTACATCGAATTAATTTTTGACACATCAGGAAGTTTGAAAAGCTTGCTCGTCTTTGAAAGTATCTAAATATTAAAATATTTTTACAACTGGGTCCGGGATGTATGTAAATTCCAATTCATTGCATTTTCAAAATAATTTCGTTTCTCTCCCTAATCGGATTTCTGAATCAAATTCTTTGAACTTATTCATTGATTCTTTCAAATTCGAATTTCTCTTCTAAGCACTGATTATTAATGATTTAATTTAACAGTTGCTGTTTCACAATTTTATTAGATAAGTAGAGAAATAAAATATTTCATTTTTATATTTTAAAAAGCAATTTTTATGAGGAATCATCAAGTGATTTTATTCCAACTTCAGCATGCACTAGACAGATATTTATTTATATGTTTAATGGAACTTTTGTTGCATATAAAAGAATTCATTCTTCATAGCATGGATAACATTCGTCATGAAAAGTGAAAAAGATATGACAGAATATGACATGAAAATGTCGTAATTCAGTTCCATTCATGGCAATTGTGTGAGATGAAGAAATCTTATCTAACTACTAGTTAAAAGTCCCTAAAACTTTTGAATCTTCCCTGAGCTGTGGTTAAATGTCTTCCTTTCCAGTACTTGCAGCTGTTTTAAGTTTTATGAACGTTTTACTTGTCTTGTCACCGGTTTCTCGTTATCTAACAGAAAGTACATTAAAATGGTGTATTTTCTAACAATAACATTCGACTTATCCTTTTGCTATAAAAAATCCATTACAGTATGACCTGTTTTCACATCACGTTCCGATAAGATAAGTGTGGAAATATTTGAAATTTCTCCTTTCTCCTCATGAAACTTTAATCCTTTAATCTCGTCACAGTCTACGTTGATTGCATTTTATATGAATGAAGTTCACCTGAGAAGTTGAAATTGATCGAAGACGATACATGAAAATAATTGCAAGCAATATTTTTCAAAGGCTAAGCATTGATTCTGTTGTAATGTAATAAGAAGAGAGATAAGAGAATTGCATCTCACGACTTTAGTTCAACCTTGAACTAATCTATATAAACCTCGTCAAAGTAAAATAAAACTCTTTCCGACAATTCTGACTAAAGAATAACAATGTGTTTAAAATCTGCCTTCAAATAAAATCGTCATTTTCAGCGTTACGAAAGATTCTTGTTCCATTGCATTAACATCATAGCAGATACTTAGAAATAATTTATTTATCAGTCTCTTCAAATATTTACCATTCTTGATCTTAAATAATGTTTTAAAGAAATCGTTTCATTCAAGTTATCTTTAAAGTTTGTCTGTTGTTATCGAAAAGTGTTACAAATTGCAAGAAACAAAACTTTTTTCTTCTTTCGCTTGATGACTCGATGAAACTTTTGTTATTTGAATCAATGACATCATCAAACTGATTCTTATTTGTTTTGGGTATGGCACAAACTCGAGTGGTTTTTATTACGTTTTATCATCCCCTGCGAGAATGACTTTATCGAAAGCGTCTAGCAGCTATTAGAAAGCGTGCAACTTGCGTGTCCGTTTACAATCACCATAACTATAAGTGGCAATTTGTAACGCCTTGTAATGTTTCTCATTCTACTCTGTTGCACAAAGCGGGAATCGCTGTAGATTGCTGGCAGTTTAATGCGCTTTAGGGAATTCTTTTCATGTTCAAAGAATTTATCGATGTTAATTAAAGTTAAACTGCTGCTTTCTCTCATAACTTTTCTCGAGATTGGGACAATGTAATGGTGCTATTCAACTTTCACATCACGGAAGCTTCATTAAAGTACAATCTTATTTCAAAAAACGTTCAGCGTGAAACAATAAAATGTGAAACTTTAAGAAAGCAAACGATGAAGTTTTAGATGCAACTTTAGATTAATTTTGTTTTATCGATTGATAGATGATAAGAGAAACTTCTCATTGGAAGCTTCTTAACGTTCCCCGAAGATGCCATGCTTTTATTAAACTCACTAGAGATCGAAGTATGAGATGGATTAATTATTATCAAGATTCTTTCAACCTTTTTTCACACGATTATAAAACACAAGATATATGAAAATGGAAGTTTTTCCGACCCAATTTAAAAGCTTCGTGGAAAGAAAAAATGAAATAGGCAGGAATAATAAAAGTTTATTGTTACGAAAGGGATCAACATCATGCACGAAAATATATTCTTATGTTAAAATGAGAATGGAAAACTCTAGAGATTTTTTCTTTATCTTTCGTCTTAAGATAGCAACAACATAGATGATGAATACGAACTGATGAAGAGAGAATGAACGAATGGGAAACCTTAAAACTTTACTTCATCATAAAGGCAGGCACAGTTAGAACTTAAGGCTTCATTTAGGATTATTCTTTCAAAGTCTTAAAAGAAACTTTCAAGATTATTAATGCGATAATATGAGTCATAAAATTTTTTCCTCTGTTTATCTTTCATTCATTTTTTTGGGGTGAGCAATAACATAACGATAACAAACACAATGAAAATCATTTGAACTTTTGTTATCTCGTTGATCAAACACAATCAATAATAAACTCTTTGATTATTTTTTTCCCTTTCTATCTTCTAAAGTTTCTAATAAATTGTTTCTTTTTACAGCTCGTTTCTATTCGATTTATTTTTTCAAATTAGAGTGAGAAAAGATTTCATGATGCGTCATTACTCAACTTTTAAAGTTCCCATAAAAAAAAGTTTGTAAAACTTTCCAATAGCAATCTCGTATCAAATCGATGAAATGTCTAGAATTGGTGAATAATATTAACATAGTGTAGACGTTATTTATAGAAAAGCCTTGTACGAAAGCACTTTAGTTTTCCTTCTTCCATGTTTTCCCCCTTTTCATTTGAAATCAAAGTTTTTCTCGAGAAAAATGTTCTTACTTATTGTGCATGTCATCGTATGAAAGGAAGAAGAAATGTGATGTAAAATATTTTCCAAAACGTGAATAGTTTACAGACTTGAATGTTCCAGGGCAAATAATTTTTGTGTGAGTAGAAAAAAATTCGACGGTAAAAGTTCGTGTTTAACTTTTCTTCGGAAAAGTTTTTGTTTGGCGTTAAATAAAGGGAAAATTGTCGGATGCTCAACGGAATGATAAATGAATCCAGAATTGTTTTTGAGATTACTTCTCCATTCAAGCATAAATGAAAACACTTAGGTAGGCAATGTTCGTAGAAGTTACAGCAGTTAGTGAATTTACAAAAAAAAAAAGAAATTATCTAATTGACGGCAGACGGTCATACACTTATAATTAACGTGAAAGTTTTCCTATCATTTCTTATCCATTTTCAATCTCGTCGAAACTCATTAAATTCACTTTTCTAATGAAATTTCAATCGACGTGGAAATGCGAAGTTGTAAATTGTTTATCTACAAGTTTTATTGAAGGAAACTCAATTTAAAGTGAAGAAACAGATGAGTTTCGTTAGATAGAAAACTAAAGTTTCGCAATTGTAATCTCGTTTCAATACACTCGGCGATATGTTACACGTGTCTGTAATCGAAATCTCATAAAACGAAACATTAATTTTCCATTTCGCAGCGTTGTTCGCCAAATTAACATTCGAATTTTATTTCAATCAATAGTGAAAATGTGTTTGGAAGTAGATAGCATAAATCGGTTGGGAAATAATTTCTTGTTATAGCGGAATTGATTATTAATCACAAAATCTGTTTTTTTGTTTACTTATGTTTGTATTTGGATAGATAATTTATCATTCGTCAATGAAAAGGCACAGACAAAAACTATCTATTGAATTGTTTCCCCGAAACTTCATTCAATGAATGTATGGACAACAACAACAAGCGAGAACTTTAGTTCAATTAATTATTGTAATTCAGAACAAAAGAAGTTTTAACGCCTTGAGTGAGTTTGTCAATTTTGAGATTTATCGATTTTGTTCATTTTTACTTTTCTGTTTCATTCCAAGACTGATTTGTCATTTCGATTGATTTTTGTAGCTTTAGAAGTTCTAAGTCAATGTTTCATTTAACATGCACGCTTTTAATGAGTCCCTCCAAGCTAAATATGTATTACCAAGTCGGTATTAAAATCTTTGAACTGAATGAATCATTTCTGCCTGATGTATTTACATAAAAACATTAAAATTCAATCGAAGCAATGAGTTTAAATAAATAAAAGAAGATTGAAATCAAATTCAATTAATCAATTGATTGAAGAATATTTTCAAATTGATTTATATTTCTTTATACTTTGCAATGATCCTCGATTTAAACAAATAAGCTTTGAGGTATTTAAATAAGAATTTTTTAATATTCCATGAGAAATTTATTGAGACGATTTATTTCTTAATCAAACAAAATTATGCTTGTTAAATCTACCTGAAAGTTCTTTCAACGTTAACATGATGAATCAAGCTTGAAATAAAATATGAAAATAATTGAACTCTTTACATTCGTCCTTGGATAAAAAAATTAAATTAGGTATGTTAGCAAATAATGTAAAAGCAGAAAATCTAGTTAAATAAAATTTATTTTTCCTTAAATTCATCTTCGGATTTCCAACGCACGTCCAACTACTTTCAAAAGAATTTTCCTTTTCCTTTGAATTTCTTTATTCTGAAGGAGTTTTCCGTACACAACAAAAAATTATTCGACTGTATAAGCTTAGTGTTTTCCCATGTAATTTATGGACCGTGTAAAACGATGATACATTTCCATGTACAGCAAACAAACGGCACATCCTGTTGTATTCCAAACTTCATCGTGTGAAAAATAATGGTAGAGTGCTTAACGTGCCACAAACCAGTATCTACTGAGTTTAATTCAGCGTTATGCCTGGATTATCCGTGATAAAAAATTTCTCATGCTAATGAAAGTTGATGAACTTTAATTTTTAAAGCATCTTCATCGTAATGAATCAATAGCCTACTTCAATTAGATAATCTTCTTATCATTTGACTTTACTTCAGTCAATTCAAATTCTATTAAACATTCAGCACGATGAGCTTTTCTGATTTCGATAAACTTCCATTTGTAGTATGAAAGAAAAACTCAAAGTTCCAGTGTCGAATATCAAACATACAATTTCACTTTGTCTCGAAGAAATTGTTCTACTTGGAATAATTTATTGCCGAACAAAACCTATTACGGATGATTAAAGATATCGTACAATGGAGCAGTAAATTCAGAAACTGTCTATTACGTTCCGGAAATATGTAGGAAGACTCCATTAAGGCAGTCAGCAAAACAAGTGTTCGATTACAATTTATGTCCTTAACAAAAGGAAACTTGATGTTTCTTTCCCATTTTCACGAGTGAATAAAAAGGATACTTTTCAAAATTCCTTTTGTTATACGCATTCCTACAGATATCATCGTTTAATGGAAACTAAGATGAAGTCTTATCTTGGATTTTATCTGCTCAACATCGAAAGCTATAAGTTCAAATCACAATACTCAAACTCAACCCTTTGACAGTAAAGCCTATTTGTGATAGAAGTTACGTTGAATATTTTTCTTTCCTGCTGCTTTCAATTCAATCGAATCTTTTTTCCTGTTGATAAGTATTCAGAAAATTCTTTTCATCTCTTTTGATCAAATAAAATCAATTTGAAGTTTCTGTTAGATAGAAATATTTATTTAATTAAATAATTGCTGTGGGATATTGAATTGAATCTTTTTCACCACCATTCATGTCTGCTACAAGTTAGTTTTGTGAAAGTTCGCATTTTATTTATATCAATGAAAATGTTAAATCGAACAAATAAAATTTGTTGAAGCTTTCATTATGCGGGTTCTGTTAATGACGTTTCGGTCTGTGATAATATTAAAACCAAAATAGCTTTCCACGAAAATGATTATATAGAATATTTATTATATATTTAAAGCTTATTTAAATCTTTGTTAAGATTATTTACAATGAATGCCATGGAATTAAATTTTTAATGACTCAGACATATTAAAATTGTAAGCTTGAGTGAAAATGGAAATTGAATCATTTTGAGAGTTTATGGAAGAATTTAAAAGTATCTTTGAACTTTTCGTTAAACGTAATTTTACGTCAGCTTTTTACTTCTTTCTTAGATGATAAGCTTCGTGATCACAATTGACATTATATACAAAATAAAGCTTGCTTCATTGTATGAAATTGCTTTGTTTAACGCAAGATTCTGATAAAGCTGAATATCATCCATGTTAGACGACCAACCAATTATCTGTCGAATGAAAAAATTCACAAATTTATTTTCTAATTTTATATAAATTAACATAAAAACAATCACTTACCGGCTCATCACGGTTCTGACTTTCAAGCCATGCCTCGAGTGGCCTGAAAAACTCCAACAATGGATCTGCAGACAATCGCGATATTCTTCCTCGCGTAATCAATTTTATCAACTGTGATGCTGACATTGAAGCTCCCTTTTGCATAAAATCACTGAAATAAAAACATGAGAATGAAAATTACTGTCCACAATAAATCCATGGAAATTGGACAATTTTCCATCAATCATTCTTTAGTTGGGGTGTTGACATAGCATCATGCTATCAATTTGCATACCTTAACAACCGCCCCGCTTCACGAGAACGATAGAAGTCACATGTATGCAATGGTCCCATATGGTTTGCAGCATCACAAAGTTCAGCATAAATTTGAAATTGCAGAACAGTCGCAACAAAATATTTTATGTAATCTTGATCAGATATGACATGATATTTTGCGCCAGCATCAAAATGTGTATTGAAACGAGTCAGCGGGGGAATAAGGCCCTGAAATCTCAACCGTAACTCCCACCACCGAGAATTCATTCCCACTGGTCCCTTTTCAAACACATACCATCGCCACTGAAAGGCAAACAATGATGAATCGAAAAAGATTTACATAAAAAAAGTTTGTTTTCACCTTTTCCAACGACAATGAAAAGGCCATGAAAGGCAACTTGTCGAGGGCCACGTTCAACAAATATTCGATATTAATCATCGAGCTTCCGCTTGAAGCTGAAATGGGTGTTGGAAGAAGACCAATTTTTTGTAGATGTACCGGTCCACCAACATTAAGTCCAACGGCATGTGCAACAGCTTCGTGAAAAGCTGGGTTTGGACTTTCACGATAGATAAATGGTTGGGCCGCATATTGCATGTAATACTGAAAATAAACATGATCGAATAAACATTTGCAAACTCAACTTCAATGACTCGATGATAATCCATCGTTTGCATGTAAATAATTCAAAATTAAACTTACATGAATGTGTGTCATTTCATGATGACTGTTAATAAAATCCTCTGCGGAAATTTGTGTACATTGTTTGATACGAAAATCAATTAAATTGCAAAAATCCCATGCGGATGTTGCACATTGTGTATATACGTCATTTGGCTTTTGAATGATTGAGTTTCGCCAGAATTCAGGTGACATTGGTGGGAGGCCAAGTGAAGTGAAAAATTCTTCAGCAACTTGAAATATTTTTGTTGGTGTGTAGCCTTGTTTAATCATTTCACTAGTTGCGTCTGGAGTTTCCTTGTAAGGCTTGATGATGTCTAAGACGTTTCTCCAATTTTGTGCCCACATATTTCCTAGAAGGTGTGCTGGTATTGGCCCATCTGGGCGAAGAACATTTCCACCGTATTTATTATACAATCCACGTCGAACGAAGGTGAAAAGTTGCTTGTACAGTGGCTGAATCTTCATCCAAATATCTTGTACAGTGAAGTAAAAATCAGGATCTTCATAAACAGCTCGCATTTGTTCACCGGCGTCACGAAATCCATGACGTTGTGCCGCTTGATTCGAAAGATCGACATATCGCATGAACGTGTTTCTAATTGGCGGTCCAACTTTTTCACGCCACTCACTCCAAACATGTCTCAGTTCTTCCTCGTTGCGATTTCTTTCCATAATTTGAGTCAAGTCCGGTTCCAGCATGAGATCACAATATGCATGAAAAGATGTCACATTGCTTCCATATCGATTGGAGTCGGTTGACAATCCACGATACGGACAAATTTTCGCTTGATTGTAATTCTCTTTCATTAGATTTATCACATGAGTGATCTGGTAGGAACAAAAAAAAACACAAAACAGAAACGAATCGTAATTCAATTGAATTTAGTGAAACAAATACGAAAACACGCGCGCCACAACATAAACATCTGATGTAGCATCATCTGATGGATACGAATGCGGAAAGGCAGAAAACGTGGGTGCAGTCAAATGGAAAATGTGAGTAATTACGCCGAGTTATTGTGTGTAACATGAATCTGCTGAATAGAGTTAAATGCTTAGAATGAGAGAGTTCAGAGTGAAACAGTTTCGACAAATTGTTTTATGTGTCATAGAAAGTTTCATTCACGAAATATCCATCAAATTTATTGTTACAAAAAACCCAAAAAGCATGTGTTTGTGCCAAAGAAATTCTTTCCTTTTCCAACTTATTTGTAGAGATTATCTAACGATGCTTGCTTGCATCACTCAAGGATTTTCTCAACGATCAGTGACGGAAAGTAAGAGAAAAATCATTTTTATTCGTGATTGATTAACTTTCTTTCTGGTGTAAACTTTGAATTCATTTTGTTTCATATTTTTGAAGCACGAGAGCTATTGATAGATTGATTGATTGATTGATTGATTATTCAAGCTTACTTCAAGATACTTGTCGTCTCCCAATCCACATTTTCCTTGCTCGAGTATCCTACCCAGCTGTCTTCGTATATTAGAATCAAGTATTCTTGAAGTATCGAATCTTGAAGCACGTCGCCAACTTAAGCATTCAAACTTTGATGCGAGATTTTGTTGTTCTTTCATTCTTCGACGGTTGAAATCTATTGCATTTGTTGCAAATTTCCATTCAGATGTAGCGACACTAAATTACATCAATTGAGTAATCAAACAATGTTGCAAAGATAGATTTAAAATCAAAACTTTTACCGATTACACATTTCAGCTGCTTCTCGATTGAACTCATGAAGAAAATGAACTGCATCAGCAAGGTTGTCGCTTGATGTCTTCAAAACAATTCAAAAATTAAGGTAAAGAAAAGAGACAAAACAAAAGGAAGTAATCATAATTAGAATGTAAAATGTACAACGAAAGTCTTCTTTCATTTTGACACTTTTTTGAGCACACACAATGTAAGAGACTCGAATCGATTCCAATTTGAATGACATCATACCGCTCGCTCTTGTAAGCAAGCAAGCAGTATGAACATTAAACAGTTCAGTGAATTCAACAAAGCTGATTGTGATGTAAAGCATCATCCACAAGCGAATCTTGAAAAGGAATTTTCTTCATCATTCTTATTGAAAAGACGCGATACGATGAGAGAATCTGTCGTGCAGTGAATATAAAGAAAATATTTTTACAGTTAACGACTTTCATCTCTACATCTTTCATTCCATTTTAACTGCACTTTAGGGTACTTCTAATTCACTCAAAAACTCTGTAAGAGTGTTTATTGACTTCAAAAACTTTCAAATGTATTTCTAAAAGCCACAGCATTAGTGAATTGATAAAATAACTTAATAAAATTAATTCAAACATTTAAGGATCAAATTGTTAATAACCCATTAAGTAAACGTCTCGTTAGGATCATTACTTCTTTATATAAAAGATCCGTGCTGAATTGAGCCATTAGTAATCCACTCTTGATCACCAAAAACAGCCATAAGGCGCACAATTTTCCGAGATTACCCATCGCGCACGACCGATTAATTTCATTAATAACTTCTTTTGTTAACACTTAAAGCGACTTTTCGCCATCGATTCCAACACAAGACTGGGCTCGTATATGAGAAAGAAGGGGAGAAGACAATCATGTGTTATTATTTAGTTAAGTTTTCTTCAATGTGCGCTACAGAAAATGAAATACAATGTGAATACACGAAGATTATTTCAAATGTGCACTCACTGTAACGATAAGATTCTTTGTAGCTTTTTTACCGTCGGAACGTCGTATGTTGAAAAATTTATTTTGATGAATGAAGTGAAGAACAGAGTTAGAGAAGTAACTGTCATAAGCCTATAAAATCTAACAACAAATACAACCGCAGGAAATATGTAGAACTAAATCTACCGAAAGATCTTATTTAATGGGAAGTTGCTGTTAGGTGATGAGAATCAAGTAAAGCAATTAAAGTTTGGCATTAATTAGGAAAACACATCATTCAAACCTACGCTTAATCTGATATGAGAGTCAGGTTAATTTATTTCTCTAATGAAAAAGATGTTTTGCATGAACGAGTTGGAGCGATTCTTTGAGATATCGTTCGAAAATTCATTAAATGAATGCTTAGTAAATTTCCAGTTTTTCTCCCTCGTCTTGATATGCTTGGTTCACTCCATTGTTGTTCGTATGTTGTTCACTGAATCATTGAACAATCTACAATTGTATCGATATTTATAGTTTACATTTAATAATATTTAGAAATTCTTAGAAAAGGAAACAAACATAAATAAATAATTCGCAATCTCGTCCATGATCGAAATTACATTTTTTGATTAATAAATTTAATTAAATATCAAAGAAAAAGATCAAATCAAATTACAATTTCAAAACTTTATTATCTTTATAAATTATTCATGGAAAATTTCCAATTAGATAATCTTTTATGAATTCTATAAATTTTTTTGTATGAAGCCATGAGAGAGTTTTCGTTTGAGGGAAAATTGACGCTTTCAGAACTTAAAAACGACGACGATGTCATTCCTGAAACTTTGCTGCCAAAAACACATTAAGAAAAAATAAAAGAAAGTTCTATAATGAAGTGTGCTTCAGGGTGAAATCATGCTTGTTCTCATCATAATATCTTCATGACAATAAAATTTAAACAGTCTTTTCCACACAAAAAAAATAAGAGCAGAAAATGTTAACGACAGCAAATGCCTGACGAAGACGATTGAAAGCTTGAGAAGCTACAGTGTCGCGAAGACGACATTCTATCAAACGACTCAACTTTTTCAATTGCATTTTAATGACTTTTAATGTTATAATCTTCCCACAAAACGTTTATTCATACATTACGACGCCACTGATTTCACTAAGAAACAAATTTCAGTCACAACTAAACAAAATAATACAAGCGACAACTTGTTAAAGGCTTAAATGTGTCATCTGATGTGATGGCTGAGTGAACATCACGAAATTCAGCATTCAAAACAAATCTGTGCTAACGAAAGCTTTTCGGTTTTCGCTTTTATTATTCGATTTCCCGTCATGAAGCTAACTGTGAAGGACAAGAAAAAGTTTTTCTCAATTTACGCTGTGAAAATCCCAATCTTCTTATAAGTAATCTTCAAAGATTCACTGTCGTTACATTCAGACCACGTTGCTTACATGTTACATATTTTTTCATTAATGTTATTGTCATGGTTAAGGTCGTTTGGACGAATGTAATTGTAGACTTTACTGTTGATGGAGAAAATACTCTAACTCGTTTATTTTCTTACAACTAGAAATTTCATTACCATGGAAGAATCAGAAAGGGAAACGCCGAAGCGGAAAAAATGTATTTTCCATCCTCCTTTCACTTCGCTGCTTCCTCCATTCAATTCAGCCAGTAAATAGACAACAGTGTAAGGAATAAGGAAATGTTGTGCCACTTTATTGGGATCGGTTGAAATAAATTGCAGGTTTTCTCCTTCACATTGTGTCCACGTTTCGCAATGCTGTATTGAGAACACGAAGGAATGAAATGAAACCAATAAAACTCCGATTTTATCAGTTGAAAAGAGAAAAATATTTTTCTGCAATTTTCCATCTTCCATCCACTTTTATCTAAAAACGAAGAACTTCAAGTTGTCGACGTCAGGAAAATAAAAACTTTTATATTTCAATAGAAAATGAAAAGTTTCGGTTTTTCCCTTCATCATTCTTTTCATTCCCAATTACAAATGGTTCTTGACATTCTTCATTTGAAGTTTTCTTAACTATAAATGAAAAGATTTCACGAAGAAGTTTTCGATAACTTTATCATTCTTAATTGTATAGTTAAAGTGAAATAAATCAGGATTTTTTAAAGCAAGAAGTAAGCTGAAAATCTCAAGAATGTTGAGTTTTATTTTTCACTTAGGAATCTCAACAGAAGTTGCAATTAAGTATTTTCCTAATTGAGTTTCGGAGATGTAGTTTTAAGTTCAAAGATTCTTAATCTTCTTATTATTTAATGAGTATCAGAATGAATGTCTGGAAAGGTGAATCGAGAAGATGTATGTTGAACTATGCATGGAATAACCAAACATCTTTTTAATTGAGAAACCTCAATTTATTCTCTATCGCTTAACGAGATTCCATGATATTATATTCGAATTAACTTTTTGTGGGAATTTCATTTCTCGAAATGTTTATCAAGTAGATATTTGGATGTTTTCTTAATCGATTATCCTGTCACTGAGTATACAAAGCTTTGCATGATATTAATAAAAATAAACGTAAAAGAAAATGTCTGCTTTGTTGATCAAAGTGAAAGTTAAATTCGACGATGGTATTTACGTTGTTATCTAAGCTGTGCATAAGATGATTTTAGCTGAACAAAAAACAAAAATTTGCATTAAACAAAACTTTGCACATAAAAGGATCCATCAAAGTAGATTGCTGTAATTAAACATGAGCATAGCTATAAAAATAAATTTTCTCGACAGGTGCGTTGGACTCATTCGACCGTTTTAATGCGATGGTTTGTGATGATGAAGAAAAGGCATTTCGAATAATTTTCATGTTGACCACCTTTTCGAACCCTTTTTTAATTCGATTCAATAAAAAAAAAGAAGAATGGAAAGCAGCTCGAAGTCGATGGGGTAAAAGGGACGTTTAATTAAATATTTCTGATGTTTGGGAAAAGCGCTTTCCCGTCAATAGAAAATATGTTAAAATGAGAATCGTAATTAGATTTTTTTTCAATCCTTCTTGCGTAAGAGGTCCCTAAGTCACTTGGAAAAATGCCTCCTTGAATTTCATTAATTCCGAAAAGACCACAATTACATTTGGAATTTATGACGGAACAAACTAATTAAACTGGCATAGAAAATTTTTCGGCTTTTCTCACAGCGAAAATTTTTAAAAACTTTTTCCTTCCTTCCTCGGCGAAGCTGAAAAAGCTTTTATGCTTCAACTATTTATAAATCGCAATTTAAGTTAATTACAATTTATGGAAGAGAATTCAATTACCACAGAGGGAAATGTTTAGTGACTACACCAAAATTATGAGGTTTGCATGAAAGCTCTCTCAGCTAGCATGCGATGATGAAATTAAAGTGAAAAATTGAATTACCAAGAGAGAATCTTTACGTTTAGGTTTCTTCATGAGGAAAAAAATGATTAACCATTCTTAAAAGTACCCACAGACAGTGTTGTGCAAATTTTCAAAGACATGTCTTTGTGTCTTCGAAAAAATGACTGGCAGACCGCAGACATGTTTTGCAGACACGACTTCCAGCCATATTTTCTTTGTCTTCCAGACGTCTGTGGCTTCGTGTTTTGCAAACATTTTTTAATGTCTTTGTGTTTTACAAACATTGTTGAAAAACAAAACTTTTTCCTAAGAAAATCTACTAAAAGCGCTTATTTTCGCATGTGTTCTACAATTTTTTACAACTTTCAGTGAGTTTAGAAAATATCTATTTAAGCTTGCTTCACAAGTGTGCTATAATTTTTTGTAACTTGCACTGAAAGTTGATAAAATTATGGAACACAAGAAAGAATAAGCGCTTTTAGTAAATTTTTCTTGAGAAGTCTTTGAACATGTCTTCAAAACACGCAGACATGACTGGCAGTCATTTTTCAAAAGATGATGTCTGTGGCTGCGTGTTTTGAAGACATGTTCAAAGACGTCTTTGTCTTTGAGTTTTGCAGACATTTTTCGATGTCTGTGCACAACACTGAATTCATTTCGAACAAATTTCCTTTCATGAAAAACAATTTTTNGTAACTTGCACTGAAAGTTGATAAAAATTATGGAACACAAGAAAGAATAAGCGCTTTTAGTAAATTTTTCTTGAGAAGTCTTTGAACATGTCTTCAAAACACGCAGACATGACTGGCAGTCATTTTTCAAAAGATGATGTCTGTGGCTGCGTGTTTTGAAGACATGTTCAAAGACGTCTTTGTCTTTGAGTTTTGCAGACATTTTTCGATGTCTGTGCACAACACTGCCCACAGAGAATGTTTCTTTACAGTTTATGACTTTGTGGACGACTAACTTCCAAACATACAACAATCACATCCAAGAGAAGGATTTAAAATTTATTTTTTGGTCAGCCAGAGTCTGTTCTTGTTGTGATGATGAAAAAGTTTTTTGGTTTACCTCTGTGTAACCATTCAAAACAAAATAAAATTCATGCAAATCATTGTCTGGAGTGGTTTTCAATTTTAGTTTGCAAATTCACTTTACGCTTCGCTTTCTCAACTTTCGCTTTGTTATGCTATATTACCAGTTGGCATGTTAAGAGTAGAAGTAAGAACTCCACCAAAAATTAAATGAAAAACGAAAACATCAAACAGACATGAAAGAACTCAATTTGATTTCAAGTCAGCGGAAACAAATTATTTATTTCTTTGAATTTAAACCTTCTAATGTTTATGTTGAGAAGGGATCGGATAAATAATGCTTCCATTTAATCAGAAAGATGCGAAAATCTCATTTTCATTTGTTTGTATTCAGTTTTAATTTGTTGGAGGGATTTTTTTTAGCTACAAGCTTTATTTAATAAGGGATATTAGATTAGGAAATAAAGAAAATAATTATTTTTTCCAGATATGTTCGCTTTGCTGAATGTTTTGGTAGCGAAGCTTTTCAATTATAATTTTGATGATTCAGGAGTTGTTAATGGAATGTAATACTGAGAAAGCTTACCGAAAATTATTATTTCTATAATAAGAATTTCGTGTGTTAAAACAATATAAAGAAATGAACACTTGCTACCAGGAAATCACAACAAATTTATCTGTATTGATACAGAAGGCAGAGCTTAAACAGCTTTAAATATGTTCAATGGCATTACAACAATGAATATTCCCAGAATCACTTGAAATATAGCTTTTAAGTCTTAACCAAAATTTACAAGTGTAGACAGTTTGTTGAAGGGGAAAAAAAGAAAAAATAGAAAACGAATTGAGATTGTATAACAAAATATTCAATTAAAATTACAAAGAATTATTTCAGCGCGGGATTTAATTAAATTAAGGTTCGTTTGTGAAAGAAATTTTATCAATGCTTCCTTCTCGTTCTCTCAAATATTTTTTTTCCTTTGCTCGAAAGCTTTCCGATGTTAAGGTTTTTTATGTTCAGGGTAAGGGAAAGTTAAGGAAAACAATTTTCATTTCCATAATGTCATCGTCTCTCAAGCCATGATGTAAAGACATACTTAGGGAAAGGCAGAATATTCAATGACGACATAATAAAAAAAATGCTGGCTAAAAAGAATTCGAAAATTTGTGGTGTGAAAAAGGGAAAAAAAGAAAGAGAACAAGAAGAAAAGCCTGGAACTATAAGGATATTAAAGCTTTAGAGGATGCTTTTAAGTAATGTTTGAGTTTTATCTTTAAGCGCTTAAAAGGAAGTGAAATTCTCGAAAGGAAACTAAATGTATTTATAAAAATGACTTGAGACAGCTTATATAATAAATTTAGTTTAAAACTTTTCCGGTCTCATTTTATTTACAATCAACTTTCTTAGTTGTAATGGAATTGAATGTAGTAAAGCACTTGAGACGCTCAGGAGTAAGTTGAGTTTTTAATTTAATTTATCTTCTTTTGAGAAGAATGGTTTTGTCAGTAACAATGCATTAGTTTTGAAACAAGGCTTTGTTCATTGCTTAAGAGTCTCTGAATATTTCAGATATCAGCTTTAATCTCTGTTTTCTTCGTCTTTTTCTCCATCTTATATTTATCTTGATTGAATTTGATAATACCCAGTGATCCAATATGGAATTACAGTGTATTTGATCATATTAAAATGTTCTGAATGTAACACTCAATTCAATTACATTCTGACCTTTTTTCCGCTGCTTCGATGGGAATAACTTGCGTTGATGTTAAATCTGTTCGATATGCAAAGAAAAAAGCAAAAGCGAATATTCCCGGGACAAAAGATTCTCTTTATTCTTTACGAAAAAAGGGATTTTGAGGATTTCTCAGTGTCTACTACTTTTGCAAGACTATTTGTAAGTTTTTTCAATTACGTTTATGGCAGATTATTCTAATAATATTTCTCTTGTGATTTCATTTCTTAAATATATTTTGGGGTTGTGTGAAATCGAAAAAGGCTTTTTAAATCATGATTATGAGATGAATTCTAATAACGAGAGAATTGATTCAGAATCTCGTGAATAATAGAAGAAGCAGAAATGGCTTTGGGCAAAGGTTTCAAAAGCATTACCAACATTGTGTACATTTTCAGATCATTGCTTTTTATTTCGGCAAAAATTTGCTTGTACACATTTAGTTGGCTAATTATTGAGTGCAAAGCAATGAAGGAAATTTAGAAAATTTCCTTATTTTGTTATTGTTTACGTTTAAGTAGTAAATTCTTCTTGTTTCATATTGAATGATAAATGGGAAAGATAATGGATATTGAAGTATATTTAATTACTTTTATTGATAATTATGCCTTTGATGGCTCCCTGTTGTCTCATCTCTTTCAATCTGTTTTATTCGACGGGAAAAGTGTGTTCGTTTCACTTTTCTTATCGTCAATTACGCTGCCATTAAGCAACGTGAGATTTTTTTCTTCTTTCTGATATGATGCTTGCTGATAAAGCGATTCTCCTTTCATATTTTGTCATGAATTTAACGAACTTTGTCATGGAAGGCGCTGAGATGAAGAGTTTCATTTACATGCTACATAAGGGCTTGATAATTTTAAGTGCAATGATAAATTTTTCAGAAAGAAACATTTTCACCATAAAACAAGATCGTAATTAGATTTTCTGGCTTTTCACATCCAAGCTTTGTAAAGCTTCATAAGCTGCATCACATGAATTAATCAAAATAATATCTACATGTTTGTTCAGTTTTATGCTTATTAAGAAGTTGACAAAAACCAAAATAAAAGCTTCACAAAATTTTTGTCTCATGAATAAATTGTTAAGAGTTCAACTTGTACATGCAAACATACATTTTCACTTATTTTAAAGAGCAGAACAGAAAATTTTGAGGTGGAAATTTTGCTGACGTTGGGTTCGTGTTTGTTCAAAGAGCAAAGTTAAAAGGATTGATAGACATTAGAAAATCAACACGTTATCTGACTAACAGACATATTGATGAGACAACACGTTCAAAACTGTATCCTTAGAGATATTCTTTTCACTCTATGAATTGATGAGAGTTATGGAAACAGCATTACTACTACATAATGTAGTTGCCGACGTGCACTGCATAACTTTAATCTGGAAGATGACAAACATTTTACCTTTCTACGTTTAATTTCAATTTAGAACATACCTACATTTCCACGCAGCACAATGTTATTTATAATTTTACACAGAGAGGCGTGATTTATTTGTTTGAAGTTTATCATGAATTCGAATACATAAATCTTAAAGCTCACCCATTACATGATTTTAAATTATTTTGATGATTTTTTTAGGAAGGAAGAACCATTAAATTGTGTTCAAAATATTGTTGGCGTATGTGAATCTCAATAAAAACTGTTAAGGTTGAGTCAATTCATAGTCAATTTTAACGGATTTTTGTTTGAAATTTTGAATTTCGACAAGTCGATATCGTATAATAATCAACTTGGATTGTCTGCCTGTCATTTGTTTACAAAAAATTATAAGTTTGTAAATTCTATTCTGACAACATTAAAAACAGAAAAAATGCATAGATGAACGATAATCTAAACTTGATGCATTTGCAAGAGTTATCTGCTTATATTTTAAAGTGCCGTTCAAAATTCGAAGAAATCCTGGAGTTGATAATTTATAGTTTAGTGATTTTTATTATTCTCAATGCACTTTTATTTTATTTAATTCACCATACTCGCAATGGAAGAAATAAATCAAGATTTAGACGATGTACAAAACTCCCTGCAGATGCGTCGCGTGTACTTTTAGTTACGGCACATCCTGACGATGAGTGTATGTTTTTCGGCCCAACTTTAATAGCTTTAAGAAAAAGAAAAGAATGCAGAATTTTCGTTCTGTGCTTATCTAGAGGTAAAGACGTTTTAAATATCAAATATGTTTATAAGTCATCATTATTCACATCACGTTTTTATTCCAGGAGATTTTGACAAACTAGGGCATGTTCGCAAAGATGAATTGTGGAACTCTTGCAAAGTTTTCAAAATAAAACCTCAAGATATCACATTAACTAATTGCACATTGCTGCCAGATAATCCAAACATTAACTGGAAGGTTGAAATTGTCTCTCAACTTATTCTCAATCACGTTGAAATGCTTGACATAGACTTGCTAATTACATTCGACAAAGATGGCATTAGTCAGCATAAAAATCATCAAGCCATTTACTACGCAACAGCATCACTTTGTCTCGCTGGATTAATGCCATCAACTTGTAAAGTTTTGATTCTTGAAACAGTAAATATTCTAAGAAAATATTTATCGCTATTCGACGTTGTTATAAGCCTTTTGTTATCAACTAATTGGTAAGAAAGTTAAGAGATTTTTCATGTAATTAAATACGATTAAGCTTCTTCTTTTCTTTGACATAGGACGATTCTCAAATGGTCAGAAAGGAAAATAGTCCAAGCTGCAATGCATCAGCATAAATCACAAATGGTGTGGTTTCGAAAATTATACATCATTTTTTCTCGTTACATGCTGATCAATTCTCTTACAGAACTCAATCAAGAATCAATTGAATTTGATATACTCGAGTCTTAAACATCAAATGGGATTAAAAGCTTTAGCCAAATATAAAACTCTTCTGTAAATTAGTTTTTTGTTACTCTTTTTAATTCACTGCAATACACACACACAACATGAAAAACTATTTAAAATGACAAAACAAAGTTTGAAATAAAAAAGCAATTAGCAAAATCAAATGAAAAAGTTTTCTAGACTAAAAAGGAATTCTGACGAAAATTGAATTTGATTTTTGCTTGGATTATTGTCGTAATTGATTTTACTTCAGAGTTGAAAGCGATTGTTAGTGAAAAATAATTGCATTGTGTTGTCGAAAAATACTTCAATTGAATGAATTGTAATTGGTTCAATTTTATATTGAAAATAATGAGCAGTTCTAACAAGAGTTTTATTCAAGATACAATTCGCCATGTGAACAAAAGAAAAATTTGACTTCTCATCAAAATGTTTCAAATAAATAACATTCCACCTCAATATAAACCGAATATGTGGATAAGTGTATGCTCAAATTTCGTTGTTATCTTTTTGCACTTCCTTTCTTATTGTCTTCGTTTTCGTTTTGTTAAGCAAATGAACATTTCAATTGATTAAACTTTGCTTCAAGGGATTGTTAAAGTTGTTTTCTCTGATCATACTTTAATTTTCTTTTTCTTTGTTTAAATTTATTTTATACTCATAAACATTGAAGAGTTTTCAATGCTCACACTCACATTGCACGACTTAAATTCTTAAAATATTTCCATGCTTTATCGATTGTTTGACGAAGTTCATGCTTCGAGTGTTTTTACAACAAAAATATCTTCGAAAGAGCCCCGAGAAAAGCTTCCAAACAAACAGATTCTCTGCTTCATGAAAAATTCATGAGAAGCTATCTTTAAGGAAGCATATCTTCTCACTCACGTCACTCATCCATTGTCTTCTCTTCGTTGTCTGAAGGTATCATCATCATCATCTTCTTCATCGTAATCATCATCATCAATACCAAAATCCGAGAAAGATATTTAGGAAACAGAGATCGTACAGAGACAGGAAGTATCTGATTTTTCTCCTTCTTTCATTCTAACAAAAAAATTCTTGTATGTTGCTTGAAATATAGGAGCGGAAATGTGCTAAAATTTCCACCAGAAGTAAAGATGAACGGAAGGAGTCATTTAATGGATGAGAAGCATTATGCTTATTATAAGCATGAAGATATGATGAAGATTGCGTACAGTAATAATCCTTAAGGATTAAGATTGCTTTGATAAGAGAGAAATTTTTACTTCATCTTTATTCTTATATTTCCTTCCCAACATTCTCCGCTACCATTGGAATAACTTTTTTAAACTGCTAATAAAAGTTTCATTCTTCTACTTTCTTTACAAAAATGTTTGTGTACTAAACAAATATTTAATTTTGTCATCCAATTTAAAAGAAATTCAAAATGTTTTCCCTAAATGAAATTTGATGCTTTTGTAAAATGTTGTTCGTTGAAGTGAAATTTATAGCTGGAATAAATCTGAAACTGAATATCTTCTAAAACAAAAACATAAATAAATAACAGAAAAGATCACTTTAATATCGAGCGAAAGTGAAGTCTTACCACGTGTCATTTAACAAAAACTTTGAATACTTTTCACAACAATACAACCTTGAGATAAGATGAACAAACAATTGTATAATTCACCTTTTTTATCTTTGCGAAAGGTAGCGAAAACAAATATTCAATGTGAATGCTAAAATAAGCGAATTTCGAGGATTGCACAGATTTTCACCATTAAGAAGGGAAAGAAATTGAGTCGTAACTTTTCTTACAGGCCCCCCACATAGAATTTTCCATTTTTTTTCGTGCCTATTCTTGTGCGTCCTAACATTTGACAAAGAAATCTTTTTTCTTCTTTTATCAGAACAGCAAATGAAAAAAAGCACATTTAAGACGTGATTTGGAAATGTTATTTCACCTCGCATATCACCCACTGCTTTTGATTACTCTCCATTGTATGTGCTTTCTTCCCAAATAAAATAATTGTTTCTCTCGACTTGATTTATCTCAGGTTTTGACATCGTCAGTCGTTGAACTGGTATTTATTGTGATATCTTTTGAGTTCACTTGAATTCGATTTATTTTCTTTTCATTTTCTTATAAAAGTAACAAGACTTGATGCTTTGTGTGTTACTCACAAAGAAAAGAAAATTCAGATTTGAAGGAGTCGGGAAAAATGAAATTAAATATTTAAACTCATATAAGAAAAAAAAATCTCATATTCAAACCACAGGCTTAAAGGAAAAGCACTCCTCAATTTGAGTTCAAGTCAATGAAAGTAAATTGAAACATCACTTCCTAAATCACGCGCCACCAATAATTTTTGATAAACTTTTCCTTCTCGTCTTAATTTTATTTTGCCGCCTGAAATGATCCCTCCAATAAGGGAAAGTTTTCAATTGAAAAGACTTTTAAAGAAATGTTCGTCTCCCGCGGCAAAACGTGACTTTATTGTTCACTTCGTTTTGCCAGCATTTGTCGTTAGAAATGTGGACGGACGAGTAGAAGAAAAAAAAAGCTTTCAAAAACTTTTATTTTTATTGAAAAAGTTTGAGGATTTGGCAAGAATTAATAATGCAAGTTGATGAAAAATCGAAAACTTTCTGACATAAATTGAATGATTTACAGAAAATTTCAATCTTTCGTCACCAAAGCGTGATTAATTCAAAGTGACATTCATTGATACTTTCGTTAAAAAAGCTTTCCATTTTATCACGTTCACATAAATCGAGTTATGGATCAAGTTTCCATGCTGAACAGATGAATGTTAATGTTTGAACGTTCAACTATAGCCATAACTAGATTGCATCGATGATCATTTAATGCAAATTCTAAGCTTTAGTTTAATGCATTACCATATTGATGGATTAAATTTCCAGCAACATGAAAATTGCCATCCATCTCAGCTAAAGGTGACATCAACGTATGGAAATGAAGAAGAAGAATTTTCCTCTTAAAATATGTTAGCATGGGAATGCTAATTTGATGTCAAAACTAGATTTTACAATCATTCTCTGTGATTTAAATCGAGAGGGAAATTTCATAACAGCATCGACTTCACGTCGTGTTACTAAGCAAAATAAAATATAAAATCTCGTAAAAGAAGCGAGAAGAGAGATTTACATTTCAGTTAAACGAAACTTCATTCAATCTTCTTAAATGTCAAATACAAGATCCCAAATCTTTATGAGATATTCCAAGTTTCGATGGATTCTGCTACGGGCAATTGATTTTTAAGAAATCGATCATGATGTCTTGAGTATCTCAAATAAAACCCTCTTGATGGGTCAATCACTTTCTCGAAACTTTGGATTTAATTTTACCATTAACCCAAAGCTTAAAGCAATGTCAAATATTTCCAAATCGTTTAGAGTTGAGAGTGAAAATTGGAAAACTTTAAATTTCTTTTGAAATTTATATCATCCAGAACTTTCTCAATAAAATATAATAAAATAAAATAACAACAACGATTCAATTTCAACCCCACAAGAGAGATTTTAAAATCCATTTATTCATAGCACTTATTTAGTCACTTTCCTCAAGAACTTTTCCTTTAAATATTTTTCTTCAATTACATTTCGCTATTTTCCACTTAGCCGCTTCAATTTGCATAAATTTGTTTTCCTTGCCGCTTTCAGAAGTCATGAGAGAGAGAGAGAGAGATCAAAAGGCAAAAGTACAGAATGGAATTTTTGATTGTTATGAGAAGAGGTAAATGCTTCTAAACGGTTCTGTTTCGCTTAATGAAAAAGCTTTGACGATGAATGTTCTCAAAGGAATTTCACACGTCGAGAAAATTCCCACTTCAAGGAGTACTTGAAAATGTTCATTTGCACGAATGAAGAATTTCGCTCCCTAAATATTCACGACGAAATGATTTCTTCAACTTTTCGTAGCATAAAATAATAAAAAATAAGCTTTCTGTTAACAAAAGGTGAATGTGTAATTACAAGCTGCGAAAGATAATCAAATGGTTTTACGTTTATTAGCGTGTTAGTTGCGCCGCTGTTTAACTAAGCTATGATTAGTGGGAAGTCCTTTCATTTTAACCTAATATCGAACAACGACATTAGGTAAATATAATCGAGATAATTTATGGATAGTTTGTAATTAATGTTCAATTAACACCCGATAATGGCGTTGATATTTATTATTGTTAATTGATGCTATCTTCAAACTTACATTAAATCAGAAAATATTTAAACAGCTAATTGATGTTTGATTAATGAAATAAATCACAACACAGAAGCCGATTTAATTTCCTTGTGTAAAGTGATCGATTCCAACATTAAATGTCCTAACTGATCATAAGAATAATGTGAATTTGATGTCTCAGAAAATGGTCTAAAAAGTTTCTCTGAAATTCAATTAAGGCGAAAATTACGAAGGTGAAAATTTTTCTGTTTTTTCAATGAAAGGTTTAGTTGGTAATTATGAATTATTTTATATTTTTGAGCTTATAATATTCCACCCTCGTTAATGATTTCATATCAGCATTTATTTCAATATTCTCAACAGAATAATTTTTTATAAACCTGCGAAGGCAAGCAAAAAATTAATCTTTTCATAATATTCAATACAACTCATCATTGATATTCATGATGAGCTTCACAAATCGTTACCAAGATTATTCATACCTATGGAAGTGAGTTGCTTGCTTAAACATACGTAAGAGAAATGGGGTGAAATTTAATAACAACGATATGAGAAAGACGAGTAGGAAAATTCAACGAATGCGTGAATTTGACTGAAAAATTCAAAAATAGTTGAATTTTCCCACTCAATGGATTTCTCTTCGTCAACGTTTTTTCTCTTCCTTCTTAATACTTATAAAGAAACTTTCACAGTTGGTATTGACAGTGAAGACTCAGACAGAATCTTCTTAAATAATCATCTTTGTATAAATCAGACGAGAAAATTTAAAATTTTCTTCTTCTAGAAAATATTTTCCACTCGACTACATGCAAAATGTCTGTGCCAATTCAAAATATATATTTCAACATAAAAGAATTTATTGTAAATCTTTTAAGAAGCTCTCAAAATCGCATCAGTGGCAAGGCACATCAAATAAATAACCAATTTTGCCCCTTTCCATTATATTTATTTCCATGTTTACAACCAAAGTCTTTACGACAACTGCCAGATTTTCTAATGGAAAACAAATAAATTTTCTTTGCGTTGTTGGCTTGAAAGGAAAGAAGAGAGAGGGAAATAAGATTTCTAGGGTCCCGCATTAAACGTAATTGGAGAGAATGTTTATATGTTATGGGCAATTACATGGAAAGCTTTTGGTTCACTAGAAAAAAAATCTAATTTTCAACTGACAAAAAATCCTACAAGCTAATCTTCCTCTTATGTTTAACTCAGTTTAGCTTTTTCTCTTGATGAGAGCCAGAAAAAGCAAAAAAGATTTATTTATGTGATTATTTTGAGGGAAAAAATAATACGATGAAATGAAATCCGCTTCATTAGGGGAATTAGACAGATATCTTCAAGGTGAGGCAGTTGAACTTAAGCTTGTGTATATAAAGCTTCTTATTACAAACAATCAATTGAATTGATCTCGAAAAGGGGAATTCGATGACATTATGCTGAAAATATGAAAATTGAGAACATTACTCGCTTGATTATTTCAATCAACGATTCGAAAGATAATCAAATAAACAAATTGCGACATCCTGACGTTTCTGATTACACGATTTATGTTTTCACAAATGAACCTCATTGAACGACAACGTGGCAAAATTGAAATCATTCAAGAAGGGAAAACCTGAAATTTGATAAATCTTATCATTGATTGCATTGTGATAAGATAATCATTATAAAGCCCATGCTGATGTGTAAACATTTATGTAAGTTACTAGCGGTAGTCGTATGTCAACTTTTGAATAGAAATATGTAAGATCGAGGCCATTAATCAACCTGTTTGTTTAATTATATTTTATGACAATTTTAGGACACTCATCAAACAAATTACTGTAATCTTGATTTTCTTCATATCGCTGTCCCAGACGTTTGTTTTAGATTGTGAATTTGATCCAATTACGTGGGCATCAGTTCCAACCTACTATGGTTGCAAGGCAGATGTAATACACACCGGAAGTGTCAGTGAAATTGATAATGTGATTGGAGAGCATTGGGATGACCATAATAATACCCTCGTGGAATTTATTTACGTTTACAATCAAACATTGCCTCGGATTCCACTCAATCTCAAAACATTTTTTCCCAACATTAAAGGCATTGAGTGGCATTCTTCGAAACTTCAGAAAGTTACAGCAGAAGATTTGGAACCATTTCCACACCTAACACACTTTGCTTCGTTTTATAATCCATTGGGATCACTTGATGGCGACCTTTTTAAACACAACCCAAATATGCTTTGGATTTACATTTACAACAGCTCTTTGAAGTCAATTGGAGAAGATTTTTTCAGTAACTTGAACGAGCTCACGTTTTTGAATTTCGAGAAAAACCTTTGCATAAATGCTGTGGCAAAAACACCCAGTGAAATAGAAAAACTAAAATCTCAGATACGTTTGAAGTGCAGTCCACTTAATACACCAAAACCAGAAACAGTAGATGAATTCTGGAATCACTTTAAAACAATGAAGGAGAACGTGCTCGAATTAGCGCAACTTAATCATGAACTCGAAATGAAAGTCAAAGAATTGTCTTCTGAGGTGAAAACTTTAATAAAGAACGTGAAAGATCAAAAGAAAACAATTGTAAAATATGAAATCCGATTTACGAAACTTGAACGTAAAATCAGAGAATCTAATTTAATTAATTCTATCAAAGTGGCTGTAACAGAAGCTTTAACTTCATTGTTCGATTTATTGATATCATTTTTCAAAAAACTGATAAGCTTTTTCGTTAATATTCCCGAGAACGAATTATAAAAGTGGTGGCAATGAAAGCGACGTCGATAACAATTAGTTCAGTTAAGGTAATTGATTTACACAAGATTTGTGTTCGTGTTGGAACAATCACGTTTAAAACACTTTTAACTTATACAATTATCGAATGAAAATAATCACAATTGATAAACATAAACTTAATTTCGATGAAATATAAAATAATTTAATAAAGAAAATATTTTTTTAAAAATAACTTTCTTACAATTTTCATATTAAAATAATTAAATTAATATCTCTTTTTTTACTTTCTCGAACTACACGAGACAAGAAACTGATGTAAAACATTAAAAATTAAATGAACTTTATTGTGGCTTTATGGAGAGCAAAGAAGGGTGAAGGAGGAAGAAAGTTTTCGTCCTTCTTCATGGAAGAACAAAATCTAAAAATAAAATAAATAAAAATTTCAAGCATCATTGAGTATCTTGGATCGTTGTAATCGATATATTTCCCCCCTTTTCTTTCTTGGGTCACTCAAATGAGTTTTATTGTTTTCCTTTTATTTGCCAATTAAATTTACTGCCCGAATGAACATTCAGTTTTGGCTTCAGCATCCATTCCCCTTTCTTGAGTTCCTTTCTATTCTTCACTGGTTTGCTGCTTTGGTGTTTTATGTCGCTGCTGTTTCTACCATGAAAATAAAATTTCTAAACCAAACGATTAAGCAAGAAAAGATATTTTTATCATCTTACGATGAAGCTTTTCTTCTTTTGGCTTTCCTTCTTTATTGTACAAATGGTATGAATGAATCGAATCGAAAAGAATCGAATCAAAGAGTGTTTGATATTCTCCACATGAGAAAGCGACTTCATAAATTATTTATGAACCTTCTTTCACTTCCTTCTTTGCCAACCCAGTTGAGATAAAAGGCGAGACAACTTCTTAATGATGATTAAAGTGAAAAGCCTTTTTTTCTTAGAGTAATGAATGAATATTGTTGGCAGTAACAATAAATTATTTCTCCCAACTACACTTCCTGTTCCAAAGTTTACGAAAGCTAAAGGACACCAGTTGAAGGAAGGGACGAAGGAACGATGATATATTTCAAATGTCGAGAACTTTTTTCTTTTCCTTCACGGAATATCAAGCAAAAACGTAAAGCAAAACAAAAATACAATTAATCAATTAATGCTAGTAAAGCACTTCTATGAGCTCTTTCAACTTCTCCACCTTCTTTATGAGGATGTAAGAAAGCTTGTCTCATCATCATTATCGTCGCAGAAAAAAATCTTGTTTTCTTAACACAAAACTGTTTGTCTTTTTTCGGGGGTGAAGATAAACTTTCTTTCATTACTTTGCAGCGTTTTTCTTCCAATATAATTAACGCCTAAAAGCTTTGTCACTTTAGTAACAAGAAATGGAAAACACCAGATGCGAAAAGAATCTTTAAGATTGACAGCAAAATTTCTTCCTTTGAGTTAGGGTGTGTGTGTGTGTGTGTATGCATAGGAAAATCATGACATTCAATTTGTTGCGTAGAAAAAAAAATAAATACATATTTTTACGTAATTGTCACATTCTTCTTGTTAACAAGATGTTGACACAGATAAAAAAGTTTTACATGAAAGGATAATTGAGCAACATTGTTAGTTAGTAACGAAATGTATCAATGTTGACAAAAAAGAATTTGTGGTGAATCTTTGGATCGAAATCTATTAAAGACGTCAAAACATTAAAGACATGTCTGCAGAATTTTATTCCTTTTAACTGACGAGAACTGTCATCAAACTTCGAAGAAAATTGCGTGCGAAAATACTGCTTGGCGATTTGCCTTTCGTATCAGTTTAATTACTGCTAATTAAATCTTCTTCGACATAACTTTCCACCCCCAGCAGCAATAAATATGAAGCTTTTGTTTCTATTCTCGGAATATTGTTTCCTTACAACCTTAATTAGGGTTGCGCAAAACGTGAATGACGTAAATTTGTTATGAATGTCTCACTTTTATGCAGCTTGCGGCATGAAAACATTACACAAAATAAAAAAAATTAGCGTAGTGAAGGTTTATCGATGCGAATGAAAGAATTCCCGCGAGCTTTTTGCCTTCTTTCAGCAAAAAGACGATCCTACATTTTCATTAGGAGCGTCGAGAACATTGCAAAATGAAATATAAAGACGATAAAAAAGAGGAATTCAAACTGAATTTCATTTCAAGGTAGATTCAGAGTTGACAAGATAGATTGCGTAGGAGTATCAAACAATGATGAAAGTTATGAAGAATTTGTTTGATTAAAAGAATAAAAACAAGTGACAAAAATAGTGAATGAATGGAAGTTAGTAACCGACCGCGTCTGCAAAGAAACCGTCGCATGATGAATCAAAGAAAATTGATGGATTGAAAGGGAAAAAAAATTCTTCTCATTGAATTGGGCTTTGATGTTAAAAAAGAAAAAGGAAAATAAAACTAATGAAACCTCTCGTGAAATGAGCAGATAAATCAATTCCACAATCAACAGAAAGAGATTTTCCTCCACTGCTTTTCTTTATTTTTTATATCCATCTTCAACAACTTGTCGGAATTTCCCAAAAGGATTTCCATTTCTTTTCATTTATCGAATAACTCTTACAGCTAACAGCACTCTGCGATAAACAAAAACTTATTCATGTTGGATGCCTTAAGTGATGTTTACTTGTTGGCAAACCTCACTTGCGATGTGTTGAGAAGGGAATAGCGACATGAACGAAAGCTTCTTAATCTAAGGCTATGCACGAATGTTCATTATCAACAATTCATGGCTACGCATAATTTTATGTTTTGGATATTCATAGTTAGGGACGGGAAATAAGAATTTCTTCTTCCTTTCTCGTGGAAAGCCTCTGAAGGTGATGATGTTGATGATGATAATTTTTGAATCTTTATAATCGCGTTTCATATTTCAACAACGAAAATTCCAATCGGAAATTTCCCTCATAGATTGTATTTAAGAAGATTATTTATTGAATAGTTAACTGCTTAGCAGCCAATAAATATTTACTGAAATTTATACCACTCAAAGTGTTCATTAATTTGATAAAAATCATTTTCAACCCACTCGAATGGAGCTCAATTAAAGTTTCATTAGCGGAAAAACCGGCTGGCTGACTGCCGCTGTTCACTCATAAAAAACAAACATCTTACCATAATTTTCCTTAATGTTTATAACTGCAAGAGTGAATTTGTTACAAATTTATTTGCTTTTATGGACTCTAATCGAGTTAATAAAACAAAAACGGAGATTGAGCAATTACCTCTGAAAAATATTAACTTTGTTAATGTTAAAGCAAAACTCGTTTGAAACATTTATGGAAAAGAAAGAAAAGAAATTAATTTATTACAAAACGCAATTTAATTTATTAATGGATACTTTTATTTGTTGAATGCTACCGTTTTTATACCCGCGATTTGAATGCTTTTTTATGCTTATGGTGCCAGTTTTCCATGAAATGCTGGAATAAAAAGCTCTCCAACATTTCCCATTCTCAATTTTCTTTTCCATTTCCATGAAATAAAAATCCACAACGAAGCAGATTATTTTCTTGCAAAACTTCTTCAGTTGATAACCGGATTTAAAACGAAAAAGACTTTCATGTCGTTGACTCCGTGAATTTCTTTATCTTTCTTTCATGTATCCTATCGGGAAAATCTCGTAAATTTTCATTCGTAACACCAAACAAAAGCAAAGCAGCAAATGAAAAATTTCTGTCGAGTGGAGGCAAATATTTAACAGCAGAAGAAAATCTTCTACCACAAAAGGACATTAATTGAAGAAATGTGTTTGTTGATAATTAAAAATAATGGTGAATTATAACTCCGAGGTTAAATAAAGTCGATGTCATGATAATTAAAAACAGCTGCAGACGATTTTAAGTAAAATTCTATCAATTGATTGTTAAACATTTAAACTGTGCAAAAGAAGGAATATTTTAATTTACGATTCAATTCGTCTTACATTTTCATTATCATGTCTTAATCATTATTGAAATGGGTAGAAAACACGCGTTAGAAAGCCATGAAAATTAATTCAACCCTTCCTTTCATCACTCACCCATAAACTTTTCACTTGCTACTAACAAAAAAAAAATTTTTACATTAAATACAATTCGGTAATCATCTTTTTCATAATAAGCTTGTCCGACTTTCTTTTTCTTTTTGTTTTATTTTCCCAAATCCTTCTGTGAACATCGACATTAGAAAAAGTTTACAAAAGTTAGTCACATGTGCGTTTGACGTTAAATAAAATTTCGTGGGGAGCTTAGAAGTACCAAAAAATAACAACAAAACAAAACATTACCGAGAAATTATTGCTTCGTACAATGTTGTTTCATGACGTTCAATTTTAAGTGAAGAAATAAAAAAAGCTAACAAATCAAATTTGCAACAAAAACAAAAAATTGAATGAAAAGTTTGTGAACGTATGAAAAAGCTTTGAGCCTTATAAATATGTAGATACATCGGAAAATCCTCCTAATTTAGATTGTACATATCACATTTATCCTCATTCATCGTAACTGTATCCGTCCCAAAATAAAGCAAAGCATTTTTCCATTTGAAGGCTCTTTTGGATCCCGCTTTTTTGTGTGTGCTTCAAAACTTGATTCTCTTCTTCATATTATGCAACCGTGGATTCAAAGAAAAGGAAGATCATTATTCGGATATCTTTCAATGCTTCTGCTCTTGTATTTTCATTCTCTTTCCCTTTTCCATTCATCCATCCTAATTTCAAAATGATTTTGTACTGTTAACCGAGCATACAAGACAAAATGCAGATAAGATATTGAGTTAAGGATTTGATTTTCATGTTTTACGAATGTGACGTTACTTAAAGGATAGGAAGTGTTTTATCAATGAATAACGTGAATGAAAACTGTAGTCTTTTGTCGATCACAACAAAGGACTTCATCGACCCTTTTCCTTCTTTCTTATGTTCACTTTCTTTCGCCTTTTTCACGAAGGATAAAAAATATTTCAATCAACTCCACTGAGCAAAGATTTCCACCCACACCGAAAAAGAAAGGAAAAAAATATGATTCTCAAAAGTGCTTCTTTTTTCTTCTCACTTACTTTCTTTAAGCAAACAAGCAATCGATCAACTTAAAATGCTCTTTTCTCTAAACAAGAAAGATTCACGACTTGAACTTTGACCTCAGCGACAATAAATTTGTCAAGAAAGCAAACGCAAAGTTACGCAAGAATGTTCAGCACGAATGACGAAGATTTCCTTTAACTTTCCTTCTCCTCTGCATTCACCATTCAAACACCAAAAACACAAGTCAATTTTCACGTTTAATTTCATAAGAAGCTGCCTTATTATTTATGACCTATTCAGTCGGTAGACGACGTCATCTCTTTCTTTATTTATCCCCTCATGCACAAGTTGATTGTATAGCTCATTTCTTATATTTTGACTTGATGAAATTGACTTCTTCATCTTCTCTACTCACTTTTCAGCAGCAAATTTGACGTTCTTCTATCCTTTGCGTAGCAACTTTACCTTTCACCATTTTTTCCGCCGTTCTCAATGTTGAATTTTTAATGGAGAAAGAGAGAAAGAAAAGAAATTTGACATGAATGCTTGAATAAGTTAGTTTCAAATTTGAGTGAGAGTTCTTCTTAGATGTCTGTTCACATGCAACTCTAAATCTATCCACAAAGAAAGACGCTCGGTCAGACATTCAACAGACATAATAAGCAATTAACAAGTGGATAAAAAAGAAATCATAAAAACATAGAAAAAATAATTAATTTCGAGTGAAATGAAATCAACAGTGTACCATTACTATGGACCGAAGAGAAAAAGCAGATGCTGTGGCCAATTTACCGTCAAGAATTGGGCATTAACAAGTGCAATTTATACTTTGGTGAGTTGAATGCCATGTTGATGCTCTGAGATCGTAAAAAGAAAGTTATAAAAAAGTCGCCTTACGATCCCGTAAAATCTCTGACGAAACTTTTCTCCTTTCTGGTGACACTTGGTTAACAATGACATTCAACCAATTTGTGTTTGCGGCGGCATTTGTGGAAAGACAAACATGAAACATTCACTTATTTTACCACCTCAACAAAGCTCTTGAGAAATACGATTACTTTTTTTTGTTTCCTTACTTTATCTCGTAATATTCACACACATGTGCTGCTACTGCATAAAGTGTTAAATGAACATAAGAATCACTCATGATGAGAAGCTTAAAGGCATTTGACATCTTATTAAGCTTCTCAACAAAATGATTTCTAATACGGACTTTACCTTTCTTCCACTTTTTCACCTCTTTATCTCTTGTCAATTCAGAATATCTCAATTCTCGTCGTTCTCATGTACTCATGGCAGATAAGTGTAAACATGAAGAAATATCAAAGCCTTGGTGACGTTTATTATGGTAAGATTTCAATGAAATTTATTTTCTTCTTTTTCCCTCATTCAATATCTGTTGAATCTTCTTTTTCTTTATGACATTGTAATCGATTGCGCAACATGCTACGTAGGAGTGCAAATAGCTTATTATGCTATCATCTTCTCACAATTTTCCATGATGGTGCTAAGTGTCTTACTTGCCATAGGCGTTTATACCGTAAGTTTATATTAAAGGTCGACGTCTGCTTGTGATGTGTGGTGTGCAGATTTTAAGCCATGAAACTCTTCACAAATTGAAAGCAAACCGTGTTTGCTGATGTTGTTGTTTACATCAGTTGATGGTGGTGGCAAGTGACCCCCGTCACCATTCTGATTCTTTATCAAAAAAAAAAAAGAGAAAAAAGCAATCATGGAAACTTTCACTGGATGAACATGAAAGTTTTTGTTTATGGTTGAAACATTTCCCCTTCCGGTTTAGGATATTCAACAATAAAAGAAAAACTTTTATTCTTTACAATTTTTTACTTAGGAAAATGCGGGACTTGTGGTGCCATGGTTAATTGGAATTTTGACTTTCATGAGTTTTGAAGCTCTCGCACTCGTCTATGCGAATGTACTGAAAGATCAAATTCTAGGCGTAAGTTAATTAGGAGTCTTTAACGCGAATGATGTTGGAAAATAGTCATTTGACTTGATTTATTCGGTGAAAAATCATCAAATTATTCCAACATCACTTGCGGACTTAATGTAGTGGAACATCGTAAAAACTATTTTAGCAATAAAAAAGTTTCATTAGTTTAACGACTGAAAATTTCCTCTCCTTTCTTTACAGCATTTTGACGTATTCGGAAAGACTGAACTGATGTTCTTTCTAGTTCGAGTTCTTCTAAATGTAAGATGAAAAAAAAAAACAAATTTAATTGCCATCATAAAAATGTAAAATGAACAATTTCCGCATATTTGCTTCCATCTTTTTTTTCTCTTTCTTTGTCACATCGCAGTCACTCGCAATGTGGGCTGTTATGAAATTCTATCACATGCTTCGTTCAGGCATTTCTTGGAAAATAAATGAGACAATTATTGAGCTCTGACACAGTTCATACGACATGAAAACCTCAACAACGCACTCCTACTGTGACGATGACACGCAAAATGAAAACGACATCCTTAATATTGATGCGAACAAGAATGAAACTTATCTGATCGATAGCAATAGTCATTGTCGAAGAAGAAATGCTAAAGTCGTTGATAACGAGGATGACTGTGATAGTTTGTCAGATAATGAAGACGACTCAGATTGCGAACGTCACATTGGCGACGGTTTCAACGAGAACGACACGTTTCTAAAAGCATACGATGCGAAAACAATATCATCGGTGTGACAATAAAACGATTTTTAAGCATCACACAATGAGAAAGTTTGAATTACAAATTTAAAATAATGTTTGTCGTCAGTCGCAACTCTCATCTCTTATCTCGTATCGGATTGCAATAAAAAGAAATGTATCGATGATTTTTCAGACGGGGGGAAAAGTAAATAGATCAATGGGAATTTGATTGAATGGATTTATGTGCTAGAATATCAATTTCCATGAGTCACCAGAGACAAATTGTATGCTTTTGTTTTCTTAGAATTCCCAGTCTAATGAGCTTTCGGTTGGCAAGAAAATTCTGTTGGAAGTCTCTCGAAATGAGGTCACTATGGCATTTTGCCGTCGAGACGTTAATTTGATTGATTGCAAATTAATTGATTGAGCAAAGATAATTATTCAACAGTTGTCGTGGATTGTCAGCCGCATTCTGTTGACACAAAGCATTAAAATAACTTTGTTATGTAGATATTTGAAATAAATAAATAAAATTATAACGAAAATTCTCTCGACCTCTTTTATATCGCATTTTCACGTTGTTTGAATTGCGTCAAGAAAAATATTTTCAGGATCACATATATGTATTGCCATAAGGGTCAACAAGAAACATGATTGATTGTACAACAAAAAATATTAATATTTATTCCATAGTGAACGAGAAATTCAACAGGTGACAGAACAATGATTTTACTTCACAAAAACAAAGTTGATTAAAGTGGAACAGTTGTATGCATCATGTTTAAGATAAGTGCCATTTAATTATGCTTTTATTCAGCATTATTTATAGCTTTGTTTAATGACAGAAAAATTGCTGCCAATGCTTTGAAAGCTGAAACTCTTTTAACAGTCATTGCGTCAGAATGAAACTGCTCAAAGACATTTTCTTTCTTTTATTAATAGCAAACATTTAGTTCATCCTCATGATGCAGGCAATGATTTCATTTTTCTTCCGGCCTTGGCGACAAGTTTTTCTTTGAAGTTTCTTTTCTTTCTTTTTTGTTTCATTTATTCAATGTTGACTGTAAAGTTTCTTCATCCGTTTCAGAAATAAATTGAAGGGAAGAGAACTTAAAGTTTTTCTTCTTTTTCTGCTGCTTTTATCGTTTTTTATATGAATAATTTATATTATTTTGTTCTTTACCTCATTCACTGCTTTTTCTATGATTTCGTTATGCTGCATAAATCAGCAATAATTCAAAGTAAAACAATGAAAAATCGATTCGATTTTGAAAAATCATTCTGAAATTCATACACAGACAGCTGATTTATTGACGCTACCAGATTAATGAATTATTGTTTCAAGCAGCAACTTTGATGTTGTTTATGAAAATCTATAAATAATTTTCCAGTGATTTCATGCTCGAAAAATGTGCTTGTTTCACTGATGGATAGGATATGTGGAGGAATTAAAATAACTAATTTTGATTATGGTTTTATGCATGTATTTTATTAGCACAGCTTGTCATGGAAAATCTTTTAATGCCTGCAGCTTTGTAGTGAGTTATGACATTATAAAAAAACAATTAACAAGTTAACAGTTCTCCGCAATTTATATCCAAAGGCTTGGTCAAATGTAATTAATTTTAACACCACACATAGAGTTAAGTTGAAGAGTTTACTTTCACTCTTTGTCGGTGGTTAGGTCAAGGTTTGACCAGTGACCAGACACTTTGTGTTTGACATGAAGCAAACAAAAAGAAGTTCACAGCATGATAGAAACAAAGGCCAAATGATCAAACCACTATGGTTTCTCATGTCTCACATATCAAGGGGACGGCAAAGTTATGCAAATTGAATTTGTTGTTGAGGCTCGTCTCAAAATCTCAAATCTTTTCTGACTTGAAATTGTTTTTCTTCTCTTTGACTACGTTTGCTGAATACAAATTTGGAAAACTTTGTTCAACCGAGATTTTCATTTACATGTGAAAAGTAATATTCAAGTAATTACATTGTTTTGTGTTAAATGGCCATTGATTTTCAATCAAGGGTTGAATTGAACAATTTTAAACAAATTTGTTGTGGTTAAGTTAAGGAGAATTTTAAACAGAAAACTTTCCAACTCACCCAATTGATTCCCTTAAAAGCTCTGTGAACTTTGAAATTGTTTCACATTCCACAGTTTTAAATTTTATTTGAGATACAAAATCTCGAATTTCTCTGACCATTTGTAAGAATGTTTCGATTAAATTCTCTTGACTTTATGGTATGATCTCTTGATGAAAGAAATTATTTAAAAAAAAAGGATGATTTTACTGAAAAAGTTACGACATGCTTCAACTCTACAGCAGCTTTAGGAATTCTGAATATTTTCAGGAAACTTTCCGATAAGGGTTCTCTGATGTTCAATCTTTCTGAGGCTATCATATAACATTGTTTTGGAAAGCTTACACTCCCCTTCTCCTTTCGATTATTTTCTTTCTTTTTTCAATTATCGTCGTTAAATGAACAACGCCAGTTGAATGAATGGCTCATTATATCACAAGTGCCATTAAATTTCATATCGTATAACAGAAGCAATCAAATTTAATTTGTCTTTCTCGTTTTCAACCTACACCCTTCCACCCTCTCGTTTCGACCCTCCCCACCTTAAATTGAATATCGAGTTTTCGTTTTCATTAGAATTGGAAACGTTTCGTCTTAATTACGCTTTGAATGAGACGTTTACAAAGAGGGGATTAGTGTATAAGTATTTATCTTTTTCAGGAATATGCTTCCAATACTTTCCGTTCAAGTGGCAAATTATATCTTTACGAGATGGCATAAAATCAAATTGATTCTTGATGCCACCTAATTGGAAAGAAAATAAAGCTTAAGTGAAAAAGTACTTGAAGATGATAAGTAAGGAAATGAATCGATCGATATTTTTCATCAGATAAAGTACTTTCAAGCCATTTTGCCGCTCACATGATGTCAAATATATTCAGAAGAAACTTTACGTCATTTATTTTCGTTGAAGCTTACATACATGCGACAACATAAGAATTCAAGTAAAATTGCTTTACTTTTCCTTCTCCTCTCAACAAGATAACGCGTTTGATATGTGAATAGCGCTTGAAGGGAGTACATGAGCGAAGTTTGGCGTGATTTTTATTTCATCTACAGCAAATCAGTTCGTAATAAAGTCAAATAAAGAAAATCTAATTTTTGCACTGTCTGTCAGTCAAAATATATGAAAGCACCATCATGCGAACCTTCACGCATTATGCTTCACTGCTCCAGGCATGGATGAAAGGAACATAACATAATTGAGTTCTCCTTTATTGAAGTTGATGTTTAGGCTTTGATATTGAATCACAATTTCACAAAATTTCACCGAAATAAAAGTGAATTATCAATACCCTTAAATTTCAAATGCATGAATGATATCTAACAAAATCAAATTTCAATGAAAAATGTTTGTAAGATTTCATCACTCAAATGTGTAAACATCATTTCCATGGGTTCTCACCTTTTTCATTTTCAAATAAATTTTATGAAGCCCACCAATTTGCAGAGGGAATGTTTCAATTGAAGTTTATCTGATGATGAATGAAATGATTTGAAATGATACAAACTTGTTAGTTACATTTTATATTTTGAAAAGACTCTTACAATAATGAAATTTTTTTATGAACAAGCTTCCTATTGTTACTTGCTTTGTAATATTCATTTATGTTTTAATTGTTCATAACGGTGGTGGAGCCTCAAAACTGACGAGTTGAATATCAACCTCAGATGAAACATTTGTTTATTTCCTAGCAACGTTTGAACAAATAACTGAAACTTAATGGAGGAAGCTTCATGAGAATTTAATTACAAGTTAGTGTTTTCAACATTAAAGAATGCTGCAGTAAGAGAGAGTTATTGAAGAATTCTTCTAGCACCATCACGACGAACTAAATGAATTACTAACATTGCTTCAACATTGCCTCAGCAAAAAGGCGAAATCAAATTTATCTTGATGAGAATGTTTCACCTTTTCGCAGCCTTTTGTTTATTTCCACCTTTTAAATATTCCTCAGAGAAACCTTCAAGATACAAACCTACAAAGCATAAGCTACAACAGAGTTATTCAATTATTTTACCGTTAATTAAATTCTGGAACGATAACGAAGTGAAGTGAGCGAGTTTCTTTTATCTCAATGCTTAATGAATGAATTTTCCGCGGATTTTGAAGTAATCTTTTCTTCTTGATATTTCTGTTTCTATGACAGAGACTCTTGTTAAATGATAACAGGATGAATATCATCACTATCTAAATGGATATCTTTACAGGAATTTGTTTATTTTCGCCACACTTTCTCTTGTCGTTTTTAACACTCGAATAATCCACAAAATTGTAACAAAAGCTTTAAATTGTTATATCATGTGATACCTAATCCTATAGTTTTGAAAGCAAGTCATGTTTCTGAATTAGGTCATAAGAAAATGAAAAACCTTAGAAATATCATGTTTTGCATAAAATAAAGCTTGCATTTTAAGAAGATGAAGAAGTTTTTTTTATTATCGTTTTTCTAATTTACACAATCCACGGGAGCAAATTTTATTTCTTCTTAGAAGCAATAAACATTTGAGAAACAAGTTGGAAAATACATAAATTTAATGAAAGAATCGATTTTATACACACATCTCATGCCATTTATTTCAACTTAGATATCTAATTGTTTTTAAAGCATCTTTCACTTCTTGTCTGAAAGTTTATGAGCTTTTATCCCTAAAATTTATCTATTTATCTAGATCTCACAATAAAACCAACAATTATTTTTATTATTAATGATAATAATATGGAATTAGGTATATGACATGATTAATAACTTTTAATTAATAATGATAATCTGAAATACTAAATAAAGCTCTCGTTATATTTGTAGACTTTTACTTATCATAAGTTTGTCCTGGAAATAATACTGTTGCCATATCATCTCCTTTGTTGGACGAAATTTTCGGAGAAATTGTTAAATTAGCAAAACTTATTTTATGATTTATGCCTATGGAACTAACAAGCTACGAACTTTACTTCGGTTTATCAATTTGAAATGAAAATCAAAGTTAAAAATACTCAATTTGTGATTATAAAATAAATGAAAGAAAAATTTCGTTGACATAGAAACACGAAATATTTAAATATTGACACAATCTTAAAGATATCTTACCTAATTAAAATTATTTTCAACTTTTCTGAGCTCGGAAGGAAAAAAACGGAAATTTAAATTTTAAAATTTTTCGTTTGTGTCTTCGCTAAGGAAAATTTTCCGAGAGCGTTCTTGAGGAAAAATATCTTTCGGAAAGTTTTTAAACGAGCAAGTTCACATTGTTATGCTATGTTTTAGAGCTTAACAATACCAAATGAGAATTGAAAAATGTCTAAATAGCTACAAAATAAAAATTGTAAAATGTCAATCTAACAAGGAATCTTTCCGAGAATTCTCATAAATTTTCTCAGAAAACTTTATGAATGAAACAAATTCATCCAACTCATACAAACTTTTATACATTCTCGTCAATAAAATTTAAATTAAATCCACTTGTTTAATCTTTTCTACATCGAAAATATAGAAAACAAGATATAAGAAAATTTACAGAAAATATTTTCAGTGAAGCGGAAATTATAAACAAACTCTAATACAACATTTGTATAGGATTCATACGTGTTTATACACAATAAGGTGAGTGTATGAATGCCAACAATCAATGTTGTTATTTTATAAATCTACATATTGAAATTAACAGAAATTTGAAAATTGATTTTGTACAGATTGCCAGAAGTTTTAATTATAAATTATTTGAAATTTTCTTGCTGTTCGGCTTTTCGAACGACGTGAGAGCTCGTTTGGAGAAGAAATTCATTCTTTCTTTCATTGTCTTTGCAGGAGATCAGAGGGAGCCGGAAGGGTTGAAGAAAAAAAAATTATTTGAAAATTTAAAGAGAAAGACACAAAAGTTTTCTTTTGAAAGAATTTAAAAAGTTTTGTTAATACTTAAAGTGTTTCAGTCTCAAATAGAAAAAAAGATGTCACCAATTATAATCAACTCAGGAACGAGTAATATTACACCGTCATCTAAAGCTCATAGAAAAGACTCACCGAACAAAGAAAAAAATCATGAACTTTCTGATGAAGAACAGAAACTTGAAGAAGGAACGGAGAAAGCGCGTGAAGAAAGAAAAGCAACAGGCCGATCGATTGCAATCATAATTTTCCTGTCACTTATGTGTCTTGCGCTTTATCATGTAATAAAAAAGAAAACAACGATACTAGCTGGTGTAAGTTTACGGCTCAATTTTAAAACATCTGGATCATGTCCGATATTTATTGTTTTTTCGGATTTCGTGCTTGTGTTTATTTAGGTACTCGTACCAGCACTGATACTTTTCACTTACACATTTTTTGTGATTCACATTAGTAATCGAGATAAAAAGCGGAGAAAACAATTGGTATGTAATTAATTATTTCATCATAAAAAGTTTATGTCATTGATGAACATTTTCATTTTTTTATATGAAAGGCATCTGCGGTCGACCTTGAGCTATCAATTCAAAGCGAAAGTAAAAAGTTTGACAATCCAAAAATGATATCAAATATTTCCAATCCATCAATTTCATCATCTTCTATACCGTCGACATCAGGATTGTCAATGAACTCATCTCGAAATGTAGCAAAGCAATCAGTGCCATCGTCACTCGCTAAAATCGATTCCAAACATCCACGAATTTCAATTGATCCAAAAGGAAATCTTGGTGCAGTTTCAAAACAGTTTCCACCACCTTTCAAAAAAACTCACTCTCAATCCCAAATTCAAGTAAAAAGTAATCAAACAGCAAACGCTTTTATTGAACACGAAACGAAAAAATTGAAAAAATCGCGATCGTTTGACAAGAATAACTTTGTGAATGAAATACGCCATGTGACTGATAATAAGAAAAATAAAACGAAACGTTCAGTTAATTAATCCTAATTTAAGTTTTCTAGTTTAAATCTTTTTAAATTTTAATATTTATTAACTGTTGTAATTCAAGATTTTACTTTTTTATAAGATTATAATAACGCAGTGCCTTGTCTAAGTTTATTTTTCTTGTTTCAAACGTGAGTGCGTAAAGTGAATAAATAAAATAACATGAGGCAACATGAATTTGACATTCAACGAGAAAGATAACATTCAAACATTTAACATAAATATTTCAATCATTTCCATCAATAATCTTCAAATTTAGCTAAAATTAACATCAAATTAATTAATTTTAACTTCAGATCTTATTCCTTTTTTCCCTTTCATCATGACAACGAAACTAAATACAGAATAAGAAAAGCGAATGAACTGAAATAACAAAAAAATTATATCAAAGTGTGATGTTCAATAAAAGAAAATCTTAATTGAAATTTCATTACCAAAATCAAAAGTTCCCTGTCGATATTCCAGATGAGAACTTTGATTTTCAGTGGACGTTGAGTGTACTGCAACAATGTCCGAAACATTTTCTTCTCACTTTTTGACAGCATCCACCAGTTTTTGTCATAAATCATCAATGAAATCTCTTCAATCTGATGAAGATCAATCATAATCCAAAAATAAGCTTAATTTAAATGAAATTCTATTCTAAACATAATTTTACCTTTTCCACCATCAAACTTGTCAAATTTTTCTTCTTCAATGATATTCCTGAATGCTTGAACTTTAAATAAATTATAATTGAAATGTGTGTAAACACAAAAAAAAAGTTTCAAAAGAATTTTTCTATTTTTTGTAGTATGACAAATTTATTGAAATGTTAGAAATAAAATCAAGAATGATAAATTAGTAAAAAGTTAATAAAGTTTAGGAACGTTGATCATAGGACGACATATTTGGTCAACACCCGAAATGTCGTAAGGGCCCAATCTTGTTTTAGTTTCGTGTTCATACCAAGGATTATGGACATTCACAAATCTGCTTTCCAGAATACTGAAAGCATAATTAAATGTGGAAATTGGCAATGGAGTTCTCTCAGAACCTCCTTTCTGTTCAATTAAATTCATATGATCAAATCCATATTGAAGATTATTAGAAAATTCATTGTTGGTTGTGATCGCATAGTTAGTCAAAAAGCCAGAAAAATGTCCGAAAAGTTGATGACCATATGCAAATGCTTGTTCTTCAGCATCCGGAACGCAGAATGATGATGACAAATACCAAGCGCGCCTTAAAATGTTATCTTCAAATCTTCGAATGAGTTCATTGATTGATGGATTTTGTGATGAACACATTGATGTGGCCGAAACAAATCGCGGTTGAAGTGACAAATAAGCTTCATTTGTTGCTTCTGACCCGACAATTGGAGAAAGTCTTGTTAAAGCTTTATAGAAATTTGTCAAATGTTGGTTTGCTGTTGTTGACAATGGATTACAAGCAACCATAATATCCATCTCTGAAACTGCTCTCAATCTTTTAATTCGTGCACGTAGTTCCGGAAAGTCATTTGAAATTGGAGGTGGAAGAGCCTAAGTAAGTTTTAAAAACTTTCAATTCACTTTCAACTCGAAATTCACAATCAACTTACTTGAGTCACAGAAAAAATGAGCAAAAATAATAAACAAAACTTCATTACTGATCAATGAGATGTTTTTCTGTTGAACTTTCGATTTAAACTGTTGATCGAAGCTTCTGAAAATTTAATTTTCTATTTGAATAAATAATCGTCATGGATGCGTGCATTTAATTAATTTACATCTGAAAAGCGATTTTTGTCGTGTGAATGTTACGAATAGTAACCACAATTGAATTTATTGATTGATTCATTTCATTGTTAACAATGCATGATGATTTTAGTCTGACAAATGTACGCACTAGAATATTTTTAAAAACTTAAAACATCATTGCACTCGAGATTTCTCTTTATTTCCAATATTTTTCATCATCAAAATACATTTTCAGAACACGAAAGAAATAAAAGTTTTAAGCCAAATTAAATTCTTTTAAAGCATTTTGCATGATTGTATCTTTAACAGCACAAAACACCAATTTAATATTTTCCGTATCTACGAAAGAGAAGAAAGTGAAAACTTTTAATTAATTTTGAATTAAACTTTCAAGTCACTTACCTGTTGCTGTAGTGAAGTGAGAGTAGCATGTTCGTTCGGGATCGGGATTTTCATTCAAAAACTTTTTAAGCATGTAATCTTTAGCTGAAGCATGATCTTGTTTGGGACCTAAATAAAAACATGTTTGATTAATTCAACTGAATCAAATTGTTTTTTAAGTGAAATCACCTTCAAAGTCGGGAAAATAATCGACAAGATGTGAAGTCATAATTTTTTCCTCAAGTAAATCCTTTTTGTTCATGAAAAGAATGATTGAAGAGTTGGCAAACCAAGGATAAGTAATAATCGTTCTGAACAAGGCTAACGATTCATTCATGCGATTCTGTGAAGCCATAGATTTGTTTATTGAACTTCAAATGCGAAGGTTGAAAGCGTTTAAAGCATCTTACCTCGTTCGTTTCAAATAACGTCATGTCATATTCACTAAGAACGGCAAGGAAAATAATAGAAGTAACATTTTCGAAACAATGAATCCATTTTCGCCTTTCAGATCTCTGTCCACCCACATCAACCATTCTGAAATAACCAAATTTTTATTCACATTCTTCATTATTCATGCTTTCTTCACCTGAAGATGATAGAATCTAAATCAAAAGGATATTCAATAATTCCAGTTGTTGGTTGACGTGCTCGTAAAATGTCTTGTTCAGTAGGCAAATAATCTGCTTCCGAAATTCTTTGCAAGTCATCGAGATAGCTAACAAAATGAAAAGTGGAATTTTTTAATGACTTGAAGGTGAAGGAAACCATAGAATATTTTTACTATTTCGCTGAATCCGTCAGCTGATACTCGCGTCGTCGATCATAACAAGCTTGAATGCCACTATCTTTCCACAAGTCCATAATCGCGTTAGAAAACGTTGGTTCAAATGTTTGAACCATTTCAAAATCTTCACCTTTAATGAGTTCAGCTTTTTCCTTAAATGAATGAAGTTCATGAAATCATTTCGTTAGATTAATGATGATTGACACTTACAGTACAAGACGGGTCTGCATATGGAATGCCAAGCTGTTCCATCCCTTTGATCATTGATTGGATTGACATGAACACATTCTGGTAAATGAGCTTACAGAACCCTTTCTTATCTTCATCAGAATAACCCGAGCCGTGAATAATTCTCATCTGTTTGATGAAGGTTGACTTTCCTGATTCTCCACAACCGAGAAGAAGAAGCTTCAGTTCTTTTCTAGCATTACTTTTATCTTTTTTTAACTGCTTCTCAATTTCCTGATTAATTCTTTTCTGTTCTTTTGCTTCCTCAGATAAACAGCACTCCATTGCGTTCAAATCTTTATTAAATTCAAATCAAACGGGAAAGTTTCACAAATTTCCAATTTTTTTTCTTCAACAAAGTCGTTGATATTGTAGCGAATTACAAGAAGGAATGAAGAAATATCGACGAGTTTGTTTTTCTTCTTATATATTCTTAACTAAATTAAACCATCGAAAACATGTGAAATATTCTTTTATGGGATTAAGCATGTGAATATGGGTTGTCCTCCAGTTATGTGGCTTATGTTGTGTGAATGCTTACAATAGCACGGAAATGGACAAATAACCATGAGATTGACAAGATCTTCATATGGAAGCTTTTAAGGTTTCTGTCGGACACGCGCAAGGTAAAATTTTGAAGGTAACTAGGGCAGTGTCATATTTTATTTACTTCAAGTTGAAGTCTTCATTTAAGTGTTTAAGTTTTTTTAAGTCAGTTATGATCCCACAGTTGTCATTGGATTTTGAAGAAGGTTTTTAATGTCTTAAATTACCTCTAACATAAAAAATTGTCTGTAAGAAGAGTGAAAAGTGTCTGAAAAAGAAATTTTAATTGAAATATAAAAAAGCAAATTATTTTCTCATTCTTTTCCTTTCTTTATTTTTCGAACAAATATTTGATTCAGATTACAAGAATTCGATAGTTGATAAATACAACTAAATAGATACAACATCATTAAACACGAACAATATAAATAATTTGAATTAATGTCAAGGAAAATTTGATTATTTGGGTTATTTTCTCCTAATCTTGTACCAATTTTAAATTCATCTCTGATTATATATTTTTTTTTTATTAGATTATAATTTCCTTTTGTTATTCAAGAATATAAAAGAAAATCACATTTGAAAAAGTTTTCTTTGAATGCTAACAATTTGAGAGGAAAGAAATGAAAGTTTTAAATTTTAAAGAGAATCTGAAAATGTCATTCAAGTAGATATTTATCGTCAACAGCTATAATTAATCATCAGAAAGTTATTTCATGATCAATCTGTTGAGTTCTTCGTTGATATTCCACTTACAACTATTTTTCGTACAAAAAAATCTTTAGCTTGATAAGACACTAAGTAACAAAACCTCTCTGCAGATCCCAAGTTGATAATGTTTAGAAACAATTGTCTGCAATTTGGTCCTAAACTCTAAAATTTCCTTCTTGAAAGTTCTACTTATAATTAAAAATCAAATTTCTTCTCTTGGAAATCAACTTTTAAATTCTTTTTTATAAAGATTTTTAATTATTGAAGTAAGAAAAGACATGCAAATATCTAATCCAATCCATCATCTATCAACAAATTTAATCAGATATTTTTTTCCTAAACAATTTTCTTAAACAAAACTTCATCTAGAAAACTTTCATTCAGTCACTGAATCTTTATTCCAATCTAAATCCTAAGCAGGCCCTAAAGCGACTTTGAAAATGTTTTTCAATTCGTCCAACAAAGTTTCGTAACGAAAAGCGACTCTGATATCTGGCACGTTAGTTCGAGTGATGTCATTGCCTGGAATACCTTCGCGTGTATAGTTTGGACCAAGCCAATGTTGTTTAACATTATGAGTAAAGCCTGACATGATCACACTATTTCTTGCCAACTCACACATGTCGCATGATGAAAGTTTCCACACTTGCGCTGCAATGCTATATTCTTCCATTAAAGGTTCTTTGGTGAAATGGAATTGAAGTGGATCATCGGTTGAAAGCGAAACAATTAGGCCCCGAGCAAGATATTCTGGTAATGGATTACGATGATAATTCAAGAATAATGAATTGTTTGAGAGTGGACTCATAGCAATGCCGATTTGAGCGAGATAATACAAATATTGAAGAACTGGCACCTTACGAAGCATCAGACCATGAGAAATATTTTCTGCCATTAAATAACCGCAAACAAGATGTTGAACTGCGCCAGCTTCGCCGCAATGTGGCCGTAAAACGAAAGTGTTGAGACCACGTTCGCGGCGGAAATTATTGAGAACAGTGAGATTCGAGTACATGTAGAAAAGATAATAAGCATAAGGTGGATTCTCATCTGTTGTCCATTTCTCAGGGTATGGCATGTCGGGATCAAATAATGGATTTTCTGGTTTACTCTCATCATCAACTGAATCTAATCCAATGACATATTGCAAGAATTTATGCAATTCTGGATGTTTACTAGGATTGTTAGTTGCTTCAAACAAAGGCAAGAAAATATTGTCAATAATCTCTTGGAATGACTTTAACAACTTATTTGTCTTGAAGATGTCATACAGACGTGGAACTTGAATCAACCAACGAATGTTGTCTGAATAGACATTGTGCTGAAGACCCCATTTAGCTAACTTTTCCCATTCATCACGAGATTTTCCATAAATTGACAAACGCAATTCAGCATTTTGATATTTTGATTCTTCAAAGTCGCTTGCAACTTCTTTGATAATGTGAGCGAAATATTTTCCGTTTAAATAGTTGTCAGTTTTCAAGAAAACTTCACGTAAACGTGATTCGCCAATTGGATTGTATTTGGCATTAAATTTATCGAAGCGATGGAAAGTGTTGCGATCCTAAAAGAAGGAATAAAGAAAGAAATGGTTAAAAATAGTTAAATTAAGTTAATCTCAATTTTTGTAGTTTAAATCCAGACATATCTTGAAAATCACTGATTTTAATTAAAATCAATTAAAAAAACTCACCGCATGAACATCCAACATGTCAACAGTTAAATCATAAGTCGTCAAATTCATTGAATTAAAAACTTCGGACAAAGTCATTTTCTGGCCCGATTTGGTGACAGTTACAACTTCATCAGCATTTTGTTTTAAAGTCTTCTTAATGAATCTCAACAAATGTTTTTGATTCATACATGAAGCTGCGTGAATGTGAGTGTCAACTTTTCTGATATTGTAGAAGTCGCGATGTGGAACAGCTTTTTGTGAAGCCAACTCGCGAAGTTCGTTGAGTAGAACATGAAGCTGGAACTTTGAATACAAATAACTTAAGCGACGATAACAGAAAGACTTTAAAGGCCCATCAGCGATCATTGCACACATAGTTTGCATGTCTTGAATGAATTCGTTTACATTTGGACATGGATAGTCAATTTTATCGTTAGCTTCAGCATCACGGAAGACTTCAAACGTTCCGGTAGTTGCTTTGATTGTATAATTGAGATCTTCGGGAAATTCCAGTTCCCAAGGGCTGTGATTATCAGGCGGATTTACAGGATGTTCTAAGTATGAAAAGCAATGACAATAAATGTTAAGCGAAAGAAATATTCTAAAAACAAATCACAAGAAATTAACAAACAATTGACGAAATAAATTTAAATCAAATTGAAAGTCGCACAATTAGTGACAAAACTCTGAGAAAGCAACAGAAAGGCTTCAACGAATGTTTACCTCGACTGTCTTGAGAAATTTGATTAACAGAGCAAAGAAATTATAAAAAGTTTGTTAAAAGAGGCCAAATATATTATTTCGAATGAAAACTTACCAGCAATTGTTTTCTTATCATCATGATGAACAACATTTGCATCTTTCTCTTGACGTGCACGAACAAATCTGCCTGTTGTATGTGGAAAAGATTGGTGTGACATTGCCATGTAACGTTCACGAAGCTCTAAAGCAGTTATCAACAAATGCGAAGCTTTTTCCAAATCTTCCAACGGAACTCCACTCGTATCTTCCCCTGATATGGAAACACGTTGAAAATGAGGAACAAAATCATGTTCATCGATCGAGAATGTATCATAAGGATGAACCTCAGAAGCTAACGACTGACGATCAATTTCCATTACTCTGTAAAAAATAAAAACATCGTTAATTACTTAAAATTTCACAATTTTACAAAAAGCTTTTAAAATATGATAAAATTGAACTTTTTTGATTTTCATATTTTGGAGACTTTTGATTTTCCATTTTTTGTAGACTTTTAAATTTTCATTCATTTCAAAAGTTAAATTTCTCGTGATCAGACCTATTTAAGCATTATAAGCAACTTTTATTCTAAATTTTTGATAATGGATATGTATTGCTGTTATGTGTGTCCACCAAAACCTGTATGCAATTTGGGGGATGTCAAATACACTTCAATTCCATCCTGTTTTGCTTTCATTGATCCTCCAAGTAATAATGTAACATTCACATCGCCAATGTGCAACGAAAATCTTATCTTAAATGGAGTAGAATGTGGAAAGAAGCTGTTTTGTAAAAATAATCGTGAGTATAAAAACATTTTGAAGCAATTAATGAAATATTAATAAACTTTTCATTGCAGAGGAAATGAAATATTACAACGTTGATTGTTAAGAAAAAAAAAAAAGCAACCATTGATCAAATTCACTCCAAAATTCATTCGTTCATCAAACATTCTCACAGTAACACATCTTTTCTAAATCTTCTGTGTAAAAAAAATTAACAAATAAAAATTGAAAATGTTTAAAAACTGCAATTGTCGTTTACGCTGTCTAAATACTTCCGCACCATGTCCACCAAAGGTTTGTAGAATCCCAGGTTGGGCTAAGGATTGCAATCCATGTAAAAAAGTATCGAAAGCAAAGAAAGGCGAGCCTCCATGTGGATGTATCTATGGATGCCCGTGCAAAGCAGCTTGCTATGATTGGAATCCATGTACGAAAACAATTCAATAAGAAATGTTACGATTTTTCATCTCATCATCATCGCTTTTCATTGAAAGGTAACTTTTATATAAAAAGAAAGAAAAATTTGTCTCACTCTCAGTCGTTAATCAACCTTCAACAGATCAACATCAAAATTCTTCGTAACAAAAATTAGAAAAACATTCAAGATGTGTAAACTTTGCTGTCCACCACTCTGCCCATCACCATGCCCATCAGTATGCAAAATTGCCGTTCCCAAGTCGTCTTGCAACCCATACGCAATATGTGATCCATTATTTCCATGTGATGGCTGCTGTGTGCCAGTCAACCCTTGTGGACCAAGCTGTCAGCCCTTTCCAACTCCCGGAAGCAGACACATTAACCCATGCGGAGACGAGAAAAATCGAAACAAAAAATATCCTCAAACTTGCGTTGTTTTTCCAATAAAGAGATGTTAAAGAAATTTTAAAAATAAAGAATAAAACATTTTAAAAGAAATGATTTTTTTTTGATAATTTCTAGAAAGCTTTGAAAAGATTTAATTTATCAAAAATTTCAGATTCTGAAGACAAGGAAAAAGTGACATAAAAATTGAGAAACAAAGTCACCTTTGATTTTATCTCTTTTTCAATTTACTTTTAATTCAACGACTCATTTCAATTTGTGGCTTTGACGCGAGTAGGTCGTAAAGAAATTTTAAGTTTTAAATTTTTATTCCAAATTAATTGTCGATTATCAATTGCTATTGTGCCAATAAATAAACTTAAAGTAGATCAACGAGTTATTGTAAGTAAAATGAATTTGTGAATTCAAAAATAACTTCATTTAAATTTCTTCTTCTCGAAAGTTTCAAGATGTGCAAGATTGCATGCAATGATCCAAGATGTGCCCTTTATGCTGGACCAGTTATCCATGAAAACGTTTGCAATCCTTCAATAGTTCAAGTTGAAGTGGATTTCGCTGAATGTTGTAACGCAGAAGTTGAAAGAAAAGTTAAAAATGTCAAACTAGGTCCGATTCACATTCGATCTTACAACTTTTGTCCCCCAATAATGACATCAGCTAATGTAGGAATTATTGATCCACCTCAGCCACCTTCTTGCTTTTAAGTGTTGAATCAGGAAAATTTTTATTGGATAAATTTTTTGTTTAGTTGATTTAAGTAACCAAATAAAATTATCGAAGAAAAATTCACAAATTTCATATTAAAAGAACTTTAAGAAGAACTTTAACTTGTCAACTATGCTTCAAATTTCTTTTTCTCATGTCGCACGCAATCTATCGAAACGAATTCAACTAGAATATTTGACAAAGGACAATTAGGAATGAAGAATGGAAAATATTTTATTTGTAACTCATTCTCGATGTCAATTAAGAATGAAACAGGCGAAAAAACAATTCCGATGACACATTTTACGACACTCAAGTACAAATTTCATTAATTGTCTTACTTTGACGTTTCCAGAGACCTTTCCCAAAGTAACCTTTTTAAATCAGCTTTGAAGCCAAACATTTCGTTTAATGAAAGTTGAAAGTTAAACAGCAAAAAGCACTTTAACTAAATACACAATAAAATATCCTTCAAGCCAACTTCACATGGAGAAAACAGAAAACTGAGTGAAAAGTAAATCACCTTCGATTTAAATCGAGTTTGGATATTGGAAAAAAATTGAATTTGCTAAGGAATGTGATGACTTGTTGGGGTGAGTGGAAAATGCGATTGTGAAAAGCATTTTCTTATATTGTGGTAAATAATATATAAATAAAAATAAACGATATTTTTAATGCGATCAATCGATACTCAGCAGGGCAATTTTTATTGAACTGAATGGAAGATTTGAAATGAATTTTCTTTAATTATTTTACAACTTTTTTATGTACCTTCCAATAAGTTTATTTTAATTATGTATTATTCAAAGTTGAAATTACGACTGAAAGCACCACTTCAATGAAATGGAATATTTCTTCATATTTTACAAGAAAAATTGTCGCAAGCGCAATCAAATGATGAATGAGAAATTTTATTTTTACGAATCGCTCATTATTTAATTATTTTTTATGACATTAATTAGAATTTTAATTAACGTGGATGATAATTTCTAAAAGAACTAAGAAAGGTGAAAATAATAAAAGTTTTTCGTGCAAAACCTTACGAAGCGTGCAAGAGAAAAGAACAAAGTTCACTGTTTGCTACTCACTTTGCCGTCAAATGACGCTGCAACATTAATTTTTTTTCAATCTGTTCGATGGGAAATTGTGGAACTTCATAATCCGCCGAGATTTGATTTGGTAAATCATCCGTGGATTCCTCCAATTCAGGACTTTTCGGAGTACAGACACCTTGAGCTCCAGTAAATGACATTGCCGGTGATTCGCTATCTGATGATGATCGATACATAAAACATGAGAATGGGATGGAAAAAAAATAAAAGAAAAGAAAAGTTATAATTAAAAACTATAAATAGATGTGAAATTAAAAATTTAAATTAAAAATATGCTTATCTGATGTAACAAATTTAATTACATTCGAGAAGGGCACGAACCATGGTGGGATTTCTGATTGTTTCCCATTTTTTAAGGAAAGATAAAAATTGCTTATCATTTAAAACTTCCGTAATGTTCAATGAATCTTTGCGATTAAAATTCATTTCTCAACTTTTAAAAGCTTCTGAATAGGATCAACAAAGGATTAAGACTGAATTTTTGTACGTTTCAATCAACAACACAATCAACACTGGAAAAGGACGAACAAATATTTTTTCATGTGATATCGTATTTCAGTCAGTAGACGAAACAATGAAATGAAACAATAATAAACAAATATAATTTAAAGGTCGACAAGTGAAGAAATATCGATGAGTAAATAATAATTATTGGTCTCTTTAAGTAGAATCATTGATAAAAGGAAAACAAATAATAAAAAATAGTCAAAGAATATTTCATGTTTTGAATGAATTCGAATGAAAATATTTAAGGAGTGACGTTATTTTAAAGGGCTTATCTAGAAGTGACAAAACAAGACATTCAAATGATTTAAGATTTCATTTTCTTTTCATAAAAAGAATTTCCATTAACACATTACGTTAAATCTCCAAATCATTTATGTTTGTAAACAGAATTGATAAGACGTTTGTAAATATTGTTTGAGTTGTTTTGACAACAATTGTAGTCTTTGGTACTTGGAAGGAACTTCATCAGATTATCAGCAAATTCTCATGTCGTTAAACTCATAACAAATCTAGACATTCTTTCATTGCAATAAAAAAATATTTTGACGTCAAAATGACAAACAAGAGTGTCAAAATTATTGCCGATAGTATTAATCATGTTTTCCTGATTTATAAATAGACGAAAAATTTACAAATTTTTTCGTAAACATATCGAAGTTTATTTTTAGAATGTTTGCAACGATTGTGAAGACGAAAAACGTCGACGACAAAGAAGAAGCAGCGATTTCTACTAAACTTATTAGTATAATCATCATCTCAGACCTCAACACACAATTCTCACCTTCCTCCATAGCAGCAAAGTAATCACTACGAGACACGACAATGTTCGGTGACAATGGTCGTAACTCAGGTTGATTATATGAGTCATCATCGACAGTTCGCAACAAAAAACCACGTGAACTCATTTTCGATTGCAAATTAATGTTTCAATAGAAAAACAAACAGAAACAGTTCTTCTATACACCCACGCAAAACAGTTCTTAATGTTTTCCTTGAACTTTTCTTCTCTTCCGTAAAGAAAAAGCAGAAATCTTAAAATATCTTCAAATTTCAAAATCACGTGATCGACAGAAAAATGTCTCAGCTTCTGTTATCTTATTTATGTTTATTGTTTCGAATCTTCAAAGCACTTTGTAAGTTAATATTTTATTATGTCGCGTGGCAAGAGCAGTTGTTTGTGTTAATTTTATTATCCACAAAATAATATTTTCACATCTATGACTTGCGACTTTCTTTGTTTATTTCTACTAAAAATATCTGAATTGTTTTTTATCTGCGGAATTTTCCACAACGTCGCATACGATTTCACCTGGTTAAATGCTCAAAATCAACTGCCGAAAAAAACCGAAGAAAAAGATTTCTTTTTAAATTTGGGCAAAGGCAAGACTTAAGAATTTGCTTATCTATTTATACGTTGCTTCGAAACTTCTATTGATAAAACTTTTTATTATCTATCGCTATGACTTTGCGAAAGATTTGTTTATATTTTAAGAAGAAGATTTAAAAAATTCCACTTAAATTTTATATTTTAAGGAAAACTTTTTGCGTCGATCAATCAAAAATATCGTCTTATAAGATAAACTTGTCTTGTTTGACTCCGACGGACTACTGAAAAAAAGAGAATCTTTTTACATCTACAGTTTTCGCGAGAGATCAGCATTGTTTGCCTTTTTCATTTACGATACACAATCAACACATTTTTCTTTCTTGTTTTATTTTAAGAGTCAAAGACTTCTTGAAACGAGAAGAAAATTTTCCTTCTTTTTTTACAAAGAATCTGCAAGCAACTTATGACGTATTTTTGTGAAAATTTATATGAAAGTTTTCATTTGGTGGCAAGATGTCAGCATGAAGATTTTTCATAGAAAAATGTTGAAATAATCTGGCAAGTCATCAATAAGTCTTCGCCAAAAATATAAATCAACTCGCTACTAAATGTCATAAATAAAAGCACAAATCTATTTACTTTATGTCTTAAAATTGTTAATTAAATCTGTCCATATGTCACTAAATTTTATGATTTGTCAACCATGTGTGGAAGTAAACAAACAAGAAAGTTTAAATATCGCAGGAAAAATTTACGTGTTTGCGGAGTGATTTAAAATTTTCTTCTCATCTTCAAGTCGCCTACGAGAATTAGTGAAGAAATGAGCTTGCTAATAGACTCTTAATTAATAATTAATTATATTTCAGCATTCTTATATTACAATTGAATGTATTTTAATAAATGCCATTGCTGTTATCTTATCAAAGGTCTTGAAATATTTTTAAGAAAAATAATCTCTAGATTGCTTGAGTTATTTATATATTAAGCCTCATTTAATTCTTAATAAAGCTGCTGAAAATGCTGTTTTCAGACAATTATCTTAGATCTGACAAAAGTACTGAGAGTTCATTAATATTTATTTAAAAATGAAGTTATTTTCATTAAAAATTTCATCTATTCAGCCTACCTAGTCAACAGCCGTACGATGTAGAATTTTCGCTTAAAGGACTAATGAGTCTAAAGTGTTCACAGAAAATTTAATTAAAACGAACGAAAACATTCACTGGAAGAAATCGATAAACAGCTCGACGAACTTTGTGAACTTTTTTATGAATAAAAATGTCGTGTGTGTATGCTGCGGCGCAAAAAAAATCTTAATAAATTTCCGATGTTTGCGTTTGAGCCAAAATATATTAATTTTAGTATATTTCTTTCATCCATATGTTTTGGAATTTTCGTGGTAACCAGAAATGTGTAAGAAAGTCATTGGGGATCAAAATATTTATCTATGAAATCGTGATACATAATTCCTGTATTAGTAACATTTGATATAAAATTAATTTATTAATTTATTCAGCGCTTATGTAGTGCATGAGAACCCTAAGGTCATAAACAGAACATAATCAACATTCCGATGAAGTTTAAATAGAAATTCCAGTTTCCCATTTCTAATTTTATCGAAATCAAGGTCATAAGCTTGACCAGCACAACTAAAGCGATTGAAAAAATTATCAGAAATAGAAATTGTCACATCAAAGAATTTTATTTGGTTTAACTTTTTAAAAAATGTTTTTTGAATATCTTTGCATAAAATGTCAGCAATAGAACTAGAATCACAAAGTTATGAAACGGATTTTCATTACATTGCAGAATAAATTTTCGTTTAAAATTATTTATCTGTTGTTGTTAATCAAACATTTCTTTTCAGTTGTTTTTCTATAAAACAAAGTTATTGAAGTATGTTTTGTTGCGTCATCCTATTCAATCACTTCAATTTCTATACATATTTCATAATATTAGAATATAAAGTAAACCGAAGAAAATAAGAAGAAACCTCATGAAAAACATCGCGATTCGCGACATAAGTGTAAAGAATCCTTAACAATAGCTTTGCATATTTGAAGACTGAAAGGCTGGGAAAAAGGCACTTCACGCACATCCCCTAAACTCATTCTCGACACGATTCAGTTTCAAGAAGGGGCAGAAAAAGGGAGAAAAGGTACATAAAAATGGCGATCGATAAACATATTCTCTCCATTTCCATTGCAAACACTTTGCGCATTCAAAGAATGAAATTCAATTGCGTTGTTGATAAAATTTGGTTTTCATATCATTATTTTTGATTCTCACCTCGTTTTTGTGAATGTTCAGTGAAGTCCATTTCCATGTCGATGTCGAATCCAAAGTTTCTAGTTGATTGAAAGGCCGTCATTTGCTTTTTAACTACAAAAAACTTGAAACACTTTCACTTCCTACTTGTTTATCACGTTTTTACTGTATTAAATTGGAACTATTCGAGATTCTTGTTAATTTTATCACTGGCTCTTTTTATTAAAAACTTCTTTTCTTTAGTTGATTAAATATTTTATGGAAGAGCAAAAAATAAATTCAAGTACAAATTGTTCAACGTGTCGAATGAATGACTAAGTCGCTACTGAGGAGAGGAATAAAAAATATTCTGATCTGAGCTTGGAAATAACCTCAGAAAGAATGGAACACTTAATATCAAACTCATTACTGCAAGAGAGTGAAAACATCTGATTTTAACATGAAGGGAATAACAAAAATATCAGGAAAAAACACTTCAATTCGTACTTCAAGGGGCTGTTTATGTTGAAACTTTTCCTTTCTAGAAAATCGATAAATACTGACATTAAAACATTGAATAATATTTATTTATTTAACATAAATATATACTTTGTTACACATTTTACTATCTTTATTTGTTAGTTTCCATTTTATTTAAAAACATTTCTTATCATTGCACTTTTTATTTGAGTTACCCCTTGTTGACCCCTCGGTGTTTCACATATGTGGTTGTGATATGGGAGAGAAGCGAGAGAGAAAGAAGAGAGAAGTTTTTTACTGTAAAGTTTACCAACACTTAACAAAATGTAAACAATTCACCAACTTTACAAAAGCTGTGAAAATAACGGCTTTGAAAGCAATGTCAAGAATATTAAACACTTAAAAGTATCACAAGCAATGACTTATTATTTTATTTCATTATTTTCCAAAACTTTGTCTCTCGTCTTTTCATTGTTTGCGCATGGAAATTATTCAACCTCCAAAAGTCACGCAATCCCACCCTCAACACTTGACACTGTGCAACATGTTGCAAAAAAATATAAAAAGAAAAAAATAAAAGTCGAGAAATAGAACTTTTTATTGATTAAGTTTTGTTTTTTGTCTTCTTGTCTACAAGAAATTGGGGGGAAGCAATTGAATTACAAAAATAGCTACATTTTCTTTTTAATTTTAAAACTTAACGACTTAGCGCAAATTGCTATGGATGGTATCTTAAGGTCACTTTAATACTGCCCGACATCCTCTCCCGTCGCCATAAACGTCAGTAACGACTCAACCTATTGCGTAAATGTTCGTCATCACAGAATCCTGCAAAACAATAATATCACGAACGTTATGATTACTAGGAAGAGTTTAGGAAGCCATCATAATGCACTTGTATATCCACTGGTTGTTGGGATATGTTCAAAATCCAAGCGAAGATTACGGGCAAGATTATTTTCATACTTCCAATCTCTGTCAGCAAATCCATCGATGGGAATCTCAGGCTCATCAGAAACTCGATCTTCGTCTTCGTGGAAGTTCGATGACAGATCCTTACCCAGTGCTAATCTACTGATATTACCCAACAAAAATTCCTTGTCTTTCGCTTCCAAATACAGCATTTCTTTCAGCAACTTAACTTTGGCTCTTTGGCCGTAAGCTTTTGCACGAAGATAGTACGCGATGACGCACATTGTCAACAAAATTCCCCCGACAATCGCTGGCTTTGTGATTGACGTGAAGATGGTCCAAAAGATGTTTCCTTCTTTAAGTTTGAGAATTCCCTCCATGAAGATCTGTGACATATTCTCGTATTCGATAAAAGGCCCGCAAGTCTTACTCACAGGAATCCTAAAATACAAATCAAGTCAGAAAGAAAAAATAACAAACCATGAAACAAACTTTATGGTTTCAAATCAAAAAGTAGTTTATTATAAACGCAAAAGGGCGTGTACGTAAGCGCCAAAATGACGCTTCATTGAATAAAGCGGGAAAATTAATGAAGGAAAATAAGGATTGGCTTGCGTGCTTCAAGCGATAGCGATCAAATTTGTAATTTTTCTTTTTCTTTTCTTTTCAGGAATCGGAAGTGGAATGGAAATTCTTAAAAGTTTGTTTGTTTTGAAGATTTAAAATGAGATTGCAAATTTCTTTCTCAAGAATTTTTAAGTGAAAAAGTTATTTCAAGCAACATTAATTTTTATGATTTTCCAACTTAACTAAATTTAGCATAAAATTGAAATCATTTCAAAACACAAGCCCTAACTCTGATCTAAGTTTTTAGCTTCTGTGTAAAATTTTGCATTTCACAAACTCTTAATGAAGAATAATTTCTACTCACTTTGTTATGACGAGACCAATTGTGACAAAAACACCAACAAGCGTCGTAAAAATTCCAACTAGAAAGAATGTTTGAATCTGTTTACTCTTCCATAATTTAATTGGCGCTTTGCAGCATTTAATAAGCGTAAACTTCATGATATAGAACATGAAAACAAACTTCATGACGGATAAAATTGACAGAAAAGGGCTGAATGGAAGTCCAACCCAAAGGATGAATTGATTAAAAACCAAACCAAGGCTTGAATGAGTTATATCGAACTCAGGAAGATCATATTCGTCTGGTCGTAGTCTGGAATGATGATATTTGAATATTTTCTTATTTAACTTCTTTCTTTTTCCTTCATCTTACTTATGAATCAAATAGCGAACAAAGTAATAACAGCAAGTACCGATCGAATGAATAAAGAAATCAATAATCAATATTCTGTACACTTCCTGTCCTATTGTTGTTTCCCAACACGTCAATTCGCTGTTTCTTGCTATCCAATACATCAACAACGCTGATACAATTGTGATCTCAAGCAAGAAGTTTCGAAGTAATCGAATATGAATCGTTGTGCGTGGAAATTTATATTCTTCCGCTCTAAATTGATTAATGATAATAAGAAAAATATTATGGCATGAAATATTAGCAAATTACTTTGATATCCATGTGAAGACAATCGAACAGAAAAGAATCGCTGTATTAACAACCATCGGTATGTACAAGAATTTCCATTGACTTTCCTTCTTTAAATCTTTCTCATAAATACTAAACATTTTCCATAGCACCAATCCAATCAAGATGATTATTGCAATCACAAAAATATGCGCAACAACTTGAATCGCAGTGTTTAAACATCGTCTAGTTCGACTTAATCGTTCATCTTCAATTTTTTTATGTTCAGAAAAAAGCAAATCTTTAAGTTCGCGGTAAATATTTCTGTGCTTTGTTTCAGCTGCTTTCACATGGGACAATCCAAAGTCCCAAGCGCAGAATATTTTATGACAGTAAAGATTTGGTGTGTTGTCGACAGTTTCGATAAAAGATGCTCGATACGAGCGTAAAAGGCTAATGGATATGACGATAAAGATCACTGTTGTGGATGGAAGGAATAAATGTTTGTTCATTATCTTTAGAAAATGTTTCAATCACTCACCAGTATACAAAATGGTCATGGTAAGGAAATACGCATAGGGAAGGCTGTAATTACCAATTCCCAAATTAATAGTTCGGCTTGTGTAACCGCCGTAAAACAGAATTGACGTTCGTAAGTAGCCCTAAGGAATGAAGAACAATTCTCAATTAGTAACAAGATCATTGAAATTGTTTTGCTATCAAGCAATAAACAGCAATGGCTTTGATCTTGATGAATCTTAAGTAAAATTTCAAATATTTTTAATAATTCCAAAAATTAATAAATAAAACTCAGTGCAAGAACAAAAGAATAAAAAATAATTATCAGTTGACATTAACAATTTCGATTCCTTAAGAATCACCAATATCGCAACCAGTTAAAGCATCTAAATTTCATTTTTGTTCTAAAATGTCAACTAAATCTTTTACCTGAGCCATATTGTTTTCTAGCAATAAAATGAGCAAGCGATAAACGAAAGAAAAGATGTTTTTTGGTGTTTTGAAAATCAATTTTTTTCATGGCCAATCGGAGATGAACTGAAGCGCCGCGAATTGGCACATTTCAAAAACATAAAAGTGAAAAACAAAAATTTACTTACGTCAGCTGTTAACAAGTCAGCGAATCCAAAGCTGGGAAGACTTTGATTTACGACTGACTCAGCTTGGAAGCCATCGTAAAGAATTTGTGGGAAGATTATAAAGCTGCATAAATGAGGAAAATTGCGTAATCAAAATTATTTCAATGATTTCAACCTTGACCTAAAAGAAAAAAAGGAATAAAACTCACCTAAAAGTGAAAATTGCGACGAAAAAGTTGAGCATCACGAGATAGCGAAGAATTTTAAAGTAAACTCCTATTTTACTGCCGAAGCGACCTTCGATTTCCTTCATCGAGCCATACCAGACGTCACAGTTTTTAAATGCTTGTCGATACCAGCTTCGAGCTTTCTTCATGAAAATTACAGGAAAAAACTTGCAGTTCTTTAATGCTGAACTGTTTGAGCTGAGATGTGATTTTCTGTTAACGCTTCGAAGAAGTCTAGCTCGGATCATTCTTTTAGCAGCAAGAGATTGTGGCATGCATTTGATGGTTTCAATACGAGCCTGTTCGGACTTGTAATTGTGTTCCATAAGATGATCATATTGCTCGATTTCTTGTGTTATTTGCTCGATTTGATCCGATTCACTTAGCAGTGTTCCATCCTGGGAGACAGCTAAAAATAGATTTATTTTTCGACAATTTTTCACAATGAAAAAATCTTGTGACTCACTTTTGTGAAGTTTTGAAGGCATGAAGTGATAGAATGGCTTCTTACATTTACCATTTCTTGAAATGTTGAGCGACCATCGTCTGATGTTCTGTAGTGAGTAAAAGAGAGACAGAAAAAATGAAAATCAATAAAAAATTTCCACTATCGACTTTTCTTCTGCACTGATTGAATGAAAATGGCAAAATGGCGCTCTCACTTAATGAGGAGAGGAAAAACTTGTTAACCAATTAATTATAAAATAATTTACCGTTGCAAGAGAAGAATCGTCAAAAATACTTGTTTCTGGATTTTTCTTGTCGTTCAACAATAGATTGCAATCTGTATTGTTGCTGCTCGAATGCAAATGTAGTTCATTAATTGATTCGTCGGATTGACTTTGATTAAAACCTTGAGAACTTTTACTCATGTTTTCGACGAAAACTACAATGCCTGGTGAAAGTTAGATTGATATGAAGATAGTTTCACACTTTTAGAAAGTTTACAACATTATGTAGATGATAAATTTAAATAAAAACTATTTCAACAAAATCAAGTAACTTCGGATCAATTATTTGCCGTTTAATAATATTTTACTCTCACATTTTTTGCAAATTCTCTGAAAATTTCTCTCTGTTTACATTTTTCTGGATTATAATGATTTGTTTCTGGATTTCGCTGAAATTTTGAACCAAGCTGTTTAAAGCGTCGCTTCAAGTAAATTGTCTTCAAACAGATTTGAGATTTGTAAAAACAAGTTAAAACCAAAGCGACTTTAGTATTAGAAATTCTTTTTATTACAAAACAGTTGAAGTCATTCAAATATTTAAATGAACTGGTAAAATATTGTGTTTTATAACTGAATCTAGATTAATCCCTTTTAAATTTATTTATCTGATGTAGGACGTGTCGAGCCATCAATTCTTCTTACATCAGTATCAGAATATTTTTGTTTCGTAAGTGGGGTATTATCTGGTATGCCAACATTACGATGACAATCGATTAATGGCAATCATTCAAAAAGATTTGTTATGTGATATCGTTTCAAGACTAAGACTGAGATTTCTAAAGATTCATCTCATGGATTTCTTCAACAGCTCTTCAAAAAATTCTCGATCCATTTTTGGTGGCAAATGTTTGATGTTCAATGAACCTTTCTCTATATTAAATGCAATATTTAAAAACCATGTTTGACCATATATGCGACAATTCACTGCGATACAAAATTTTCTCAATTCACCTTAACAGCATCAACTTACAGAATTATTTATAAAGTTCTCATAAATTTTAAAAATTGGTTCCAATGATTTTCATAAGATTTTCTATGAAAAAATCATTTCTCCCAAGGTAAGACTGGCTTTAATTTTTGTTACATTAAGAAGTTATTCAGGAAAAAATTTCTTTTAAAATTTCACAAGAAAAAACATTCCCTTTTTATTTTACATCACTTTAACGAAGATAGGTATATCAGAATAAATATTTCCTCAGAACTTGTCAGATACTTTCATTGAGTATGATGAAATACATTGACTGGTTAAGCATCAGTACATGTTTTAAAGTTAATCTAACTGATGGAACGTTAAGCCTTAAGCAGTGGTGAGAATTTTGAAAAATGTCTCACGTGTTAATCCCATATGTTTGTTTTTCAGCACCATCTACACTGTGCACGCCATGTCAACGTGAACTTGAGACTGGAATTCGACCGACTGGAGAAATTTTCAAGAAATTTATTTCTTACTTCCTTATTACTTACTGGTAGAAATGCTTATGCTCCGAGCTTAAATTACATTTCAAGTGATGACGAAGCGCATTTTGTTAAAGATTTTTATTTCATGAGTTATCACACGACAGTCATAACTTCAAAATAATTCTACAAGTCTCTACAAAAAACGAGAGAATTAAGTGTGGAAATTGAAAACTCTTTAAGAGAACGTGAAAAAAATGTGACGGTTTTCCCTTACAGCATATTTTATGTTTATTATGAACAATATTTAACAATTTGGAAAGACGCTTTAGTGTCACAGTGGACTCTCACTTGCAGCTATATTTGTTGTTACTTTTATTGTCACGCACTGGTAAGGTTTTAAATTTAATTGATTGTAGATTTCTTTGAATGCTATTTCAAAGATAATTTGGTGGTTGCTGTTGGCATTGGAGTTGAATTTATCTCGCATATAGAGAAATCGTATGAAAACCTTCTCAGGAACTCAATAAGAACGTGCCAGTGAGTCATTTTCATTTACAGGCAGGGCAGTAGCGTGTTTTCCGGCTAATATTAACAAAGTTTGCTGGAATTTTTTTATTGGCGTTTGCAGTCACAAGTGGGTGAAAATATGTTTGCCTACTTGCATAATCGATTTATCAAAGACAATTTTATGACTTGAATTTAGATTTTCCAAATATTTTACTTGCGAATGTATTTGGGGGCAGTTTTGATAGGAGCCGCTCATGAATTGATTCTACTTCCAGTTGTTTTGAATTTTATCGGGTCACCACCGAAAGTTACAGAAAATATTTATTTCGAAAGAACAATTAATGACGTCAATAAAATCAATCAAACTTAAGAACTTCTTCAACATTTCAAGGTTCGGTTATTTAGTTACTTAATTCTTTGTTAAAAGAATATTTAAATAAAAGTTTGTGGAAGTTGGAAAAGTTGATCACGAACTTTTTTCGTGCTTTTGAAAATTGACAACGAAAGGAAAGCATGATGAAGCCTAATTATGAATCTAAATTTATTTCATGTTTTTATAATTTTATTCAACGTGTTTTTCTAGAATAATTAAACATCCACAATTTTATTACTATAATTAAATTTTATTTTATGACATCTTGAATGGAACACCAGAAAATTTTGATCGTTGCGTAACTTTTTCAGCAGCAATTTTCTCACCAATTCTCGTTATGTCTCCATATACGTGTGGGTGGTGCATGAGTTCCTTGTCACGTGCATCATATTTAAAAACAGATTCAGTTATCCATCCGTACTTATGACTCTCAATCATTGGTTCCGTGTATTTGGTTTTTGGTGTTTCATTAATGGACTTTTCAATTTGATGAATGTAGTTTTGGAACTTTTCTTCGTCTAAATCTTCAACCTTCGAGTCATATTTGCTCCAAAATTTGGTGGTGATTGGCACACGATTGATGTTAGTTCGGAATGTTTCAAAGTGGAGAAAGTTTGACCGACGATTTTGTTTTTCGATGTTTTCTTTTAGAAATCCATACGACATATTCTCAGGACTATGCATAATCGATACTTTAATGTAAAATTAAATAATGACCTTGATATAGAAGAAGAAGCTTCTGGCTTCCTGAATGTCTATGAGCCAACTGAATTTGCAATGCTATGCGGTAGAACTAAGCCATGAAAAGCTTTGAACAGACTAATTTTAACATCATGCAATCTCATCACAACTGTGAGGGTAAATAAAAAAGTCAGGTAACAACCCACCAACAATGAAATCTTTTTTTAGTCATCCTAAAAAAGAATATTTCCATCACTTAACATTGGCGAGTTTATTCAGAAACGATGAAAAGTCATGAATAAAGTAGAAAAGTTCATGTTGCGCCAGTTAATTTTCTGTTTTTTTTGACGACAAGTTGGTGGAGTAAAATCAATGAGACGCGCGTAAACTTTTGAATCAGCTGTGCTTTTACTCGAAGTAGGATTTATATGTTTCGTAATTGACATCAAAATTATGTCAAATCACGAAAATATTTTGGATAATAAGAATCAATCGAAATTATATTAAACATTTATATAGAAAGGTGATTACAAAACTTTATGGATCTGTTGAACTTGAAATAACGAAGTATAATAAAAAATTCTGATGCCTTTCTATTGACACGGAAGATATTTTCATGCCATTGAGTTATTGATAAAACATTTTGAATTGAACATTCAAGTGCAACAGGTGATTCATGGTTCTTGTTTCAATTAATGATCTATTTTAGTACAACATGAAGAGTTAAACAAACAACTTGCAAGGATTAATGATTTATGATTTTCCTATCTATTGAATGTTAATTGAAAATGAAACTTAATTAAGTCAAAAATCTAATAAGAATCGGATGGAAATAATCAAAGAAATTCTTCTTGATTGTCATGTTGTCTTTTTTCAGTTTGTCTCTCTTGAACTTCTTTCTCTCTTTTTTTAATGCCATATAAGCAGAAATATCACATAAGAGCTTCTCAGTCAGTGCTTGCTATTCAAGACGTAAAAATCATTTAATTTACTATCACTCATTTGAATTTTGAGGTTAAAACGTGGCTTGTAAGTAATCACTTATAATGTGTTAAATATCAAAGTTAATTAAAAATTTTAAATTAATTAAAAAGTTTTTATAATTTATGAACATCAAAATGAAAAGTTGTAAAGTGAAACCGGCATCGAATAAAGTCATTTTATGAAAATATGTTTGATACTAAACTTTAAGTGAAAATTTGTTATCAGTAAAAGTTTTTCTAATATAAAAATAATGTGTTCATTAAAATTATGTTAAAATCTAATTTATTAACAAGTCATTAAATACTTCAGACTATTTCTTTTATCTATTTAAAAAGAATTAAAGTTACCATTGGAATATTCAACATTAAAGCGTCGTCGTATTAATGTTGTTAATGACGTCACAGTTTTTTTCTTATTCTCATTTTTTCTTTCTCTCATAATTTTTTTTCTCTTTTCCTCTCATCAAGGTTAATTTTGTTTGAGACTAAAATCAGCTGTTAGCAAAATCAAAATAGAAGTTCAGTGACCTGCAAATAAAATTTCGATCAGAATATAACAAGAAGACTGTATTAATCTTTAAGAAACCCGTTTAAAAACAAGAAGCATTACGATGACCATTAAAAACGCTTGTTTAGTTTTGGAAGACGGCTCAATTATTTCGGGAGAATCTTTCGGTGCAAATCATGATGTTGATGGTGAAGTCGTCTTTCAAACTGGAATGGTTGGTTATATTGAATCAATGACTGATCCCTCTTATCATGGCCAAATTCTCGTTCTGACTTATCCATTGATTGGAAATTATGGCGTTCCGAGTGATGAAGAATTTGACGTACATAAATTGATGAAAAACTTTGAAGCGAATGACAAGATTTGGATTTCCGGACTTGTTGTTGGCGAACTATGTGAAACTCCCTCGCATTGGCGTCAAAAGTACAAACTTGCTGAATGGATGAAGAAGCATAATATTGTTGGAATTAGTGGCATTGATACTCGTGCTTTAACTAAAAGGATTCGTGAAGATGGAACCGTTTTAGGTAAAATTATTCAGCAATCAGGAGGACCATTTCCTGGTTTAGAGTTCAAAGATCAAAATGAAAGGAATCTTGTCGATGAAGTGTCAATTAAAAAACCGATAACTTACAATCCAAAAGGTTCGCCACGTATTTGTGCTGTTGATTGTGGCTTGAAACTAAATCAAATTCGTTGCTTCATTCAACGTGGAGCTCGTGTTGATCTAGTGCCTTGGGATCATCCATTAAATGTCAATGATTTTGATGGGCTCTTCTTAAGCAACGGTCCTGGCGATCCCGGAATGTGCAACAAAACTGTCGAGAACATTCGAAAGATTCTTTCAGCTCAAAACATCAAACCAATTTTTGGGATTTGTTTGGGTCATCAACTTTTAGCAACTGCAATTGGATGTAAGACTTACAAGTTGAAATATGGTAATCGTGGCCATAATTTACCAGCTTTACATCATGGAACAAAACGATGCTTTATGACGTCACAAAATCATGGATTTGCTGTTGATGTATCAACAATTGCCAAGGATTGGGAGCCTCTTTTTACAAACCTTAACGATCATTCTAACGAAGGAATTATCCATAAAGAAAAACCATTTTTAAGTGTTCAATTCCATCCTGAACACACAGCCGGTCCAGAAGATCTTGAAATGCTTTTTGATATATTCCTTGAGAGTGTCAAAGATCAAGCTAAAGGAAAAATTGGAATGTCAATTAAAAATCGATTAACAAAAAAGTTGACTTATGTTCCGAAAGTTCTTCTTGATGTGAAGCGTCCCAAAAAAGTTCTCATACTTGGATCTGGAGGTTTATCAATTGGTCAAGCTGGAGAATTTGATTATTCTGGTTCACAAGCGATTAAAGCTTTGCAAGAAGAAAAGATTCAAACTGTTCTCATCAATCCTAATATCGCGACAGTTCAGACATCTAAAGGTCTTGCTGATAAAGTTTACTTCCTTCCACTTACACCTGAATATGTAACGCAAGTGATAAAAGCTGAAAGACCTTCCGGCGTTCTCCTAACATTTGGTGGACAAACAGCTTTAAATTGTGGCGTTGAATTGGAGCGTAGCGGAGTTTTCAAGAAATATAACATAAATATTTTGGGAACACAAATAAATTCCATAATCGAAACAGAAGATCGTAAAATTTTCGCTGAACGCATTAATGAAATTGGTAAGAAATTATTTAACAAAAATTTTCTTTGAAATTTCAACATTTTGAATATTTTTAGGTGAGAAAGTTGCACCATCAGCTGCAGTTTATTCCGTCATTGAAGCTCTAGAAGCTGCTGAAAAAATTGGATATCCTGTCATGGCGAGAGCTGCCTTTTCACTTGGTGGTCTTGGTTCAGGCTTTGCAAGTAACACAGAAGAATTGAAGACTTTAGCACAACAAGCATTGGCACATTCAAATCAATTAATCATTGACAAGTCATTGAAAGGTTGGAAGGAAGTCGAGTATGAAGTTGTTCGTGATGCTTTTGACAATTGCATTACTGTTTGTAACATGGAGAATGTCGATCCATTAGGAATTCACACAGGCGAGTCAATTGTCGTTGCGCCATCACAAACTTTATCAAATCGCGAGTACAACATGTTGAGAACGACAGCATTGAAAGTTATTCGACATTTTGGAATTGTTGGTGAATGTAACATTCAATATGCATTAAATCCAACCTCGGAAGAGTTTTACATCATCGAAGTGAATGCGAGACTTTCAAGAAGTTCAGCATTAGCAAGTAAAGCGACTGGTTATCCACTTGCTTATGTTGCTGCTAAATTGTCATTGGGAATTCCATTGCCAGATATCAAGAACTCCGTAACTGGCGTCACAACTGCCTGCTTTGAACCGTCATTGGATTATTGCGTTGTGAAAATTCCACGATGGGATCTTGCAAAGTTCATCCGAGTCAGCAATCACATTGGAAGTTCCATGAAAAGTGTCGGCGAAGTTATGGCGATTGGCAGGAAGTTCGAAGAAGCTTTTCAAAAAGCACTTCGAATGGTCGATGAGAATGTCAATGGATTTGATCCAAATTTAAAGCCTGTGAATGAAGAAGAATTGAAGACGCCAACAGACAAACGAATGTTTGTACTTGCAGCAGCTTTAAAGAGCGGCTACACAGTCGACAAGTTGTATGACTTGACAAAAATTGATCGATGGTTCCTAGAGAAGATGAAAAACATCATTGTCGTTACAATGGAATTGGAGAAACTTAATTGTGTGATAACTGACGAACTTTTACTTGAATCGAAGAAACTTGGATTCTCTGATAAGCAAATCGCAACTTACATCAAAGGATCGGAACTTGCTGTTCGAAAACAGAGGATCGAGAATGGATTTATGCCATTTGTGAAGCAAATTGACACTGTCGCTGGTGAATGGCCAGCTTCAACTAATTATCTTTACTTCACTTACAATGCTTCATCTCATGACATCACATTCGATGAACAAATGGTGATGGTGATTGGTTCAGGAGTTTATCGAATTGGAAGTTCAGTTGAGTTTGATTGGTGTGCTGTTGGATGTTTAAGAGAACTTCGCAACCTTGGAAAGAAGACGATCATGGTGAATTACAATCCAGAAACTGTCTCTACTGATTATGATATGTGTGATCGACTTTATTTCGAAGAGATTTCATTTGAGACAGTGATGGACATTTACAAATATGAAGATCCAGAAGGCGTCATTTTATCAATGGGCGGTCAACTTCCAAACAACATTGCGATTGATCTTCATCGGCAACAAGCAAGAATCTTAGGAACATCGCCTGAGTCTGTTGATTCAGCTGAAAACCGATTCAAATTTTCACGAATGTTAGATCGAAAAGGAATTTTACAACCAAGATGGAAGGAATTGACAAATCTCGCATCAGCAATTGATTTTTGTGAAGAAGTTGGTTATCCATGTCTAGTGCGACCATCTTACGTGCTTTCAGGTGCAGCAATGAATGTCGCTTATTGCAATCAAGATTTAGAAACTTATCTCAATGCAGCATCATTGGTTAGCAAAGATCATCCAGTTGTCATTTCAAAATTCTTAACAGAAGCAAAAGAAATTGACGTCGATGCAGTTGCACAAGATGGAGAAATTTTATGTCTTGCTGTATCGGAACATGTTGAGAATGCGGGAGTTCATTCAGGTGATGCAACATTAGTCACGCCACCACAAGATATCAATCAGAAAACATTGGATAAGATTATGGAAATCGCTAAGGACATGGCAGCTTTACTTGATGTCAGTGGACCATTCAACATGCAATTGATTGCTAAAAATAATGAATTGAAAGTCATTGAATGCAACGTGAGAGTTTCTCGATCTTTTCCATTTGTTTCGAAGACACTCAATCATGACTTTGTGGCTATGGCGACGAGAGTTATCATCGGACAACCAGTGGAACCAGTCGATGTGTTGAATGGAGTTGGAAAAGTTGGAGTAAAAGTTCCACAATTTAGTTTCTCTCGCTTGGCAGGAGCTGATGTGACACTCGGTGTGGAAATGTCATCCACAGGTGAAGTTGCTTGTTTCGGTGATAATCGATATGAAGCTTATTTGAAAGCGATGATGTCAACGGGCTTCTCAATACCCAAGAAGTCAATTCTCATCAGTATCGGAAGTTTTAAAGTACGTTAAACAATGTTTGACATTTTTTAGTGTTTAACTTAATTCACTTCCTTACAGCACAAAAACGAGTTGTTAACATCAATTCGTGATCTCTCAAGAATGGGCTACAAACTTTACTCATCTATGGGAACTGGCGATTTTTATATGGAACACGGAATTGATGTAAGTACAATTTTCAACAAAGCTTTTCGTTCTAATCAGTTGGTTTTTATTTATTTAATCATTCTTTACAACATTTTACATTTTTTTTCTTTTAAAATTAATAATTTTTGTTACTTTTGAAGAAACAACGACAAGGTTTCTTTTCCGGAAGAATTAAATTGAATTAACTAGTGAACTGATAAGACGTTTAACTTACAACTTTTAGGAAATTATTTAATTCTCAAACTATTCATAAGAAAACACTCAAATCCTGTTTAAAATATCATTCGTTAATGTTCTCGTTCTGGGCGATTCCTAACTTTTGATCAATAATTAATTCAACATTAAAAACACTTAAAAGTTATCACAGAAAGTGTTCAAAATAATTATTAATTGCGTGGGTGGAAGAAATTAAAGTATTTCATAAAGATTTGCTGAACTATCACTTTTATGTTTCATATTTCTTCCATTATTGTCTAAATGCGTGTCAAGTTTCTCCATTGAACTTGCAATTTCGTCGATGTCATCATATTCACCATCATTGTGGTTGAAACGTGCCAAGTTTTCAGCTGATGTTGCATGAATTTGAACAACAATTGATTTGTGATAATTATAAATTTCGTCATTATCATCGTCCGATGGAACTTCAGTTAAGTTTGTTTTGCTTTCCATTATCGAGTTTTCAATTGGCTCTTCAGGACGGAAACGAATTTTAATTGCTTTTTTATCGAGTAAACTTTCGCGTCGTGGAAGTTCAGGGCCTTGAATTGTTGCCGAAATTGAATTCTCTGCTGCTAAACGCAATGATTCTATCGCACTTTGATAGTCTTCAGCTTCTTCTACAAACTTATCATCACGCAATAACAAACACAATCTTTCCGCTTGTTTCAACAATTCCATTGTTTGTTGAAGTGAACGATATTTTATCGAAACATGAGACATCTCGATAAATTGTTCAATAAAAAGTTCAAAGACAAGCTTCCGTCTTAACATTTCCATATGCTTCAGAATTTTGATCTGTAAGAAAGAAAAAAATCATAAAAAATATTTCAATTTCCATGTTAAATTCTTCACTTTCCTTTACCTTTGTGTCAATTGATTCAATTGATGATCTTCGTAAGTCTTTCTCAGCTTCCTTTCGTTTTGTATAAGCAGCAACGTAATGTTCATCAAGAGCAAATCTCACACATCGTGTTCGTCTCTTTCTCGACCTTCTTTCTTTCCGATCAAAGTATGCAATCGATCCAAGTGGCGCTTCTTTCTCTTCATCATCTGACGGTGCATGTACCAAAGCGTCGACATCTAAAGCATCAACTTTTGGGTTGTAAATTTTGTTAGGATCGTCGATGATAAGTCGCGAGTAAAGTCGCTTGCACTTTAATTTCGGGTAGAAGTTTCGTTGATATCTCAAGTTCCTTATAGCAATCATCACATAAGGCACTGGACTTTCAACTATTCTAAAGATTCGCTTATGAAGATCAACAAGAATCTTCTCGGGAATATTCTGAAATAAATTTCGTTTCGGTAGGAAATAATCTGGCAGACGATGTGTCTTGATGCAATGAAGCAAAGATGTTAAAAACTTTATCAAAGCCTCTCCCAAATGTTCTTGATACCATGCTGTGTAATTATATTCACATTGCCAGAAAAGATGCGCTCGAATGTGTTCAGTTGTAAACATGTTGACGCCACGTTCAAGATTTGGTTCGATGAAAGTTTTCAGAAGAATTTTTGTCATCATGTAAACCTTTGCTTGTGATGATGTCAAGCGACTTTCTAAATATCTTTCAGCTTCTGGGAAAACAATTTTCCATTCAAGTTCACGTTGCAGATTTGTTCCGAGTTTAGGTGCGTAACCTTGGGGAATAACATGACAACCAAAATTTGTGATTTTGTTGATCATTTCAATTGAAGGCCATTGTACAAATTGACCTGTTAAAGGATCTACTCGACTCTCTCTCTGTCGGAATATCCATTCATTCGCTTCACGTGGCCATGGACATGAAATTGCTGGGATAATTTCCCATGGTTCACAATACACTGCCGAACCTTTCCACGTTGCATTCTTCATCGTTTCTTCGGAAATTCCCAAATCACTTGCAAGTGTTTGTTGGAATAAATTGATGAAATAAGATAAGAATTCTTTGGAATTCAAATATTGCTTGTCTTCATAATAGTAACTTTCTCTGCTTCCTTCATAACACTCATATTGGCTTTCATTGATTTCTTTCTCTTCTGATTCGTCATCAGTGGAGTAACCAGTGCTGTAAAATTGTTCTTGTTTCTTATTGTTGATCATAAATCGACTGACATTTGAAATGCATGTGTCAGGTAACATGACAGTTGACAATGGGTTTTTAATTAACGCGCTTTGCCGTAACATGTTTAGAGGTTGATGTGTGTGCAATGCTCTGATGTAAGTGTAATCATATTCGCTGCTTGCTGGTGATATTGAAACTGATGATGGCGTGTAATATTCAACTTTATTCCTTCCATATCTGATGCTGTCACGAAGTTTTGCTCTCAGAAATCCTTCGGGGACATCAATTTCGTCTTCATCAATGTCAGTCTCGTCGTCGTCTTCATTCTTCAATGATCCACTCACATATTGACTGTCAGATGATAAATTATAACTCAAAACATCATTCTTAGTGATTCTCTCAAAGCTTTTCAATTTTATGTAACCGACATGGCGAACAACTTTCTTTTTGCGACTTCCCTCAAATGGATCGTCAATTTGAAGCTTGTAAATCGGTGCATCAGATAAAATGCTGTAAACTGAATTCTCGCCGGGATTTGTTATTTCAATATTATCGTGAACGATGTAAATTGTTTGTGTTTGAAGAGGTTGAAGCTGATTTTTAAATTTCCCATGTCTTGAGAATTTTGAAGAAAAAGAAAAATTGAAGTCAATGTCGTTGATAAAAGAAATAAAAATCGCAATCAAAACAAGAATTGCTCAAGATAAAATTCAACTCACTTTGCCACATATTTAACACGACGATCTACAGCTTCATATAATCGATCAGGCATCAAAATTGTCTTACAATGTTTTGTTACTTGTTCTGTTTTTTGATTCTCACGATTTCGATTTAATTCGACGGCTTCCCATAGATCCCTGTAAGAGATCTCAAATAATTTAATAAATTATAATTGAATATTTAAATAAATCTCAACACCAACTCACAACCCTGATCTAGATTAATGAGTAATTAAAATGATTTGGAAAGTTTGAAGTGTTTCAGGAAGCTTGTAGTAGCTTCAGAAGAATTGTGCAAAATTTTTTTTCCTCTTATCGCAATCATCAATCTCACTTCATTGTTTAATGTTTTTAATATCTTTGCGGTGTTTGCTTTTTGTAAAGAACGTTTGACGATGATATGATGAACGAAAACATCTTTAATTACATATTTTTAATTTATCAAAATTATTTTGGGAATTGATTTGTAAAAGGTTTGAATGAAGATTGCACCAAAAATGATTTTACAAGCAGAATCAAAAATTGAAGTTAAGAGTGATGACTTTATTATCAAATTGCATACCTCTCATAATTAGCAAAAAATTGTACGGACATCATCATCTGATCGAGAACAAAGATGTCACTGTTGAATGCCAATTGTTCTTGCATTCGTCGCTTAATTTCAACTTCAAAGTCTCCATTTTGGTAGTTGATTTCAGAAGTCACTGTCGGAAGTGGAACTTTCAATTGATCCATTTTACTTTTCTTTTTTCCAAACCAAAACTTTTTCAATTTCTTTTTTTCGATATTCATTCTAAACTTGCTGCGTTTATGAACGGTTGAATTCGTTTGTGTGGGTGGCGGGGGTGCATGAACTTTTGAATGGGAACGACCCATAATGCTTTCGAAAATTTCACCAAATTATGCAATGTTGTGTTTCATAAATTTTCATAAATAATTCCACATGTTTGAATATTAAAAATTATCACAAATTAAAATTGAATCACTTTTTTAGTTAATTGGAAATCTTTCCCACTCATCAAAGTTCACAAATGGAAGAGTCGCAGAAAGAAAATTCTCGACGTCTTCAATTACCAAAATATCCACAAGAACTGACAATCGATTGCCTAATTGAAGTTATTTGTAAATGTTTAGCGATCTGATAAAAGGAAACGTCAGTTTGTAGGGAACATCAGAAAGTTATGTCTGATCGATGTTGTCACAAATCAACGTTTTTGACAATCAATTGTGACAAAATTTCCAATTTTCTTTTCATTTCTTATCATTTTTTTAAAACAATTGTTTTCCCTTTCGTATCTTCGTGACTTTTTTTGTTCTATTTCACTAGCTAGAAGTTAGATGAAAATAAAACCATAAACTTTGGAATGCGAATAGCTTGAATCGAAAATGTTTTCAAACAAAATCTATTCAGATAAATTATCAGAAAAAGTTTCTTTGAAGTTTTTGTTGCTGAAATGTTTTTCACAGACATATCAATGACAACTTTGTGTGCGTTGAGCTAATGAAAAGCAAGCAGTTAATTCATGCAATTGATTTCTATTACAGGTTGAAGCTGTTCAATGGACATTCGATAACATAAACAGTGAAACTGGCGAACTTCATCATCTTGCTGCGTTTCTTGCTGATAAGAAAATTGACATGGTCATCAATCTTCCAATGCGTGGAAGTGGCGCAAGAAGGTAACTTGTCATGACTCACAGAATAATTGACGTAAATATTTGACAAATTTCTTTTCTACCTTCAGAGTTTCGTCATTTATGACTCACGGATATCGCACAAGACGTTTGGCAGTCGACTATTCAATTCCACTTGTCACCGATGTCAAATGTACGAAACTTCTCGTTGAAGCGATGCGTTTGTCAGGTCGTGCACCGCCAATGAAAACTCACACTGACTGCATGACAAGTCGTCAATTGATTAAGCTTCCTGGATTCATCGACGTTCATGTGCATTTAAGAGAACCCGGAGCGACTCATAAAGAAGACTTCAGTTCAGGAACTGCTGCAGCTTTAGCTGGTGGTGTGACTTTAGTTTGTGCTATGCCAAACACAAATCCATCGATTGTTAATCAACAATACTTCCAAATGGCTAAAGATCTTGCTAAAGCCGGTGCACGTTGCGATTATGCTTTGTTTGTTGGTGCTTCATCAGACAATTACAATCAAATTTATGAACTTGCATCGGAAGCAGCCGCTCTTAAAATGTATCTCAACGAAACATTCACGACACTTAAACTCAATGATATGACAGTTTGGGAGAAACATTTATCAAACTGGCCAAAACGTGCTGCTTTGTGTGTGCATGCTGAAAAAACGGCAACGGCTGCAATAATTCTTCTTGCAAGTTTAGTCGATCGACCAGTTCACATTTGTCATGTAGCAAGAAAGGAAGAAATTCAAATCATTAAAGCAGCTAAAGAACGCGGTGTGAAAATCACATGCGAAGTTTGTCCACATCATTTGTTTTTGACAACGAAAGATTTAAATCGCATTGGAAATGGTCGAAGTGAAGTTCGTCCAATTTTATGTTCGCCAGAAGATCAACAAGCACTTTGGGATAACATTGACATTATTGATGTGTTTGCAACTGATCATGCACCTCATACAATTGCTGAGAAAGATTCCGCTAATCCACCGCCAGGATTTCCAGGTTTGGAAACAATTTTGCCACTTTTGTTGACAGCTGTCAATGATGGAAGGCTGACAATGGAAGACGTCATCAACAAGTTCCACAGGAATCCAAGAAAGATTTTCAATCTTCCCGAGCAGTACAACACATACGTGGAAGTTGACATGGATGAAGAATGGGAAATTCCCAACATTTTAAGTCATTCGAAAGCACAATGGACGCCGTTTGCTGGCATGAGAGTCAAGGGACGAGTGCATCGAGTGGTTCTTAGAGGAGAAGTCGCTTTTGTTGATGGTGAAGTTTTACTTGAGCCTGGCTTTGGTCAAAATGTCCGTCAATGGTCATCAAGTCATCGTTCAATTAATGGAGATCCATCGATAAGTTCGAATGAAAAGATTAATGGAACATCAATGGAGCATTTGGATGAAGAACTTTATGTGAAAATTCCTGAAGCGACTGCAAAACCAACAAATTTACCTCTAACGACACTTTCACCAATTCCAAGGCAACGTTTAGATTCAGCTGGTAATCAAATGTATAAAGATTTATTCCTGGAAACTGTTGGGCGATCAGCATTCTCGCATGCAAGAAGTTTGAGTGGCAAAAATATTCTCAGCGTTGAAATGTTCACAATGAAGGAACAGCTCAACGACATTTACAATCTTGCTTCGATCTTCAAAGGAAGAGTTCATAAAGATCGTCCATGTGATGATGTGTTGCGTGGGAAGATCATGGCTTCATGTTTTTATGAAGTTTCGACGAGAACTTGTTGCAGTTTCGCTGCTGCGATGCAACGACTTGGTGGGCGAGTGATTTACATGGATGAGACGAGTTCATCAGCTAAGAAAGGTGAATCTCTTGAAGATTCAATTGCTGTGATGTCGGGATATGCTGATGTTGTTGTGTTGCGTCATCCAGAAGTTGGTGCAATGGCGCGAGCTGCTGACGTTTGTCGTAAGCCTGTAATTAATGCAGGCGATGGAATTGGTGAACATCCAACTCAAGCATTGCTTGATGTCTTCACGATTCGTGAAGAAATTGGAACAGTTAATGGACTAACAATTACAATGGTCGGTGACTTGAAACATGGAAGAACTGTTCATTCATTGGCACGATTGCTGACACTTTACAATGTCACGATCAACTATGTCAGTCCATCAACTCTCGCAATGCCCGAGAAAGTCGTGAACTTTGTTAAATCGAAAGGAATTCAACAGAAATTTCACGATTCCCTTGAACAAGTTCTGCCCGAAACTGACGTTCTTTACATGACACGAATCCAGAAGGAAAGATTTTCAAGTGAAAAAGAATATAAAACAACTTGTGGACTTTACATCGTCACACCGAAACTTATGACACGTGCCAAAAACCGGATGATTGTGATGCATCCGTTGCCAAGAAACTTTGAGATTGACAAAGCTTTCGACAATGATAAGCGCGCAGCTTACTTCAGACAAGCTGAATATGGAATGTATGTTAGGATGAGCTTGTTGGCGCTGATTTTGTCAAAGAATTAAGAATTCTTCTTGCCATAATTTTTCAATTTTTTATACAATTTATTCAATTAAGTTTTAATCATTTTTTATTCAGAACTTTTACAAAATTTTATTCCTCGAATTTGGAACTTAAAAGACTTGAAAAAATGTTCGAAAGCTTTGAAGCGTTTGTTCATTCATTCCACGAAAATATAAAATTTATGTTGAGAAATCAACTTTTATTATGAATTATTAAATTTTATTGAGCATGTCAATGATACTTAAACAAAAACTTTTTGTAATCTTTATGGTGGAAATAAAATTAAGCAAAAGAGAAATCAAAATTTAGAAAATTCTTGTAGTCTGAGAAATTTCAGAAAATAATGAAAAGCAAGTTAAGAAAAATTTAATGCTAATAATTACAATTAATTTCAGTCTTATTTGTGTATGTGTTTGTGTGAAATATCTTAAGATTCTTTGATAAAACGAACGATCAGATGAGGCTTTGACTCAACAAGCGATCGTTTCAATATAATTTGGTTTATTTTGGCAAATTTTCTTTGTCTGAGGTTCAGTTGCGACGTTTTGTCGGTAACATTGACGTTCATTTTGGTGACTAATTTGAGCGACTTGAAGAGTTTTCGAAGGTGTTGACGAAGCATTCTCTTCTTCAAACGATGAAAGAGATTTCCCGAAATATCTGAACATGAGATTTGAGGTCTGAGTTGAAGAATTTGAGATTCCAGAATCCGAAGGTGACGACACGAGAGTGAAATTTCCTTGAACTTGAAGCTCCACGACATCTGACGATGATTTCTCTTTCAATTCCTTCTTGTGTCTGATCAGAGATGTGAGAATTATGAGAATTATGACTGCCAATGTTGTGCCACATGCGATCGCTACCAGCAACATTTCACCGTGAGATTCTCCGTCGATTGACACTTTGGGAACTGCAATCAAACAGAAATTGAAGTGAGAATGACAAGAAATGTTAGTCATGCCAATGTATCAAAGCACGTTGCGAATATTCCAAAGTGTGATCAGCTGCGTTGAGATTAACAGCGCGTGAAACTTAAACATTTACGACGTAAATTTTTCGCTCTATCGCCGAGTGCACTTTCCGTCATTTCGTCTACGTCGTTCAGAGATAAAAATCAAAATAGAACAAAAACAAAGTTTTCATGTTATGCAATTTTCCGGTGAAAAATTCCAAACGGAAAATCGTGAGAATTGATAAGGAGAAATCGGAACGGAACTCCAAGGTCGATGTCAAAGACGTTTCTCAATTGACATGACTTTCTATTAATCAAAATCATATTTTCGGTGATCAATCAAATGGAAAATATTAATTTTAGTGTCGCAATCACATCGCAGTCAGAATGAGAGAAAGTGGGTCAGGTTCACTCGATAACACTTCGGAAATATTCATCGAATCACGTTACGGGTTAACATCCTTTCATAACTTTAAAGGTGTGAAAATGAATTGTGCAACGATCATAAAATAAAAAAGCGCTCATTGTGTATATGACAAAGATCGCCTACGATTTCAAGTCTTGAACGGGTAGTAAAGCTTTTTGTTATTGGCCTTTATAAAACTTTCCGATATAATGCGGATGGGAATTCTTTTGGTTCTCTTCTCAGTAATAATTTATTTATGACACTAGTTAGAGTCTTGTTTGATTTCCGATTCGCATATTAAACACTTCTTCAAATTTCTGCACACGCAACAAGAGTAAAGTTTCATCTTATGTAAAGCAGAATTACCTGAATACTCGTAACGATCCCTCACGCTTCTTATTTTCGGTACATTTTCCATTGCTTCTGTAATAAAAATAAGAAAATTACGCAAAATCAATTTTCCATACTTTTTAATCCAAACATAAAATAATCGAACGGATTTTAACCCAAAAATCTTGGATTATGTCACCCATTACTGCTCAGTATTCATGCCCAATTGGATTTAATTCATTGCACTTTCATTAGATATGAATTTAACTTAATGCGGTTTATCAGAATGAAGTCAACTTGTAAACAAGCGAAAACAAATTTTTGTTTTGTCGTCATTAAAATTTCAATCTTTTGGCAAGTTGTCAAAAATATTTCTAGGAAATCAACACAATAAGGCGATGAATTCAAAACAGAACAGCTCGTGAGAATCACGCACATTGAAAATTTTTCAATCAAACTTTTCACAAAACGATCTTCAACTCACTTCTTGTCAACTTTATTAATTAATTTTTAATGAATTTTTGTTAGCAACTTTTAAAGCTTTCGGTAAATATTTTGATTCTCGTAATTGCAAACTTTTTTGTCAATCTTCGGTTTCACTACACGTTCGTCTCTGACGACTGTTCAGCTATGAATAAGCAAACGAACGAACGAAAAGTCAGAAATATTTAAAATCTTCGTCGATCACGAGAAAACTTTTCTTCGCTGTTTGAGTTTTTGTTTTGTTTTGATTTTCATTTTCTTTCTCAGTTTCGTTTGTTGGTTTATCAGAGCAGATTTGAAGCTTGCGCATGTGTCGAGTGGATTTCTCACTTCAAACATTTGTTAAATGCCTTAAGATGCTGTACAACTCACAGACAGTTCATAGACATCGCAAGCTGACAATCTGCGAGTGAAAACGATCGACGACAATAAGCAAAAGGTCAGTCAGAAGCTTGCTTTGCAATGTTTTCTCATTCACTGTCGCTCAGTCCTCTGTTGTCACGCAATGTTTAACCATTGAAAGTTCAAGCAATTGTTCAATCATTCAATCATTTCATGATTTGTTACATGCGTAATCTAAATTGAATTAGATTAAATCATTCTTATGCTTCTCATTTGATTTGCGTAGGTAAATGATTAACATGGATAGCAATTTTTTGATTCTAGAAAACTCTAAACTCGATTGGCATTGTTAAAATATTTTCAACTTGCAACATTAAAATGAATTTATTGAATTTCTAATGTAATTGATCAATGATCTCTCGATTTAATAATTCACAAATCTATCTTAATTAATGATCAATCGAAGGTTGTTTAAATCTAGTCTAGTTAGAAACTGCAATTCTCGATATAATTTAAGGTAAAGTGTGAAAGTGACATTAAATAATTTTATATATATTTGTAGATAATTATATAATTAATTCATCAAGCAGTCAAGAAACGGTATTAAGCGTAACTTCACGTGATCTTTCCAGAAAACATCGTCATTGATTTACTCTAAATATTTACTTTGGAACTCTCATTTTCATCGGCTGTCAACTTTTTAGCGTCTTGTTCATTCATTTGAAGATTATAATATTGGAAACCGGTTGGTGCAATCTTTACCTAACAGGTTATTACTGATTTTTTAAATCAATAAAACACTTCTTGGCTAGTCTTCGCAGTTTTATTTTGAGTTTCATCAAATAAACATTAATTAAGTAAACTTTCATTATGAAATTTAAGTTTTACTTTAATCCTTTGTATATTTTTGTTGTAATTGTTTACATCATGTCACTGTAAGTTAATGAAACTATTCATTAAAATGCCTTTGTCTTAATTTTGTGATGTTAATTTCAAGGCTTCTTCAATGGCTTTTGGGAATTGAAAATCTTTGGGAGAAACTTTGGCGACTGTCGTTAATTCCAATGGGAAATAACAAGAAACTTATCTTGTTTTCTGGTTTACCGGTTGTGATGGGATATTTTTGGATCGTAGCTGGAATCTTCCTTGTCTATGACCTTACACAATGGCCAAAGTATTTGCGTAGATACAAAATACAACCAAATATGAATAATCCAGTTGATAGAGAAAAGTTACGGAAGGTCATCAAGGCAGTGGCTCTGAATCATCTTTTTTTAAACACATCTGTTATTGGTGTTGGAATTTTTCTTCTCGACAAATATCATTATATTGATAAAATGGATTTCTATGCAGTTCCATCGTTCCCTAAGCTCTTAATTGGTCATTTGGGTTGCGTTTTGATTTATGAGATGATATTTTATTATAATCATCGTTTGATACATACGAAGTGGCTTTATAAACATATTCATAAGAAGCATCATGAATGGACAGCACCAATTACCCTTGCAAGTCAATATGCACATCCCATAGAACATTTAATCTGCAATGTTTTACCGACAATTGGCACCGTCATTCTACGAGTTGACATGCCAACTGCACTTTTCTTCAACATTTTTATCATGACAACTTCGATTCTTGAACATTGCGGACTTCACTTGCCATTCCTTCATAGCGCAGTCTTTCATGACTATCATCATGAGAAGTTCAACGAATGTTTTAGTTCAAATGGGATGTGGGATCAGTTACACGGAACAAGTAAAACCTTCATGGAATCGGAAAGTGGAAGGAGACATAAAACTTTAATCGGATTTAAACCTTTTTATAGAAATAAGCAAGTTTCAAAGGAAGTGAATAAAACTGATTGAAATATGTTCACTGACACAGTGTGAAGTGTAAAAGTAATAAAACGTAACGAAATATCTTTAAAATTTTAACTTCAACTTCTTTTAATCCTGATCGATGACAAAGAAATTTTTCTACACGTGCAAACTTTAAAAAATGTCATGAAATTCATGAATTAATCTAATTCAGTTTCATGAAACATTTGAAAATAAATTTCGATGTGAGTAAAGTGAAATTGTTTCGTGTTTTATTTAATAAACATTTTTGATCATTCTGTTTTGATTATACGAAACTCAAATTCATCTTTTGACAACATCATTAATGTAATTTTTTATTAAGTTGAGAATGGAAGCTGTTTTGATTCCATCGTAAAAGTGACACTAATCACCAACAAACTTTCATATAATTATTTTATCCAAGTTGAATGATCGATGCGCGCGATAAATCATTCGAAGCTTTCGAAGTTCGTACAACAAGAACAACATTTATGAACTTCCGAATGATTATCGCTGATCATTGAATGAAAATTCTGGAAGTTTTTATGACCTTTACGAAATTTAAAACTCTTTCTTCAAATAGAATTACTCGAAATACATCGAAAAGCACCTCTGACAATCATAAAAGCTTACACGATCTTATTTCTTAAATTTACTTCCCTAATGAATAAACTGTCGTATTAAAAATTTGTTATTATTTAATTTCCGACTCACTCGTTCTAACAAGTGAAATTAATAAAAGTAAACGACATGAATTCACTTTGTTTTCGTTTCATTAATGAAACTGTAATGATATTTAATTGTCTGACGATCACATTGCATGACAAGCGTTTATACAAATGTAAATCACGTCAACTTCCAGTAACCTTGAACTTGACATCGTCGATCGTTTTCACTCGCAGATTGTCAGCTTGCGATGTCTATGAACTGTCTGTGAGTTGTACAGCATCTTAAGGCATTTAACAAATGTTTGAAGTGAGAAATCCACTCGACACATGCGCAAGCCTCAAATCTGCTCTGATAGACCAACAAACGAAACTGAGAAAGAAAATGAAAATCAAAACAAAACAAAAACTCAAACAACGAAGAAAAGTTTTCTCGTGATCGACGAAGATTTTAAATATTTCTGACTTTTCGTTCGTTCGTTTGCTTATTCATAGCTGAACAGTCGTCAGAGACGAACGTGTAGTGAAACCGAAGATTGACAAAAAAGTTTGCAATTACGAGAATCAAAATATTTACCGAAAGCTTTAAAAGTTGCTAACAAAAATTCATTAAAAATTAATTAATAAAGTTGACAAGAAGTGAGTTGAAGATCGTTTTGTGAAAAGTTTGATTGAAAAATTTTCAATGTGCGTGATTCTCACGAGCTGTTCTGTTATTTTTCGTTCTTTCTTTTTTCAACTATTTATTTTAAAGATTTTTCTTGAAATTTTGCCAGAAGATCGAAGCATGAGAAACGACGATAAATTGTTTTGGTTGTTTTGTTTACAAGTTTTTACAATCGTAAATGTTTCAGATAATGTAGGATTAAAGTTCGAAAGAAAGTGCAATCACTTAGGATTATGAAGTAAACCTTGCACCTTGACCATTATTGAATGAAACAGTTCATAATTTTATTAAATAAATAATTGATTTATGACAATTAAAGATGACGAGAAACTGATAAATAAGTTTTGATGTCGTTGCAGATTCGATGGAAAATCCCTCACAGATTAGAAATCAACGAGCCAGCAACGAATATTCTGGTAAGAATTTTATAAATTAAAAAGTCACACAAGATTGACGTCATTAAAAGAAGATAAGAGAAAAAATCCGGTGGAGGTTCGCCGGGTGTGCAGAAAAAAAGATAAAAATGCAAATCACGAGCGAAATCGAAATAAATTTTTAGAAATGATGTGAATTATTCAAGCTTTCGGTTCTTCGGATATCCCGAACATATCATCCAAACTTTATAAATATTCATTCCGAAACTTTTAAAAGGTGAAAA